CTTTTCCTTGTTTCAAGGTGTGTCCCAATCCCTTGATCCAAATATGTCTTTCTGAAATCTGACTTTAAATCTAATATTAATTGTGGTTCAAAATAAGCTTATGAAAGCACCAGATTTTATCAGACATTTTAAATGTGGTGCAAAACTTACAAGCAGCCTCCTCACTGACAGGGATTATTATTTGATACCTAATAACTGAGAAAGTGATATCTATGCAGATGCATCAGGCTTGGTGCACCCTGGATCTCATCATGACCCAGGAAGCCATCACACTACTCCCCAAGTTATTATTTTAAAAATAATAATTATTTATTGTTATTAAAACATTTAAATATAATATATGCTTGAGGATGTTTTAGCTATAGGTAGAATTAAGAGAAAATTCACGATTTTACTTTTTCTTATCTAAAAGAATTACAAAATGAAAAAAAAATAAGATTTTCAGAAAATAATAATATAAATCATTTAATGGTCAAACCTTAAATTCATTAGTGTTTATTGATCAAGGCAAATGTATCATTTACTCATATTCTTAATAGTTTAATTACAAACAACCAAACATTAATAAGGCTTCTAAATCCAGATAATTCTATTTGTCAGTAATATTTTCATTTACTAATTCCATGTTGCCAAGTTTTTCATTCATAGATATTTTGAATGCAACTCCTTTCATACAATAGTATTTTGGGCAACCTTCATATTCTTGTATAATTTGCCCAATTTATTAGGAATCTCCTATTTATTTTTCAAATATTCCATATTCTATGTTTTTATAAGGTAGGCAACATTATCTTTAGTAATAATCAAACTTGTTTCTCTTTTCACAGTTATAACAAAGACCTAATGCCGCTCATTTTAATCTAGTATAATAATCTTTATCAAAGGTTTTGAAAATATATTTGAAGCTTTACAATCATTTTTGATTTCCTATTGAATAGCTTCAATCTCTCCAATTTTTTCCATTAAATTATTGGCACCATACAGATCAAACACATAATTATTTTTAGTGATATATACTCAATAAAAAAAATTTAAAATATTCACTTACAGCAAATTTAATCTAGATCGTAAGCAAGTTTACCCCGAGAGTCTCTTATCTCAAACGCTTAAAAAAGCTTTGTGTAACTAATGAGACCATCAGGAATTAGGATCCAATGACCCCAGATAATCAAATTTGGACACGCTTAAAAAATTGGCTTGTTTTCTCAGATCCAGTCTTGCGGATGGGGATCAAAAATGCAGATTAGCAAGGGCAATCCTCAGAATCACCTAAGGCATTAGTCTAAAATTGCATCCTTCATAGATCAAAAAGGATAAACCTTCTAGAACTTGATCTGTCCTATAGAATATTACATAATGGACTGAGAAACTGAACAAATGTGGCATATTTTATTTCATCAGTATTCCGAGCCTATTTTTTCACCCTAATTTTTGTAATTGTGTATAATTTTTTTTTAATTATTAGTAATACTTTTATAAGTGATTTCTGAAATAATTTTTAAAACGACTATCTTTTAAGTTGTACTTCTTCTTTATATCCATCAATTTATCCTAACAGAGTACATTTTTAGATCGTCAATAAAATTTATATTTACTTTCTCCTTCATATTTAATTAATCTATCGTATTCAGCAGACAGCTTTAATTATCGATATTAATAACAGAAATAATTTTTGCAATAATTTGATTCTTCTATTACAGTCCATTCTTTCTTTTTTTAATTATCACTTACTTATTTTTAGAATTAATTCTTCTTGCATGAAAAAAAATGTCAAATGGTCTAATTTTCTTTTATTTTTGACTTAGATGTTCTAATAATGACATATTTTGGCTAAGATTCAAAGTTATAGAAATCAATTTAATTATTGAAATGTAACGATTAGTTACCAGAAAACTATTCATATGCTTGACTTTCAGTTCTTTAGCTTGCCATCAAAAAGATTAATTTAATTTTATCATAACTAAAAATTGCATATAATAAATGTTTAAAAAATATTCTATAATCGAATGAACAAAAATTCTTTATCTTTTAATATCCAAACATGATATAATAAATATTAGATACAATAAAATGTGAAAAATTAAAAATATATTTTGAGTCCATTTAAGATAAAGATTTTTGTTATGATTTTTGATAAAATTATTAAAATGGTAAACTTCTCATACTTAGATATAATTTTAATTCATTAAATGTGTTTCAATATTTCAATTTTTCAAAGTAAGATTAATCGAATTAGTTGATATTTGTAATTTCTATTGTTAATTCCTAAGAATAATATGGGTAAATAAGTCAAAACAACTTTAAACTAGTATAGAAACTATTTCCTCATCTCAAGTGAATAGTTTAAATTCATTTCTTTAATTAAGCATAAGTAAATCAGAAATAATTGAAAGTAATTTTAAGAATATCCTGAATTAATTAGAGAATGGCTTTCGAGAATTGGTGCTGAAAATATAGATTATAATCCCTTTGCATGAAAAAGATTATGTAAAAAGTTAGATATATAATTAAAAATAAGCTGATAGAATGAATTAGATCATAGTTTTTTTTTCTTCTAGATTTCAATCCGATTTCTACAATTTTCTATTATTTTTTCCTTCTATTTAAGAAACATAATTGTGACTTTTTATTAATTAGATATCATTCAAGGAAAAGATTCTTATAAATTTTGTGTTGTTTGCATCTCCCAATACTTACATAATCCTTAATGAAAAAATTTTTACAGCATGTCTTAATATTTCCTTACTTAAATCTTTTTATTTAGATAATTCTTTCCACGTTTTTCAAATTTTCTATCATCACTTAAAGTTCCATATATTTAATTATCATAATAATTGATAACCTAAATAGTTTGGCGCATATATATCTACTAGTTAGCATGATAGTTAAAGAAGTGGTTATGCTTTAAAAGTAAATTAAATAATTTTATTATATTAAAGAACTACCAATTTTATATGAAATTTTTTTGAAAGTTAGAAATTTGATGAAAAATATCAAATATTCTAAACGAAGATGAACAGGAAATTAGCTAACTAGAATTGCTGTAGTTCATTGCGATGGCATCAGTAATTTAAGGCTTTTTGAAATCGATAGTGAATCTTAATACTTGATATTGGGATGACGTAAAAATTGATTCATATCAAAAGATAGTATTTGATCTAAATTAATTTACTTCATAGGGTTTTTAGAATAAAGAATAAATTAAAGTATTTTGACTTTATAAAAGCAAAATCAGTTGAAAAAACTAAATTTACAACTGGTGAAAAATTTTCCAAATATCACCTAGCACTCTAAGATTATATCCACATTGTTCAAATATTTTATGATTATTTAATTAAATATCGAAATATGTAGAATTAAAATATAGGGAAGATTATCTATGAAGTAAGAAATTAATAATGAATATGCAGTACCAAATATTTTTGAAAGAAGATTGGCAAAACAAAATTTCTTAAAAATTCTGAAGTAAGGATTTTAAATTCTTATCAAAAAAAATTGAGTAATAACAAATTCCTGATCTATAAGTAAGGAGAATATAATTTGTCAGATAGAATGTGAGTTAGTTATAAAAAATTTTGGAATTAAAATAACAGATATAAATTGACAAATATTTGACATCTAGTATGTTCATTGAATTGAATATATCATCAAACATAACATAAGAAATTTCATAACTATCACAAAAAAATTACCTAATACAAAGCAATAGTTTAGAAAGTACTAAATAAAAATTCTAAATCACCTTAATCAGCTTTTCCGTTTGTATCTCTGTTTTTTCAAAAGATGAGAGAGTAGCAGCATTAAAATATAGAGAAAAAAATATATCATTGCAAGAAAAGTAAAAATTATAAGTTGCAGATATTGATACATTAATAAGTAACAATAAAAAGCAGATTAATTGAAAAATGTTCCAAGCATCTATGTAAATCTAACTTCATATTATTTTGTATTTATTTGACATTAAAATTCTATACATTTATCATATAACACCAAAATAATTATTTTATATATATAATTAATAGAAATACAATGTAATAAGTATAAGAAGCAGGCGCTTAAAATTAAGATCCTTAGAAAAATCTTCAAGAATAACTCTAGAATTTAATGGTGTTTAATAAAAATTAAGAAAAAGAAATAGAAGATTTAAATATAAAAGTTTCTCATCTCGAACAAGAGACAAAAAACCTGAAACTTGACAGATAAAATATAATTAATGGTTGTTAGGTGTAATTAGGTTAACTTGAGTTAAAGAAGGAATAGAAATTAGCAGAGCAGAAAAGTATATACGAGGCCACTATATAGGAATTATATGATTAGATTAAACGATTAAATAATAACATTGAAGAAGATCAAAAAAAAACATAGCAAATAATAAGTGAGAAGAATGGTACGATTGAAAAATAATGGAATATAATTAAATAAATGGGAAAAAGTTTGCAAATAAATAGTTTGATTCAATAGAATTAATATTCAAATAGCATAACATAATCTAACTATCCAAAGAGTTAGACTTCTAATTCAATGATAATTGAAGGATAAAGCAAGTATATGGTGAATTAAAATTAATTTATTACTAAGGATGGACAAATATTTTAAGCTTTTGAATATTATTTAGCTTAAAATAATCGCTTGTAATAACAATTAGATAGTATACTATTTAAGAACGAGAATTTACAAACATTATCTAATTATATTAAGGATTAATAAAAGGTCATCTAGGAAAAAAATGAAATCTTTGCAGATATCGCCAGGAGTGTAGACAAGCTAAAGAAAAATTAATAAAATACGGTCTTGCATGAAGAATGGAATAAAATATAAGAACTTACTTTATTAGGGAGGAAAGAAAATGGTTTGAATAAATTGTTTAAGTGTTGTGATGGATAATATGAAATTGTATATTGTCAATCCAAGAAATGTGTGTATCATATTAACTGCTTATATGATAAAATAATAAGATAAGGATAATTAACTATTAATAATTGCGATTGTGATTAACCATTTCCTTATTAATTTTTAAGAAGGATGAACTTTGTTGAAGCAAAATGCTTATTGGAAAATATTCTGGAAGGCCAGCAAAAACAATTATTATCTGAAATTGTAAAGAGTAGAAAACTTCTTGTTTACAAATGCCCCAACCTATTTTGTAGTTTTGAATGGTGCTTCGGACCAAATAATGAAAGCCTCAACATTGGATCTTTATCCTATTGTCCAAATTGTTAGATGATCGTTTAATCTGAGGTAAAAGTAGAATGATTGTTATAATAAATATTTAATGAATTGAAATTTTTACAAGATCTCTCAGTACGTAATCCATCTTGCTCAGCGGATATTAGTAGTCTGCATTAGGTGAGTATAGTACAGGCACTTGATCATCGATAAGTTAATAGCGTAGGTCGACCAAAATATAAAGGCAGAATTTGTATTTATTGTTGTTTGCAAATTGTATAAATACATTTACAAAGGAAGGAGAAAGCTTTAATTTGGAAATATCGAGTGATTAACTGGGATATTTAGGTAGTGGTTATCCTTTATATTTTGACTTCATCAAATCTTGTTTAACCATTATCACTATCTAATATATTACAGTTGGTAACTTTTAATTAATTACTCACTTTGGAACCTTGTTTGAATTGTCTGAAACTGAAGAATGATTGCAACAAAAGTAAGACGTATAAAGTTTAACCGCTTTATACTTAACAATGATCTACTTAATATATTTTAGACATAATTAAATTAAACTAGATAGTTTTTGTGATTTAAAACAAACAACTCCAGGAGATCTTGGATTTATCACGAGAAGAATTAGAACTAAAAATAAAAGAGGAATTTGAGAACGTAGTAAAAATATGCTTTATTTTCAAATAAATAATTAAACAGAAAAAAAACTAGAGAATCCTTTTGGATTAATTATAAGATACTTACTTTGAATAGAACTATTTTTCTGGAAGTGCCCTTTTATAATGATATAATTAAACTTAACGATATCATTCAAATATAAGCAAGACAAACTTAAATTCCTAAAAAAAACAAAATACAACACTTTTAAATACTATTTAAAACAATCATTTAATTTAGATTTAAACAACAATGGATATGTAAATTTTTAAGGGATTGTTTTGGCTTTAAGATAAGCTCCAGAACTTATAGATATTAATTGGAAAAGCTTAAATGAATGGATAGAGTTATCTTAATTCAAAAGACTGCTGGAAATCTTTATTAACTTTTTCTTATTAATATCTTTATTAGTAGTCACTTGTACTACAGAATACAGCAAAAATAAAATGATATCCGTTAAATCTTGTTTCACACTTTTAATAATGATAATTTGCTATTACTTTTTTCCTTAAATAACTAAAGAATAACTTTCAGAAAGTACATATCTTGGCCACAATCTTGGAAGAGTTAATCGTTTAAATTGACTATTTTGATGTCTTTATTTACTATCTACATAGCGAAATTCATAGATGGAGAATTGTTTTGGCTCTTTGCTTGGTATTTAATTAATTTATAATTAGTAACTCGTTTCTCTTAAATCCTTAATAACAAATTAAAAATTACAAAATCAATTAGTAACAATAGCCAACCACTTAGGATGAATTAAATGAACTTTATGAACTTCAACAACACAATTTAACCAAGAATCATGCTTATATTAATTATACGTTGATAATCACAAACATATACCGAAATCTGATACTGATTAATTAAATTATGACATTTATAGGATTAAGTCTTTACAATTGGGCTGACAAATACATTCTCTTGAATCATTCAACTGTAAAGCACTAACCCTCTTCTAGTTTATCTCTTGAGATGTTTACATTAATATCATATACTCCTATTATAATTTCTTGTCAACATCTTATGAATTCTAATGAAGACTAGATTCCTTAAATATAATTGATCAGTGCATTCGTGTTTTATTTGATCCCTAAAGACCTGATTATTAACAAAATATGGAAGATAAAAAAATCAAGGAATTTTCTCCCTATGATGAATCCCAATTTAATTCTTGTTATGATAGGACAAATCCTGCCTTACAAGATAAGGCAATTCATAATTGGATCAATTAGAAAAAGCACATTTTAAACAAAGAAGAATTCTAGATTTACTTAATGAGGAATAAAAAATTAAACATAAGAGATCTTTAGAAAAGTAATTAACAAAAATTTAGAAATAAATTAGGTAAATAGAAGCTTAATTGTTATAAAAATAAAATACTAAACTAATAACATAATCAGATTAAGTTCCCTAAAGTTTTAATTAAGATAAATCTTAGGACTCTTGAATTATTGACATGTGTAAATATTTGTAAATTATTTATTCAATTTTTCTAATGTGAATGAAATTAATATATTAAAATTCATGGACCCTTAGCTTAGAGAAGAACATAGATAACTTCTGGAGAAGAATCAAAAGTAACTGTTGTCTTACGGCACTTCTGGCTTTAGAGAAGAATCAAAATATTTGAAATTTGTTGGTTGGAGAGTGGGAATCTTCATAGGACTAATGTCGAAGAACACAAAATTAAAATTAGGAGTCATGATAACAGCATCTCATAATAAGATTATAGATAATGGTTTTAAGATAGTGCCACCAAAAGGTGGAATGTTGTCAATTGAGGAAGAGTAGAATATAGAAATATTTTATAAATCCGATGAAATCGTCAAATCTGAAACATTATATGATACTGGAATAGTCTATGTGGGAAGGGATACTAGACCATCCAGCGAATCATTATGTTAAATAGTCCTAGAAGGAATTAAAGAAGCTGGAGCTATTGGAATCAATTTAGGAATTGTAACCACACCATAATTTGCATTTTTAGTGTATGCAACAAATTTAGGATTAGTAAATCAAATAGAATCTAAATAAGAATTTTTTGTAGAATATTTTTGCGACATCTTTTTGTAATTGGTCAAAAGCCCTATAAAAGGGACATTAGTTATAGATGGAGCAGAAGGTGTTGGGGGAATATGGATAAAATAATTTTAAGAGAAATTAGCAACGGTATTAACGATTAAGAGAATCAATTATGGGGAAGAATCGCATTTATTAAATGACTGTTGTGGCTCAGAATTTGTTTAAAAGGAAAAGAAATTACCTAAAAGCTTTGTTTATGACCCTACTTATAGGTATGCATCATTGGACGGCGATGCTGATAGATTAGTTTATTAGTAATAATGAAATTATATCATAGTTCTCTTGATTAAAATAAGTTGTAAATTATTGAAGGTGATAGATTTGCTGTTCTATTTGCAATGTATATCAAGTAACAACTAGAAAAATAGCCTGGTTTAAAATTAACCATCGGTATTATCTAAACAGCTTATGCTAATTCGGCATCAACTAAATACATCACAGAATAATTAGGAATCTAAGCTAAATATGCACCTACAGGAGTCAAATATTTGCATAGAGCTGCTCATGAGTTTGATATCGGAATCTATTTTGAAGCAAATGGCCATGGAGCTGTTATTTATGAAAACCATGTTCTGTAAAAAGTCAAGGAGTTTGAACTTTTTGAACTTGAATTGTTTTTAAGACTCTCAAATTAAGCAATAGGGGATGCTATTACTAATATATTAATGACAGAGTTTCTGTTAAACAAATTAGAAATGAATATTTAGGATTGGTTGCTAATCTATTCAGATTACCCTGCACTTTCAACCAAGTTGTATGTAAAAAATAAATAAATCATCAAAACCAATTATGAGGAAACATCCTTAATTGAACCGATAGGTATTCTTTAATTATACAATTTAGATCTTAAATTAAAAGTGGATGAAATAATGTCAAAATATGATAATACATATCGGACTTGCATTAGGCCATCTGGTACTGAAAATGTTGTTAGGGTCCATAGTGAAGGTCCTGAGGTTGAAATTATTCGAGAGATAGACTCTAGAATCAATGAACTGTTAAAATCTTATATGGAGATATGAGAATTTATGATATTTGCATAGTTTGCATATATAAATATTTTTAAGTTTTTAAGCTCTAATAAATAATATTGGAAGTATTAATATGATATAGTACTTAACTTAGAACAAATAGTTTACTCTAAAATAGGTTCATTCTTAATATAATTTTCCAATCATTTAGAAGATGTAAATGCACAAATCTAAATTACTAATGAGGCATATTTTGGTCGAATTAATTATATCTTCTCTAAATAATGAGATTTTAGGATTAATTATTAAAAATCATAATTTATCACAAACAAGTTAGATCCTTAATTCATAAACATTTTAATTATTCACATATAAATACATAATTTATAACCCCATTTTTTAATATTTTTAATGAGAAAGAACGAGTATGACTTTTATGTAGATGATCAAGTCACTTTTAATAAATATCAGCTCACTCTAAAATGCAAATATCATACAAAGATTTCGATATTAAAATAGTATTTGTTGAAATACATCAAAAAAAATTTTGATATTATGCATAATGATGTCACTCTCAAAGAATCTATGACTTTGGACGAGGTTTTCTCTAGATATTGCTAAAATACCATCATTCTATTGATAAAATAAGATCCAATGATCGATGTTTTGGTAAAACATTCGATTCAGTATCAAAATTTAAGAAGATCAAGACCAACTTCAAATGAGGCTTTAGATGAAATATTTCCTCTCGAAATTAAAAACGACTAAGAAAATATGAAGAATCCAGTTGTTAAACATGAATTAGACACTCTGCCATCTACTACTTAAAAGAAATGTTCGAATTGCGGGATTTAAAATAAAATGATTGAGAATTATGAAAGTTCAATATCTAATCTAATACAAGAAAATGAATAACTTCAATTAAAGATGAGACAACTTAAAGAATAAAGAAATATTAGTAAATAAAAAGAGAGCATTGCAGTAAATAGCTACAGACAACTAAAAAGATCATGATTATATCAATTTTTTCATCATATTTGTAAATTCTACTAATGACAGAGCTCCGTCATGATTTGCATCTACTTCATTCATAATTTCTATCCAATATTCATTGCCAGTCAAATTGCATTTGAATGCTTCACTCAATTCTTCAACATTGATATTTCCAGAGGCATTCTAGAATATTTCATTTCAATAGTACTCTATCGATCAATTTAAATGCTGTCTCAATCTTAGACTTTTGTAAAATGGCCTATTTATCAATTGCCTATGCTAAAAATTATGAATAAGAAAGAGTTTCATCTTCAGCACATATCTTATTGGATTACCTTTCGGCTGTTTCAGAATCAAATATCTTGAGCATTGCAGCCTATAACTCTTCCACATCGATATACCCATCATTTTTTGTATCGATACATGTAAAGACTTCTCTCAATTCACTTAATTCTTCTCTAGAAGCTAAATAGAGCACTATCAATTTAAGAGTGGCTTCTTATAATTTAGATTAACAATTATAATTCACCAAATTGGTTAATACTCTTTTCAATTAACTATCAGTAACTTAAAGCTCATAATTCTTAGCAATCCAAGGATCATTTAATGCTTATTCAATTGTAATTCTTTGACTAGGATCTTTAAGTAAGATTTTCCTAACAAATTCTTTAGATTCATTACTATTTTTGCTCCAATCCTATTCATCAAAAATAAGGGGTTTTTTAAGAACGTTATCAATAATTTTTCTATTAGTATCTCCACCGAATGGAGGGTACCCACATAATAAGATATAGGTTATTACACCAATAGCCCAAATATCAATAGATTCATTATATTTCTTTTATTGTATCTCAGGTGCCTGATAGTATGGGTGATTAACTGAACTATGCATTTTATGGGAAATCTTTGAACACAACCCAAAATCAATTAAAATTGCTGAAGCAAATTCAGAACATCTTTCAAGCATGATATTTTCAGGTCTGATTTCTCTATGAGCAATCCCATGAAGATGACAATAGTTAACTGCGTACAGTAATTATCGGATGATTCTTGCAGCATATGTTTCAGAGAATATTCTTCTTTCTTATATCTTACTAAATAATTCTCCTCCTGAATAAAAATCTGTTATTATGTAGTGAAACCTGTCATCACTATAATATTCATTGATTTTTAAGATATTTGGATGATCAAGCTTTTCTAAATTGTTGACTTCTGACAATACTCTTTCTTCTTCTTTCTCAGTGGCATTCTTTTAAACAATCTTAACTGCTCTCATGATACCAGTTTTTTTATTAATTACCTTACGTATTTCAGAATATTATCCTTTGCCAATTGGTGGAGTCAAGAATTAGTATTCTGTACTTACTCGTCCCTTTTTTTTAATTAGCAGATTTAATGCCAGCACTGATGGTTTCTCTATTGTTATGAGGTATTGGTTTACATTCTTATTTCCTTTGATAATCTTGTTCAAATTCCGCTTGGCTTTTCATCATCATTTTGTTGCCCATTAATTATTACAATGAATACTGATATTTTAATAATTTTATATAAAATTCATAAGGTCAATCATCATTTCTATATTATTATGGATTATAGTTACGCTGCATGAGAGGATGAAAATTGTCGCGAATCCACAAAATATCAGACAGCCCCCTTGAATATCCAATAATAATTACCGGTTATTGTTGCTGCCAAAGTTTATCCAATCAACCACATTCCACAGCTTAAATATTGTTTATATGCTTACAAAATTAAAAACCAACCTTTCCCTATATTTCCTTCCAAAAATCTAAAGTACTTGAGTATAAAATCCAATCTTAATTCAGCTGCTAAAATCATCAAAGCGAACAAGCTTAATAAAATATTTCTCATACAATTAATATATCATGAAAATCCAATTCCAAAATGCAAGAAGTTCGACAACTGTTATTATATCGACTATTGTTATGGCGATTATTGCTGCAGCACAACTCAGGTTGATAATTCTGACGATGGTTTTAAGTGGTGTTCCCTATTTTGGTTCGCTCATTTTGTTTAATACTTAATTAAATTAAAATATTATTTCAATTAAATAATTCCTTCAACCTATTGATACATCCAATCACTTTATCTCTTAAAGTTTTGATGGTCAAGTTAAATCCAGCCTTTATTTTAAAATCACCATCTAAGTACCCTCTAATGATCAATTTTCCATCCTTCTAGCTAATTCTCAATCCTCCCAACATAACTTTACCTTCTTGCAATTATGTTTCATTCACTCTAAAATGTATGAGTATATTATTATACATTTTGGATTGATATTGATCTTCTAATCGTATTGATTTGAAAACAATATAATAATCTTCGTTCAATAATTCTATGTATTTGAGATAGGTAATCAATTGTTTTTTAATCATAGAATGCTTATTTAATTGCAATTCTCCAATAGACATCTACTCATTAATTGGTTGTAATTTGAAGTTTTCAAACAAATCAAATTCAAATAATGAGTTTGAATTCGACCATTTGAGAAATTTGCTGATTTCTGTATTCAAATCAAATTGAAACCTATATCATAACTATTATATAAACACTTAATCTGAATGAACATAGTTTTTTACACAAAATAATGAGAGAAGTACAACTCAATATTATGGATATTCTAAATATAGGTGTCACTGTCATCTATGATATCAACTAATTCTGTGAATTTCTCCAGGGCTTCTTGAGCATACAAAGTTAACTCATTGATTCTAATTGACTTAATATTCGAGAAAACCATCATCCAATTGTCTACTGATTATTGTTATTATGACTGTTGAACTGCTTTATCTGAAATTTACTTCGATTGCTATTTAATCATAAATTTATCTTCATCTTTTTACAACCCTTTTTAACTAGTTGAAGGTGATTTTATGATGGGTAGCTATTTATTGGTAATAGTTTCTAATGTGAGATCATTGTCGTTTTTTTCATCGTTTTTGTCTGCTTCACATAATGATTAATCATTAGAATGAGTGTTATCCTGAGCAATACCTAAATTTTGGATGGAATTAACTTATCTATTATGCCTGTATTTTCCCTTGACTCTCCTCAGCAGGATTATTGGACAAGTTCACTAACTAATGTGAAGACACCTATGCAGAGGGTTTGCTTTTGAAAAGTAAAAGACACTCTTTGCACTTAGTCAAAAATGATCCCATTTCCAAAAGTTGATAATTTTATAATACTTAATATGCATTTTATAATCAATGACAAAATCCATATAAATTGTAACTATAATTTCAAATTATCTAAAATAGAAACCAAACACTTTTGTTACAACCTATCAAAACAAACAAACACAATAAAATTTTATCGATTTTATTAAGGTTCTTATTAAAAATCATAAAAGCATCACATTTCAAACGATCGTTATTTTCCCAGAATAAACGGACTTAAAAATTTTTCAGAATCACTTTTGGTATTACTTTGATCCATCCCAAATTTTATGATTTATATATTCTTAATCATGGGGGATTCCCCTATTGCCTATTAAAAAATTATGCCATCCTTTTTCGGGCACTCACTAAATTATTCAAACATCATACTAAAACTCTTGTTCTTTTTATGTGGGGTCTGTCTTAAATTTAATACCCAAGCCTCTTAAATAGGCCACAACTCTCCTCTCAATTTCCAGTTGCTAAAAGTTGTCGCAATGGAATTGAGGCAATAAGCTATCTAAAGATTCAACTGATTCCCTAGTCAAGTCCTCAAAGATTTCAATTTTAGATCTTGTCAAATCTTCCCCCTTTATACCATATTACATAGTTTGTAATGAAAATAAGAATTTTGTTTAATAATGATAAGTATTTTCATATATATACGTAAGTCAAAAATGATGCCCCTAACAGCTATTAATCCTACAATTAAATTTACATCATTTAGGTTAAATATCCGAAAATACTTAACTTGACTTCCAACTAAGATAAAATTCTCTAATTCTCTGTATGTCAATGACTAATACTAATTTGAACAATTACACTAGATTGACCTTAATTTAAACTCTTCTAATGTAATTTCTATTGAAAAATTGTTGCTTTACAGTTAAATTTAAAAGAAATGATACTTTAAGCATAGGTTCAATTTTTCTAAAGAAAAGTTTACAAAGGAACTTTTGAAGTCATTTTTGATCCATAGATTATTTTAAGTAAGATTTATTTGCATGAAACTTAGAAGCTGCATCAGCCACAATTAATTTATCACCTATATGAATATGAGGATGGTTTACTTTTTTCATAATTTGTCTTAGTTGTAATAAGGATCAGTAAATATCTAAGAGAGTTTATTCCTAATTATCAAATCCATTATCTATGATCTAAAAGGTACAATACAGATTCTGCCATAAATTAACCACATATTCTATTCATCAATCAAATAGAAAATTACCAACTAAAAAATAATAATCTTTCCTAATAATATTCACTTGTAAAATGTTCTTAAGAAAACAGTAAATTAGCCTTTATCTCGATAATCTGATTTAGGCTATGTAATTAATTTATCAAATCAATAATGAGTGTCGCGACCCCACAAAGTGATTGGAATAAGTAAGAATTTCAACTCTTCAGAAAGATTGCAATTTTAAGGATGGCGAATTAAGGTAAGGTAGATTATTCAATACTTTCTTGTAAATTAATGTAGATTGAATGCAGGATAAAAATTTAAGAAGACATCTATTTAGTATTTGAAACATTGTTGATCCAATTATTCTCAATTTATGTATAAATTTTGCAAATTTCCATCCATTTGTAATTGCATAATTACTTTTTAATTTGCAAATATAAAATTCCTTCTTAGAGAGAGATGATTAAATAAAGTAAATTTCAGTTTGTTTAGACTTCTATCCTCTAGAATTTTGGATGCTATAGTTTAAGCATTGGGTTCAATTAAATTATATAATAATATATGCAATAATTATTACACGAAGGAGGGAACAGAAATCCGAAATAAAATTAATTTGAATGGAGATCTATCACTCCTGAAAGAGAATTTGGTTAGATGTTGTAAGGTAAGCCTCTCATAACTGAACCAAATGAAAATAAATAAACAGCTAAATCAATGAGTTAGGAAAATAACATCAATAATCATGATTTCTAATCAAAGCAAACCAATTTAAATAAGTTGTTAATACCTGATAGTTAGTAATAGAAATTTTAGAGGCCCTTGAATTACATGTAAACCTCACTAAAGAAAATGTCAGAAATTGGATAACAAATCAATTCAATATTACAAAAGTTCAAATAAAATAGGATCCACAGACCTTAATCAGATTTAAATATGTTTGATAAGCATTCAATGATGAAAAAAACAAGTTAGAATGACATAAGTCTATCAACTAATTTGAATTTGAATCATAGTTATATTGATAATCGAGGGACTGAGACTGAACGATCTTATTTTCAATACAAAAATCATAAGGAGAATGGGAAGCAGCAAAGCAAGGATTCAAAGGATTATCAATTCATATTCTAAAATAGTAATAATCAGTTTTAAACGAATTCTTTAAAGAAAATTATTGAAAAGAAAATAGCTTTAGCTATGCAGACAAATACCAATAACATCTTATATAACGATTACAAGAAGTAAATTAATAAAGAATCCTAATAAGACAGATCTTACAATATCTAAAAATACATAACAAATAAATTCTTAAGAAATTCATCATGTTTATAGCCAAATGAAAAAAGTGATAGGAAGAACAAATAGATGTCAAGTTATTTTTCATAGAATCATTACTCTAAAAGCTAATCATCCTTCTTAATTGAGAGAGAAAACAGCAAATCTGAAAATACAACTAGTCGAAATAACAGAATTCGAGTCTCTAGTTATATAAAAACTCCTACTAAAAATAATAGTGATCTAATTAAACAATTTAGTCCTCGATTTATTTCTTAGCAACTATCATCATATTAAGTTAGTTCTAGTAAGATTAATTCTTTGTTGTCTTCCATGAACAAAGACATAGAAAAGATAAAAACATATAATAATATTTAAAATTTGAATATTTATCATATATAGGCAATACCACTATTTTTAAGTAATGATCCAAATCAAACTCATGTAATTGTGGGGTGTTCTGACTTATCAGTTCGTGCAATCAATTTATACTCAGGTAGAATTCAAGTCTTGGGGAAGCATCAGAAACCAATTAGATCTATTACTAAAATTGTAATTTAACAGAATTTTAAAACGTTTTACTCCTGTTCTTTAGATAACCAAGTCATTCAGTGGGTGAGCGAATCAATGCATGGCACCTATCGATTGAAACATTCTTGGAGAATGGATGAAGTCCCTTTACAACTCTATTAAACTGAAAAAGGAGTTTTATATATTGTAACAGCCAATTATATTTTCTATTTTTCTTCAGTTACAAAAAAGCAAATTGCATATCATGGAGTATTCAATTGTATGATCTAAACATCGAGTAATATTTTGGTTGCTATTGATAATTTCATATACAAATTATAAGCTGATTCTTTGTAATTGGTTTGCACTTCAAAGAAGCCTATCAAGAATATGATATACGAAGAAGGCCTACTTTATGTACTTTAGAGGGATGGAGCATTATTGATTTATGAAGAAGCAAAACATTTAAAGTTTAACTCTGAAATAGACATTGGAGCTATGAATATCTTTAGCATGCAAAATGGCCAAATTATAATACAAACAAATGATAGCGAATTTATTGTTTATTCTTAGCAAATAAGCAAATCTTATCAGATAGATGGTAAAATCAAATGTCTATTAGCATTACAATAAATGTTATTAATAGGAAGTAATAAGAAATTGATTGAAACGCTAAAATTTTGAATATTATATTATGTTTACTTTATAGTTAAATAATTATGTATAATATCCTTATTTAGAGAATTAATATTTAATAAACTTTAAATTTCTATTGACGTTGAAATGTATATATATAATTCAAGTTAGTTATCTTTCAATCAGTTATTTATAGATTCCATTTTTCTCAATTAAGTCCTGATGTCTTCCTTATTCAACGATCTCTCCATTTTGAATGACAACAATTTTATTAGAATTAATAATGGTGGATAGTCTGTGAGCAATAATAATGATGGTTTTTTGTCCAGTTGAAACCAATCCATCTATGGCTGATTATACTTGGAATTCTGATTCAGAATCTAAGGCACTAGTGGCTTCATCAAAAATAAGTATTTTAGGATTCTTGATCAAGGCTCTTGCAATAGCAATTCTTTATTTTTATCCTCCTGAAAGTTTGACTCCTCTTTCTCCAACAATAGTATCCAGACCATCTGGAAATACTTATTTGTTGGAAACAAACTCATAGGCATTTGCTAATTTCATAGCATTATCGATATCTTCCTATGTGTAATTTTAAACTCCATAAGTAATGTTTTCTTTTAGAGTACCAGAAAATAAAGTTGGCTCTTAAGCCACAAATCCTATAGTTTAATGAAGCTTTTGCTAGTTGTATTCCTTAATGTCGATATTGTCAAATAAAATCTATCCTTCAGTTGAGTCATAAAACCTTTCCAATAATTAAACAATAGTTGACTTTCCACTGCCACTCTATCCCACCAATGCCACAACCTCGCCTTTCTTAATTTCTAAATCAATTGATTTCAAAGTAGTCACATTAGATTTGGTTGGATATTAGAATGTAACATTTTTAAGTGTGATTTCACCAGTGATTTGTTAAGCATCAAGTGATCCATTCTATATCTTCACTGGATGATCCATTATAGAAAATATCTTCTCAGAAACAGCTGCTGCAGATATCATCTGATTCATAAATCCACTCACTGCCAAAATGGATACTAATGATATTAAGTTTGATATTACTTGTCATTGTTAATGTATATAACACAAATGAACTTAAATCTCCAATTGTTAATTAATCTTCGATCACCAGACTTCCTCCATAATACAGAATAGCTAATATAACTGCATATCCCAATAGAATTCCAATGGACATGAATTGACTTCCCAATATGGCAATTTTATTTCCTATTCCATATACTGTTGATGTTGCATTTTTATATTGGGATCCTTCTTTGTCTTCAGTCGAGAATGATCTTACGATCCTCATGTTACCAAGGACTTCAGATGCTATCTAAGTTGAGGCTGCTACTGCTTACTGGTATTCTTTTGTTAATTTTTTGTAGGATCTTACAAATAAAATAACTATTATTGTAAATGGAGGAATAACACAAAATAACACCAATGTAAGATTCCAACTTATAAACCACAATAGAATTAGACTACCTATAAATTACACTGCATTTTTTAAAATCATTGAAATTGAATCGTTTGCTCCCTTATTAATCACAGATATATCTGATGACAATCTAGATATCAATTCTCCTGATCTATTTGAATCAAAGAACTCAATATCTTTTGTGATTAGTTTTTAAAATAATTCATTCCTTAGGTCAAAAGTGATTTTTTCACCCAAAATGTTATAAGCATAAGCCCTAACAAATGTAAAGATGGCTGATACGATGGTCAATATTATGAAATAAAATGTTAATTTATTTAGATCCTCTTTGCCATCTGATTTGGTTATTGAATCGATCATTTATCTAAAATTACATTTTTTCTTACCCTGTCAGGTATGGAAGAGCCACCATTGATAGTGAAGTCACTAATAATCCAAAATTGCCCAAGAACAGCAATAATTTATGCTTCCATGAATATTGAATTAACCTCATAAAATTTGAACCTTTTGGTTTATTCCCTATTGAAATTTCAGATTCTATCGCTGTCCTACTTTTCTTCTCCTCTTATATTTTTTAATAATCAGCATCGAAATTCATTTTCTTTTAAATTTTATTCATGTTGACAAAATAATTTATAATATAAATGTTTAAGGACGGAATTCCAAAAATCCAAAACTTTTATTTTTAGATAATAATAATTTTAAAACAAATATATTTTATTCATTATTGGCTGTTGTCTAATTATAAATTGGATAAATCATTCAATCTGTTTGAAAAACAACTATTCCAAAAAATGAATATGCTACCATTTTAAGCATACCCATTTATCATGATAACTACTTTTAGCCTTTTTAATAGAGTTAATAATTTAAAAAAATTATGGAATTGTAAAGGTAAATCCCCCATTTTTTACTTCTATCTATATAACAAAAATTTGCTCATCTAGGGATGTGAATCTGATATTAGATATTTAAAAATAGAGTGAATCATGAAAATCTTTAGAAAACAAAATAAACTAAACTTCAGCTATATATGGATCAGTTAATAACGCACTAATTAATGATAATAATAAATTATTGACAATTTTCTATAAAGTAAATATATATTGAGATTTGATACAAAGAATTTCTTAAAAGACAAATAAATACAATTTTATAGATTATCCATATATATATTTGCGGAAGAAAAATATAAAGTCAACATTGTTTTATTACAGATTTGATTTTCTATTATATAGTCGAAAGTGTTTTCTCATCTCTTTATTTTTAGACAAATAGATTTACAGGGCTCTTAGTTGTAATTTGTTCAAAATTAAATGATTAATTATTCCTTTTCCTCTTGAATAACTATTGTTGTGTTACGTTGTTCACTTGCGTTTGTTATCCATTATTTGAATTTTATGTAGAACTGGTTTAATTGATATTATTAGTAATCATCAATTAAATATTTAATTATTTCTTTTTGATTTAGTTTTCTGATCTATTCAATTTACTATTTTAATTTCCTGAATTCTTGCCAGAACCCAAATCAACAGTTTTGTTATTGTATTTTTATTGCTGCTTTTTGATTTGCACAGACTTAAATGGATATTATTGATTCAAGTAGACCTCTGCTAATTAATGATTGGCCCACTTAGGAGAGTTAGGTTTGTACTTATTAGTAGTTGAAATAGATCTTAACTTCCGTTTGTGAGTCTTGCTTTAAGCTTCATAGATCTAATGCTCTGGCTCAACATTAAAATTGACTTACTTTGTATTTGAAAATTATTGTTCTTTCATAGATCTTGTTCTGCTCTTCAATCCAACATATTTAGCTTGAAATTAGTTATTGATTACATTTTCTGATGATTGGAATCACAAATCCACATTTCTGTGATTCGATTACTGGCTTAAGTAGTACAATCTCAAAATGTCCTTGATCCATTTTCATCTTTGCATCTTCATCAATTGCCTAGATATTCGAGTTAATAAGTACCTATTTGGAAATGTCATAAAATCTATTGTGGACATTCAACAATTAATTAATCAAAGGTAAATCTTTGGGTAAATACAAGTAAGCTATTTCTAAAGCTCTTGATAAATAATTCTCTGCTTCACTAAAACAAAAAGACTCAACTTTCTAAACAAATTTGGACTCCGTTGAAGTGCAATACAGAGAAATCACAAACAAACATATCATATGCAAATATAGTTAGTTAGTGGGAAAGTCCTCGACATGGGTAAAATTGTTTAAATTCACTGGATTCATTTGGATGAAGAATAAAATGTTGGCCCTATGAATGTACGCTTATGGACATCCAGAATACACTGAATCGTAACTCTTTAATACTAATCATTGTACTTCTTAAGTAGTTTGGGTTTGCATTTGATAACCCTGTACTATAGTTTGATGTTTGGGTTTTAGAATTGGTAAGCTCTTTTTGAGAATTTCTTCAAGGACTTGTTAGTGTATTTAGCTCTGCATGTACTTTTGGAGATCAATCAGTATTTTCGAGGCTTTTCTTATTGCCATTTTAGCAAAAGCCAAAGCCTCTGAGTGCTGACCACTCTCTGAAAGGATGATGCAGCATTGCAAATAACAGTGGAGACGTGTAATTGAAAGGAGATAGCCTTCTTAATCTGTTCTGGGGGTTTTCTTTAAAGCCAAAATGGCGTCTTCAAAACAAGTAAAAGCTTATTCCAACCAGCCGATGGCATAAAAGACGACTCCCAAATTAATTCTTATCATGAGGAAGTAGTGAATCAATGGATTAGAATAGGAAATGGCAGTTAGTATTTATTCTGCTTATTTTAAGTGATACACACATTGGGAATATTGATTAGCTTCAAAGTCCTAGATGCCCAATTGAATAAAGTCAATTAACTATTCTTCTGCTTAACCCTCATTAATTTTAAGGACTTTATTGTTCTTTTTTTAATTGGCCTCTATGAGATTAAATATATAGTTTACATCCTTAACCATCATCATTATTATTATGTATAATCTCAACAGGTTGAACTTGATCCAAAATTTATTGGAGAATATTGATGTCAGTTGAGGGAGGAATGGGGTTTTGTTTTTTTTAAACATTTGAGACTAGATTATTTAACAACTTCGGAGATTTCAGTTCTTGCATTTTATTATAATAAAATATATATATATATAGTAGAAGTATAGTAAATATCTTACTAACTAATTGAGATAAATTAAAATACGATCGCTTGATGTCATTAGGGTGATTGCTGAACACAATCCACCATTGTGTATATTATTTTGATTGATCCGTTACATGATGCATTATGTTGAAAAGTGCCATCACTAAATACTGCTTCTGAATACTTATTTTTATTTTATTAATATATATTCAATGGGATTTTTCGATTATTTCTTTGGAAAAAAAAAAGAACCTGAAAAATAAGCTCCACAACCACAAGCAGTCGTTCAATAGCCAAAATCCAACAAATAGATTGAAGAAGAAGTTTGTTATATTTTATTACATTAAGAATTGGATTTACGCTTCGATACTTTAATATTTGACATCCCCAATCTGGAATATTACTATTTCTGAATTTATAGATTAAAACTGCATCGTCTTTGATGACGAAGAGGAGAATAAATTAGAATATTAGGCCTTGTTCAAAAAATACAAAAAGATGATGGCCAATCTTGTTGACAATATGATGAATGAGTTAGGCGTAAAAGAAGAGCAATTTGCTGAGCAAGTGGAAAAGGGATTAAAGCATCCTAAGGAAAAACAGGTATTTGAAAAACTATTGACAATCGATAACTTTTTGGTTTTCAAAACACAAATGATCAAGAGAAACAAAGAATTAGAATTAGAGGCCTTAAAAGAAATCGAAAAGTAAGATCAGAAAAAGTAAATGATATATCCAATTCAATAGAGTTTAAAAAGGATAAGTTGTGAATCCCTAAAATAATGCCAATATCAAGCTACTTGAGATGGAAGCAGAGAAGGCTGAATTAGAACATGCCTTGTAAATGTCCTTGGCAGTCGAAGAAGAAAAAAAGAAGATGCTAACCGAGGAGGACAGATAATTATAAGAAGTATTGAGATAGAGCTTAGTTGAATTTTAGTATTGATTTTATTTATTTCTTAGACAAGGTCTGAAAAAGTAGAGAGATGCTTTAGAACTAAAAACTAGAGAATTAAAAAGAGCTAGAGAAGAATAAGAATAAAAAGCACATGAACTTGAATAATAATAAAGATTGTAATCACAATAATAATAATAACCTTAATAATAATTATAATAATAACCATCATAAGAAATTAAATAATAAGGTAGTCTAAATTCAGATGGAACACCGACTCCAATTTTAAAATCTGTAAAATACACATCTTATATAGGAATATCAATTAAAAAATATTTAAAGCCAAATTTCCCAAGGTCCAACTATGGCTGAATTTTATTAAGTTCAAAATAACAATAATATTCCCCAACCAGAAAAAGTTGAATAAGTGCAAAATTAGAAAGAGTCAATACCCATTTTATAATCAAAAAAACTTGATAAGTTATCACATAAACCTGTCTTACCATCAATCTAGGGTTAGGCTCAACCTGTAATATAATAAGCAGATTCAGTAATCTAATTTGAGATGGATGTTGCAGAAGATGATGCTGGTGTCAAAAAATCAGTCATTGCAAATTTAGCTTCTCAAAAGACTGCTGAAATAAATGTTGATTAAGTTGAAAGTATTGAAGATAGAAAAAGAAGATTAATAAAACAAAGAGAAGAAATTAGAAAGAGAAAAGAAGAAGAAAATAAAAAGACTTTGGAATAGTATAAACAATAATAAGCAAATGTAAGTATTTTAAATTATCTGTTTAGGATGTCAATAACAATAAGGAAGAGGACGCTTTTACGATCCAAAGAAAAAATACTTAAGAAGAATTGTAAAGAAAAAGAGAACTTTTAGAGAAGAAGAAAAACGAAATTAAATTGCAGAAGGAAAAATTGGAAAAAGAAAAACTTTAAAATTAAGAAGAAGATATTGATTTATTATGAAAAATAGAAAATTTAAAACATTTTTTTTCTGATATTCTCTATTCATTCAATTCCATTGCTTTATAAAAAGGGTTTTTTACAAATTTCTGTCTAGAAATGTATTTTGGATTATTGAATGAATTAACAAAAACATCAAATAGATTTGTTCTCGTATATTTGATGGTTGCAATAATAATACTATTGATTTGGGTGGTATCCATAATATTTATTATTTACAGTAGAAAATAACGAAGTCAAAATCATGATAAAATAATTTAAATTTGATATGCTTTAAATAGACAATCTTATAGAAATTGTTTTAAGAAATTTATAATCATGATATAATGGATTGCTTATAAGAAGTAATAATGAAAGAGGAAATTAAATAAAATCATTTAGTTCTACTTTCAATATTTAAAAACTATTAAATTAGAATTATAATAATTTTGATTAATGATAATTTGTTAGTCTAACTACATTTTACAGATGAAAAATTATCAGGATAAGTTAAGAAAAATTACTTTCCAAACAATTAAATAATTTTTATGATAACATCTTTTATACTTACTAATCAAATCTTAATTGAATTTCACTTTAAATTTAGAAATCATTTTCTTAAATAAAAACAATTCTTCATCATTATTACAATAGTATTTTATGTTTAAAATGTACTTTTTTATTATCAAACATTAATATCCTAATTTTATGGATTACATAGTATTGCTAAAAATACTATTGAATTGATTTAAAAAGAGATGGGTAAAATTTGATTAATTTATGTTTGAGTGTATTTTATTAATATTTTTAAATATTATATATATAACCGTTGAAATTCATGAGCTAACAATTTTACTAGACATATGTACCAAATCCATTCATTCCAACATTCAATCCCACCATCAATTCATCGAGGATTGATTATCCATCAACTAATTCTGCTAAATAAGCCGATATTAAAGAATCATCAAACGATTAGATCTAACAAAATAATGTGATCACTTCATCATTTAGTTTAAATCCTTAAACAAATAAATCGATAGTACTGAAACGTAAATGAATACCCTTATATTGTTAGCAATTTTAACCAATCAAGATGAATATCAAAGAAAGATTAATGATTTGGAAAGGAGTCATAAAAAGGAACTTAAAGAACTTGAGTTTAAAATGCAATCATAAATAGATTCCCTATTATAAAAGAGATAGCAAGAAGATCAATTCAAATAATTAACTGATGTTCGACAATAGATAGCTGAACTTTAATCCACCTTATAAGGGAATACTTATGGTCATCCCTACTCTTAATAATAATAATAATAACACCTATATTATAGTCAAAATGAGGTGGAGAGATTGGAAAAGCAATTAAAAAAAAAGAAAAATAAAATCAAGCTCTTCAAAACTGAAATTGACAGTCTCAAATCAGAACTGTAATAAAGACAATAAAGAATAACTGAACTTGAAATCAAATTGCATTACTCCGAGAATAAGCCAATCATATAATAATCTCCATTGCCTAAAGTGATAACTGTACCACAAAGCATTCCTTAACCTGCAACAATAATATAGGACTCTCCAGAACTCATTGATAGAATTAGAGGTCTAGAATTTGAAAGAGATGTAAATTACAAATATCATTTTAGTCATTACTATAAGAATTGAGAAGATTTTAAACAACATTCTAACCGGTTTAAAAATAACAATATGCCTTTCCATCTGTGGAAGAGTGGAACCGACTTATGCATGAGTATAAAGTCTTAGAAGGTGAGAACAATAAACTAAATACAATCATATTATAGAAGGATGACTTAATCAAATCTTTAGAATAAAGAATAAGTGTGGAACTTACTAAATAAAGTGCTTTACAAGCTCAAGGCCATCAACCTAGAGCCATTTCAGTGTTGTATGATCCTTAGGCTCAATAACAATCATCTAAATCATAATAATTGTACCCAATTGCAGTTTAAAATACTGAGCAACAATCTAATATTGAACCAACATTACAGAATCCTAGTGCCCAATGAATTTATATATTAAATTTAAGACTTATGTATAAAAACAAGTGATTATTATAAAATAATTATAATTGTATTCAAAAGACTTAACAACAACTATCTCTTTTCTTTGGCTAATCTTTCAATTATTCAGTGTTTGTAGTTTGATTAGTTGTAGTTGATTGATATTGGGATTCTTGAGTTTGAAATTTAATTTAAGATCCTCTGCCACTTATAAATTATTGTAATTCTCTTGGAGTTTCACTGATAGATTTCAAGGCAGATATTAGTTATGCTTCGTTTAAATAATTGTCCCCATTTTCATCGGGTTCTGCCTCAGAACCATCTAAAGAGCAGGGCAATGATTATTTTCTTAAATTGCCTCCTGATTGTCTTTAGCCGATTCTTTTGGAATTGGGACTTGAATTTTGTTTAGGTTTTAAATTTTCATTATCAAGATACTATTAGAATCTATAACTAAATTATTCTTTAATATCTGATTTACTGCTTGATTGCTAGAGTGATCTCCTTAATGATTTCCTGTATTCTCCAGTTAACTCATCGATGTTCATGGCTTGATCGATTTAGAGTTAGAAGTTTTATTCTTTGAATATTTGCTTATCATATTTGATGCCCTAGAATATATAAATGAGTTGAAAGTACATTCATCAATAGAATCTTTTCCATCATTGACAGTTCCTATTTAAGCATGGTCATTTATTTTTCAATCTACTCATAACTAAGTTTGATGTTGATTTTGACTTTATTGAGAATGAGTTTGGCTCTCTAAGCAAATTTTAAGGTTTGGATGGTCTTTTCTTCATGTTCTAATGCTGCACTTACTGCACAGATGAAGGAAGTATTGGAATTACCACCTAAACATTCTTTAAGAAGCAAAGTAAGTTTGGAATCTCTATAAGGAACATGCTTGTTGCTTTTTCTGCTGGATAAAGCCATAATGCAATGTCCCAAACAGTGCAAGGATTAATTGATCTTTTTGGTTTCCTCGAGCATTTATCCTTTGGCAACAGTTTTGGCGAGTCTTTCACTTCCAGCCAAATCTATAAATTGGATTTTAGATGTTCTCTGTGATTTGTCCTTCCATTCAACAAACAATCTAACTCAATGAAATGGCTTACTCAATTGAGAAAATCACATGGGATCTACTGGACCTGGAATTGAATTGAGTTGCTCCAATTGCTCTGTTGTAACTACCAAAGGCTACTAATTCCATGAGATCATTCACAGATTCAACTTGAACTTCTCTCACTCCCATCAACTTGGGACCGTCAGCTATAGAACTAATCTAAGAAATGTGAAAATGAAATACTTTGAGATCTAATTTTTGGTTGTTAGTTTTATATTGTTAATTTAACAGATCATAAATTTGCTCATTATAGATCTCGACATAGTTGGCTTTAAGAGTCACTTATTGCAATGATTCTTATTGTTTGATTTTTTGATATCCCTACATTCGTAATTGATTGTACCTCAACTATTTGATAAAACGATCTAGGCAGTATGCCAGAACTCGAGTCAATATTGAACTTATTATTGAGAATCTGCTCTATGGTACTCTCTGGCCCCAAGATTGTATAGGTTTTGCCCGATGAAGTTGCACCGTAAGCAAACACCGCACTATTGTACCCCTATAAGCTAGAGATGTGAAATATAGATTGTTACAAAAAACTGATTTTGGGCAACATAATGGTTTAGAATATCTCTTCTTAGAGTGTCATAGGAGGCATGATAACATCAAATTCAAAGATTTCATCTTGTTTTGTATTTTTATATGTGATTGCCTCTTCTTCAATTATCCAATTAGGAGACTTGAGATTAAGGAAAATTTACAGACTCTTCTTCTGTACTCAAAATGGATTTAAAGCGAATGATAACTTTAATTTGATTGTCCATTTTTATATATCTATAATAATTATAATAATAATAAAAATCAATTGATCAGTTATTAAAACTTAGTTCGTATAAGACTCCGCGGCCTTCCCAAGGCTTTACAACTATTCTTATTATTGGGAGTGTTGTTTTCATTTTCATCAAGTAACTAAATTTTTTTAATTTGGTAAATGGATCTGGCTGGCAAACGTTTCTCAATCACAAATTCTGTTTGTACTCGCAATCCAGTTACTTTTGCATTGTTCTTGTAAAATGTGTTATTGCGAGATCTAACAGGTTTTGGCGTAAGACAATATGATTTCTTTTTATTTTGGTGGTAATATTAGTTTATGCTTTTTTGAATAGTTTGATTTCTATCTGAGATGTCCTTAATCATTTGTTGCATCCTCCTTCGAAGTAGATCTGACATGTAAATGAATCTGGGCTCTTCGAATCGGTTCCTGTTGTATAAGGAAGACAACAATAGATATTTATTTGTCTCGTCTTGTTCCAAGTCTAAGCAATTGTAATGCTATTGCTAGATCTGAGGTTCTCGGAGGAAGTAAGCCTACTGTATGCGATGAGTTTCTATGATGTTATTATAGGTTTTGAGAGTCGAATTGCCTAGCTTCTTGATTTCCTTCAAATAAACTCGTATGCAATAATCATAGATTTACTCAATTGACAAATCCAATGATAACAGTTCTTCAAGTCTTATAAATCATTGAGAATACCTTGTATATCTTCTTAGATACAAATTTCGAATGTGTTCATAGTTTTTATTCTGGATGAGTTGCATCAATGAATTGATCTGATTTTCAGAAAACAGAGATTTATTCAACCTCAAGTATTTCTGGATTTCAAATTGTTGGATCTCAGTCAGTGGCTCTGGTTAGGTTAATAAAACTATCATGTCAAGTCTTGCAATCAGAATATGCATTCCCATTGAATATCGAATAGTATTAACAGATAAAGAATAAATTAAATTAATGATAAACCTATTCCCTAAAATACAGGACAATCAATATAATCGTCAATCTTGGGGAGGCCTCCTATTTCTCATAACCCTCATTTGTATTGTCTTCATGATATGGACTGAAATTACAAATGCCTACAAGGGGAAAATCTCATTGCAAGTAGACTCAACTATTGATTCTAGGATTAGAGTAAATTTGGATGCAATCATCTAAGCTCCCTGCCAAGCATTGACATTAAACATTCAAGATATGATGGGCTCCTATTTATAAGATGTATAACAAACTGTTATAAAAACACCACTTATCGAAGCTAATTTAGAGGAGGTGAAATAATAGCAAGAGGTAAACTTTACATCTTGTTACGGTGCTGAGTTGCTTGTGAATCAAAAATGTTTTAGTTGCCAAGATGTTATGATGGCATTTGCTTAAAGAAGATGGAAATAGCCTAAATTTGAAAGTATAATTTAATGTGTTGGCCAACCTACTGTTTAATTTGATGACTAAGAATTGCTGTAGTTCTAAAAAGTTGATTTTAATCACAAAAAATAACTTCAGCTGACTAAAAATAAATTGATTAATATTACTGCTGCTTAGTTATTTAAACAATCTATAGAATTGGATGACAATGACGCCACCAATTAAAATTTGACTTAAGAATAGAGAGGCAAGTTCAGGAAAGCTTTGGATCTACTCACAGAATTTAGTTATAATCCTATGCAATGGGATGAACAGAGATTGTAAGAAGAAAAGAATAAATAATTCGATTAGTTGATTAACATGCTAAATATATCTATGGATCATATTTTTGGAGGTAATTTAGCTAGTCAACTACGTTTCTCTGATAGAGAAAGAGTTCTGGCTTTTAAAAACCTCACGAAAGATGTTGTACAATTAACTGAAATTTATAGATAAAAATGTGACACTCCTTTATAAATATCCTTAAACGCTACATATGGTGATGAATCAATTGTTGAGTACTTTGAAATCAAGATGGCTAAAAGTGAGTGTTCAATTCCATTCTATTACTTTACAAATGAGGACATTATGATCATCAAAGTGTAAGGATTATCATTGGAATGGTAGATTGTTTAGTGAACCATTCAAAGTTGAACAGCCATCTTACTCAAATATTGAGCCCTCAGATATTTAAGGACATATTAATGAAGCATGCAGATTTTTTGGTTATTTTTATATTAAGAAGGTTCCTGGAATCTTTGCTATATAATCAAATCAATAAGCCATGGATTTTATTAATAGAACANATTCAACCTCAAGTATTTCTGGATTTCAAATTGTTGGATCTCAGTCAGTGGCTCTGGTTAGGTTAATAAAACTATCATGTCAAGTCTTGCAATCAGAATATGCATTCCCATTGAATATCGAATAGTATTAACAGATAAAGAATAAATTAAATTAATGATAAACCTATTCCCTAAAATACAGGACAATCAATATAATCGTCAATCTTGGGGAGGCCTCCTATTTCTCATAACCCTCATTTGTATTGTCTTCATGATATGGACTGAAATTACAAATGCCTACAAGGGGAAAATCTCATTGCAAGTAGACTCAACTATTGATTCTAGGATTAGAGTAAATTTGGATGCAATCATCTAAGCTCCCTGCCAAGCATTGACATTAAACATTCAAGATATGATGGGCTCCTATTTATAAGATGTATAACAAACTGTTATAAAAACACCACTTATCGAAGCTAATTTAGAGGAGGTGAAATAATAGCAAGAGGTAAACTTTACATCTTGTTACGGTGCTGAGTTGCTTGTGAATCAAAAATGTTTTAGTTGCCAAGATGTTATGATGGCATTTGCTTAAAGAAGATGGAAATAGCCTAAATTTGAAAGTATAATTTAATGTGTTGGCCAACCTACTGTTTAATTTGATGACTAAGAATTGCTGTAGTTCTAAAAAGTTGATTTTAATCACAAAAAATAACTTCAGCTGACTAAAAATAAATTGATTAATATTACTGCTGCTTAGTTATTTAAACAATCTATAGAATTGGATGACAATGACGCCACCAATTAAAATTTGACTTAAGAATAGAGAGGCAAGTTCAGGAAAGCTTTGGATCTACTCACAGAATTTAGTTATAATCCTATGCAATGGGATGAACAGAGATTGTAAGAAGAAAAGAATAAATAATTCGATTAGTTGATTAACATGCTAAATATATCTATGGATCATATTTTTGGAGGTAATTTAGCTAGTCAACTACGTTTCTCTGATAGAGAAAGAGTTCTGGCTTTTAAAAACCTCACGAAAGATGTTGTACAATTAACTGAAATTTATAGATAAAAATGTGACACTCCTTTATAAATATCCTTAAACGCTACATATGGTGATGAATCAATTGTTGAGTACTTTGAAATCAAGATGGCTAAAAGTGAGTGTTCAATTCCATTCTATTACTTTACAAATGAGGACATTATGATCATCAAAGTGTAAGGATTATCATTGGAATGGTAGATTGTTTAGTGAACCATTCAAAGTTGAACAGCCATCTTACTCAAATATTGAGCCCTCAGATATTTAAGGACATATTAATGAAGCATGCAGATTTTTTGGTTATTTTTATATTAAGAAGGTTCCTGGAATCTTTGCTATATAATCAAATCAATAAGCCATGGATTTTATTAATAGAACATTTCAAGGCAATCACACTTTCAAGTTAACATTTGGAGAATAACCGTAAACTCAAACAGAAACAAATAGTGAATTTTCTTCAAAATATTATTTAAAACTAGTCACTACTAATAGTATTGATATGTGGAATAATCAAAATGTCTATTATACATTTACACAATAGAGGTCTCTTTACAATGCTACGACTGCTCCTTTCATCGAATTCCATTATGAATTTGATCCTATTTCTATGACTATTCAATCCACTACAATAAAAAATTATCTAGTTTTAGTTTTTGCTGTTATAGGAGGTGTTTTTGCTGTTAGTAAATATATTGCAGGTCTCTTGATGATGTTAATATGATATTCTGTTTAATATTAATTAATTAGCAAATAGTATAAAATCCAATAATTGAAAAAATGAACCTAAACCATAATGATACCTTTGGAACTCTTTAATCCAATCAATCCCCTAGCGTAAGACCTTAAAATCTGATAACATGTACTTATCATCTTATTGAATATTTATTATCTATCTGTGCTGTTGACCCTTCATCTAAATGTTTAATGTGATGTGATTTGATTTGATACTTTAAAAGTAATGATTTAAATTACAACTGATAATTTCTCACTTTTTTCAAACTTTAATAATCTCAAAAACACTGAAATTTTGATATAAATCAGATATCAAGGTACAACTGTTTTCATTAATTTAATCTATCTTAACTTTATTTGAAATATAATTAATGAATGAATATTAATTAAGGGAATGAATCAAATTTAGTATGAATCTAATTCTTGCTTTCTAGATATTATCTGATATATTAAGATTTAAGACTTGATTGCTATTAAACGTAATTGTTTTAAATTCAGAAAAGTTAAATCTAGGAATAAACTTGTCTATAAAATATTTGATATAGCTATCTTAACATCACTTCCTGATAGTTAATAAGCAATCCTCTGGAAATGTATTTTATAATTTTTATAGGAATTGCCATTTTTTAGTATTAATAAAAAGCAATTGATTTTGCTCTTGCACTGGTACTTTAAAGTAGTTTAAAAAGTTCGATTAGTGGAATTCTAACAAGAATAAATAAATTGATTATATTGATTAATTAAATAAATTATGGAACCTATTGTTAATGAGTTTTCATAAGTAAATGATGATTCAGTTGAAAAAGAGAAGGCCTAAATTACAAATATCATCGTATTTGAAACAACAGGAACATTATTATTGATCTATGGAGCATTAGCTACAGAGTAAAATGATCTCATAATTATAGAACAAACTTCGGTGTAGCTCTTGTTTATTTCATTGGATTAGTAGTATGTGGAAGGTTAAGCGGAGGGTACTTCAATCCTATTTGCACTTTGATAGGATATATAGATGGATCGATTTCTAAGAAGAAAGCCATTTATTATGTTGGAGCATAAACAGTTGCAGGTTTAATAGCAGGGATGTTATTGATGCCAATGTTTGCATACAAATAAACATTGCCATATTTTGAAAGGTAGTTGGGATGACAATTAATATAGATTACCATCACATCAAGTCTTTGGAACAATGATGTCAGAGATTGCTGGATCCATCATCTTCTTTACATTCATACAAATTTAGACTGCAGAAAACACTAAAATCACGAGTACTCCTGTGCAATCTGCCATCTTTGTGAGTGTCATTTATTTCGTAGCCCGATAGTAAATATTTAATATAATGTAGATACACTGCAACGATGGGAAATAGTTTATTCAACCCTTCAGCTGCTTTTGGGTACTATAATCACATAAGTTAGATTACAATTATTTTATGGAATTTATTATGGAAAATGGGATTAAATGGTTAATTTATTGATGTATATTCTTGGTCCTTGGATTGGAGCATTGTTAGCAATCACCTTCTTCTGGAAAATCTATACTCCAACTCTTGTTAGTAAATAGTCAAATTGAATTTCATATTAATACAATATTAATTTATACGGTTATTAACGAATGCACTATTCTGAGTAAAACTCTATTGAAAACGATAATCGAATAAAATAGCTATAGAAAAAGAGAGAGGCCATTTAAAAGTAAACCGAAATGAGGAGAAAGGAGATTGAACAACATTCTGATTTGGATTATGAGTATTGATTTGATATCATTGTGCTAGAAAAATCTAGAAAGAAAATGAGATACTGATTTAAGATAAATATAATGTGGAGTAGAGAGCCGCCAAATTGCAAGAAGTGTATAATGGTCTCAAACTGAGCGTAATGAAATAGTAATTATAATTCAAATTTTATAGAGTTGGAAAAATACAAGTTTCTGCTGATACTTTATGCAAACATAAATAAAACATCTATGAACATATGGTGAGACATAAATCAAAGGAAGCAGACCTATTTTTATTAGCTACAAACACAAAACCTAAGGATTACAAATAAGTCTTAGAAGACAATTAGAATTAAGGTCCATTAGTATAAGAGAAAGAGAAGGAAATGGAAGCTTTGAGATTACAAAATCAGATCTTGAAAAATGAATTAGAAATCCATAAAAACCAATAGTAATACATTCGAGAATTCTCTAACAACCCTCACATAGACTAAGATATCATTAAAAACATGGTTAATGAAAATCAGTTTAATAGAATCAATACAAGCAAAAACGAGAGAAGCAATAGTTAGTTGAGTATGGAAACTAAATAAATTGTGGACTTTTATAATGAAAAATAATAGTCCTCTTCAATGTACAAGGAATAATTGTAATTTGGTTGATATTTATAAACTAATTCATTTAAAATATTATTCTAATTCATTACTTAAACATTTTAATTATGAATAAAACTCTCTACAACATTTACATTATAATATATCTTTAATTTCATTAATATTAAACTTTATTAATTAATTCTATTTAGGTATTACTTATTCTTAAACTTCTACATCCATTTATTGTTATTAATTTTGGTTATCATCACATTCCTATATTTTTTTTTATTTTCTAGGTCTAATTATAATCTCCTCTTTCTCAAAGTTATTCTTCTAGTCTTTATCCTTCTGGTCATCCTCATAATATTGAAATTTGTTTTCATCATAAAACTTGTAATTGGTTTATTTCCAGTCTGAAACACCATTTAAAAATTCTGCATAGAACTCTTTCTTTTCAACCATATTACAATGTTTCTCATCTAATTTAGTGTTCAATTTCGAAATCTCTTCCTCAATAAACTCCTAAACATCCTTATAATTTGTTTGTTCGAGTAATAATGACATACCAAAGGTTCCAAAACGACCTGTTCTTCCTATCCTATGTAAATAAGTTTCATAAGAGGAGGGAGTATCAAAATGAATAACCAAATCCAGAGTGTCGACATCAATTCCTCGGGAAAGCTGCAAATATATATTGAATTAATACCAAATCTGTGGAAATAATCAAATTTGCCCTGTTTCTTTTGAGTTAATGCATCATTTTTATTCTATCAGATTAAGTTAAATCTCCGTGAATTAGCACTGGATTAAATCCTTCAGCCTTAAGATCCATAAATAGATTTTCTCCTCTAACTTTGTCATTATAAAAAATTATAGTTTACTTGATTGATAACTATTTCATTATTTTAGCAATTGCTTCAGTTTTAGTTTGGTATTTAGATTTGTTTTCGTCATCATAATTTAATTTAATGTAAAATTAAGTCAGATTCTCTAGGCAGATTTCTTCATTTGATTTAATTAATTTAGGATTGCTCAGACATAACTATATCAAACCAATTATTTTGGTAGGATATGTTGCCGAAAAACACAATATTTGAGGCTTATTTTAATCCTAATTCCTACCTACAATATTTGCCAATATTTTCTTAAAGTGAGGCTAAAAAGTATAATTCTCATGTAATTTATCTGCTTCATCCAATACCAACAATTTTATATTGCACAAATTCATCAACTTTTCCTAAATCATTTACATAATTCTTCCTACTGTACCGATTATTATAGTGCATCTTCTTGTTTTAAGAACATCTCTATCTTGTTCTACAGGCAGTCCTCCAATAAACAGATGAGATTAAAAATAGTCCTTCTCTACTCCTTCCAATTTATTTACAAGTTTTGTTAATATATCTGTGATTTATATCGCTAATTCTCTAGTAGGTACAATAATTAATGCAAATGGCAAAGGATTCTCAAAATTTTAAATGGTATTATCAACAACTAGAGTTTATTGAATTCTAGCCTTCCTTTCATAAGCATCTTATTATATTTCAAGTCCATATTATAACACCTACACTAAAAAGCATAATGTCTTTCCAGTGCCAGCCTCTCCTTAACAAATGACATCCTCTTTTTACAATATAGATGGAATGGCCTTTTGTTAAATTAAAGAAGGTTTCTTGAAATTCATTTTCTCGAATGCTTCTACTATGCATTTGTTAATACCAAAATTATTAAAATTCATTTAAATTATTAATCAATCTATTCAAACAATTAAGGAATCAGTATATTTCATTTTACCTTAAACTACTTCAATATTCCTAATTTGAAAGTAAAGTGATATAAGAAATAAAGTTCTGCTATAAACATAACTAATATTCACACATTGTATTTATCTTTTGTTCCAAAATCTCTCATAATTTAACTAGCTATATTAAGAGAAGAACTTTACTGTATTTAATTGAAATAATCATCAGGACATGATTAAATTGCACTAAAAAGGAAGGAAATTATAACACTTAAATAGTCTTAAAAATACAATTCTTACAAAATTATAAAAATATTCATTATTGATAACATGTATTAAAAATATAAATATTTTTTAATAAAGTTTTTAATTGATGTAAATCGATAAAAAATGGAAAAATTAATTAAAAAATTTGATATACATTTTTAAAGTTCCGTTTAATATCTTGAATGTCCATTATACTTAACAAGAATTTGAAATTATACTTAAGAAATTTGTTGATTAATTTTCTTTAATTTAAGCAAATATGAGTTACCCGATGATAAAATGCGAAATCTAAAAAAGACCCATTGATTTTAATGATTTTTATAAATAATGTAATAATGTTGGATTTCAAAGTATAAACATCATCCTTATAACTTAGAGTAATTATGTATAGATTCATCATTATTTCTCCGATAATATGAATGCTATGATAATTAAATTGAATAATTTTGAGTTATTAGTTTTTTAAGTATTTTTTATTTTTAGTTATATATATCTGACGAAAGATTTCTAACTGAAATGAGGATAAGAATGATGGTTTTTCATTTAAGTTTTTGAAATTATGATGTGCTTTACATTTATAATTAAAATTAGCATACCATAAAAAAGAAATAAAAATAAATAGTTTGATATCTCCCCAATTTCATAAGTGTTATTATTAGAGTAATACTAATGATAAATAATGTCAAAAATTTTGATTGAATGAACTATAGCTAAGTCCAATTGGTTTTGGGGAGGATGGTATTACAAATGAAGGGCTTTGCACAGTTGATGTTTCACTTGGACAGGTTGTTATTCTTTTTCCAACATCTACATAAATAATCTTCTTTGTTTTCTTTTGTTGTAATATTCTTTGTTTCAAATCGAAGCAAGCTTCGTGTTTTAACAGGTATTATTTGGTTAGATGTTAGCTTTAATTTAACTCATTTTTCAATTGCTCTTTATTTTTCTCGATTTAATTGGATAAAGTTTGGGTTTAAGCTAAAATATTACTATATTTTACCTAGTTTTTCACTTAAAATCAGGATTTACTTTTAATATTCATTTTAAAGAATTTAGTTTTATTGTCTAACTTCATTGATTTGCCTAATGAGTTACTCTTTTTCATCTTTAAAAGCAGGAGTCCTAGGTTCCGAATCACTAGGGCAACCTATATTGTGAAGATTTTGATCTTCATTCTCTTAGAACAAACTCAGTATTTACATTATAGAATAACTCATTACTATTATTTATTTAATTGCATGTCATAAAAATTAATGTGTGTTAAAAGTTAAAAGATATAACCTACTTGTAGAACAAAAAAACTCAAAGCAGCACAAGGAATAATATTTTGAATGAAGAAATTAATTCTCACCATTTAATTTTATAAAAACAGTTCTGGCTCTTGGTATAACACTTTAATAAAAGAGTTATCAAATTTTTGTTATTTTGATAATAATAAAATTTATTATATAATACGATATTACAATAATATTATGTCAAAAAAGTTACAAAAATAGATTACTCTCTATTGATCATTCTAAATCTTATGTAAATTGCATAGGTAAAGCAAATGATCTTGATTCTGAATTCAAAACCAAGTTTCTCAAAAATTAAAGAGCATTTTATTTCAATCCAAAATACACTTATCGTAATATATTTGTAAGTGATATCAGACCAGGATTCTTTACTATTATTACTAAGTTTTAGAAATAATTATTAATAAATTCATATAGATATTATTATTATAATTTATATGATTAACTCATAATTATTTGATTCAAGGAGAGAAATTGAATAATTTAAATTATAGTTAGGGAAATTGGAAGGAATAGTTAACATATCCCAGCCAAATTCAAAATAAAACATCATCTTATTGAAATAGTTATAGAATAAAGTGAGTAATTTGGAATAGAATTTAGAATAGAAAGTGAATGCAATGTGTTCTAATGTAAAATTGTATCTGATTAAGATTATAATTCCAGACATCTAACCCTAAAAGTTGCCAGAGTTAAATGAAATGCAAAGAAAGAGGGCAGTTTCAACTGATGTGGCGAATCACAGTGTGAACATTGAAAAGAATATGTTTTTGTAAGGAAACAAAGCCAGTCGATATTCAAAAATGAACAATTTTAGATAGCAATCAATTCTGAATGAATACAACGATGAATCGTTAAAATAAAAGATAGATCTGAGTTTTGAATAATCTTAACAACATCATTAAACTTCCTTTTAAATCATTCATAAGCCATAAAAATAAAGAACTCAAGTATTACTATTCGATTGCCCTGCACCGAAACCGATGAAGAAAGTGGAAAAGAAACAGTTTTAATTTATGATTCAAAAAGGCAAAAGAATTTAGGCTGTTGAACTTTTGGCATTCAAATAGAAGAATTTATAAGAATGGAATCTAATAAATGCAATTATTTAACGAATGGAATCTATAAATATCAAGTATCAATGTCCTACTTTTTTTGTTGATGGAAGGTCAATAATCCATTTGATTCATTGCAGAAGAACCATCACGTTGTCTGATATTGTTAAATGCATGTAAAATAAAGACGAGATCATACCATATTTATATCCAAGATTGTTTATTGGACAAGATGGGTATGAATTATCATTAATAACAGCTTAGAACGAGCAGCTGAGAAAATCTAGGCAGCATTTAAAGGCTACATTCAATTTAGGAGATTTCAACAGCTCAAGACATTATACAAGAGCACTATTTACATATAGAAGTTTTTTCGGAGAAAACAACAAAAGGAATTGACAAAGCAGAGGGTTTTCCAGAGAACAAACTCCATTTATAAGGAATTCATATAAAGATAAACAATGTTTTAGGTATACATCAAATAAAAGGATAGGATAATTGGAACCAATACAAGTTGTATCCCAGAGTGGAAATACATTTATCATCATTAAGTTACTCAGAATATTAGAGGTTGACTATGGATAAGTTTATTTAAAAGGAGAATTCTCAGATCAGTAGAATTTTCAGAGCAATTGATCCATAAGTAGAAATCATATATATCTGTGCATATGAGTAGGACAAAGACATCTTAATGTACTATGAAAGAGTAAGGACTTATTCCTATGATAGATTTTTGAAATGCATTAAGTGTCATTTAAAAAGGTTAGGTTTTTAACTCCTGAGAATGCTGATAAATTCAATACACACATGAGTCTATTATAGAAATTGATCTATTCTCCAAAATGCTTAAAATAAATAAGGAAGATAATAGAAAATAAATTAGCAATGATAATTCCAGGATATCCTTCAAATGAGTTTATTCAACTATGCCATATGTTAAATGTGCCACTGTATAGTGGATTACCGCAACATCATTTATTGTATTCTAGTCAATCTGGAGCATAAGTGATGTTTAGTAAGTGCAAGATCTAAACGTCTCCAGGAGCATCAGAGATATATGATGAAATAGAGCTTTATAATACTTTAACAGTTTTGATAGTGAAGAATAGGAACATAAGAATTTGGATCTTTAAAATAGATTGTTCTTTTGGAGGGCGAGGCATAGCCACAATCAACATCAGTACCATTCCTGGATTGAATCAATTATTAAATTGCAATGAACAAGAATTAGATGAAAATACCATTTCTGCTATCAAGTACATCATTAATCATAATCACTTAGGCAAATCATCAAGACTTAATTGCCTCTTAAGTTGAAGATTGCTGTAAAATCTTTGTATTAATCTTATAAAGAGTATATTACTGCTTTTCTGACTTCTGGAGGGATAGTAGAGGCATTTCCAATTTAGGACAGATTGAAAATATAAAAAACTTCAATCAGTTTTCATGTTAGTCCACAATATGAGTTAGAAGAGATATGCACATATGATAGTTACTCGGCTCATCATTATGTTTAGACTCTGCATTGTAAATGATAAAACTATTTTAGTGTATCCATCGATTACTTCAACTATTGACAACAATAAGTTTTATGAAGAGATTCTGGTGTTTTTGAAATAAAAGAAAATGTTCGGGTATTTCACTCTTCATTTAATTTTGTTTGATAATCAATTTTGGGCTATTGGTTTGGACAGTTACTTGAATGTTGCTACTAGCATCAATTTCTATTTCAGATGTCTAAATAAAAAGTAAAGTCGATTTTATCTATATTCTCCTTATGTCATACATCCAGGACTTTAAAAAATATCAATAAAGTAACTGTTTTCAACTTGCAGAATGGATTAGGTATAATATGAAACAGAATATTAAAGAGGCCAAACTTTCTTATTCACAGACATTCTGCAATCTTGTATGGTGTAGATGATTTCAGTGCATGAGAACATCCAAAGATGCATTTCGTAATTTGAGGAGTAGTTAAAAGTGCTTTTTAAACTTGGAGGGTAGATGAATGTTAATTATGGAGAATCGATCTATGAATCTAGAAATGATTCAATTAATATTTTGGATGTTCAGGGAGCTTTAAAAGTGCTGAGGAGGAAATTATAAAATTAACAATGAAAACACATTTACTCTTGAAATAAAAACAACAAAATAATTATTGTAATTTTAGCATTTAAGAAATCATTTATTATTTATTCTTTATAAAATCTATGATTTAATATCCTTTCTTCAGTTTGCCCCCAAAATCTCAGCAAACAATGCCGAGTGCACCAAGAAAATTATTGAAAGATTAATATGAGTTACTCTAGAGAGACTTGGGACAAGGGACATATGGCAAAGTAAAATTGGCCATAAACAGAAGTAACAACAAGAAATGTGCCATAAAAATAGTATCTCTAGCATTAATTATTCTAGATCTCCAAAAATTACATAAATTAATACAATGCCAAATAACACATTGACAATGAAATCAATTACCTCTAATGTTGTAAACACAAGAACATTGTAGAATTCATAGAGAACTTTGAGGATAAGGAAAATGTCTACATAGTTTTGGAACACTGTTAGAATGGAACTTTGTATGAATTGATTAAAAAGAAGAAGGTTTTCAGTGAAGATGAAGCCTTCTCCTACTTTTATTAGATAGCCCAGGCGATACAGTATCTGCATGAAAAAGACATAGTTCACAGAGACATCAAGTCGGACAATGTTTTGTTATAGAATAACACGGTTAAATTATGTGATTTTAATTGGTCAATATATTTGCCTAATGGAGGCAAGGCTCAACCTTGTATTTGTGGAACTACTGAGTACATGCCTCCGGAGGTTGTCAAAAAACTGAAACATGACAAAGGAGTCGATGTGTGGGCCTTGGGGATTTTGTTACATGTAAAAATTATGATAGAAAAATAGTATATGCTTCATGGCGAATTGCTTTTTAAGGCGAAGAGTAAGGAAGAATTGCATGAGAAGATATGCAATAAGTAATTGATAAAATTCAACGAGAACCTATCTAGTGAGTGTAAATAATTGTTACAGTAAATGCTTGCTCATACGAAACGATTTAATATTTAGTAAGTCTTGAATTCGGAATGGGTAATTAAAATGCTCACTACTAAAAACATTTCGCATCCCTTGGAATTAACTCCCATAAAAAACAGATCCAGTGCTTATGAGTTAACTAGGTTTAGTGTAATTTCAGAGTCCACTTGCTTCTCTAGTTCAAAATTCACTACCAAATCTTATGATATCGAATCTCCATTCAAATAATCCAATAACTGGGTGAACTAAACGCCTCAGCCTTCGTAACCCCTGAAAGTTAAGAGCACTGCTCTCAATCAAAATATTACTGCTTTCAGAGTTGAAAAAAGACAATTTGACTGAAAGATCAAGTTTTATTTATTTTTAATGTAATATTATAAATCATTTTTGTTAAAATTAATATTTGTATTACAACATGGAGTATATTGCATACACAGATGCCAAACTTTAGTTTATTGGAACTCGCAAGCACTTTTTTAGGGATAAATAATATTACGTGAGTGTTTTTGAGGATTATTTTGTCATGGGCATTGTAAGTCATTCCACCCTTATAAAATAGACAAGTGATACGTAGTCACCAAAATACAAAATCAACATTGATCTCAATATTAAATTAAATTGGGACTTGAAGAAACAGAAAAACAATATAATTATTTAATCTTTTGCTTTTCCATACAACAATTCATACAAGACACTTTATGCTGACCACAACGATTTGATGAAGTAACTTTGATTTAGTATTACTATATCTTTCAGATTCAAAGAGCTTCTTGGTCTCTCAGTAACATACGAAGGCATAGGCGATCTCTATATTCCAATTTTATAAATTGGGAAGGGAAGTTCAGCTAAAGTAAGCATCAAAATTACGTTAAGGTATACAGTGCTTAAAATGTTTTGGATTAAAACACGTATGCGATAAAAGCGATCGAGAAGTCGTTTTTAAACTAAACGGAAAAAGGACAGGGCTTGGTACTTTAACCCAATCTATGAACTAGGCAGCCTATAAGATGGAAGTGCGGATTCTCAAAATCCTCTCACCTTTTTCTTAGAGCTTTCTTAATTTAAAGGAGATATATGAAGGAGATCAAACCTACTATTTGGTAACAGATTACTTGGAGGGAGCCAGTCTGAGTGAAGAAATCGAGAGAGCAAAAGTAACATTTGAATTAATTATTAGAATCTCCCTGATCGTAGATTGCCTGTCCAAACAATTAAAATATTAATGTACAAATTATTATCAAATTTAGCCTTGCTGCATGAAAATAAAGTATTTAATAAAATATAATGCAAGATTATTCACAGAGATCTCAAACCTGACAATCTGATGTTTGCTAAGAAAAATGATTACTCCTCATTGGTTCTAGTGGATTTCGGATTGGCCACTCTAGAAAATCTTGAAAAGTATACAAAAAAATAAGAGAATATCATAGATTTCTATTTCCTAAATGTGGAACTCCAGGGTATGTGGCTCCAGAGGTTCTTAATTTAAATCCTTAGAATAGATACACAACCAAAGTGGATATCTTTAGTAGTGGTTGTATTCTTTATAAATTGTTAACTGGAAAAAGCATTTTTGGAGGCAAAACATTTGACGATGTTTTGAGAGCAAATAAGAAATGCTTTATTGATTTGGATCTTCCTCCTGATCACATTTATTTGACAGATCTTTCTCTTGTAATCAATGCAACATATAATCGTAGAATTTATTAAGTTAATTATTGAACAAAAATGCAAATTCAAGAATAACTGCTAGATAAGCACTTCGTCATCCTTTTTTTGATTAAATCAATGAATAAAGCACTTAAGTGTTGTCCACTTTTGCAACCAACGTGAAGTTAAGTCACAATGGGAACATAAATTTATAATGCGAAGAATAGATGTCCAAATATGAAATTGAGGAGAATTAGGTGAATTGTGAAATGAAGGAAGAGGAATAGAATACTATTTCAATTCCTGCAACAAAACGATGCTCTTTAATGAATGAGTTCTAATCCTCGTCTAAATCTCCAACTAAGTTTTATTAGAAAGAACCTTCATCTACCATGAGGTGCTTTAAATTGTTTGATTTGGCTAGTCCTAGGGGAGATTCAAATGAAATCGAAAGTGAATGAAGTGTGAAGTTGAATTTTCTCCAAATAAAACATACATAAAATATTAATGATTTTGTTTAATGATGAATTTAATATAATTTTAATATATTCGCTCACAAAATTAATTAAAAATTCGAGTATTTAGCAAACCTATTGTGCAAATCTATCTTATAATTATTTATTTAATATGGCAGAAATTGACTTGAATTAGCCATTTTATGCATATCCAACTGAAAAGGTGGTTACTGCAGTCCAGACAAACCTTTAGACGTATGTTAAAATTTGAGATTTAAGGGGTTTGACAAAAGATGAAGCCAGTGCGAGATTAACAAAGTATGGTCCAAATGAATTGGAAAAGGAAGAAAAGGAGAGTATTTGGGAGAAGATCAAAGAGCAATTCGAAGACAATCTCGTGAGAATATTGCTATTGGCTGCTGTGATCTCATTTGTGATTTCATAATTTGAAGATCATGAAGATTCACATGCAGTGCCTCCATGGGTTGAGCCATGTGTTATATTTACAATTTTGATCTTAAATGCAGCAGTAGGCATTTGGTAGGATTTAGATGCCGAAAGAGCAATCGAAGTAAAAAATTATGATATATAATTTAGGCATTGAAAGATTTACAATCTCCTCATGCCATGGTATTAAGACAAGGATAGTGGACTTAAATTGAAGCTAAGGATTTAGTGATTGGAGATGTAGTTGAAATCAAATAAGGAGACAGAATTCCAGCTGATCTCAGAATGGTTGAATTGAAAACAATCACCTTGAAAACAGATTAAGTATTTATATCACATTCTATAAAAGTCAATTTTAACAGGAGAAGTCAACCCAGTAAACAAGATTACTGATTCAGTTTAAAAAGATAAGGCTGCTGTCCAAGATAAGATCAATTTCTTATTCTCAGGAACATTAGTGTCAAATGGAACAGCCATTGGTATTGTCTGCAACACTGGAATGAGAACAGAAATCGGAAAGATCTAAAAGGAAGTCTAAGATGCAGCCAAGGAGAAATAAGAAGATGATGACCCATTGTCAAAAAGATTAGATGAATTCGGAGATAAACTAGCTAAGTATGTCACATACATTTGTATCATCTGTTGGGTTATGAACATCGGTAACTTCTCTGATCCTGCTTATGGAGGAACTATTATGGGAGCATTGTATTATTTCAAAGTGGCTGTTGCATTGGCAGTTGCTGCTATTCCAGAAGGATTACCAGCTGTCATCACAACTTGTTTGGCTTTGGGAGCTAGAAGAATGGCCAAATAAAAAGCCATCGTTCGTAAATTACCTAAGGTCTAGACTTTGGGATGCACAACCATCATTTGCTCAGATAAAACTGGTACTTTGACAACCAACGAAATGTGTGTTAAGGAATTAGTTCTGTTAACAGGCTAAGAGGCATCTTCATTACATGTCTTCCCCATTGAAGGAACATCTTATCACCCTGAAGGAAAAATTGATGGATTGGAATCTAAATTACTCAAAGGAAATAATTTAGCTGGAAATTTAAAGAGATTATGCTAATCTATGGCATTGTGCAATGAATCAAAATTATACACTGATAAAGGAAGAGTCTAAAGAAGTGGATTGCCAACTGAAGCTGCATTGAAAGTATTAGTTGAAAAGATTGGAAAATATGATAGCTCTTTTAATGGAAAACCCATATTAGACGCTCCATAATAATACAATGATAAGATTGTTAATGAATTCACAAAGAGGGCTACCTTAGAATTCACAAGAGACAGAAAGAGCATGTCTGTTTTGGCTAGTTCATAAAATGAAAAAGGAAATGTCTTGTTCATCAAAGGAGCTCCTGATTATTTGTTAGAAAAGTCTAATATGATTCTAAACTCAGATGGAGTAGCTGTTCCATTGAAGGCTTAAGATAAGAATTAACTGTTGTCTATTGTTAAGAACCTAGCAGAAAAGGGATTAAGAACATTGGCCATCTGTGTCTAAGAAGAATGTGGTTAATTGAGTGATTATGATGGACCTAAACATCCAGCACATAACTTATTGGTTGATACAAATAACTATAAGGAATTGGAAAGCAAACCAATTATTATTGGAGTTGTTGCCTTATAAGATCCACCAAGACCAGAAGTCAAGAGATCCATTGAAAAATGCAGAGAAGCTGGTATTTCAGTCATTATGATTACTGGTGATATCAAAGAAACAGCATAATCTATCGCTATGTAAATTGGTATTCTACATAATTAATCCCAATTCCCAACTCATTCATTCACAGGAATGGAATTTTCAACTATGGGAGAAGAAAAATAAAAGAAAGTCCTTGAACAAGTCATTGGAAGACCAAGTGGATTAGTTTTCTCAAGAACCGATCCATCACACAAAAGAGAATTAGTCAAATTATTGACTGGTTAATTGAATCAAATTGCTGCCATGACAGGTGATGGTGTCAATGATGCACCTGCCTTAAAATAAGCTAGTATTGGTATTGCTATGGGTATTGCTGGTACTGAAGTCGCTAAAGAAGCATCAGATATGATTTTGGCAGATGATAACTTTGCCACTATTGTAAGAGCTGTTGAAGAAGGAAGAGCTATCTATCAGAATATGAAAGGATTTATTAGATACATGATTTCATCAAACATTGGAGAAGTTGTCTCTATTTTCACATCTTCAGCCTTAGGTATTCCTGACGGATTCAATTCAATCTAATTATTATGGGTCAATTTAGTCACCGATGGTCTCCCTGCCACTGCTTTATCATTCAACCCACCTGATCCTGATGTCATGTAAAAACCACCAAGAAAACACGATGAACCAATTATCACTGAATATGTGTTTGTTAGATACTGTGTTGTCGGAACTTATGTTGGTTTGGCCACAGTGTTTGTTTTCGTGTACTATTATTTGGGATATGAATGGGCTGGAGATGGACATCCAGTTGTCACATTCCATCAATTGAGAAATTGGGCTGAATGCCATCATTGGGAAGGATTCAAGGTTGCCAACTTTGACAAATATGATTTCTCTAAGGATCCATGTTTGTATTTCTCTTGGGGTAAACAAAAGGCTTCAACTCTAAGTCTTTCTGTTCTTGTCGTTATCGAGATGTTCAATGCCTTGAATGCCTTATCTGAAGTATTTTTATTGTATTTAACACTTTCTAGGATGGATCACTTTTGAAAGTTGGAGTGTTTGCAAATCCCTATTTGATTCTAGCTATTTTTGGATCTATGACTCTCCATTGCATGATCTGCTATGTACCATTATTTGAAAACATCTTTAACACTGTAGCATTATCCCTTTAAGATTGGTACAATTTTTAATTAATTTCATTTTAGGATTTTAATTATTGCAGTATCCGCCCCTGTAGTTTTAGTTGACGAAGTTCTGAAATTCTTCTCAAGAGCTAGAAATGCTAAATTATTGGAAGAGAGAAAGAAAATACAATGAGAAATCATATTAAATACAAAAAATTTAACATTTAGTAATGTCTTCTTGTTTTATTATTTTACTATTAATATCAAATTCTATTAAGGTGCCTCAAAATCGTTCAATTGATAACCTTCAAAACAAGGTGATTTATTGATATCTTAAACCTTATTTAGATTTGAAATATAAATTAATGGAAAAAATTGATTATTATTTAAAAAATAAGCTTTACGTAAATACTAATAGAAAATCACTTTTTAAGTTTGCATTTTGAAAATAATTTAGATACATATTGAATTTGATTGGATTGGATTGATATTTTAAATTAACTAGAATTGATTGCTTGGATTTTCAAAGAAACAAAGCCAAAAAAGAAGATTATTTTTAATAAGCAGTGTTGTAAGGAATTTAGATAAATTCTAACTCAATATCTCCAAATCTGAGTAAAAAATACTATTCTATTTTCTTATTGATTTGCAAGATATTCGAAATTCTATAAATATATTTAAATTTATAAGTAATCAAAATCTGTTTGGTTTAATTTACTTGAAGGCTTATGACACTTAAAATATAAAATTAAATTAACACCCACACAATAATCGATCATATTCTAAACCTTCATATCTTAGAGATTGGCAAGATTTATGTATATTAATAATTGAATAAAATGAAAAATCTTTTTCAATATTGTAAGAAAGTCTTAAATTAAAATAGCGCATTAAACTGAAACAGATCTTAAAATGATATTTACGAATGAGCTTATTAAACATTAATGTTACTTAATTTTCTTCTATAAAATGAATATAAGGCGGTATTAGATTTTAAGAAAATGGTTTGAGAATAATTTGATCGATAATATTTGATTAATAAAGTATTATATGTTAATACTATTCTTTTTTTTCTTGCTAACTGAGCAATAAAGAGATATTGAATTCAATGATAAATTCTATTGGACCTCAATGGACAGCGTCAATGATAAGAATATATACAGAATCACAAATCTTGAGCAGCCTTATTATTATGTTTAGGTTACCTTACTGCAACAGGATTTATCTTATTTCCTATTGTATGATTTAAATTAGATTCCTAAATTAAACGAGTCGCCAGGTGACTACGTGAGGTATTATTTTAATTAATGAAAACGTTATTATGAAGAGAGAACAACCAGATTTCTGAAAATTGAACCTAATGGAAAAATAATTTACATTACCGCATCCTCTAATAGCACTAGTGGATATTACAATATAGCAATTTGGGGTAGCAAGAAGGAGTACTGTGATAATAGTTGCTCATATTATGGTGAATGCACAGTAATTCTGAGTTCTATAAAAGGATGATGGGTGTGAATGCATCTCTGGCTATATAAGTACTGATTGCCACTAAACGGCATTGTAGGTTCAGGAGAGTTAAACACAGATTAACCTTTTTGGAGATGAGATTTAATTTTTTTATTTGAACATAGGTGATTACAAAGAAATGGACATTCAATTAAGACTAAGTGTAATTTATAAGTTGAAAATTAGACTGACAGCTCTTAAGGAATTGAAATTTTCATTGAGCTCACCAATGCAATAATAATTCCGAACTAAAACTACCATGATGCTGAAGGCATGATTAAATAATAAATAATTTATGAATCTTAACCATTAGATTTCAAAATAAAAAGCGCCATTTATGAATACGATAACATTTAGGTTGTTTTTGGAGCTAGATAATTGAATGGTCGATTAAACTCATTAGTAAGCACTCTATTAATAGAAATTTCAACATATAATATGTCTGAAAATACAATTTCTATCATTGTTATCATTATAATCGTCATTGTTATATCCGCAGCAGTGATTATTATAATAATTATGTTTTTTGTATGTAAGAACATTAGAAGCAGAAAACTACTATTGTAATAACAAAGATTGAGAATGGCTATGTATGGAGAGTCGTCTGGAAATTAACAAAAAGATTAAATTAACATTTTCGATTATCTATCTCCAGTTTAAATAGATGTGTTAAATAACTAAGACGATTGCATCATTTGTTTATAAAAATTGAATGATGAACTAGAGGTTAGACAAACATGTTGCCAGTATTAAATGATCGTATAAATTTAGTCACCATTTCCATTCTTTTTGTATAAAAGAGTGGCTTAATAATAATAAAAAAGAATGTCCTGTCTGCAGAGCTAATTTAGTTCCGAAAGATGGTCAAATAAATACAATTCCTCAATAATGACTTAGATCTTTATTTTAAATTAAATTAATCAATTATTCAATAATGAAAAATATTAATGAAAAAAAAAAATTTAACATCTATTGATCTAAGCACCTCCATGTTTTCAGGCAAAAGCTTGAAAAACAATTACTCGATCTCCAATCCTTCATCAAACCGAAGTCCCAGTTTGTAGAAGGCCATTAATAGATTAAAATAGGATAGTAGAGTATCCTTAATTGGCATTAGCTCAATTAGCTCAACAAACGTATCTATTCTACTGATATTAAGATTCCTAAACGAAGAGGCTATTATGAGGTCAAAAGTAGTCAAAGCACTTTCAGAATTAGTCATCCATATTAAGAGCCAAAAATAAGCCTTGATTAGAATGATCACAAAAAAGAAACTATTAGAAAAATCTTTTCTTTATAAGCGTATTGTAAAAGCCAGTCAGCTCTATAATTGGCAGCGTAAAAGTACACAGTAAAAAGAGCTATCACAGATAATTCTTAAATCTTTGGCACCCCAAGGCCAAAGTTACTAGATAAATTTAGCAAAGAAATAATAAAATGTAAAACCGAAAAAGATGTAATAAAGTAAGTTCTAGTAAAAGAAGTAACCAAAAGAATACCAAAAAAATCTAAAGAAATTAATTATGAACTTGATACGATGTTTAAAAATTATGAAAAGTACGCCCAATTATGTCTATCTCCAAATTCCTTCGTTAATCAACCAGTCATATATAATGGATATTTTAAAATATACACTTAATCATAAAAGGAGAAGATTATCTTAGATTAAATTGGAGAAAAGGAAAAATCCCTAAGTGATGAATCAGAAGCATATAAGGATTTTATAGAAGAAGTAGATGAAGCTACGATTTAAAGAGATGTCTATCATAGTCAGTTGAGGAATCCCTTCTTGGATGATAAAATTACTGTCCGCTCAATGAAATAAGCTGGTTTCTTAAAGAGAAGACCAACAGATATTCTATGATAATTTATATCTAATATCTTTCTTATAGAGAGATATAAAACTTATTTGAATATCTGTTTTACTTATATATACTATCTACAAGATTAATATCATACTTTTTCTAAAAAGTACCTTATTATTATATTATTTTTATTTGCGATTCAATTGATTAAAAATAGTTATTGAACTTAAAGTATTTTTAAATATGCAAATATTCGGTTAATCATTAAGCTTTTTAGATTGTTATCTGTTGCTTAGTATTATAAAAAAGCATTTTCGTTAGTTTTCAAATTAGAAAACATTACTAAATCACTTCTTACTGTCTTTGGATAAAATTTTGAGAATATCAATTTATTAAAAATTTTTTTAACAATAATTCTTCTCAAAAGGTAGTCTTTATTACAAGAGATTAAAGATAAAATTCACTCAATAAAGTGGATTTTATATTTTGGACTTTGTTAAGTTAGATAAATTATAATATTTTTAAGAGGGGAATTTCCAGATTGCTGAACTTAAAGAGTTGATTTGATAAAATTATGTTTTTTATTTTCCTTAATATTCTAATTAGTTTAACTTTTATCAAGCTATTTTTGAATGACCTTCTAATCATCAATTTATTGACTTGTCAATAATAAATTATATTAAATAGGAAAAATATTATTTTAGCTTAAAATCTAAAGGATCACAATAATTAATAAATATAATCAGTGCAATTAAATATATTTTGAGCTTCTGGCTTTTCTTACTGATGTTCTTTTTTTTATTGAATGATTAAAAAGCTAATAAATACTTTTAGAAGTTTTATTTAAGATTTTTACTTTTTTATTGTATTCAGTAATCAAAACATGCAGGTTAAATTAAGGGAAAAACTTTTTGAATTCCATAGCTTTTTCAAATCCTATAATTTAAAAATTGCAAGAAATAGAATTTTGACCTCCTTATGTCCTATTTTCAGCAGCTCCACCAAATAACTTTATTTCAGTGTCGCTAAATTATCTTAATTATTAGGAAGTCTAAAATTATTTGCTCTTATTAATTCCATCAGATTTTTAAAACTAAATTCTCTTGTTTGAATCATGAGAAATTTTGATATCTGCTTTAAGAGACGGTTCACTTTATTTAGGGTAACTCTCTTTTCGTTTAGAAGCAGGAGAGCCATTATTTGTATTTAATTCTAGATCTTAAGGATTTAAAGATATATTTTCTTCATCATCAAATTGGATATCCTCCTATCCTTAATTTTGTTCTATTGCTTTTTGCACTAATTTCAATTACTTATTAAATTTATGAATAAAATACATTATGAATTTGAAGTGCTTTACAAGACCTTTTATCACATCTTTTCTTTTTTTGTCTATTCTATATTTTTAGATTATCCTTTAGAATCAACTTTTCAATATCAGGTTTATAATTAAGCAACTTACAATTGTCTATTTAATGACCAGACTAAGAACAAATTTAACATTTTTGACCAATAATGTAAGCATTAAATTGGAATAAGTGTCTGATTTAATGATACACTTCATTCTCTTCCCTATTAAGTTAGTTGAGAAAAGTAGATTAAGAGATCCTAAATACTTTTGTAAAACTTCGACTAATAACTGAAAACTTACGAGGTTATTAGGTAAAAAAGGATTCCTCTCCAAAGTATTTTCCTTTTTAGAGTTCTGTTACTTTCTATTAAGAGTTCTATTCATAGATCTCAACCTTGCCATAATCCAAAAAATATAAATAATTATCGTCCATCTAATTTTGATGATAGATATATTCATCAGGACAGTAATACACAGTTTAGAGTGAATTTGACATTTTCTTTATTGTGTCTTCACTAAAATTATGCAATACGATTTTGCAATCCTGAAGTAAGTTTTTAAAAACATTAAGCATCAATTCTTACTATAAAAATGATGAGAGTTATTCAAGAATACTTTACAACTAAGTTTAGTCTAAAGTTTATTACATGATATTTTGATTGCTGATTTCTTTTGATGCATCGGTATTCTAAGTAACTTCTTGCTCTACTTTATAGCTGATCTGGAACTGAGTGTTATTGCATGTAACAAGTCAAAATTCTCATCATTTCTCTAAATTAATTTCAATGTTTATTACTAAAATTGTCTTTTTTGTTTGTTAATGTTTTGCACTATAGTTCCCACTTAATTGAGAGAGAATGTAAAGACTGCACATGATAGAAGCATAAGAAATATACAACTAAAAGCCTCCACATGATTTTAAGGAGTTATGTCTCCGTATCCAACAGTAATCATTGTAACAATAGCCCAATAATAAGAGAAAATGTATCGAATTTATTTTGTATCATCTTGTAAATTTTTATCAAGAATCCAACTATTTTTCTCATATTCCATGGTAGTCATTCCTATGTAGTGCCAAATGCATGCCATAAAATGAGCAATAAGGTTAATTGTTATTACAAGGTTGATTAAGCTAATGATTTCTCTTTGAATTTCTGATAAATTTAATAATTTAACTATTTTACCAATTACTTTTTAAAGTTTTATTAAGCTTAACGCACAAAATGATATAAATATAAGTGTGCTTTCTATTTTCATAGTATAATAAACTAGAAAAAGGTAAGTAGTATCTAAAATAAAGGAAGTTTTCAAATATTTTTTTAATATATATATTCTGGTTTTAATGATCTTGAAATTATAAAGAATTTAATACATTTCCTTTTTTTATAATTGCTATGTTAAGTTTGAGTATTATGTCAATCAAAAAAAATATCATGAACAATGACATTTCTTCTATTTTTAGTATAGGATAGGATTGATCAAAACTCCAAAAAAATGGTATTAATATAATTAAGCTTAAAATTACAAAAAACATAATTATATCCCATAAAATGATGAATCTATTAGTTGGATCGATAACAAATGAGACGAGATTCTATGAAATATTTTTTTTGTCTTAAATATATTTTTCCTGCAATATGAGATTACCTTTGATTTATTCTTTTTAACTCTAAGATAATATATAGCTTCTAGAGAGCAAAATGTTTTTAAATCTTTTTACCAGATTATTTATCTTTATGAGATGGAAAATATTTTTTGACACTTTTTACGAACATACTTATGATTTAGGAAGCTCAATCTAGTCTTCGATTGGATTATCATAAGTTATTTTCTCATTGCATTAATTTTTTATCTGCTCTTGTTTCTAAAGAACAGGTAATTTCTGAAATGGTTTAAAGTTATCTTAGCATTGTTCTAAATTCATAAAACTTATCATACAGTGATCTAATGTTAAATTTTGTAAAGACGGATCATTAAAGTGAGGAGAGAGCTATTAGAACAGTTTCAATTCAACTTAGCTTCGTGGACTTAAAGAATACACACTCATAATTAAATTAAAAATCGATTACTACTCAGATAATTAATAATTCGTTCCTCATAATCAATAAAAAATTAAGAAAATTTAAATTCATACAAAAAGGTTCCATTGTAAAACAATTTGAAATTTATTGATCAATCCAATAAATAAATTCAGAAAAAGAACTTTCGTTATAGAAAACTGTAAGACTATAATTCATTCAAATAATCTTAATACATAAGTTAATGAAGCAAAATAACATATTTAAAATATCTTTACTAAGTTAACAATCATTTAATTGATCCATGCTTTTCTACATTACTTCCAAGTTAGTTGTTCATATATCATTCGAGGTAACTCCACTTTATACAGCTTTTGAAATTATCTTTGTAAATATCCTTAATAAATCTTTCAGGTTCAGCCAAATTCATCGTTCTTGTAAATGTTAACAAATCTCTCTGCAATAAATTAAGTTATTCCATATTAGCTTTGAATTTATTATCTTATCCTTAGGTTGTCAAATGAATATGTAATGATCCACAAATTATGTATTCAAACCATATGTACAAATATACTACTAAAATTTTATAAATTTCTATAAATTGTATAGAAAATTCAAAGAAATATACCTCTTCTAAAATACAGCATCCCCTTTCTTATACCTTAAGATATATTTATAATACCCAAAAAATCTTTCTACTCTAGTTATTTCGATAAAGCATTTATTAAACTTGCAGGAATAATAGCAACATATTATTTGCATTTTATTCTCATAACAGTTAATGGGTGTTGAAGCTACTGTGCCGACTAATTTACTAGCCAAGCCAATATTATATTAAGATACTCTGAAGATAGACAGGATAATGGGGAAGCGGACTCTTGATAATTATTAAATATTACCTATATTTTTTGATGACTGTAAAAAAATGAAAAATTGCAGTAATTTGGTGATTGCCTATATGATACCTCTACAAATCCTCTAAACCTTTCTTATTTACAAATTTTGTAGAGAATCAAAGATAACTATTTGAAATTAATAATACACTTAGAGTATTCAGTAGCAATCATTAGAGTTTGAAGAACTTCCAAGGGTTGGGGAATTAGAGTTGATCACACAGCAATTTAGACTTTTTTATGGTTAGGAAAGCATTATTTTTAATTCCGTTCCTAACATTTTAATATTATTTATTTTTTGTTTTCAATAAAAAGTATCATATTATTGAAAGCCATTAGAATATTTATATTCACTTCAGAACTCGGTTACTTAATTTTAGAATATTAGAAACCAGTTTAGGTGATTGAAATTATATTAAGATTTTAATGAAATCATAAATTAGAAGTTGTAATTAAGATTGAGACATGTAGAAGCAAGAGAATTGGAATAACTTCTTTTTCTATATGATAATATTTTTTATTTTTAGCTCTATTCAATCGGATGTGGAGTTTAAAACGAATTATAAAAATGGATTGGTTGATTAGCATATTCAAAGTTGGTGCAATAAACAAAGCCAATTATGGATTATAGCAATAATAAGGAGAAAAAAAGCTCAGAAATGATTATTAAAATAAATATAAAACTATATTTTTATTTTATGACTTCTTTATAGGAGGTGAATGATAATCTCAGATAGTAAATAATCGAGTTGACGCAGAAATTGGAATTAAAAGAGAAGGAAATTGATCAACTGAAATCTCCTCAGAAACCATCAAATCAGTTTGAAACATAAACCTTAGAATTATAAATAATACAATATAAGCATCTTCAAACAAAATTAGAGAATGAAAATGAGCAATTAAGAAATAAACTATCTCAAATGATTAATTCCTAAGTAGAAACATAAAAGACGCTGTTGAAATAAAAATAGCAGATGCAAAATGTTAATAAAAATTTATTTTCCCTTTCTTCATAAATTCAAGAGGAGGACAGTCCGTTAAAATAGGTTATAAATAAATTAATAGAAAATGAATAAGATCCATTAATTACATAAAGTCTTGACATAGAAGCATAACTAAAAATGAATGAATTAAAACGTATCAACAATTAACTTACTAGTCGAGTTCAACAACTCGAAGAAAAGTCACAATACATGATTGCTAGATAATTTTAAGATGCTGCTACAATTCTAAAGCTTAAAAAAGAAAAATAAGGGTTGATAGATCAATTAGAACAGTAAGGATAAGAATTATAGCAAGAATTACAGAAATCAAGACTTACTGCTTTTCCTGATATTACCCTATCTTTCTCAGATTTGTATTTAGAAATTCCTAATATTGATTAAATCAAAGAAAAATTTGAGTAATTAATCTAATTATTTTTACAATAACTCTTATAATAAAATACAAATTACGAGTTAGGTGAGTCATTAGTCAAAAGTCATAGAAGCAACTCTTCTCGACGTTTAGATTAGGTTTAAAATCAGTTTAATGATATTTTAAAGCATATTAATAGAGGTTCATAAAGAATTAGAGAGTTTACTTTAGAAAATCAGATATTTGAGTCTTTCATATATGAAAAACCACAAAATTAAGATAAATCAACTTAAACTGAAAAAATTGAAAATGATGCAAGTGCCGAGCATTTTTTGAGTGAACAGACAAGAAAATTAGAGAATGATGTAAAAAGCCCAAGAGTTTAAGGTGAATGCAAAGGAGTTGATGCAGAATAATAGACAGAAGACATAGATTTAAATCAATTTTTGTTAAATTCGATGACTCCTTTAATGTTTTCTGCAATTCCTTAACTTCATACTGAAAATGATATTGTAGACGAATAATAATAATAAGTACAAGACAAAAGTCCTTTATTTTTGAGGAGTGGGATTAAAAATGATACACGATTTGATGAAGGATAACTAATAGGTATTGTTGAATAATTAACGCTTTAATTAAAATACACAAAGAAGCAATGGTATAACTCAGTCGACAAATGTTTAAGAGCATAAGAAGAATTAGAACGATTATCAGAAATTGAAGCCTAATACAATCATTTGAGTTAATAGTATTTAACTTCCAAAAAAGACTTAGATAAATAAAAATTCAAGTACCAGTAGTTATTAGACAAATATTTTGAGATTGAACTAAAGTGAATATTTTTATAGTTTTTGCAAATAAAGTTGTACCTTTATTTTATTTAGGCTTATCAATATTATTTAATTAAATTTTAATAACAAAAAAGTAATATTTATACAGAAAATTTATTATAAGATGAACTACTTTCTTTTGTACTTTCTTCGATTTTTGATGTTTTCTATAAAGAATATTCTCATTCAAATACTTGTATCTCCCTTTATTAATATATAATATTAATTTATATAATGATATTCTAAAATTTGATTATGATAATATTTACCTCATTAAAATGAGTTCAGAAATTATATTAGACTAAAATGTCATTTTTTTATATATTAAACCTCCTCAAGAATAGAATAATTAAAATATTGAATGTAAATTATATTTCATTATGTCATCATTTAGGACTTTGATAATGATTGTTCTAACTATGATATTTATTATTAAAGATCTTTAATTTATTTTTGAAGTAAATCACCAGTCTCTACAATTTATGTAATCTAGAATTGCTCGTATATAGGCTAAATATAAATAATGCATTACTAATTTTTATTAATAAGTCTTTAAATTAAAGTAATTGAATAGGCATTCATTTTCTAATATTTTAATTCTCCATCCCTTATTTAACGATTTTATTTAATCTTAGTAAAGTTTTATCAAATCACTTTTCTTCTGAAGTTGACTCTCTAATTGAGTAATTTTGATATTTTAAACATCTGAAAGTCGATTCATAGAATTAGATTGTTTGATTTACTTTGAATAATCATTCAATTTAACATTGAGATCATGGATTATTTAATCTCTTCGGAATATTTCATTTTCTAATTTTTAAATCTGATCTCTATGTTTTTCTTCTGTTATTTCACTTTGCTATTCGAGTTTAAGCGTTTAAATTCTCTCATCGGTCTCTTATTCTATTTAAACTCGTTTTTTCTTCTCATCATCTATTTCCTTCATTAATGAACTTAATTTTTCTTCATAAAACTGAATTTCTTTTGATTGAACTAACTCCTACAATTTTACCTAATCTTAATTTTTCTCAACCTATTATGTTATTTCTTGAGTATTTTGTTTTACTGTCTATTTTAAGAAGGATCCTTTTGAATTAGCCTCTTTTTTTTCTATTTGAGTTTATACTTATTAAGGTTCAATTTGTTACTTGATTTCCTATTAAAGTGGTTCTTATTATTATTTGCTAGTAAGGTCACTTTCCTTAGAATCAGAATCTAGTCTTAATATCTTAGTAAATTCAATAGATTTATCAATGATTTCTACATCATCCAAAATTTATGCTTATTCTAGATTCTTGATTTCTTGAACTCTATCTTTCAATTAATTAATGGAGTAATGTTTATTAATTTTCGATTAAGCTTTAATGCATGAAGATACAAGAGTATTTATTTTTCTTCTTAACTTAATTCTTTTTTCTATTGATTTTTAAAATAATAATCGCTTAATTGCTTTTTTTATCCTTATTAATTTATTATGTAATTCTTTTAGTTTCATTTTCATTATTTTGATTTATCTATAAATTCTAAATTACTTTTAAATTTTCAAAATGAATTTTAATCTAAACTCAATGAGTTTGGTATCAAAATACTCTCTAAAATGTTACTTCATAAATAATTTAGTCTTTCCAATTTAAAAGCCTAATTCTGTTTATTACACTTTCAAAAACTCTCCAATCTATTAATTTTCACTTAAAAGTTTTAGCATTTCTTCTATGTTTTTGATATTTTTTGGATTTTTATTGACAAGATGCTAATATTTTTTAATGAATTCTGCATGCTTTTATCTAATTTCATAGCCAGCTTTTCTAATTTAAATAGCTTCCATCAATCCTGCACATGTCATCTATCTTCTGACTTCTTAAGCATCAAAAGTTAAAGGTTATTTAAAGTTGTTTGGTTTGATACATCTAATGTATTTAGGTATTGATAAATTTAATAAATTAAGCAAATCTTTCAATGAGTTCTAAAATTTAGTAACAACGTTGTTTTATTTCATATTTTAATTATCGTTTTATACATTAGACCATATTTCTTTCAAAACAGGATTTGTGCTGTTGGGTAGCACTTTAAAGACTTCGGAATTTATCGAATCTCTGTTCTTTTCTACAAATCCTGACACATTGTATGCAACAGCACCGGCAAAATGCTTTAAACAAAACCAATCAAATTTGGCAACTCTATGTAATTTCTTATCAAATCTAGGCTCAATCTCAGCTGTTTACAAGTCATTAACCAAAACCAAATGATCTTTAGGCAATGATTTAAGAGAACTCAAAAACTCCTTATCTCCTCGATTTAATACAATAGTTTAATCAATGAGCATCTTATATATTGAAATTTAAGAATTTTCAATTACATCAATGATTTTTTTATTGTCTGGAAACTTAATCTATTGCCATTTAATTGATTCTTAGTCATATTCTTTCTATTCAGTTACGAACATTTACTCATTAAAATGCTGTTGTAATTTCTCATTAGTAAAATTAATGTTTAATTACTCAAAACTATTTGTGTGCAATCCATTTGCATCTGTGAATATTTCAAATCCAAATATATCCAAAATACCTATCATATATTTTGTTAACTATGGTTACTATTAATTCTAAAAACTTAAAGATTTGATATTCAACAATTGTTCATTAATCTTAGTTATTAACCAATTGAAGAGCTTCTCATATAAATGTTTTGCTAGTGTATCCCTAGCACTTTAAGCACTTTCTAAATTATTATTTCTAGTTACTGTCTCCTTTCCCACAAAAGTAAAGACTCTACAAATTAAATCTTCTAATTATTAAATCTAAATTCCTAATAATTAAGATGCTAATTTAAGAGAATCATCAAGTTTCAATGTAGATTTTTAAGAATCATATACAATTTGAATATTTCCTAGATGGAGTAAGCCAGCTAGACTCTGATACATATATCTCTTTTGATCAGGACTAAAATTTAAATTATCTAAACATTTATCAGTTTCTTCAAATTCTTACCTTTCGTCTCTTTAATAAGTCAAATCTCCTCCTTTTAGATATTCATATTTATTGGGTGCTTAAAGTTCTATTATATAAATATTTATATTTACTTAATTCTGGTATCTGTGATGCTATAATTTAATAAAAAATGTGATAATTCCTTTCTTAGTTATTGATTTTGACAACTCTACTCTTTTCTAATAAGTAATTATCTACTTTAGCTGTGCTTACTCTTTTGGTATCTGGGTTGAAATATAAATGCATAAACTTTCCAAATCTACTAGAGTTGTCATTTCTGGCAGTCTTAGCATTGCCAAATGCTTCTAGCACTGGATTAGATGCAAATATTTGTTATTCAATAGTTTATCCCTGTTAAATAGTTCTAAATAAACCGCTTTTTGATTCTGCTGCTAAGTATTTCAAAAGTATTTTTGTTGATTCTGTTTTTCCTGATCCACTCTCTCCAGAGATGATCATTGAGCATATTCTTAATTCTTTAGTTTTAGTTTCAAACAATTAGTCGAATGATAGTTGTGCAATTTTAAATAAATGGGGGTGAAATTCGTTCTCTCTAACGCTAGTTTTCAATTCGGATTGGTGTTGTCCAAGCTTGATTTTGTAATAAGCTATTGTTTCTTGATTATAGACATTTGGTAGAAAAACATAAGGATTAATTGAAACCAATATAGAAGAGCCAATTTGAGTGTAGATTTATTCTCTCAAATATCTAATTCGAATATTATGTAGACAATTGAATTCATTTAAATCCGATAAGCACTAAGATGTTCATAAGAATAATAATACTAGAAGATCTTATATTCCTTATTTAGCCAAAGGATCTACCCTGAATTTTTTTGCAGCTTAAGCTTCATTCAGCCTTTCAATTTTGCAAATTTCTTTTTAGTCTTCTATCCAAACTTCATCATCATAACTCATTTAATTATAGATTAATTATTAAAATAACTCAAAAACCAAATAATCATCTTTTCTATATATTAATTACAAGACGATCGTAACCTGAAAATTATATGGAACTATTAAATTAAATCATAGGCATTTACTTTTCAGAATCTCAAAGTTAATGCTAAATGTATTTAAATTTTAAATAATCACTGAAATAAGGAGAAAAAGGTAATTTTAGCACGAATAGGCAAGAAATAACAACATAAATGAAAAGACCTAACCTTGCATATAACTTAAAAAGTCGAGACTATTTTCATTTGAATTAAGAAAATTTTATTTTATCACATATTATCAATTTAAAGAAAAGAGTATATTAAAATTATTAATTTTTGATTAAAATTTTATATTATTTACTCAATCCTGCTTTCCTTTCTTTGAATTCCAATATGTTATCATTTAGAACACTAGAGTAAAATTCAAGGTGACACTAATGACATTGAGGAGCTAATTTAGATTGATAAATAAATAATTTACAATCAACATTCCATCAGTTGAGCTGACTAGAATAGTGAAACATCTTGCTGCTGCTCCTGCGAATTATAAAAAGATAGTTATAAAAGCAAGTTATCCAGTGTCTTTATTTCTAAAGTTTGACCAAATTTAAGGTAGTCTTGCAAACATAACTAAAATATTAATAATGCCATATTTTACTCAAACAGATATTAATGATGATAGCTAAGTTGAAGATACTATTAGGAATGAGGCCTGTGAAAAGTGGCAAGTTTACTCCAAGGAAAATGGCCATTCTTACATAAAATTATCTTAGAGTGAATGATTTCTCATAAACCTTAAAAAGTGCAACAATAATCACAGTTTAAATTAAAATGGCAACATTTTCTGCATAAAGTTTCCAAGGATTTCCTTTATGTACATTATATGCAATAGAAAAGGAATAAACGAAGAGCTTAGTTTGAGTTAATAAAGTACTTCAAAGAAGATTGAATCAAATGATAATCCAGTGACTTTTGACTTTTGAACTATTTTAAATATCTAAGGTGCTTTCAAAATGACTGATAATGCTACGATTGAATAACTGATTAATTCAGATAAAGTCTTTTTAACGCATTCAATATTTAAGAAATCTTTTTGGATCACTAATTTATCGAAACATTCCTCTGAGAAAATGAAAAATACTGATTTCTCCTTCACTTCTGTGCTTTTAGAATAGCATGTACAAAGCAATGCTGCTTATAAAATCACCAGGACTGCCAAGTATTTCATAAATTAAATTTATTTATTGGATAATCTTAATTTTAATAAAAACCAATATTTCCTTATTATTTGTCACTTTATTATTGATTATTATTATTTTCATTTATTTCAATTAAACAATGAACTAACCAACAATTAAGACACTAGTTCTATTTATATATAGGATAAATTGATATAGAATGCCATATAACTTAAAAGGGGTTATTGATTGAACAAAGAAAAAGGACGATATTTAATATGATGACAAACAAATAATAATCAATTTTACAAATAAAAAGGATAATAATAATACTGAAAGTCAAGGAGAAATAAGATTGCATATAAGAAAATAGAGCATAGTCATTTGGTGAAGCACAATAGGTTTATCATTAAATTTCAAAATGATTAAAACCACCATTTTAGAAGAATGTGAAATTTTTTAACATTACAATGGAGTAATCTCCTAAAATTATGGAAAGTTTCAATTATATTTCAATTTTATAATATCAATTCGCAATTATCAATATAATCTTCTATATCTAATGTATGAATTAATATTTATAATTAGACTGTTTTGGATTAAAAAATTAAAAATTATGGAATAGAGCTTGGGGATAACCAGTTCGCTCATCATAATAATGAGACATTATTTATTAATCGTTGTTATTTAATAAATATCATAGTTATTCTTTCTAAATTGTATGATTAAAATTTGTTACCTTAATATTATTAAGTTTTTTATTATTATTGCGTAGAATTAATATCTTTAGGTAATCTAATCTATGGTTTCATTCAAAATCAGAAGGAATATTTCAAAAATATAACTTAGAGGGAAATTTTGAGAAAATTTTAATATTATTATAAAAAATGAGACCAAAATATTAGTAAACTTAGAATGATACTAATTCTTAAGTTAGAATTAATATTAAACATGTTTCACCAATTCAGATCGAAGTATTGAAATAATCAGGAAAGAAAGTAGAGGAAAATGAAAAGATTGGAGTTTATATATTTGAAAATCAGAATAAATCGATATTGGCATCTTCTCAAGGATTTATAGTGTGGGCATAAAATCAAAGGGTTTTTGAAATACCAGTCACTGACTAATATTTTACAATTGGAATCATCTATAAAAATAAAGGCGATATACCTAATCAAGTATAGATTATTTAATTATAAGCAGGAAGAATTGGAAAATAATACAACTTGTACTTCCTCATAGGCATAACAAAATTATATCAAATTGAATTTTGCTTAGCTTGCACTTAAGAATTGTTAGGGAAATGTTCAAATATTAAAGTGGAAGGTCAATGTTGGAGATTACATTTCGCCCATGATGATTTTAGGGATTTGCGCAGATGAAACAGAAGAGGATGTTATTGAGTTGAAATCTAAGTTTAATGGTCGAGTAATTGAATTAGCCAAGACAAAAATAATTTTGCCAAGAAGCTCTGCATTAATGGTGATTGATAGCTCACAGACTTGCAACCATTTGAAAATTGAGAATAACTATTGTCTTATTTGTAATGAAAAAGTGATTCGCAATGCTGAATCCTTAGATCTCAATTATTCGGATGATATTTCTAAAAAAATTTCAAAAGAAGTAGTTCTTGACATTTTGAAGAAAAGGAAACTCATAATGGTACTGGATCTGGATCAAACAATCTTACACGCCATCAAAGTTTCGACTAGTTTCAATAAGTATGAGTTTTGTGAGAAGCAGAATAAAATGATATAAGATGAGAGTGAGGCATAATTCAACGGGTTTCAATAATTGGGCTTTAATATAAAGGAGCATTTCCTAGATATGTCTTGCGATTAGCAGAGCAAATTTATCATTAAATTAAGACCCTACTTCGAGTAGTTCTTCTTAACATTGATACCTCTATTTGACATCTTCATTTACACCAAGGCAAGTAAATCATATGCAGATTTCATCTTAAACTTTATTACTCATAGATTAAATGAATTTATTCCTGAACATAAACCTTTCTTTCCTCCACAAAGAGTCTTATCACGTGAGGATACTATATGTTCAAACAGTAAATCATTGAACAGACTCTTTTATCCAGGAATTGCTACTAATCTATTAGTAATTTTAGATGATAATGCTGGAATGTGGAATCAATTCAAAGAGAATCTCATATATACAAAACCATTCGTATACTTTAATGAACATAGTTCTACAAAAGATGGCTAAGGAATTGTAACTGATATTGAAAAAGAAGTACAAATATTCAATAAAAATGATTTTTGGCTTTATACAATTACATAGAAATTGAAAGAAATTTCTGATAAGTTTTGGAGCCAAATTAAATAGGCTCAGGATGATCCAAATTTTATAGTTGAAATAGAATAATAAGTATGGAAGACAAAAAAAGTAAAAACTGAGATTATTGAAGATACAAGTGTAAGATTGGAAGAGAGAAATCTATTGGATTTAATAATAAACAGAAAAATCAGTGTTCCATCAATATATTTAGAAATGAGAAGAAGCGTATTGAGCGGTGTTACATTATTTTTTGCAATATCAGAAGCACATGAAGAAACTATAAAGAGAGGTTTAGAATAAGCAAAGGATAAAGCTGTTATTTTGGGAGCCAAAGTTTACAGAGAGTTTAAAGAAGATAATTTTGTGGGTCAAGAAAACAGTTACGTTATTACAGTTGGAAGAAGAAAGATTAGGAGTATCATGATTGCTTAGGAAAAGAATATTCCTATTATACATTATAAGTGGATTGAAGATTGTGATAATTATCTATTTCGAGCAGATTACAAACTATATATTGAGAGAGAAGACGGAATTAATAAAAACTTAACTGAAGAGGATCAAAGAGATTATGTCTTAAAGTGTTAGTTAATGAAAATATGAGGAGTAAATTATTTTTGAAATTGATTTTAATTAAAAAATAATTTTATTTATGTATTAATACTATTCATAAAGAAGCTCTATTTAAGAAAATGATCGCAATAGATCTTTTGGGAACATGTTCAATTCCACTAAATCCGATACTCTTTAGACTGATCAAAGACACTCAGGATGCTTAGAACGAATACAAATTCTAGTCTAAGAATTGGATCGAATGGCAGATGCTTAAAGAGTGGCCAATTAAGAAATATCACAATTAAAACAGGAACTGGAACAAGCTAAAAAAAGTAATTCGACTCTGGTTTTGAATAATGGTTTTGATTCTGAGATTCTCGCAGAATTGAAGCTATAACAATAAAAATTTAATCAATACAAACAAGTTAAGGAGTAATAAATTGAAGAATTAGAAAATGAACTACTTAAAGTCCATAAACAATATAAGGAAGAGAAATTAATAAGAATGGACTTGAATTAGAAGTATGAATAGAAATAAATGGACGTTGAATATTTACAGAAAGAACTTAACAAATATACTTAAGAACAATAGGATTCGAATGACAGTGGCATCCTTAATTAATTACATGAAGATGTGATTGAATTACAATCAGAGAATAAAGAACTTAGAAACAGTAACTAGAGTTACCAATAAAAAATTGAAGAACTTTTAGAAAATTAAAGAATTTTGGAATAAAAACTGAAATAGTAATCAAAAGAAGTATCATTCTAACCATCTCCCATTAAAAATTAAAATTAATACTCCACAACCGAATAAAGAACAGATCCAATACAAAAGTATAATAGAACTAAAACTATGCAGCCTATGTAATACTCAAACGATCAAAATTCTAATCAATAAGCTAATTCAAGTTCATCATTCAATAATCTTTAATAAAGATTGTCTTTGGTTTAAATAGGACAGAAAAATAATTCTGAAAACCTGACCAATTAATAAGATACTATCAGAAAAGATTCATTGAGGAGTCAACCAAAGCCTGTGTAAAACATTAAATACTCAACAAACAAGATTGTTCAGTAATTTTGAATTGATATTGTTAATAATTTCAGTAATCATAACACATTCCAAGTTCCTTTTTAGGCTTTGGCTAATACCTTATGAGCTTATCTTCTAATCTCAGAATCTGAGTCCCTATTGAACTTTTCTAGAGCTTCCATAACTTCTATTTACAATCTGTTAGGAGAGCCATCGCAAATAATATGGAGAATTCTAGCTCTAATTCTTGGGTCAGGATCATCAACTAGCTGAAAGATTCTGGTCCAAAATTCAGGAACATCCTCTTAAACCTTACAAGGACAGAGTTAAGAAGCTGCTGCCAACCTAATATCATTGTCTTCATTTGTAGTATAGGCCAGTATTTCGTAAACATCCTCTGTAATTTTGATTCTTGCAAGAGCATCTTTCTTTGTTTGATGATCTGTTTAAGCGTTCTTACTTTTATTAGCTTTACCCTTTTATTTCATTTATTTAATGAAGAATCTTAATGTAATTGTATATATTCTGTAAAAAATAATTCTTTATTAAAATTAAGATCAAACAATAATGATCAGAATATATAAATTGCTATTTAATCAATAAATGATATTATTAATTTGGTTTATCATTCAAGCAATCTGACTTCACATTTAAATAGCCCAGCAGCAAAGTGATATTATCCGTCTGGATTTACTTTGAAAGCGAATTGCTGTAGGATATTGCATAAAAATTTACATGACTGCTACCGACCTTCAAGATTGTAACACTGTGTTCGGGACCATTCCAAGTGAGTATTAATTTATCATTTTAATCAAAATTAAAACCAACTTTTTTAGTGTTTATGGATGGATCATTTGAACTAAATACATCTAATTTAAATATTTATTCATTACACCCTCCATGATAAATCAAGTACAAACCATGGCCAGATTCATTCCAGTCATGAAAACTAAATGCTCTTCTTCCTTTTTGTTTTCGTTCGTTTATATCCATAACTCCGATATACAAGTTCTATTTTTTAATATATACAATACTCCTCCTCTTTCCTTCACATCAATTGTTAGACTCTGTATTTGATCTTTCTCAAGTTATTGCTGGATACAAATCAACCCCATTGCATTTCCTTTCTCATATGCAGCTTCCTCTCTAATTGTCACAGAACTGGCTTTGAAATTATGACTCCAAGCAAAATGCATTCTAGTATACCATATTCTATTGGTACTTTTATAAAATTAAGGGACTCTACAAATGTTAGATATGCATGTAACTTTATAGAGTAGCATTGCTTAATGTTTTCAATGCTGATTCTGCTTATGTATTCAATTCTTTTAGGATGATTTCGTTTTCCCTTTTCCATTTTTCTAACACTTTTTATGGTCCCAACTTGTTGATTTTTAAGACATGTAAAAGACCTTGTACATTGAGTTATTGTGGAGGATTGGATTCGTTCAATTGACTTAATGCCTGATTGATAGAGGCTTTATCTGCTCCCAAAACATCATAAGCCTCTATGGTTCTATTTGTTTCAAGGAGTAAATTTACTTTATTAAGTTTTCTTCAAAGATCTTAACTGACTCATGCATCTAGACAGATCTACTTTGTATGGCCTTTACGAGTTCATCCTTATTAAATTATTAATTAATTTATTCCCTGACTTGTTGGGGGAATTAAGCACGGATCAGTTTCTAGAACTCCGAGTATATTTGATAATCATGAGACTTATGAGGGTGAATGTCATTTTTTGCTTTAAAAAACCTGCTGGATTAATCGCACTTAGGATCAATGCATATATATTGTTTCTCTTGATTTTCCTTGTGATCATTATTATCCATTTTATTTATAATTATTTCTCTATAAATTAAATAATCAATAATATATTAGCCATTTTCCAAAGGAAGTTAGAACCATCAATCTATCATTTAATAAGGATTTTATTGATCATCAGATTTCTCTAATTTTTTAGTGGAGGAATCTAAAATTTTTTATTTTTTTTACCTATAAATTTAATTCGAAAATACATATTGTAATCAACATTAAAAATGAATAAGATTATGCTATCCTTCAAAAACTCTTAAAAATAGAACCAATTCTTAGTTGATCAACTTCCCATGTTAACCTTTTTTTATGAACGAGTGTGCATATTTGGCTCAATTAGCGCAATAATTATTTTTTCCTTGGAGTTCATTTACCCTATTGGGTTTGGAAAAAGTAAATACTTTATCATTTGTTTACCTCTGGTCTTTTTGATAACGTTTAAACTAATAAAAAAGCACCCAAAGTTATTTAATTACATCATACCTTTTAACAACCTTTTGGTTGGCATAATATATAATGTTACGGTTCTATTTGAGTTAATTCCAGACTTAAATTTGATGATAGGATAAACAGTTGTTTTGGTGTAGTTCAGTTTACTCTTGGGGTCAAACTTTGCACTTAATATGGCAATTATAATATTTAACTTTACTACTTTGGTGTTAGTGTAAACTATAGTTTAGGACTCCTTCAATGGAAATTAAGTTATGTTGATATTAGGTACTAAAAATAAATAAAAAATTTAGCTCTTATTTTATCCTGCTTGTCATACTATTCAAATGAGTATCAAAAAAGAGAGTTCTTCTTACTAAAACAAAGAAACGAAGTGCAATATGGCAGTCTAATTGAGCAGTTCGGCATATAGGTGTTCAAAGTCAAATATGACAGAAAAACCAACTTCCTGAGATTAGAATCTCAAAATTAAACCACAATCGGAGACAACTTCTCCTCTTAAGAGGATTTCAGGAAGTTCATCAGATAAATTCTGATTCCCAAATAGCAGAGATCAGCAATGATATAATCAAAAATTTCATCATCAAAACTAAGGAGTGACCGCTTACTTGTGAACTCCCAAGCTAAATTGACTCGAATTACATTTCCAAATTTAGATAGCTATGAAACCCTTGAGTAAGTGCTTCATAAATCATTAACTGCATAAAAAAGCGACAATTTTTAATTCTTACAGGGTTACGACTTCAATTAGAAATGTGATTATAAAATAAAAATCTTGCATACTATTGAAAAAGGAGAAGCCAAAGCAATCGTATTACTTCAATAGAATGAAATCAAAAAAGAATTTATTAAGGTTAAATAATAGAGAGATTGCCTGAGGAAGACCATAACTTAATTCCAAAAATTATTTGAAATTCGAATTAAATAAATGAGTTCACTTATAACTCCTAGAGGGCTACAGTAAAAAACTGTTTTGTTATCTGAAGTAAACTTTCGATTACTTCAATTCATTTCGGAATATTTTTCGATATGTATTAGTAAGAACGATATTCCGAAGTTAAAAATTTCTACTATCAACATTCTAAGCCTAATACAATAAATAGAGAGTCCTCTAAGAGATTATTTAAATTATCAATAGATTAAACTTACTTATCAAACTGAACACAATTTAATCATTACTAATAATACTTATTTGATCACTCATTTAATTCTAAGTCTATTGTGCTTCCTTATTGAAAAGTCTCCATTATCAATTACTTTAATTATAAATTAGAAGTATGAAACAGGGTTTAAATTGGAGAATGTGGATGAAGTTGTGATTAAGATAAATGCTCAGTACGGAGGAACTATCAAGAAGGTATTTGAAATAGAGTGTTTCAATAGAATGATGACAAAGGTAATCAAGATTATTGGTCCCAGTGGTAAATTCCTATATAAATAAAGTGATAGTCAGTTTGGTTAGGAAATCACCTTTGAGGGTGTAATCTTTAAGAATTTAAGCTCATTTAAAGCAAGCCTTTCAAAGCTTTGAATTTCATTTAACCTTAAATAAATATAACTAATCACTTTAATTTTTGATATAAGTTTAAAATGAAAATTAGACAAGTAGTGGTCTCAATTTATATATTTTTATGAATAATTAAATATATTAATTACAGTTGTATACATGATGCAGTTGCCAAAACTCATCCAAGAACATGTATTATTTGAGTGCAGAGGTAAAGTACGATATTTATGAAGAGTTAAAGTAACAGTAATCAGATAATATCATTTTTGATAAGAGCATGAAAAGTATAAAAACTCATAAATATAGAGGTTTCGTATTAAAGGTGGGTCCGACAAATCTCTACACTTACCACAATTCTCAAGACTTAAATCTGAGGGGTTCCAATTTGTACATCCAAATATACGTGATTGAAAAATTGAAATTCACCCTTGAACTTACTTCTAAAGATGAAGTATCGATATCCATTATATAAACAGACTTATAAGATTATAGTAGGCTCCAATTTTCAATAGGCATACACAAAAAACAAAAATGAAGTGAAAATATCAAGCGCATTCATATTGACAAAAAAATGGATCAGCTTAGCATTTGATATTGACAGTTTTTTCAAGGTTGGAGAAATGTAGGTCAAGACGCTCACTATTCAAACTCTTTGTAGATTGAAGAAGATATATGAATCTAATATTGTGGGCAAATTAAAGTAATAGTAATTTATAACAAAGTGATGGTTTATGTATTATTTAGAAGATTTGCGAAAAAAGAATCTTGGAACTCTTACCAATGAGTGTTAGAGCATAATCAGAAAACCTAGAAATTAGAAAAAATTAATTATCTAATCAATTACGAAGAATATCTAATATATCCAATTCTTAAGAAAGAAATATTTAGAGTCAATAGGAAAGGAAATCTGTATAGCCCAAATAGATTTATATGAATTTTTAAGAGTAAACTAAACCCAGTAATCCAAATGGACTAAAAGTAAAGGCAATTTCGTTTGCTTAACAATAGAGAAAACCTATTTAATTATAGAATGGCAAAAATCCATCTATAAATAGAATCCAATTGTAAGCAAAACCTATTGTGTTTGAAGATAGAACCAAAGCTACTAATCCAACTCAAGAACAATAATAAGCAGCGTAGTAGTCCTCGCAACTAATGCAATCTGAATCTAATCGATCAAAGAAGTTGCCTTAAATGGGAGCAACTCTAACAAAGTAATATTCTTAAGAATGTCTATTGGAGAAGACAATTCAATTAGCAACTGGATTGTAGGTGATCGAAGAAGTTGCTTCCACTAAGCCCCCTATTCATTCCAAATCGAATTCAACTAAACAAAGCACTTAAATGCAATTATAGAAAAAAGCAGTTTAAAGTTTCCTTAGACATAATCAAGACTTTTAAAATGGAAGTAACTATACTCATGATCCTTTTGATGAATTAAAAACAGAGAATGATTAAAAGCATAAACAGTCCTAGATTAGCTCCGGAGTCAAGGATTTGTATTATGAATGTGACAATTCTTAATATTAAACAAAATATGGTAAATTTTCCAATACTTTTACACGTCCTTTGGGATTGTCATCCTACAATCACAGACTAGTGTCTCAACAATCCACAAATTAGAACCAAGGGAGCACCAATGAGTATTTTTACTTGAGTAGTTAATAAATAGAATAAAATTAAAGTGTAAATTAAACAGCAAATGAAATTGAGGAACAAATAGAAGCTCCAGAGCTAAAAAGTAAGATCACAGATGAAAGTTTCATTTCTATAAATGGTCTATAAATTAAGTAGGAAGATAGTGAAGAGGAACTTGCAGTCTCAAAGTTCGAATGAATAATTTTTGTATTTATTAAGAAATATATCTTCCACTAACAGGTTTGCAAATAACTGTATTAATTGCTATTAAATATGAATCAATCATTTCTCCATCCAACATAGACTTCATCAGTTCTAAATCTTTGAGTGACAAAAGTATCTTTGAAATTGGTAGCTCCATTAGAAAAGTACTCCAAAATGCCTAAACTTTATTATGAATTAATTACACCTGTATAAGCAATCATGGCTCCGTTATCTATGCAGTATCTCTCATCCATAGCTCCTATCTTACCCCCTCTGTCTTTGACCATAATAGACACCATTTCTTATAAGCGTTCATTACAACCAACCCCACCCACTATGATGACATCTGTAGATTCACAATGAGACATTGCTCTTTCTGTCACTTCAGTCAGCATTGCAAAAATGGTTTCTTAGAGAGTAAAGCATAAGTCTTCAGTAGTTAAATCTTAAGGGATAGGATTAGTCCATTTCCTGACTAGTTTTGTTTATTTATTCTTTCTTTTAGCTCGGTCATTCCCTTCTACTTCAGGCAACTTAACTTATGGATAGGCATTGACGACATCCTCCACAAATGTTAGTAAACCACTAAAACTCATATCCATTCCTTTTACAACGTAAGGAGTATCAAGGATATAATTTTTACCTTTCTTGGCAAGTTATTCGATGTTATACCCTGGGGCTGGATCATTACTTATATTGACTAACCTCGCGAAACGATCTAAGCAATTACCCACTGCTATGTCAATGGTTTCTCCAAATACTCTGTATCTATTTTTTGAATATGCTATAACTTGGGTATTGCCTCCGCTTACATAAAGAACTGCAGGGTTTTGACACTAGGTAGCCAATCTTCCCATTTCAATATGAGCAACACAATGGTTGACTCCCACTATTGGAATTTTATAAAGTAAGGACAAAGTTCTCGCAACAGTAGCACCTATCGAAAGTGGTCCAGCCATTCCAGGACCTTTAGTGTAACATATTAGACTGATATCGTCTAATGTAACATTAGCAATTTTAAGTGCTTCATTCAAGACTTCCAATATTTTATTTCTATGATGTTATGCTGTTTCTTTAGGCACAAACCCAGTTCCTGGAGGAGTTATATAAGTTCTCCTGGGATTAGACAGTATGCTGCCATCTTTAGCAACTACTCCAATGCCAATTTTATTAGCACTTCCCTCAATGCCCAAAGCTAGAAATTATTTATTCATAAATAAATTAATATTCACATCACTCTAGATTCTTAGGGATGATAATTCAGATTGGCCAATTCAGACTCTTAACGAATTACTTAAATTTAGTAACCAGTGTTGTTCTGTGCAGTTGGGGATGCCAATTTTGACACTTCCTCATTGGCATGCCCATGTCCTCCTAATTTATTCAGAAAGGAGAGTTTTGGGTCTGGAAGCAGTCTTAGTAACACTCTCACAATCAAACTTCCTGAGCCAAATGCAACGCAAATCAACCTTAAATCTATAATTCACGTTTACCATTGTTGAATTCTTAATCCAAAAAATGTATAACAGTGGAAGACGATTCCACCAAATGTAACTATAATAATTTACAGAGCCAGAATCCCAATGACTATTATAGGAAATAGGATGTTTGTGAAAATGCCTTGGAAAATATTGGGTTCATCTTTTATCCTCCTTGCATTTATGAAGTTGAATAGCTGCATCATCACAAAGGTATTAAAAATCATTGTAAATTGTCTTGAAGGGATATAACTCTTTTTGTAGAACGTTTCGTAGTTCTCTGAACCATCCACAAAATAATCAGTGCTGAAGGAAACTAAGTTGCAGTACTCTTAATAATTAGGACATAAATGGATCTTAATTGCTTCATCGTAATATGTATTGGAATACTTGTATTCCAGGTTTCCTTCAAAATCTGCATTGCTATCTTCTGATCCCTTGTATTCAGGAACAAAGCTTTGAGCAGAAAACAATAATATTAGCATAATAATCATCTAATAAATGGCTTATCCCAGAATGTGCTTGAACATTTTTTCTGAAACCATGTACTCGTTTCTATTATGAGGTTTTCTCTACAACAATTCTGGTGTAGGTGTTTCTGTAGCCAAAGCCAAAGAGGCAAAGGTATCCATAATCAAATTGATCCAAAGCATTTGGATTGGTTCCAGGACTTCCTACTTAAGTAACACTGAAGATATCAAAGTCAATGTGACAGCCACAACATTGACTGTCAATTAAAATTGCAAAAACTTCTTTATTGAATCGTAGATATTCCTTCCCCACATCACTGCCTTGACTATTGAACTAAAATTATCATCCAATAGAATAATGGAAGCACTCTCTCTAGCAACTTCTGTGCCTGCAATACCCATAGCAAATCCTACATCAGCCTTCTTTAGAGCAGGAGCTAGAAAGAATTTAATTCAATATATTACCATCATTAGTACCATCCCCGGTCACTGCTACAACATGTCCTCTTTCTAGGAGTCCTGTCACAAGTGCATATTTATCTTCAGGTCTACTTCTGGCTAAAACATCTAAAAGAGGATAGATTTTATCAAATTCTTCACCATTTTTAATGGTATCCACTCTAACTGGTTTACCTAATTGTTTGGCTGTTGATTAATCTCTTGGACAATCACAACTAGCTGTCTTGCACCATTTACAAACTACACCTCCGATTCTATTAACAAAGTCTGGACCTTCTAATACTAAGGAGCGTTCCTCATCAATCAAAATTCCACATTCTTTTGCTATAGCTCTGGCAGTGATCTTATTATCACCAGTTACCATTCTAACTTTGATACCTGCAGTTTTGCAATTAGCAACAGCTCCAGGGACTTCAGGTCTTAAGATATCTTTGATTCCAACAATAGCAATCAAGGTCAAATTTTCAGTTTCAACATCATACACCCCTTTATCATTTTTGCTAGTCAGATCTTCAGATCCATTTAATTCTCTATAAGCTAATCCGATAGTTCTAAGAGACTGCGATGCCATAGATTCTATTGCTTTCTCTATACTTTATCTGACATTAGAATCAATTGAAATGATGCCTCTGCTTTTCGAATGCAATTTATTGCACCCGTCTAGAATGATTTCACTAGCACCCTTTATAACTAACCTTTTTCCAATGATCATAGCCATTCTTTTTCTTTTGCTTGAGAAAGGGATCTTAACACTGGCAACATGATGTTCTCTTTCCTTTTCATAGATGATCCCACATTTCTCGGCAAATAGAATCATGGCTACTTCAGTTTTACTTCCTTTTTCCTCTGGTCTAATCATGGCTGTTCCATTAACAATTGATGATTGGACATACAACTCATGCATCTAAGCAGGAAAATAAGTATTCAAATTCAATTACTCATTATACACATCAATGTCCATAAGACTGTCATTCCAAATTGATACCATAAACATTTTATTTTAAGTCAATGTGCCTGTTTTATCTGAACATACCATATCTGCTCCACCCATAGTCTCACAAGCAGCCATTTTTCGAACTAAATTGTTGTCCTTCAGCATTCTTTTTGTAGAATAAGCCAAGGAAAGAGTAACAGCAAGTGGCAATCCTTCAGGAATTGCAACTACGATGACTGTGATTGATATGATAATGAAATTAAGCATTTCCTTCACATGATCTTTTTCAAATGAATTTTCTTTAATCCTTTCCACGGCAAATCTCAATAATAAAATTAACAATATCAAGGCAGCACTTGCAAGACCGAACTTACCTACATCTTAAGCGATGGCTTCTAATTTTTCTTATAATGGAGTGGTTTGTACCTCCTCAGTAGCAAGCAACGAGGAGATTTTTCCAACGCAACTAGAATCTCCTACTACAGCTACTATCATCTTACCCTCTCCTGAAAGCACCTTCGTGCCACTGAGCATAACTGGAGAGGGAATATCATGTCTACCACAAGAGTTCTGTTGATCTTTCAATTTATCTCTCGACCTTTTACAATTCTCGTAAGTATCTTTTTTGATCGGATCAGTCTCCCCTGTCATCGCACTTTCCTATTGAGCATTTGTTATTTGATTACGTCACATGTTAATTCAGCTGCCTCCACAACAAAGCAATCTGCTGGTATTTCCATGCCTTCAAAGATTTAAATGATATCACCCACCATCACTAAACTCTGGTGCAAATCTATTTTTTATCCATCTCTCCAAACTGTTACCGTTTTCCTGCTGTCAGCCATCTGATTTAAACTTTGAAATTATCTCTCCTTTTGATAGTCCTTCACATAAATGCTTATCTCTTACATTGATTGCAGTTACATTGCAACACACAAACACGGCTATGAAAATTGCAAATCCTTCTATCCAAGCCAAGGAGCGATGATCATCATCTGCTGTCGACACTCCAATTACTATTGAGACGATAGAGGCCACCAGCAACACTCTCATTATGAAATCCTATTTAGATTCTATACTAATAATTCAACCTCTAAAGCTTATAAAAGCAATTATATGTAAGTTTTTGGGGGAATTACAGGTTTCCTATTATTCCCGAAGAGAATTTCCCTCTCCTGAAAATCGTCTCCCTTTAAACCCTTCTAAAAACTGGTGCACAAAGTCATTTCCAAATTTTGTAAACCATTAATATTTTCTAATTCATCTATCTCCTCCGCAAATAACCGTTCCTAAGCAGCGCTAACTATTTTCATTAAGGATTATTTGGAAATCCTAAAATTACCACCCTGATGAAATAATTCTTATGAAATAGATAAGTTTTATTCATCTGATAGTACTACTTGCAACATCAATATAATTAATATATCGTTAAATTTGAAATTCTTATATGATCTCTGAGTCAATAGTTTATGTTTGGGGAGGTATTGACACTACTAAACCTTATAGCTGATAACGAAGGGTAATTGGGTTTGGGCAAGAATCGAGGATCCTCATAATACTACCATATACCAAAGATTTGTCATTATAAAATCGGCTTTGTCTAGGTGTCTTGTGGCAAGGATCACACAGCCCTTCTCACTTAGAATGGTCACGTGTACACTATGGGCTGCAACGAGCACAACAAATTAGGACATGCTACTAAACAGTCTGTGCAAGCCCCTTAAAAAATAGAATAACTCAGCAAGTACAATCTCTTATATTAAAAGAGAGTTATACAAGTCTCTTGTGGTTACACTCACACTGCATGTGTTACGTCTGATGGATCCCTCTACACTTGGGGAGACAATTCTTGCGGTTAATTAGGAGTCAAGTAGAATGGGAATTTGAACAAAGTGAGTGCTTTAACAAATTGTATTCAAGTTTCATGCGGCAATAAGCATACATTAGTATTGACAGGTACACTATCATATAAATAGTATAAAAGATGCTCAGGAAAGCTTTGGATTTGGGTTGAACGACAATTCTCAATTGGGAATCTCAAGATTGAAAACTGTTGTTGAACCAACGAAAATTAAATTGCCTGCTTTATAATAGAATTGTGCAGGCAATCTATTTTCGTTGTTCTTGACTCAAGATGGAATTGTGTACATTTGTGGATTGGGTTTTGGAAATTTATAAAAATTAAACTATAAATGTAATAAGATCTACTGATAAATAGAAAAGTTTATTAAGATTGATGGCAAGAGCACTCCTATCGGTTTGACTTCAACGAACGAACTTATCTTTTTTGAATTAGATGAATAACTTATGAATATCAAAGACTTCTGCATGGGGGAATTAGTTGGAATGTGCATAGGAGACAAGGCCTATTAATGGTAGTTTGATCCAGAATAAAAGAGGATTACTCAATTAAAATCGATTGATCAATTATACTCTAAATAGTTAATACATTTTTCAGCAGGGAATAGTCATTTGATATGCATTGAATAGAAGGGATCCTCATCGTTTATTGAAAGCGTCTGCAGTTCAACTACAACTCTTAGAGGGAAGCACGAAGAAAGGAGCAAAAGCAACTATACTGAGAAACAAGACGGCACTCAGAGTTTGAGAATTCAACAATTAGAAAAGTAATTGGAGGAAAAAGATAGATTAATCTAATAAATGAAAGCAGATTACCAATCCAAATTATAGTAGATGCAACAAAAACAAAAGGAAATGGAGGTGTAATTATCGAGTAAGGATTAAGAAATTGCAAGATTGTAATTATCTTTATTCAAATTTGTAGAACTAATGAATTGCATCGATTGCAAGAAGATCATTAGAACAAGAATTCCGATTCAGAAATACTATAATGCCATGTACAAGATGAAGGAAGTGATGAGGAGGAGGATGTAAAAGTCTTGAAGAAATAGACTTCATTGCCATATCAGTAACCAAATCTGACTTATCATCACTCTTCACATTCTCAATTACATAATTATTAAAATCAATAGTAAGTGAAGAGTCCAGTCAAAGCCATAATCCAAGAAAACAAATTTGAGGATAATCCACAGAGAAACAAATTTTGTAAAACTGATCATGATAGGGAGGCTAAGTATTAATCCTTTGAAAAGTTGAAGAAGAAGGAAGTTTTAAATGAGAGACCTCAAAGTTCCATTAGGGAGAAGACGAATAACAACAATGAGAAGGCAAATCTTTCTACGATTAAATTAAGATTAACAGATTTACAGAAAAATAAAGAGTAACTTGAATAGAGAATGAGATAATTTGAGGATCGTCTTAGGGAAAATAAGCTATATACAAAGTGAATAGAAAATTATAATTAGTATATTTCATTCTGATTACTTTCTTTCAATTTTTTTCTATATAAAACTAAGGAATGTATAAGAAATGTTCTCGCTGTAAGTTCTTTATCTGTTTTAAGATAGGTCTTATGAGAGAACTTTCTTTTGATTCTATTATTCTTTGATTTCTGGAAAGAGAGTCTCCAGATTGTCGGTTGTGGTAGCATCGCTGAGGAGGTCCAAGTCATCCATCGCAAGATCTGGATTTAGTTTTGGCTTGAGGGAAGGCTTCTTCGGTTCTTTTTCGAAAATACTCACATATTCCTCATAAGTCATAGAAGAATTCAATCTCTTTTTTAATTCGGTCATATTATTTATATTATTCAAAATCCATTTTATTAAATAGGGATTTGAATGATACTATTAATTTAGTTTATTAATGTTACAGTTCATAATATACATAATTTTACTTACAAAAAGTATTCGAATAAAACAATTTAATTTTAATGAAGAAATAGAAGTTTTTATATGTGATAAATTAATACTGGGAATGGTATATCATCTTCTTGGTAAACGAGTGACTTTATTCTTCTTCTTTCTTTTAAAATTTGGATCGTTTTTCTCCATTCCTGCTTTCACCTTCTTCGATTTTGAAATGGATTCATCCACTAATAAATTATCAATTTATAAATTCTCAGACAAATGGAAGTACCTGATATTGTTTCCTATGTAATGATAGTCAGCAAACCTCTAATAGTCAATTGATCCAGTCCCACAGGATTCTTTCCCTTCAATGTCAATTTCACTTTGCTTAAATGCGTATTCATTCTAACATCAACTCCTGTGATTGTTCCTAAAACAACGGTCCCATTTTTTAATTCTACAATGACCTGCTCATTCTTGAGCTTCATCAGAAACCTGACTAATTTCATTTATTATTGAATAATAAAAATAATAATTATTTGTTTTTACGATAAACTTATCTCAATTAACTTTTAATTTCCCCTTGCCACTCTTTAACTACTTGTATAATTGATTATTTACCATAATAGGCTTAACAACTAAGATAGCTATGCTTCTCCATACAATACTTCCCATTCCTATTGCAGCACAAATAAACCTATATGGTAATCATTCAATATTACCATTATTTAAGGCTTAAACCATCGGATGTACCCATAACAGATCCTCCATATTCCACAATTACAAACTGAATAACTCCTATCAATAACTTTGCAATCAACTGATCCAAGATCTAAAGAATCCATGAAAGACATTAAATTCTAAGTGTACCCTATATGAATTAATCAAATTAAATATTGTTGTCATAACATATATATTGAATACCATTAAGGGCTACATAATTAGAATATTAAATACTTGATTCAAAAATAAGATGCATGCTATAATGATATATGCTGAAAGTATGATGCTGTGGATTATTATATTTTCATCTATTATAAATCCACTTTTATTAGAAGGTTTTTACCTTACTAACTATTAATTCGGTATACAACAAGATAAAGCAAATGTAGCAAATAAATCATTAAATAAATGGATCCATATTAATTAAAGTGGCGATATCATAGTATCTCCAACAGCTACTTAGACTATTAAAACGACAAACAATGCAAAATAGGATGTGATCAAATATTGAACTATTCTTTTAATTGAATCCACAAGATTTCTAGCAAATAAAAGTCCTTTTTAAATAGAAATAATATTGTCATCCAATAGGATAATCCCTGAAGCTTCTCTAGCAATCTCAGTTCCGGCTATTCCCAAACTAAACCCTACATCAGCCCTAGTTAAAACAGGAACTTTAATTTAATTAGTATTGATATATACCATCATGAGCACCATGACAGCAAGCTCCAACTACATGACCAAAATACTAAAATTCTTATACAAGTTTATATTTATCCCTTGGTCTTGCTCTACTTAGAACATGAAGATTTTAGATTTCGTTTTTAGAATTTTAGCCCTTTCTATTAAATCTTTCAGAGAAATCGCTTCCCTCCATGATAATAGAATTGGATATCATAATTCCTGCATTAATAGCAAAATTCTTAGCGCTAATAGAATCATTTTCTGTAGTAAAAACAACTTAAACTCCAGCTTATCTCAATCCTTTTACAGCCGATTATGTTTCATCTCTCAATGGATCTACAAAAAGCAAGAAACCTAATAATGTTAAATTCTATCGATCATATTCAAATTGGTTATTTTCTATCAATTCTTTTACATTTTCATTTTATAAATCCACATCCCTATAAGCTATTCCCATAATCTTTCCTTATTGATGCATTTCAACCATAAGTTATTCTAAATTCTTCTTTAACACATCATCAATAGCAACAATTCCATTTTTCAAACTATAAAATTTAGTTGACGAACTTAGTATTTGTTCAGCTAATCCTCTTACAACAACTCTATCATTGTTGATAATAATTGACTAATTATTTATATATTTATATATACTTGTATTTTTCTAGCACTACTAAAAGGAATTCTATGTGTCACTTATTTTAATCTTTCACTTAAATTGAGTTCTATTGTTTCAGAGAATTCAAACAATGCCTTTTCTATTTAACTCCCAGATTCAGTATTTGGATCATAGTAATTATTAATGAAACATGAATCAATTAAGGCCTATTAGAATTCTTTTGGGTAGAGATTAAATTAGGATGTAGTAAATTATTCTATTGTATCATTCATAATACTTTCTACAGTAATTCTATTTTGTGTTAGAATACCTGTTTCATCAACAACCACCTTAATGATAAATAATATAAATTACTGTATCCATAAAAGCCATGTTCTCTAATTTCTATAGCCTTCTCACCAAGTTTTATTCATATAGCATAAATTTTACTACCTCACTCAATTGAATTTAGAAATGAGTATATATTGTTTCGTATGCTTTTCCAGATTTTAAAGCTAAGATTAAATTCAGTATTTTTGAAAACATACTATATCTATTAATATTCTATTCACTATATTAGAAAATGAATCGAACTAGCAACATGACGAATACTATTATAATTCCAACAAACTTTATTCTTTCCATTTTATGCGAAATATTGCGAATTTCTCCTGTAATGGGTGTTTATTTCTCTTCTTATTAAAGAGGAATTAATATTCTATTAACTAATGCCTCTGGACCAACTGCTAAAACTAATAATTTTCCGCATCCCTATACTACTCTACTTCCTGCATAGACTAAATGTTTCTAAGGTGATATTGGCTATTAGGATTAAACTACTTCTTCCAATGTAACTTTATGAACTGGCTTCTCTTCCCCTGTCAAGGAGCATTCCTATTTCAAGATGATAACCATAATTTACATCAATATATAAGTTTTGTTATTTAACAATTAATCCATCGACATAAATTTCGTCATTCTCTTATAAAATAACAATGTCTCCTACTACGAGACTGTCTGCTATAATTCTTATCAATTTTCCATTTCTCAACACAACTGCGAATTTAGTTTATTCATCCAAGCTTTAATTTTATTACAACTTTTGTTCGTCATTCTTAATCTGAATTTATAAATTTAATATTTTACTTGAGAAACAGACAACACAAATGATAAACAAATTAATCCAAATGTTACTAAACTTTCAATCCACTCATTTGTGTATATTCCATCAGTTGATAAATAAATTAATATCATTGAATTTATTGACAAGGAAAATAAGACCATTGATTTAGGTTTCTAAGTTTATAGAATCATTTACAAATAGAATTATCCACACTGCTTTCATCGTACTTATGCAATCTTAATTTTATTTCCTATTCTCTCCAAATTCCTATCGCCTCAATAGCACTCCATCATTACTTAATCCTTATTCAATGTTACATTTTAAGGAATCTTCAAAGCACTTGGTTGTATTGAACTCACCCATACTATCTTAATTATCCTAAGTTATTCCAGATGCTAATATTTGTTGCAATTTTTCTTTCGATACCTTAAACATCAATAATTTAAATAAAATCTAAAATCTTAAATTAATAAAAGTGTGTTATGTACTCAATTATTTTATGAAAAAATTATGTGTCTATTTTAGTATTATCAACTTTTAATTAAAGTCTACTTGTATTATTCCCATTTTAGTTATTATTGATTATTAATATTCAGATAAATGTGTTTCGCTTAAGAATCAAAATTTAAACTAAAAATAGATTAATTTTTCAACAATCTTTACCCTATTAGTTGAAGTTGTAGAATGTGTCTCAATTCAAAAATACTCTGATTTACCTTATCATTATTGAGATGAAAAATTTGAGGAAAAATTGTTGAAGGTAGTGATAAAATTGAAAATAGAGGAAGATATTTTAGATTTGAAAAATTGTATGGCAATTTTCTTTTGAAATACTTAATTAGTTTTATGATTAAATCATTAAATGAGTACTATTGATTCAGTAGAGTCTTATGATTTGGATTAATAAAATAACCAACACTAAACAAGGATTATTAGAAAGACGAATTGTACCTTATATTGAGGGTTTGGGATTAGAATTTCGTATAGAATCAACTAAGAAGTAGGGGCAGAATTTTTAGAAGAAATTCTCATTTCATATTAATCTAAACTAATTACAGATGAAAAGATAAGGATTGATTTTCTCTATTTCTACATTAATAATTATAATAATGTAAACGCATCACTTGCTTGCCACTCTGAGAATCGAAAAACCAACTTAGAAGCCATAATTCTTGAAAATACTGCAGGATCATATGATTGTGAATTGCACCAATGAATAAATTGATTAGGCTTGGGAACATTGTCAAGAAAAAGAATATAAATAAGTTATAGAAGTTTTACAACAGCAGAGAATGAGAAGCATCTCATTAAATTCTCAAAAAATATAAACTAAGTTACAACCCCTAGTTGAAATATTTGATAAAATGGACAACATCAGAAAAAGAGAAGGTAACGAAAAAGAAATTAATAAATAATTGATTGCCTTGAAATTTGAGGCTGAACGGAAATTAAAAGATTTCATTAATGAATCCTGCTTAGACAGCAGTTTTACTCAAGTTTTATAGGAAAAGATTGTTGAATTTCAGGGAGAAAGAAATAAATTAAATGAAGAATAGGGCAAGTAAGGTAGCAAGAAAGCATAGTAACGATTGATTGATCGACAAAAGGTTAGGGCTACAAAATTATAGTAATAAATCTAATTCGTCCTGCACAATGATGACAACAAAGCAAGGGCATAGGCAATCTGTACAAAATTGCTAAATACTTCAGTTCCGAGATATAAATCAACATTGAATGATAAATAAGAATAAAGAATAATTAAAATAATGAACACTAAGTTTTTATTATGAACACTTAATCATTCAATTATGTGATCGCTGCCATTTCTCGATTTTTTATTAATTTCATCAAAAGAAGGAAAGTAATTAGACCCCAAACTTTACTCAAAGCTAGGTTGACTTCCTCTAATAACTTGAATCTTGATATCCGGAATATTTTCATTAGAGTTAGTGATCTACATAGGTTTGATATGTGGGAATGTTCTCACGACTTCATGTGGGCTCTCATCTGCGACTCCTAAGTCTCCTATTGAGAAAGTGACAGACCATGATACCTTAAATAGATTCTTCAAAAAATGGGTGTAAGAGAGCCTGTTCTGGAGAAATTCTCTTATTGGGATCCTTTTGTAACATCTATTTCAACAAGTCTAAGATCTCATTAGAGCAGCACTTGAGATGGTTATTGCACTTAAATCTCTTGTTGTTTTCAAGAATTTCATCACTATTATTACCACTAAATAAGGATCTTCGACTCAGGAGTTTGTAAAATATAGCACCTAAACTAAACATATCAACTTTTGTGGTATATGGATATTTATCGATGAACATTTCTGGTGCAATGTACCCAGGAGTCCCGCATAATTGACGATTAGGAGTAGATAAGGGGATGGCTAGACCAAAATCGATGATCTTAACTGTCTCCACATTATTGGGTTCAAGAAGCACTAGGTTTTCTAATTTTAGATCTCTGTGAATGATGTTGAGGAAATTCAAATAGCATAATGCTTTAAGACATCTCTAATTATTTCTTATGATAAATACACTCATCACTGCCTTGATTTGAGAAACGTTCAATTGCGTCTTTTTGATGAATGAGTAGAGGGTTTCACCTTTGAGCAATTCCATAATGATGTAGTATGACTTATCCCCTTCATAAATATCAACCATTTTAACAATTGAATCATGTTCGATTAATCTCATTAGCTCTATTTCTTGCAGCAAACGATTCTTTGATATTTAAATTTATCATACATATCTTTCTTTGTCTTCCCTTTTAAAAATGTAATCTTTTCTGATGCATTTTGATGCAAATTCGTAATGAGTTATCTTGTTTTAAACCTTATAAACTTTGCATGAAGCTCCAGCCCCAAGCATTTCCTTGCTCTCATATATAGCTGAGATGTTTCCAAAGAATATGCGAGTGTGCAATTCTCGATATAATGCTTCTAGATCATTCTTCTCCGCATGAAACCATTTAAGTACTTTATTATACTTCATGCCAAATGCAATTAACTAATTTTATTCGGTTTTCCAAAACACTAAATTTTGGAATATTAAATCAAGGATGTACTTAGCTTATTGAAAGTTTGCTGACTCTTTTAGTGTGAAATTTTTCTTACTTGCGATATTTAAATGCGATTATCATCAATCAAGAGGTGATAATGTTTGTCTTTCAAGAAATGCTTGCGTTAGCATCGAATTTAAAAGGAATTTTGATCCATTTATTATAACATTATTATTTATAAATAATTTAAAAAATATTAAATCTCCTCCACTCAAATTATGTTAAAACTATTCAAAATTAGTATATTCACAACGTATACAGTAGTATATTAAGCAATTTATATTTAATCTGTCAAGTTCTTTTTTATAGATATAAAATAATATTTAATTAAATTGCTTAACAAAATTCAAATAATAATTCATAATAAAGTTTTAAAAATAATATTTGTGTACTTTTATTTATTATATATCACTTATTCAGCCAATTAAATAGCTTAATTCATAGTCAGCTTTCAAAGATTGATCAACCACTGTTTTATTGTTTTTATGATACTCCTCAATATCTACTAATTTATCTCCAACAACTTAATCAAAGCCAGTGTTCTCTAAAGCCTTGTAATTTGCAATCAATTTGGCTAAGTTAATGTACGAGGGACAATATAATTGTTGTCCAACAATGCAGTTATTGGTTGGAGGAATGATCTAGTTAAGTTTATAATAAATAAATTACCTTTTCGATGAAAGAACTATTAAATTAAGCCTTATAATTAAGGCTATCCTCAATTAGATGAATAATAGACTTGAAATCTATATGCTTGTGTCCTTTAGCCAAGAGCAACTTACCCGCATGATCGCCTGCAAGAACTCTCGCAACAATTGCCTCTAAATCTCCTGTAAAGATTGGGGCACATGATTGTCCTGTGCTTTTGAAATAAATGCTTTATCCATTATAAATTCTTTAAGCAATTTTATTAGTAAATGTGCTTTGAGGTCCAAATGTAATATCAGATCTTATTCCAACCAATTGAGGAATGGAGCGACGACCTTCAACTTCTAAATGTTTCCACTCATCAATTTCTTCCTAATGGTCATGTTCAACTGGAGCCACATAAGCCACAGTTTGGTAATTTCTAGTCTTGGCCAAATCTAGAGTGGCAACCAATAAGTTTTTCTTGGAGGCTGTTACTTAGTAATAGTCATGGCTCACATAAAGGAGATTGTTGGCTTATTTGATTACATCATGGAGATCTTGACGATCACCCACTTTGAACAACTCTATCTTGGTTGAGAATTATTGCTTGAACTTAAGTAATCTTTGAACTGTGAAGTATGTTGGGAAGATATCAGCACAAATGATCTTCTCATACTTACCACTTTCAGCAGCTACTCTTAAGAATCCTTAAGCAATTCTATTGCTTGCATTTAGAAGCAAAAGAGACATATCAAATAAATAATTATATTTAGGATTTAATATCTAAGTAAATTTATATACACATAATCTCAAAATCCCCCAGTCTTTCTTGATCGTATTAAGTAACACTTGAATTCATCTACTAATTTAGTGAGTTATTGAGCCTCTCTTTGCTTCTGCAATTTCTGTTCTCGTTAAATTTAGAATTGTTTCTATCGCTAATCGAAGTTTTCGAAATTATGAACCTTCTTGGGTGTGTGATGCGGATTCAATAGAGTTTGTTGTCTAATCAATACACTTAATTATACATATGACGAATGAATGAGTCATCATCCAAATAATCCAATTCACTTTTTGGAGCTATCTTGACTTGAACTGTATTTTATTAAATACTCAACACTGGCTACCTTTTAATTTAGTTTCTCCTTTCCATTTCGTCAACCACTTTTTACACTATGATGTCAATATATTTATCTTAATCAATGCTAGAAAGTGAATTGTTGTTTGAATAAACACTTGGAGTCTTTGATATTTTTAAATAAGGTTGTCTATTTTCCTTTGCTTCTTCATTTGGCAATCTTAGGAACACTTCCTTAACATTGATATCATCTTATTTTTCATCAATTATTGATGAATTGCTTTCCTCAGTACTAGTCTATTTATCTTGTTTCTAATCTCTCTAACAATTGTGGAATTATTTAATGAATTGTCTAACCTCTGGACTAACAGAATCTCTATAGTGTTTCATATCAGTTAATTATTTGTTAATAAATTATAAAATAGTAGTAAAATTCATCTCAATTTCTTGCCAACTTAATTGTCTTTCTTTTTATGACTTTTGTGTTTTGATTAAATCGCTTAATCTTTCATTTTTTTCTATTTTATTCTTATGTTTAACTTCTTAAAGTCATCGATAATAAAATTACAGAAATTAAAATATAATTGATATAAATAGGTAAATATTGTAATCGAATATTCTTCAGATTTCAATATTTGGTTTAACTTAATCTCTTAGAACTGAAATTTATTAGAAACTGTTAAACTGCTACAATATTATTATTAGGAGTAATATATTGTAATAATATCCTTACTTAATTTCATTGAGTATATCCATGCTTTTCCTATTGCTAATTACCTTTCTATTTTGATATTCCTTTGAATTTAGAGTTCCAAATGAGTGAATGAATTTTCTCGCAAATTACTAATTGAATTATCAACCTGCAGATGATTAATATATTAAAATAGATTAGTAAGAGAATAATATACATATCATGAATTTCATTTAACCATCCTCTCTAAACAAACCTTAAAATTCTCAAAATCTTACTACTCTTAGAACCATATGTTGAAAACCTTTTATTACTCATCTTAAAAATTAAAATAAAACCATTATGTGCCTTTATTCAACTCAAATGTTAATCCCTTTTTGATTGTCCGTATGAAGTCTTAAGTCGAGTTTTAATTAAGTATAATGAAGACACATTAATCTGTTAATTTGATTAAAAAGAAAGGACCTTGAAATCCTGCCTGATGCCACAGTTAAGTGCATTTATCAAACTCATTTAAACTAGTAAATTTGCCAGTATACAAAATCTATTCCAAGTTTGGGAACAATCTCTTTAAATATGAGAAATTAAGTTGATCTCGTTACATTAAATAAATAAATAAATAATTATTAATATTCATTTACTTCTTTAATTACCTAACAATTTACTTAAGAAGATTTCAGCATCTTTCTTTACTTCTTATTCTCTATTATGAATTTCTTAAGCACTTTTCGAGAAACTTTGAAGTCCTGCTGCACAACAATACATTTACATATTCAGAAAATGCTTCCACATTGAACAAAATTCTTGATTTTTCTCATTAATATAAATTTAATATTAAGTATTAAGTGTTTATCCTGCCAACATTTTCTCTTTCTTTGCTTGTTCATATGCTTGATATGTTTCCTTTTATTTTGCCGGTTCTGTATTCTTTCTTTTTTAATCCCTATCAGCTTCAATCGCCGTCTTGGCTTTATAATCATCCAGCAATTTCTACTTTGTCTTTATTTGTTCCAGCTGTCCATTCAAACTTAATATAATTTTACTCTTAATCAAGTCAACATATTCCAAATTCTTTTTCTGACCCACACTCATTGACTCTGCTACCAGCGAAACTACTTCTGCTAATTTTGGTATTTCTGAACTCAGCTATTTTTGAATCTTTTTCAAACATTCAATTAATTCCTTATTAGCTTAATCCACTTTTTCCAGAGCTTGAGCTAGCAAATTAAAAAACCCACTAAGATCCTCAAATGCCTTCTTATCGTTATTAAGACTTAAATTTATCTCTTCGTGTTATATATTTGTAGCCATTTCTTGTGCAAATAAATAATAATTATATTATAAATTTCTATAATTATTTTTAGCATTATAAGAACTTTCTAATAATCATTGAAATCGTAATGTTTATTTTTAAAATCAGAAGTAAACTAAATGTTATCTCCCCTTAGACTTTCTTATTTTACAAAAGAATTTACTCTTTCGTAAAATAAGAATCTAAGTATATCCAATTATTAAAAATAACTCTGACAAAACTTCAGATTTAGAACAATTTATAAATTTAACTCTAAAAGAATTTCATACTATGTAAAATTAACCCTTTTTTTGTATACCATGAGATTAAAAATATTTAGAAATAATTAGTTTAAGGGGGAGATTAGAAGTAATTAAAATTATTAAATTTATTTGAGAGTAAAATAGATTAAAACAAACTAATTGATATAGATATGATTCTATTTTTAGTTTTAATTTAATCAGATCCTCAATATTTAAATTAATTTTATTCTCAAATGATATAACCATATATATTAGACGTATTTTATATAATTATTTATGATAATGAATCAGATATGACGAAGATTTAAATTGCTATATATATTATCAAGTCATAGTGGAAATGAAAGGGTTTTCCATGTTCATTATTTTACACATAAATTCGTTGTTTTCAATTTTTATTTACTCAATTCCAATCATATCAACTATTATACTCATTAATTTCTTAAAAAATTATTGGTTCTATTCAGTATTTTTCTTTATTGGTCCTTTTACAATTATTTCTAGAATAGATTCATTCAGTTAAAGTACTGAAAAGGTGCTCACTTTATAATATTTGCTTACAGAAATCATTAAAATATAAAGTAACGGTATGTTTGTGTAAAAGGCATCAGACTTTAGATTTAATGAAAATAAAGCTGCATTGTCTCTTAAAATGTTCATCAATAATGCACTTAACTTATTATAATTAAGAGATTGTATTTTAAAGTTAACTATGGATTTTGGCTTTACTAGCAATGCTGCAAGAAGGTTCTTTAATGATTCCGTATGATAATGCTATCTATCAATCTTCTTTAATTTTTTCAAAATGCCTTTATACAAAAGTGGATACATATTATTCTCAGTGTAAGCCTTTTTGGTAGTAATCTTTAAAATGATCTGTGTATCCATAATTGAATACTTCCAGCATTCAATAAATAAGTGTTAATTTCTATTTTTCCAAAAAGCATTGATTTAAAAAGAACTCTTAAAATCTTAAATTTTATAATGTAGGAATGTCATAGTGGACATTTTTTATAGGGAAAGCTGAGTTTCTTTCAAGAATTCCAAAGGGCTATCATGATACTCAGAGTAAAATGATTTGTTTGCGTAAACCACTTTAAATTTATCCCACACATCACTATAATTGAGGATGACTAAACTCTCTTTAATCAAATCATCAAAAATGAAATATTGGTTTAGGTTTTTCTCTTTCCATAAAAACTAATACCTTAATCCCTTGATTCTCTAATATTCATTATAACAAGTAAGAATTGTGAATAATAAAAAGAGTATGAACATAGGGTTGAATTCCAAAATAGATCTGAAATAAATTCGAGTTGATATGAAAATTGCATAAAATATAGCATTTTGTACGAGATTTTAAGTAATGTTCATATGCAAACCCATCTGAATTGCAGTGTCTTCTATCCAAAAAATTTCAGAATCAGCTAGATTCTGTATCCAAAAAGGGATAAACTGCATAATTGATGCTTATAAACTAAATGACAATACTATAGTGCCCACTATTTTATACCATTGCTATCTTATCACTACTTTGTAATAAAAAAAAGTGTATAAAATAGTCAAAATGAAATATACAATAGATAGCATAATTTAATTTTTTATCATCCAATATACAGCTTGAAATGCATAAGAAATAATTGGTATAATCGTATTAATCTTAAAGCCATGCAATATCTATGGTCTTTGGCTTTCTTGATATCTTTCTTCCAATTAGGAATCTGAAAAAATTAATGAAAATTTATTCATAATAATCAAATAATATTAAATTTGTATTTTTCTATTCTACCATAAACCTAATGAAAAATATCATAATAAATGTGATAATCAATTAATAATTCTAAAACTTAGTAAATTTCTTAACTTATTTCATTTTTCTATTCAACTCAAGTAATATTTCGTGTATTATTCCAATATCGAATTAGAATTAATTACAATAAAATTAAACAAATAATTAGAAGGAGAATGTCTGAGTAGATTTAAATAATTTTATAATCTAGTTGAATTATAATTTAAGAAGCCTTATTTTTACAGATTAAACAAAATTTGATCTTGAATTGAAAGAAAATTATTATATTCCTAATAGGGGAGTATAATTAGAATGAATCTAATCTTTTTTTATTTCATCCTTCTGAATTTTATAGGTCTAGAATTTAAATTATAATATTAATATATAGGTCTTATTTGATCTCTTAAAGGTTTCTTAAAGCTTGGTAATTTATAGAGATTGTGGTTTTGTAAGGTTCTTTTGTATTCTATTAGAATAATAGTATTTATATGCTTAATACCTCAAATTATAAGGGAATTAATTAATATTAACATGAGTTCGAAGCGAAAGTAAGTTAAATTGGAGTCTGAGAAAAAGGTTAAGCAAGAGGAATCAAACTATGAGGATTCATTCAATGAGTCCAATGATGAAGAACCTAAGAGTACTGGGAAACAGAAAACTCGACATGACAATTCATTATCTGTGCTTACAAAAAAGTTTGTTGAATTGATCAGGAATTCTGAAGAGTTGACAATTGATTTGAATGTGGCAGTGAATGATTTAGGAGTTTAAAAGAGAAGAATTTACGATATTACAAATGTATTAGAGGGAATTGGTTATATTGAGAAAATCTCTAAAAACAAAATTAAATGGGTTGGAGCTACTGATGATCCTTAATTGGAAAACGAGCTTCGCTAAATAAAATCAGAATTAGATGCCTTGCAAGATGAAGAGAAAGCAATTGATTATTGGATAGAGTACTTGCAAAAGAATTTATAAGAGAAGTTCCAGAGTGATCCAGAAGTGGCCAAGTACACCTTTCTAACGCATGATGACTTTAAAGAATTATCTAAAAGTTAATAGACTGATCACAAGGGAGAGGCGCTTTTTATAATAACAGCGCCAAAAGGAACTTCTGTAGAAACTCCTTAAGAAAACAATCCTGAATACCCCTATTCAGTTTACTTAAATAGTTCAAAAGTATAAGGATAGAATAACGAAATCTAAGTGTATATTTGTTCTGACGAGAATTACCCAATAGAATATGAGAAGAAGCAAAAATGACAAATATTTAATTTAATATAATTTTATCATAAATTAAGACTAATTTAAACTGAATAACCTGTATATTTTTACAATCAATTCCATACTTCCTTGAAAGAAAATTCAACCAAATAAAATTTTAGAATTCCGACTATTTTGTACTGTAAGAAATGGAATTTCTATGATGCTGCATGAGCGCATCGTATTTCTCTAATTTTGAGGATATTTAAATGAAATATTTCAAATCCCAAAAATAAAAAAATTGCTGTAGTAAACTATAACATAAATTAGCATATTTTGATATCAGAGTATTTGTTCATAAAAGAATGGATATTATATCGTATATTAGAATCCTATTTAAAATCTAATAGACAAATTGGAGATTTCAATATTTGGACTCCCGAATAGTTTTTCTATTTAATTAGATACTTTTCATGATTAATAAGATATTTATGGCTTGATGGTTACATTTCATAGGGAATGTAGTTAGTTATAAAATGTTAAGATTTTAATTTTTGTTAATGTATTGTAATATATGAAAGCTCATCTACCCAAAATGTTCTTGGTACCTCTTGCAGCCTTGAAGTCATCACAAGGATGTCTGTAGAATGAGATGATTTTTTTGCCCCATTAGAATTATGAGACCATGTAACCCTTCAAATTGATGTCATCCTTTGATCCTGGAATCCAATTGTGAGTTTCTGTTAATTCTTCTAAGTCTGCTTCTAATCCTGGATAGAAATCGTAATCCTCATGAACTAATCATTCAAATTAATTATTGTACTGACATAGTCATTTCTGTCTCCATATTATTCTAAATCTAATAAAGCCAAATGTTGATCCAAATAGTAATTACTCCAGACTGCACTATGGAATGTGAGTTCATTTTCTAAGTCTTCTAATTCTTTGCTTTGACTAGACACAACTTGATGACAGATGCGTTCAACATCAAATTCCCTTTGTAATAAGGTGTCATGTCCCTTTTAAACTTTATCAACCAATCCTTCAGTGGTGATCTAATCTTTCCAATGATTCCAATCAATTTCCTATTCATCGAAACACAAGCAATACTTGAGCAGCACCTGTTGAAGGTTTTGAATAAAAATTAAACAGTGAACTCAATTAAGATGCATAAAATCTGCTTTCTAATGTGTTAGCTTTAACACTCAAAGTTTGCAACCATTTATTGACACGATCAAGATTTGCTGATGGACGAGCAGCAACCGTCTTGCTCCTTGTTTAATTAACAATTAATCTTCTCATATCCAAAATTAAATATTTATGTTAAAATATTCATCATTCAATCACTTCCTCAATAGCAATTTCATCATATTTCGATTAGAACATAGAATAATACTCTGTGGACATCAAAACTAAATGTTTCTATGGACTCTCGAGTCTAGTCACTTTAGTATTGAACTCTTTCAACTACTTTGTACAATGTTTCTTAGCTGCATGCAAATCAGGGACATATTCATAATCTACAGGTTGCAATAAGCTTTCAATGAAGGTAGGTTTAATATGATAACGCTATTTGCTTATGTGATCAATGCATTTGAATTCATTATTCTCTGGTAAATAATCAATTGATGTGATAATATCTACACATTAATCACTCCTTGTATAAACCCTATAAACATTCTTTTAACCTGGGAAAGTGGTTTTATCATACTCTTCAGACAATTTCATCACAATCTAATTTTTACACTCCACCAATTTATAGACCAGACCTAAAGCAGGTTGTTTTTAACATGTCACCAAATGAGTACCTATTCCAAATACATCTATTTTATGTCCTTTCTTATTGAAATGTATCAGGGCTTCTTCATTGATGTCATTTGATGCCGCAACCTTAAGATGAGAGACATCCTTCTAAAATTGATCTCCATAATGCTTAAATATCTCCTTTGCTTATCTATTTTATATAATAAATATTAATTACATTGATAACTAAGCCAAGTCTCCAGAATCTAAACGAATACCTTTGGCTTTTATTCCAGCATCATCTAAAGCAAATGCAACAGCCAAAAAATTAGGCACTCCAGATTTCAATGTATGATAAGTGTCAACCAAACACAAGAAGTTATTTGAACAAGATTAAGCGTAGGCTATAAAGGAAGCCAATTCGCCTTGATTAGTTTTCACTCCCATTTTCTTGTGATATTCAATGGCCCTTAACTTAATATTGACACCATTTAATTCAGCAGATTCAACATCATTCAATTCTGAAAAGGATGTGACAAATGAATGTGCTATGGTACCTGATACTGGTATTCCCAATCTTAATCCAGCCATCATATTGCTTGTGCCATCAAATCCACCCAAAAAGGAATATTGAGTGGCACTCATACCTCCATCAGGTCCTTGTGCTCTTCTCAATCCAAATTCAAGCAAATGGGCTGAGCCAGCCAATTGTCTCATTCTACTTGCATTGGTAGCTATCAATGATGGAAATGAAACCAAATTAACTAAATTTATAATTGATCTCTTATACTGACTGCTGTTTCAATGAGTTAGCATATGCCTTGTGGTCCTTCTATGCTAATCAAGGGTTCCTTGGGGAAACAAATCGATCCTTCAGGCATTGCTCTGATTTTAACTTGAGAAGAATCTAAATTCCTAAGATATTCAAAAAATTTCGGGTTAGCATCTGATGGCAAAATACTTTTAAATGTTTTATATCTTTTCTTTACTTATTTTTCACAAATTCAATTTCTTCTTCTGTAAATTTAAAATTCTTAATATAACGAACGACTTCGTTTAGACCGGCAAAGATGACATATTGACCTCCGAATGGGCATTTCCTAAAAAGCAATTCAAAGGCTGTCTAATCATTTTCCATTTTATTTTGGAAGAACGAATAGGTCATCACTAACTTGTAGGAGTCATTTAGTAGAGCTCCTAGGATGTCTTGGTGTCCTCCTCCTGTTTATTACATTTAATTAATTAATTATTCACAATGAAATAAATGAGAGAGAATTTCCATGTTAAAATAAGAGCTGAACAAAGATAGAAAGAGTTTGCAAAAAGGAGGATTATCAAATTATAAGCCACTCCCCAATACTTCAGATAGGCAGTTCTAGAGAATCCAATTAGCGAATTGCTCAAAGAAATTGATTAACCTGATTATTTGTAGTTCATCTCTTTTTTAAGTTCAGTTGAAGATTATTAATGCAACAAGTACATGGCAGATTAAGGGGTTCTGATAGTCGCAATCGAAAAGACTATCAGCCTTTTGAAGAATTATACATAGAATTCAACTTAAGAAGCAAGTCTAAATTATGTAATTATAAATTTGAGTGAAATTTTAGTTACTTTCCATAATTGGAAATTTAATTGATTTCATTCAATTCCCAGATGATTAAATTAGATTGATAATATAAAGATCCATTGAAATCAGCAATTATTCCTTGACAGAATTTAAACTTACACTAATTTGGATGATCGATGAATATCTCAAGAAGGAAAAATTGTAAGACGAATTCTTATTGTGTGTAACAAATTTCTTGTTCAACAACATGAGTAGAAGAGACATTACATCTGCAATTTTTGATACAATCTTAAATTTGCAATGTAATCAGCCAGTTTATTTGTCAAAGGACAATTTGGATGAATTAGTGAAACATATCAAAGATGATGATAACTAAACAGTTTAAAAAAGTCTCTTCATATTAGTCAATTATCTAGAGATTGCGAAGAAAATAGAATTGGATGAGGATGTTATAATATTATTGAATGAACTTTTTAAAAATAAGGACTACCTGGCTTTATTAAGACTTTGTAATATATTGTATCCAAGAATATAACTTGAACCGAAGCTAATCTTGTAGCGAATGCAAATGTGTGCATTTGGACTCAAATTACAGGAATATTTTACTTTAATTAATAAGTTGATTACAGACAATATTGTATGTCCATCGGAATACTTGAAATCTTTGCAGAACATAGAAATGGAGAATTAGTGTGAAAATAATAAATCTATGATTTTATAATAAATATCTTAATATCAGGATTGATGTAAATATATATATTATTCTATATCGCTAATTAAGTCGAGTAATTGATGACGCATTGGTTTGAAAGTGTATTTGAATCCAAGTAGGTTTCTGTTTGGAGAGAGATGGTTGATGTTGACTCTCTCTAACTTCTCAGGGTAGTTCTTGAATGCATGGAACTTTTGTAAGTATTGTTTGAACCGTTCAACTGACTAGATTATGAATTATAGGGAATACATTCTTTTTTTAATCTGATCTCATTCTTTACTCTAGTTATTCATCTATGGTTTATTTTAGAATAGATTTTGTTTAATTCATTACAGGTATCTTTTTTTCAAAGAACTTTCTTTTGAGTTGTCTTTCATGCAATTCCTTTACATTTTCAAACATGTCAACATCGTTTTGAAGCACTCCATTTTTTGTTACACATCTCTGGGGTCGATTTGGAGTGGCTACTTCGACTTAGAATTCAGGATCAGATAATATTTAATTATTTAAAGTGCCAAAATCCAATTAAGTCGTTAATTTTATATCCGTGTCATTTCCTTAAATCAAACCTAATTTCGATAAGACCATGTTGTTCATGACTTATGATTGGTAATTGATTTTCTTAATGTATGCTTTGATTGATTCGACAGAATGATTTTTGGCTGCGCTGTCGTTTGATTCCTTAATGAAGTTCATGGCTCTATCGTGATATTCTTGAGCCAACCTTAATTCACCTTGCACGTAATAGAGTACTCCAAAATAATCATAAATAGTGGCTTCATTCTCTGTATCATTTAAATACCAGACATATTATAAAGCCTTTTTAAGATATAGTTTGCTTAAATGATATGATTGTTGTAATTTACACAAATCTCCCATTTGTATGAGTGCTTCAATTTTGAGTGTTTGATTATTTTAAACATCTGCCAGAATGCGCAACACATTATATATGTATAACCCATTATTGAACTCCCTATTTGATATATACATGTCTGCTAATAAATGCAATGATTTCCCAAAAATAGTTAGATCATAACCAATACATTGTTAAACCAATTTTTTTGTTACTATTGTATTGGATTAATCATTTACTCTCTAAAGCTTCATCCAATTATCTTTCGTAAATGCATTTTATCAATTCCTTTTTTTGAGTGTTCAGCTAAACCAGAACTCCATTCTCCTCCAAAACAAGTTTCCTTGATGATGATAGAACCTGATTGTGTTTGGTGTTCAGATAAGGCAATTTGGGGATTTTACGAGAAGAAATGCTATGATTGTTAATCGTTGTTTCTATCTAAGAAGTATTTGTAACTAGTTTTGTTTTGATCGATTTCATAAATATTAAATAAATACAATCAAAATTCAGAATTTTCAATTTAGCTAAGTTTTTCCAGTGATAACTCGTTCTCCCCTTGAGAATTCAGAATAATTAAACCATCATTCTGAGTCAAACCATTGAAATACATACGTTTAATTTTCAATCAAGATTGATGAATAGATCACTGGATGCATTACATAATGAAGACTGATTTAGAAAAAATGTTAGATAAATATTTTTCATTAATATTATAAAACGGAATGCTTTATATATTAGCTTTAACTTAGTTGCTATCCTTGGTAGTTACTTAGGACCCAGTGGATAAGTTGTTCGAATTTCAGTAGCTCATGAAACAAAAAACCAAAGTGCCAAGTAATCGTTTTTGACCTATTCCATAGAACAGAAAATTAGTGAATATGATAGTTCAGACATATTCAGCGAGGGGTATATTACAGTAAGTGAGCAATCGGAGGATGAGGAATATCAACAATACGATGAGATTTCGCAATATGATGAAGTGGATGAACTAGGTGATGAATCAATTGATGCCGAACTCATTGTTCAATAATAAAAGGAATAATAAAGAATAGAATAGTAGAGAATTGAATAATAGAAGATTGAATAACAGAGAATCGAATAATAAAGATTGGAATAATAAAGATAAGAATAATTGAGATTAGAACAATAAATGAAGGAATAATAATTGATGGAGTAGTAGAAGTTGGAAAGATTGAAATTTGAATAACAATAACAATAATAAATACTTGAAAATGAAAAGAAGAAAAAGCAAATCATTGAAATTCCAGAATAATGGAGTGAGGATGATGAGGATTAAGTTATATAAGTGCCTAAATAATAAAAGAAAAGGAAACAAAAGAAACCAGAATTTGATGACCATGAAATTTTAGAAGTCTTGAACTCTGCTAAGAAAACTAAAGTTTAATCTCTTGAAGATTTAGAAGAAATGGAAAAGAAGATAGTCAAGAAGAAAAAAAAGAGAGAGCCAGTTCCATAAGATGAATTTGTATAGAAAGTACCAGCTTAGAACTAAACCTTTATTCATTTTAATAATAAAAATAATTATTTAGAATTAGCCCCTTGTAGCAATAATCCTATTTAATAAAGAGCTTGTAGTCTATGTAAAAGTGAGGTAGGGTACTAATTAGATGATGATAATTGGTACATGATTGGGCTATAACATGGTTACAAGAAGGAATTTCTATTATTGATAGAAATCACTAAACAGTCCTTTGGAGATAGTCAGTTGTATTTGAGTTTCTCATCCAATGGATCTGCATGTATGACAAGCGATACTCTTAAATAAGATATTGATATTGAGAATGTTTTATAAAGGTTTTCAGGTAAATCATGGAGACACTTTATCAAAAATGAATTGTTTGCTCTTCCATAAAAGTTGGAAGGCAGAAGCTTTCAATTCAAAGCAATCTATTAGAACAAACAATTTACATTTTCAGATTTTGAAATCAAATTTGCATCCAATCTTATTCAAGAATTAAAGTCTTTGTCTAAACAAGAAGTTTCCATTAGAACCAATACAGTTGAATTCATAGGAGAATCAGTAAGCAATATTATTAATTAAATAGTTATAATGCACATTAACAGGATTGATGAAGTAACAAAATGATGAGTTGCCATTCTCCTTAAAATTCAAGAATGGTGAGAGTACATCAGAACTTCTAATCCCAAATTGTTAGATTCCATTGCATAATGAAATCCTGTATGGAGTTTCGGATTTGTATTTTGGAGAGTACTTCAAGGAGACCTTGCAATAGAAATTGAAAGGAAGCTTTAGAGGGGATTTTAATGCCACGACTTCATTTGAGAATGGAAAATTGAAAGTGAGATTGGCAATGAAGAAATTTAATAAATGATTAATGCATCTATATATCACTCATGTTTTTATTTTGGTTTTTCCAGAAGACCCAATTAATTGAGTTATAACACTAGTTTGTCAAATATTATTATTGCACCTAAATATATTTACACGTAAATACCTCTGGTTTTAGGATAATACATCCAAATAAGAGTCATGTTTTTGATAGGGAAATACAATTACAATAGGTCATGGAATGCGAACCACATCACTCTGTCCAATAGAAACATGAGTAAGTAAATCACCCAATAAGAAAGCCACATCTTAGATTTTGCATCATCCTTTTATTTCACACATTAAACACTCATGTATGCAGGGTATAGTATACCAATCAATATTTTGACTAACAAATTTCCAGCTCCAAATATTGTGAGTGTGAAGGCAACAAATATAATACCTAAAACCAATTATCCAGGATTGACATTAAATTTGTGAGCAATTTGCTATAGTGGAGCTACATCACTAAAATCATCTGAAATTCTCTTAAATATCTCATCCAAATTATCTAATTGAGGCTCTTTCTCTGGTTTTTTAGGTCCTGAAGGTGGCGCAGGTTTATTTTCAATACTTTGATCTATTTATTAAACTTTTTCTTCAGACATTAAATTTGATATTTAATTTAAACAATTATAATCCATGTTATGATTATTTCATTGAAACCACAAAGTAGATTAGAATCTGTTATTTGAAATTATATATAAATTAAAAATCAAGTCTTTTTCTTCTATTATGCTTTCTGCTGTAATTATTGAAGTTGTTATTACAAGAACTATTACTATTGATAAAACTTATTATCTATATTTTGTGTTTATTATTAAAATGTATTATACATCTAAGAAACAAAATTGCTTGCGCTTTTTTAACTAGTCAATTTCTATTGTTATTGAATTCCAACTTAACTTTATGATTTCTTCAATTATTGTGATTAGATTTATTGTTACTTAATTATATTTTGTATCTCCTCAATATTAGATTTCTACAGTTATTATTATTGCTAAGTCTAATGCTAAATAGAGCTTCCATTAACATTCTCATAGCCTTATGACTTTGCTTAAGGAATCATTTCCGATTGCTCCTATTGAAGCCTTACAATAAATTTATAACTAAGTACCCATTAATAAGTTCATCTGGATTCATTCCTAGTTATTGTAAGTATTTTGCCTACCACTTTTTTCTTTGCTCCTTCTTTCTTCTGTTTATATCGTTATACAGAGCTTCTCTGTATTCCTTAATAGAGAACTTCTTATTGTCATTCATGGGTATTCTAATAGGCTCAGAACATTCAATTTCCTCATCAGGCGAAGAGAATTCTTTCAAGTATTTATGTTTTATGGCCTAATGCACAGTAAGTCTCTACTTTGGATTGAATTGTAATAGCCTAAATGATAATTAAGAATGATATTGAAACCTTCTTAACAAGTCTAAGCAATCTTCTTGAGCTCCTGAGAAAAATTATTAGAAGGATCTTCTTTTTTGAATTGACACTGAAGCTAAAATATTAACAGCTAAGGGAGATTCAAGTGATTCAATGTCTGCATCATTTGGTTTACCTAATAATTCGATAATTCTCTCAATTTAATTTAAAGTAGATGTTCCTGGAAAGATTGCCTTACCTATGATCAACTCACCCAAAATACAACCAACACTCCACATGTCCACAGCCTTGGTGTAATTTGTGGATCCTAGAAGTATTTCAGGAGCTCTGTACCATCTAGTAGCCACATATTCTGTCAAAACAGGAGGAGCTAAACGTTAAATTTAAAATTCATCGTACTACTGTCATCTTCTGTGATTGCTATGCTTCTAGCCAAACCAAAATCTGCTAATTTCATGTGACATTCAGAATTTAGTAAAATGTTTGAAGGCTTCAGGTCTCTATGAATTAGTTCTCCTGAATGTATGTATTTTAGTGCCTTCAAAATTTAATAAACAACGTATTTTTTATGAACTTCTTCAAGTATGCCTGCTCTCTATTCTATTTTATAAATATAATTACAATCACAGCATGCAAATCTGTTTCCATATAATCAAACACCAAATAAATGTCCTTATTGTTTTCTGCTTTTATGATATTCAACAATCTCACTATGTTTTCGTGTCCATTTAACTCCTACAAAAACATTATTTCTCTAAATGTTCTTTGAGCATCCGTAGCATTATGGAAAGCATCAAATACTTTTTTTAAAGCCACGACCTAAACCTTAAATAGCAACTCTTACTGTCTTTAGCTTCTTATCCACAGCCTTCCAAACTATTCCATAGGCCCCTTTCCCTAATTTTTGAATGATTTCGAATTTTCTAGCAATATGAGGTTCAATTTCTTCAGTCATTTAATTTATATTTAAAGTTTGCTCATATGAATTTCTCCTACAAAATACTATTTTGATGTATCCAAAATTAAGAGAACAATGGACTTAAAAATAAAAGGTTTTAGAAATATAAACCAAAATAGTTACATCAATATTACTAAAATGATATTAAATCAAACAAACGAAAATTATCTTATGATTTTCAGGAAATCAAAAACTTGAAATGTTCTTTCATACAAAAATCAATTTGTTTATTAAAATTATTCATAGAGTATGCTTAAACTTTGAATCTATATCTAGAAATTTAGAATTATATGTCAAAAAAAAAGTAAATATTTTAATATAATCTCAAAAATCATAGCTTTGAAAAACTATATTTGGGGGATTAATGAATTCATGAGTCCTTTTGATTCATGATATATGAAGATTTTTTAACATATTTTTGAATGTAAAATTCTAAATATTTGATTTAATATCTCAATTAAAAATATACTAAAGTTGAATTAGACAATCTAAAGTAATTCTAAAGATAGGACAGAAATAAAAGCTATATTTTTCTATAAATTATCAATAATTTATTATAAATCTTGATTTTATAAAATTATTTAGATTAATAAAGTCTATTTCTCGAAAATTAGAATTTCATTTTCTATATTAAATTCCTTCAATTATTTTTTCAACATAACAATTAGATGGAAAAGGAAAGAGTGGTTAAAAATTTGGCGGAGAATTTTAAATCAAAGTGATAACTTATTATAAGAACTATTTTCTATTATATTTGAGATTATCAATAATTTATATATAGCAACAGGATATTTCTTTCTCCTAAATTGAACTTATTACAGTATGATATAGCTTTGATTAATGTTTTTATAAATCAATATAATATTAACTCTTGCTTTATTTTTATCGATTATCATTCAAATATCTACTCATACATATTCTTATTTCTGCAAATAATTTAGAATTTTATAAATATATGTATAGAGTAGAAAAATAATAGAAATTAAAACATAGTAAATTTTAAATATTAAAACCATAAATGATAAATGGTAAAATATGAATAAAGAATCTGAAGTTTATAATAGTCATGTTCTTCAGATAACAGGAATCTGTTTAATTATGAATTAGTTAAAAATGATAAAATTATATATTAAGGTGTAATTTAAGAGGATGTGAGTTGCAAAGAAACAAGGGATAAAATGAGTTTAGATCAATCGGATATTGTAGGATACGTAATTAGATGGTATTTTGTAATGGTTATAAGCTATAAAATTATATCAAAATGATATTAATATTTTTAAATTTCTATGCTTAATCATTCGCTCTCTCCTCCATTATAAAGCTAATCCTCTTAAAATGCATTAACGGTTCTACCGCCTTCTGCTAATATTTCAGCAAGATAGAAAATTCATGTATCAAATTTACCTCTTAACATTACTGCTCATCATTTGTAATAAGCATTTTAAACTTATGGACATATTATAGACATTAGGATAATTAGGAAAACTCCAAATGGTAATGGTTTCATCCTATGATAGGGCTTCCACTAAATTTATCTTGTTATGCATTTATTGCATTTGCTGATAACGAATCAGCTGAAAAAGCAATAAAGGATGGTGGTTTGGCTGATTGGAGTGTCAAACCTTAAATTGATAAATAAATGGTTGTTAAATAGAGATCTCGTTCAAGATCGAGGTCGTAAGAGAAACATAGATAAGTGATTACAAGTGGTCATATTATTCCATTAGAACAATCCCCAAAAATATAAATCCAACTTTACGTAAGGGAATTATTTGTTAATGGTATATCGAAGAACTACGATGAACCACGAATTAGATAGGTATTTCAATGTGAAAATTATAGATTTTTTCTTAATTTGGTTCTATAGAGAGGATTGATCTGTATCCGAATAAGCATAATATATTTAACAGTTATATAAAATTTTTTACTGTATAAACGTTTTTTTATTTGAATTTAGATAGAATAAGCTATTTATGCTTTTTAAAATATGGATAGTATATAGTAATAGTTTTCTACTCAAATAAAAATATATTTTTCCGATCCTATCAAAAGACATAATATAGTTGGAAATAAGTAAACACAATTTTATAGCCTTTTTAGTTTATAAAATGAATCCTAATCTAAACTTTCATCAGTATTATTTATATTTTTTCCTCCGAATTCAAATAAAAAAGTCGATCATGCATTTTTATTAGAAGTAATGTTTCAAAAATCATATTTTGAAAGATTTGTTAAAATAATAAATGTCGCCCTCTCCTTTGGAATTACTATCAACAAGATTCTAATTATAAGTCCTACACTCTCCTTTAATTTAAAGATACTCACCAAGCAATTCAGATGAGAACATACCTGCAATAAAATGCCGCAAACCTTCTGGGAGATCCAAAATGTGAAGTGGGAATAGTCTCAATTCCTACACCTCAACAATTTTAACCTCAACTGCCCCTAATGATACAATAGTAGTAATTTACAAATAACATTATGATGCCCCAACAAATTCCACCCCAAAAACATCAGATGCCCTATTAAATCCCAGCTTATCCAATGCAATAATAGCCAATCATGTACTAATAGATGCATCATCATCATCATCATCATCAAATATAAAGCAATGATTAGAGGATGGAACAATAGCAATTTATGGATCCAACAAAATTCTTTTTTCATTAGCCTCAAACTTAAATTGAGCCTAAAACTAGATCCAACAACGCTTAATAAGATTCAACTTAATAAAACGGGAATTAGGAGATTCTAGATGGATTTTTGAACTTTTCTTAAAGTTAATAAAGATAAGACTTAAACGTTTTTTGGAGTGGTTTTATGTATAGAAGTAAGAGCCATAGAGTGGGAGTGGATGCCTATTGTGTAGAATCAGATGTAACATTTCTCTAAACTAAATAGCCCCCTATACAGATGAGTCCGTAAATACAAGTTAACTACAAGGGGAATTTCTCTGATGCTAAAAAATGCGCTAATGATTCATTTAAATTCATTTTATGTCCTTCAGATTAAACTTAGGTATTCTAAATAAATCTACATTAATAGCACGGTGCATTTTAAGAATATATCGATTACTTTCTAGATAAAAAGAAGATCGGGGTGGCTTAATTAGGAAATGGGGTGTTATATCTGTTGCCGCCATGTGAAATTGCTAATTCTATTATGAGTATTACTGGGTTGGAACTGTTAGCAATATTTTCTGAAGAAAAAAAGAAATCTTTAAATTATAGCGTAGATTATCAATGATGATTGTTATGGATATTTAATTATTTCTAATTTTTAAGAATATTCATTTTCAATATAATTCACATATAATTATTAAAGAAAATAGAAAATCGTTTTATTAATATATTAATATATGGAGGAATTATTCGCTCTTTAATAACAATTGGCAGAGATATAGGAGACATCAACAAAATACAGATTATCTGATAGAATCATAATTGATTTGATTGAAAAACTGGTTAAAGAATATGATTTGAAGGTTTATCATTCTACAGATGGTCAAAGTTTGGTTACTCCAAATTAGTTGTCAAAAGAGATTCATTAACTAATTTTATCAAATAAGAGAGTGGCTGTGAATCAATTGCCTGAAATATTGGGCATAGGGTTTGACAAGATCGAAGGATAAATAGAAAAGGATAGCAATGGTTGGGTAATTTTAATATTAAATATTGATAACAGGATGTTGTCAGAATGCAGGATGAAATGATGTCTCATGATTATATTCTAAATGTATGTGAGGAGATCAACGAAGATCTCTAGTAAAAGTCTCTTATTTCATTATAAGAAAGTAGGAATTTTAATTTTTATCATAGTCATGCAGAAGTATGCCCTCCCTATGTAATTTGTAATAAAGTATATCCTCAAACAAGTGGGGACAGTCATACAAGGAGTATGCAATGAAGACAAATTAACAACAGTGACTTATCAAGAAATAATAACAGCAAAACTTTGCGGAATTCTCAGAGCAACTTTGAGTCCTGTATCATTCTTAAAATTGAATAAAGACTTAGAAATTCAAAACTCCTAAAAGATTTGTGAATAATTGTTGATAACCAAATAAATTGATGGGAAGATCATTTCAGGATAGTATGTGAGTTCGAGATTTCTTCAAAATCAAGAGGCTCAAGTGAAATCGTTCTTTGATCAAAACTCTTATGTTGAATATGACAAACTTCATTAGCAGTTCTTCATATAAAAACCAAAGGAATATTTGAAATAGATGTTCAAAGAGAATGTGATATTCTTGGATACTTGTGGATTTAGCAGAGATGCCCTAATTTCCAAATAGGATTAAATCTAAGAATTACTTTTGAATGAAGGTCACACAAATCTGTAGGAGATATTGCCAGTCATTTTAAGTGATTAAGATATTGAGACCCTCTTCTCATTGATGTAATTGAATAATTGTGAGTATGCCAATTTTATGATATATCATAAACCATTTCTAGATAATTTGGCATTGGCATTCAAAGACAAGATAATTGAATCAATTTATTAGAATCCTCAGAAATTGATTGAATAACAACAAAACCAAGATGATGCTCCTTAAGACATATAGGCTTCAGCAGGAGGGTTTGCAAACAAGAAAAACAAAAAATAATAACAGCCATAAAAAAAGAAAGCATAAAATAAACAAGAATTATTTACTAATAAAGAAATCACTGATTTGCTAACTTAAAAAAAATTGGTTGAGTACAATGATTGCATTGATGAATTATTCTAGTTCTTGTAGCCAAGATTGTCTGCCTTATATGAGCAAATTAAGATTGAACTATTTGAAAGCAAGAAATCTGCATCTAGTTAGGTAATTCAGGAGATTCAAAAAAAAATTGAAGATATGGCTCTTGGTCTTCTGATAACTTAGAGATCATTATAAAAAATATAATAAGAGTGCCATGAAGTAAATACAAAAGTTTTAGTGGACAATTGCTTATTTGGCTATAGATTGCTTGTTGAGAACTTAGTTGTAATCACATGTAAAAAGTACAATATTCAACTCCCATAAAACCTATTTGCTGATCCCAATCATCAAAGTGTTGTGAATGGTTAGATTAATTTTGGATTATCAAAGTCTGGAAGAGTATTTTTGAACAAAGTGGCTTTGGGAGAAGCAATTCTATTTTTACCTAAGGAGTAATAGAAAGCTTTGAAAGAGGCAATGGAATTATACACAAAGAAGTCCTTAGATATCTTATCGCAACATTAATTTTTTGATGCCTTCAATCTAAAAGTGCATTTGGATAAAAAAAATGATAGAAATCTGCTTTTGTTTATTAAACACCATTGCAAAGAGTACATTAAATAAAGATAGAATGAAATATTCGATGAGAGTGTATTTAATTAAATACTTCTGGCAATGTCAACAGACTTGGGATTGTATTTTATAGGAAATTATGACCAACATGTTTATTCTGCTATCAGATAGATAGTTTATGAGTTATAAAGCGACAAATAGATTAAAAGCTTATTAAAGAATATCACAAGTATGTATGATTATCATTATTTAGATTCAATAAATCAATAATTGGAAATTACAGCCGAGGCTAAGGAATTATTAGAACTACTAAAGCTCTTATGATAGAAGTTTAAATTATATAAATATCTAAAAAACGCATATACATATAAATATAGTCATTATTATTGATATCATTACATTAGAAAATAAATTAAAAAATTTAAATGAAATACTGATTAAGAGGATTATTTAACAAGAGTTTTAATATTTTAATTTGTGATTTAATGTTCAGATTTCGAAGAGCCATTAACCTATTTAATAGAAAAGATGGATTCATTACTAAATTGAAAAACAGACTTCTTAAGGAAGATGAAGAAGAAAAATAGATAATTCCTCATTAAACTATGAAACAACCACTTAATGTGAAATAAGAAATTGAGCAGTTCATTTCATAATAAACAGAGATTAGTGATTTGGAAAGAATCAGAATGAAGAATTTAGATAATAAGCTTGGCACTAATACACATTTTCATGAAATACAATCATATGAAGAAAGATTGGATTCAGATAATGTGATGAGAAGATAAGTCTTGGCAAGAAGAGAACTACAAAAAGAGAAAGATTTAGCAGTTGCCCATTTGTTCGATCCAGATCCCCAATAGAAAATTAAGACTCCTTGGATTCGTAATATCAATGATTTCACATCTGAGGCTATCAAATAAAGTACTAATCTATTTGCAATATTTTAGTTCCTTATCCTAAGCATCCGAAAGTGTTTTAAGAAGGCGATTTCTTTAGATATTTTGGAGAAAAGCACTATGAAGTTGATAAAGTAGCTCAATTTGATTTTTCAGAATCACTGTATACTTAATTAGTCCAAATCTAAACATTGAAAAGGGAAGAAACAGTGAAACATAGATACTTTGAATTATTGGATTGCTATCAGAATATTCCAATTGTTTTTAATCAATACACATACTTCAGCAAAGATTCTAAAGAAGGTCATCCAGTTTATAATATATACAAGAGAAAAAATGAAAGTAAGAGTTTATAATCTATTTAATGAGAGCAGCAATTTAGAAAAAGAACTTATTAAAGATGATGATGAACTTGTTTTTAGTGGCAAAATAATAGCAGATCTGATTCCGAAACATTATGAAGATTTAATACTAGATATTGAAGTATTAGTCATATTTAAATTTAAAGGAAGAGAAGTTTCAATCCTTATATAAGGAATTCTTGCCTAATTCAACACATGATATATATGGATGTATAATCGAACAACTAGGTTTAAGTTTCTTAATTATTCGTTCTGATAAGATTCAATTGGTTCTAGAAAATGTCTCCAACACCTTTACTTTTATTGATAATTATCTTTACTACATAGAAAAATCTGATCTTGATCTCTAAAAATATGTATTAAAATTAAATTTGCAGAATTTTGAAGAAAGAAGCATTGTCTATTAAATTTCAGCTGGAGAACATGTAAAAATCAAGAATTTTGGAGTTGGAAAAGCTGTAATAGAAATTTAGATGGCTAATGAAAACAAATTTATTGATCTAAATGGAAATGATATTGTTTCTTATAAGGAAGGCTATAAATTCAGCATAGATTTAAATGCAGTTAATACATTTATTAGTTAAGCACCCTTAGAGGAATAACCAAAAGAAATTCGAACATAAGAGGGTCAACTTGTCTATTAATGTAAACAAGGTGGTATCCAATCATTTAGTGCAAATAATCATTTTTTGGCCATTCATGAAAGAAATTCATAAAATTTTATACCAGATAAACTAATAATTCTTAAAGAAAAGAAGAATCATGAATTACTGATATAGGAATCCTAATATTCAATAAATTTGGAACCAACTCAGATTAAAGATTCAAATATATTATATTTTCATTTGATTTGCCCTTATAAGCCATTCCAAATATTGAAATATAATATTGATATAAAGGCAATATCTTTACACTTCTCAGAATAATTACCAGGATTTGATCATACTAGACTTTAAGTTGAAACGTTCAAGATATCAGATGAATTTAACGTTTGTGTATCATTCTTACAGGACCTGCCAGTGCAGTTTGTTTAAATACAATTAATAGATCAAAATTAATTTGAATCTTTAAATTAAGAAGATGTAATACTTTATGAGAATGGATTTGCAATATGCTAGATCATAGTTAATCCAAGTTGCTAATAATAAGTTTTCGACAATCTTCAAAGGGTCTTTCAAGAAGTTTCTGTACTTTCTGATAAAATAATGTTAAAAACTAAGGGAGCATTGTCTGGTTTGATTGGCAGTTATACGCACTTCTTTGTTCAATAGTTTTATGCATTTTTATGCCATGTAATAGAATTATCAAATAGTTTAGAATGGATTATTTGATAATTCACAAAAAATGATTGATTTGCCGATAAGTTCATACGATATTACTAAGGTTCCTAGCCTGAGAAACACCTTTATAAGTTACACTTTGAATGACGAATTGACATATCAATCTTAGAAAATGGTTGCATTGTTGAGAGAAAACAAAGACAACGAAGTAGATTTGAAGTATTAAATTTATTAATAGTGTAGAAAGGAGTTTGGGGTTGTGTTGTAATAATGTGAGTCAGATGTAGATGAGGCTATATTTAGACTAACATTTATAATGTCTATTTTGTGATTATTAAGAGTATATTATCAATATTATAAAGAAACAAGTTTTGAATAGCATATAATAGGAATAGTAGCCTAAAATAATAATTATGAATTTGTATTTGTGTAATAATAACTCATTCTTCAGCAGCCTATTTTGCTTTGAATTCTTTCTCTTATTGTAGAGCATATTCAATAGTTCGCTGAAAGATAGATAAGGAATTCTTACTTTCTTGTTGTTGAATTAATAAACCCAGAGCCAAGGATAATAGCACAATGCAAAAATGACAAAGGAATTAGCGAAAATGTAGACTTACCAAGCCCAAGGGTTATCAGCAACATTTCTTCCCAAGAATCTCCAGAGGGCCTTCACTTTTGGATCAGCATTCAATCTAGATACTACTTATGGTTTTCTGACTTGAGATTGATATTTTATTAAATCATACCAAAACTTGGTTTGACTGTTTATTAATAAGGAATAGTCTTAAACCATTAAGGAGTGTAATCCTTTACATTGTTGTAAATCAATCTGCCGTAAACCATTAATAAATATATTAATCAAAATTATATATATTGGAGGATAGATGGAAATTCAAACTAATCAGAATGTTAGCCAATTAAATAACCGGTACCAGATTTATATAAATTAATTAATGGGTTTTCATATCTTCTGCACGGCACATAATGGAAAAGATGATAAAAATACCATAATAATCAAGGAAAGCAATAAATTTAAATAAATATATATTACGTATTAAATCATATGGTCTAAGTGTGAATATCAAATGAAATTAAAAGTAATTAAAAGGATGGCATAAAAATATTAATGATTTTTGAAAATATCTGTTTGAGAATTATTACTTGAACCTAAGAAAATTACTTTATAAATTTCTTAATTTCTCGAAATTTATAGAAGCAACTATCTTGAAGCTGAGAAACAAACAGCAATCAGGTTAATTATCATGAAATTATAGTTTTTATTTATGAAAAGTTCTGTTAGTTTGCATGCTTTAATTTCTAGATCGACTTATAGTGCTCTTAAACTGTTAATATTAATGGTCATTCTATGCTTGATTCAATTTTTAGCTCTCAAATCTGTAATACAAGTTAATGTTTTTTGATGATGTTCTATAATACGTTATAAGTTAATTTATAATTCGTTTTTGAATTATAACCTGAAGCAGGATTTCAAATTGCATGATTTTTTTAAGCTTTCTAAATAAATACTCTTAGTGCCCAATAATATTTCATATATAATTATAGAATATATTGTCTATTGAGTATAGAGTGTATTTTGACCTGCAATAAACTAAAAATATTAGAATTTTTGATTTTTAATTTACACATGAGTCCTTTTGTTCTATTTTGCATTTTTATTTTAGGGCACTCGTTGAAGGTCTCTTATAGCAATTAGTGTTCCTGCTCTAAATTTTCGTCAGACACTAGTTGTTTAGAGCAAACTAACTGCATCTGGAGGACTGAAGGTTGCCAAACGAGAGAATGCACTGAATACTATGATATGGACAAGTGTAATAGGGTTGCATCCTGCTCATGGAATGTATCAAAATGCGAGAAGTTCACTCAATGTGCAAATTTCTACATGAACGATTCTTATGATTGTTACAAAATAGGTGATCAAAATTTAAATCTTTTTTGTGAGCCTTCAGATGAAGGGCACATCTGTAAAGACTACAGAGTCCAACTATGTGGAGATGTTGAAGAAGATTGTACAGGATTTTAGAGTCAATGGAGTTTATGTTACTGGAATAATAACAGTTGTAATGTGGTTGATATACGGTATTGCGACAAATTGTTCGATGAAGATTTGTGTATAATATTTGGAGAGGGACTTGGATGTCAATGGAAGGACAACAAATGTACCGTAATATCATGTTCGGATTACACTTCTGAGAGTACTTGTGTGTTACAAAGACAAAATTTCATTTAGGATGATCCCCTGCTCTGTAAATGGAGTGAAATAAAGTGCGAGGAAGCCCAAGATGTTTCTCATCTTGATTTTTCCAATTGTCTAGTCAACTCCTTCTATAATTATATTTGGGATTCAATCAATAAACAATGTGTCTCTTGTTTAATCTATGTTCCCCCAAGTAAAGATCCAGTGTAGCCATGATGTGAAGCAAAATACAATTTTATTTTTAGATAGATAACATAATTTTTATTTTTGCATTAATTTTATATATCTCCTATTATTTCTTCATAAAATTAATAAATTGCATTAATTAATACAAAATTAATGTTATTGGATAAAATGTACTCATTCATTTTTTTTAATTAAAATTTATTATGATAACTCTTAGTTGGTTTAATTATCTATATATATACATAAGTTCAATGAGAATAAGTAAATTTAGAAAATAGATAATAAAATTTTTTGTCAGAATTTGCCAAACTAAGATTGAATTAAGAAAGTAGTAAAACTAGGTAAAATGATCCAATTGTTTATTTTCTAACAAAGTGTATCCAATTTTTTGTGATAACCCTATATAGATGAATTTGCAGTTAGACAAACTTTATATTTTAAAAGATATAGTTTGAATTATGACTATAAGATTTTTATATTATTGAAGATATCTAAATCAAGGAACTGTAATTGGAGAATTATAGTTATAAAGTTGATTATACTAGCATACAATATATATTTAATTTATTTCAAAAATAATGGGTAATGCATGCCGTTGTTAATAATTTACAAATGATAATTTAGAACTGAATTCAGGAAAAGCAGAGGGTGCAAATAAGAATGGAGACTCAATCACCATTCCTCAATAGAATGGTACAACCATTTCAAAAAAGACAACTCAAAAATAGAATGATGATGAAGGTGAGGATGATGATTAACCATAAAATATATAATAAATCGAAGTAACTATGTATAATAGCATTTTAGCTGAAAAGAGGAGACCGAAAGAAATAAGCAAAGATAAATGCAGTGTCAGATACTGTAGAGATATTTGAAAACATTCTGAAAGTTGAGAAACGAAAATCTCCTTTCGACTATCAATTAATGCTAAATGCCTTTAACGATCATTTCATATTTAAGTCAGTGCCTCAAAGTGACATAGAATTTGTAGTGGAATAGATGTTCTATTGTACTGTTCCAGATGGTTAATTTGTTTTCAAGTAAGGAGATAAAGCTACTTCCTACTTCCTTATTGAGAGGGGTTAGTGTTAAATAATCATCAATGGAGAATTGAAGAAAACTTTAAAGAGTGGAGAAGCCTTCGGTGAGTTAGCCATGCTATATAATGCACCTCGAAGTGCAAGTGTCAAGGCAGTTGGAGGTATGATCAGTTAAATCATTTATTTTTAGACTGTGCCTTTTGGGCTATTGATAGAAACACCTTCAGAAAGGTTGTGGAGTAGTAAAACCAGAGGAATTACGATGAAAATCGTGAATTCATGAAAAAAGTGGAATTTTTTTGTAATTATATAAATAGATTAAATAGCCTTTTTAACTGAGGAACAAAGAGATGCTATCTGCAATGTTCTAATTACTTTGTTATTCAAAAAGGGAGAAATAATAGTATCGGAGGGGGATGTGGCTAATTCATTTTATATCATTAAAAAAGGGAAGGTGTCAATTATAAAGGGAGACAAGGAGGTGACTTAGATGAATGCAGGAGAATCATTTGGAGAAGCAGCATTATACTAAAGTTGTTAGCGAGCTGCTACTGTCAAGGCAGTTGATGAAGAAGTTAGATGTCTGTCATTATCTAAAGATGATATCTAAAAGATTCTAGGGTAAAAGATCTAAACAGTTAAATATATAAACACTTAGAAGTGGGCTTTGTAACAGAACCCAATCTTAGGGAAATTAACATCAATTTAAATCGAGAAGATCATCTAGACTGTGAGATAAGTGCATTATGAGAAGAATGAAATAATTGTAAAGGTTGGACAACAATGTCTGAAGGTTTATATAGTTTTAGAGGGTGAAATAGCGACAGTAACAAATTATTTCGTAACTATAAGATATTTAGATTCCATCAAACAAATATGTATTCGGTAAAGGCAAAGTTTTTGGGGATCAATATTTGAAGTCGTCTGCTCTAGATAATAAAATGGCTGAGAGTTTGCAAGTCATATCAGAAGAAGCCATCATTGCAGAGTTTGAAATCAAAACCTTTATGCAGATAATAGGAGGGAGTGTTGAATAAATGATACAAAAAAACGAGAATTCTCACGAACAAAAGTATCTCAACCGTCCCAGTGCTATATCAAAAAAAGACTATTCCAACCTTACATTGGATAAGCTTATTTGTATCAAGAAGTTGGGACAAGGTTAATTTGGTAATGTATATTTGGTTAGGACCTCTTAAGAGGACAAAATGTATGCATTAAAATGTATAAGCAAAGCTCAAATTGTGGAATAACATTTAGAGAGACATTTAGCAGTATTCCTCTATCTTATTATTTTAGCAAGAGAAATAAGTGCTTCAGACTATTAATTTTCCTTTTTTAATGCAATTCTACAAAAGCATGAAGGATTAGAATTACATTTACTTTCTGATTGAATTCATAAAGGGCATGGAATTATTTGATGTGATTAGAGAAATTGGACTATTGACAGTGACGGACTCTCAATTTTATATTGGATCCTTGTTGATTTGCGTAGAATATTTACACAAACTGTAAATCATTTATAGAGATATCAAACCTGAAAACATTATGGTCGATGACAAAGTATAATTTTATATTGATATAGGGCTACTTGAGAATGATTGATATGGGTACGGCCAAATTCTTGAATCAAAAATCCATCAGAACCTACACCATTATAGGAACTCCTCATTATATGGCACCAGAAATCATTACAGGCAAAGGATACACTTTTACAGTTGATTTATGGTCAATCGGTGTTTGCTTGTACGAGTTTATGTGTGGAGGTGTCCCCTATGCTGAAGATGCTGATGATCCATATGAGATTTATGAAGAAATTTAAAAGAAAACCTTAAATTTTCCACCTTTCATGAAAGATAAAAAAGCCAAAAAATTAATTGAATAATTGTTGTCTAAAACCCCAGAAGTTCGTTTAGGGGGAAGTTATGCTGCATTAAAGGCAAATACTTGGTTTGACAAATTCGATTGGGTACATTCGATATATGAATCTTTTTAGGATAAACTAATGGACAAAGAGCTTAAACCGCCTTTTATTCCAAAGAAAACTAGAATGATCTAAGATAAGGAAATACAGAGCGCTCTTGCTACTGGAAAATTAGCATCCAAAGAAATAAATACAGTTGGGGTTGTCTACAAGAAGGAGAAAGCTAGAGATCCAAATTGGGACTCAAATTATTGAGATTTTAAATAATATACTTGGAAATTATTATATTATTTAAATAATGCTTCTACGATGATGAAATCAAGAATGAAGAAATAATAAATATTTGAGACCTAATTTTTGGATGATTTGAGCGAAATACTTATGAAGAGAGTAGGTTGCTTATTGAGTTAATTAATAATTAAATTTATATATTTATTTTAATTTATGAATTAACCTTATCTTCATCCAGCCAATCAAATTATTCAGGATTCAGCTCCCAAAGAAACTCTTTATGTAACTGGATTGAATGATAAAATTAAACTAGAGGACTTGAAATTTGTGTTGTACATACTCTTTTCATAATTCGGAGAAGTCCTTTAAATGGTCATGAAGAAAACACAGAAATTAAGAGGGTAAGCCTTTATAGTATTTTAAAACATTACTTATGCTACTAATGCTAAAGCAGCTTTATCAGGTATGATTGTTTATGATAAACCATTGGTATCATCTATTCCTGATATTTTAGATTATTGAATTTGCGTACAAGAAAAGTGTTATTTTCGATAGGATTGAGGGCAAATTTTATTATAAGCAAAAGCAACACAAGGAATTGTAACCCACTTTGCCAAATGAATTGATAAAAGAAAAGAAACAGAAAAAGTTTGAAGAGAAAATACAAAATAGTGGCAATTTAAATTAGGGAGAAATCAATAATGTCTTGTTGATAGAATCATTGCCTCCCTTTGTTACAGAGATCATGTTATCCGAGCTATTTAGGTAATACCCTGGTTATTCACTCATTAAGTTGATACCTGCTAGAGGCTTGGCATTTGTTGAATATTAGAATGATGATCAAGCCACAGTTGCATTAAAGGGTTTGAGTAACTTCAAAATCACTCCTGAGTGTCAATTAAAAGTAAAATATGCCAAAAAGTGAAGAGTATACAAATAAGATTATTTTTAATACCCTTTATTCATTTCTGCTTATACTAATTAAATTTAATTAATCTTATTTATATATCAATCAGTACTCAATCTTTTTATCATAATTAGCTAATGCTACCATAAATGCTTATAAAGGTGAGAAAGGACTTTAAAAATCTAAATTGAATTTCCCATCATTTTCTTTTCCTAATTAAACATAGATCTATTCAGGTTATTCATTTATTTATATTAATTAGAAGTTTTTTATTGATGAAACTTTGACTCTATCATAGAAATTCAAAGTAAAGCTCTTTGTTTTTTCATTCCACTTTGGTTTTCTGTTCATAAAAATATGAGAATCATCTTAAGGAAATCGAAACTGAAATATTTTAATATAAATATACTTCTTATTGTCGAGGTTCTGTGGGTTTTGAGGAAGTGATGAATTTCAATTAGCCTATAGAATTTCGTACAGGTAATTTATTTCTTTTTGGATTATTACCATTATCATAAAACAAATAATCATATTTCTTTTTACAACTAACTTGTCCAATAAAATTGGATGATTTTCTCTAAATTTTATCTTTGTTCATGCTAATAATAAATTTATGAGATTATTTCTTTGCTGCCAAAAAGATCTTGCCATTTTTCTCCAAATAAAATTTAGGTTTCAATTTGTTTAAACCAGACGTATTAATTATTAGAGTACACTAAACTATTCCCTTTTCATTTAAAGGGGAAGTCAGAAATTCCTTAATACTCTAAAACTCTAGAGTTTTATTGACCAATGGATAAGCTGAAACTACAGAGGCATTTGAAATTACTGAATTTTGAAGAGAAGGTCCCACTTAATCAATTTTTTTTGGGCTCTCCTCTGCATGTATTTATTATTGATCCTCATGTGGAGATTATCGATTTTATTCGTTTAAATCATTGTTTTCTTAATAATGAATATTTTCTTCATCTTCCTTTTCTGCTATTTCTTGGAACTAAATGACTGAACCAAAGTCATCATCTTCGCTTTCTTCCTATTTGGGCTAAATCTGATTTTCCTACTTGAAGCGAATAGTATTTTCAACTTTAATCTAAAATTGTTAGTCACAACTTAATTACCTAATTTATGTCAAATTTTTTATCCTCTTGATAGTATGCTTGATTTTGGCCTAGATTTTTATGAAACTATTAATTCTTAATAATTTTTGGAGGACTTGATGGACGCTGATCTTCAATTTAAATTTTAGGAGTAATAGCCTACTAATAAAGAAAATAAGGAACATTGCTAGCATATTCATCGAAGTTTATTATGTCGATTGCCTCAATATTGTCATTCTCGTTGAACATATTTAAAATATTAAAAATAAGTGATTATAATTCAATGCTTTTCTGTATCTAAATCAGGGATTTTAGTTTAAAGAGTAGAAGATTAGGAATTCTTAACACTCGAACATTTTGTAGATATCCAATATAAAGTATGGTCAATTCTTACTTCCCAATAGCAAACCAAGTTATAAAAGTAATGCGCATAAATATATCCTGCAGGTACCTATAATAATTTTTATTTAAATTACATCTATTGTATAATGAATTCTAAAAGATATAACAATAAAAGCTTGAAAGAAAGAAGAAATAAAAAAGAACAAGGCAAACCATCTCTTACCCAATTTCCTCATTTCCAAAGCACAGATAACCAAGAATCCCACATGACCCTAAAATTTATAAACAAATTCTTACAGAGTAAAAGAAATCTGAATAATTACCATATTTTACAACAAAAGTGGGGACTCCTGGATCCTTCCAGTAGTAATTATCAGCAAACTGTAGTTTAAAAATATTCAAATGAATTGCCCTTATTCCATAGAAAATGATTAAAGCAGCAAACAGTCTGAAATTTCTCACATAAAATACCCAGTACAGACTGACATAGAAAAAGGCAAAGTCTAAAATGAGGCCAGAGAGGACCTGCATTAGAGAAGCAAACCTAAATTTAAATTGAACATGTACCATGTATGAGAATGATATAATTGGTTGATATCATGTGTGATATTGTGGCCTATATCAAATATGCCTTTGATGTCATCCTGAGGTGTGCCCAAAATCTCACCGACTTGGGTGATCACAATATAACTGAAAAAAATGAAAATTCTAAAACGAAAGTTGTAACAAGGGTTCTCAGGAACAGCACTCTGTCTGTGATCGAATTTTAAAGAGGCCTCAAGTTTTTGAACTTCGTAAATTGACGAATCTTATTATTATTTATTTGAGATATGCATTTTAATAATATTATTTATTTAAATTAATTATCCTTCATTAAGTATGGCAATTTATATTGTAATTTAAATTTTTTATTTAAAATGAAAGTAACTGATTTTAATTCGTTGTTATTTTTCCCATCAGAATTATCCATAAGAAAATTGCTTGTTTATTTAAATATATATAATTATTCATTCTCTGATCCCTAAGGCAATCTGCAACTTATCTACCAGCATGGCCCCACCAATATCAATTGCTGCACTATACAAGTCAGCCATCTCTAATTTCATTTTGACTAACGATTACGCCTATATTTCAATCTTATCTTCTAGTTCCTTTACTTAATTCTTATATTTATTCTCTATTTAGGTGTTGGTTAACAAAGCCCTTTCCAAAATTGTCTGATACTCTTTTGATATTTTGAATCGCTCATCTGTAGCATTAACATTTTAATCTTCTAAATCCTTAGTTTTAGTCGTTTCATTTCCTTTATTATTATTGGTATTTGCATCCTCCATTTATTAGAAAGCTAAAGATTCTCTATGACTTACTAGTATACTAGTTCTTATTTAAGCAATACTGTTTCTTTAAATTGCTTTATCTAATCTCTATAATTATAGATCTGATAATTAAAATTCTAATTCAGCTATTTTTTGCTCATAAGTTTAAATCTTTTCTTTACAATTACATTATTATTGCTTTTCTTCAGCATTCTTAGGTTTAGGCAAGTCACCTTTGGAAGCTTTTGTTGATTCCTCCTTCAAAGTTTTAAGTTACACTTGAAGTTCAGATCTGAGTTTTTTTTCTTTCTCATAAGCTTATTTCATTTATGTGTTTTATAACTTATACTAATCAAGAGTTTGTGAAAGTGCTTCTTCCATTTAGATATTATATTGCTCAAGTTCAGAAATAAGATCCTGCTCTTTTTGAATTTCTTGATTTTTCTCCTTTAAGGCTTTTTATTACTCAGCTAGTTTGGCTTATAGGAAAACCTTTTCCTACATAGACTCTGCTAATTACTGTTTACATTTTGCAAAGTTTGTTCTCATACTAGCAAGTTGGGCTTTAGCCTCTTCAGAGGACTTTAAAGTTTCAGATTCCTATTATTTCTATTGATCTATTTGTAATTGTAGAATTTTCAATTATTCATTCTTTCTATGATATTTATGAAATAATTCATACTGTTCTATGGTTTCTTTAAGCTTAGCAAATTCATCGTTTTTGGTGTAAGTTTGCGATTGATATTTTGGATCAGAGAACTCAATATTTAATATTATATTACTTATTAGCTTTATTCCAATTTTAATTTGTATTAGCAAACTTCTAATTCTTATTCTAATTATTATACTCTTGACTCAAAGTGTTATTGAGTAAGATTATAATTCTGCAGTTTTCTTTGAATGGCTCTTCTTAACAATAAGAGAGGCTCAACAAGTTCTTTTTGATCCTCTAAGAAGCTTGGCACATCCTCAACTGATCTCTATAAGTATTAGACTTCGCTATTGTAATCACTTAGGGTTTTTTGATTACTCTCATATTTGGATTACCATATTTATATTTGATTTTTCAATCTATTTATTTATTACTCTGATTTAGATCTAACATTTATTTCATCTATCTATTTCTCAGAGGATATAATCTAAGTTTTTGATTCATGGCTTAATCTATTAGATTCAACATCTTTTCTAAAAGATTCATCCATTTTCTATTATAAACTTTGAACTATCTCATCCTTTTTGGCCAATTCAGATTCATATTTTTATTGTAAATTTTCGAACTCTTATTATTTAAGCTTTAAGGCTGATTACAAATCTTCAATTAAATTCTCATTTTAAATAGCATTAGTTGACTATTACTACAATAAAAAACACAAATATTTACATCTGCATGTTTTGAATTGATATCCTTTTATTCAGCTAATTCTTTCTCCAATAATAAATTTCGCTATTACAATGCAGAGATTGTTCCAGATGTCAAATTTTTCATATTCTGAATTTATTAATTTTTCTCTGTGACTTAATTTTTCAAGGCTTCAATTTCTTGATTAATTTAATTAATTTTTTGGACCAAAGACTCATTTAATTCTTTTAATTCCTCTTTTTCTGAGTTTATTTTTTGTAAATCCGATTGAATCACATATTCTGCGCTCTGTTGTGAATTTTAGCTATTACTAGATTTTGATTTAGACTTCTCTTCTTGAATTTATTTATTTAATTTAGACAGTTCTTCATTTTACTTTTCAATCGTAAGTCTTTAAGCTTACAATTATAAATTAATTTATGCATTATCATCGTGAAATAATTAAATCTTCTTATCTTAATCCTTTAATTATTATTCATATGTTTTTATCATGTTCTAATGGATTTCTTGTTCAACCATATCATTAATTTTACTCTCAAGTTATTAAATAAATTTATTTTATTCATTAATTTTGACATCTTTATTGATTAATAACTAATTTTCAATTTCTGGTGTCTTTTATTTCATTCCAGATTCATCTAATTTTTTTTCTGGTAATAAAACTTAGTCTGGGGACTTTTATAAACTTTAATTATTAAATGATTCTTGGCCAGAAGTGATAACAGAAACTTATGATAAATCTAAAGATTAATCATTAGTTTCAACGCTATTGTAAATTGTATATAATACTCGTTCTCAAGCTCAGCCAATCTAGTTATCTTAAAGTTAACCAATAATTTTGCTTTTTTATCTGGACACTTGTCTAACGCTAATGCTTCTTAAAATTCTAAGTTGAATCTTAAAAAAATCTATTGTACCTAAGTTTTATGAATTCAAATATTGGGAGAATTCAAGGTTATAAAAACCAGCGCTTTTCTATCCTTTTTCAGTCACTAATATAACAACTAATTAGGCTTTATTTTCTTCTATGTTTCCATCTTGCGTCAGAGTAGCATTTATATTAAATTGCAAATTTTCATTAATAATAGCTATACCCTATTATAATTCATAGTTTTGCTGGGTTTCAAACTTTTAAGAACCTAAAAAATAACTAAAATGTTCGAATACCTTTTTTAATGACAACTTGAACCTTGCAGGGAAAATGTACTAATAATTAAACATTCAAGATGGTGGCTTCGACTAAGAACTTGTACCCTCTTCTATTCATTAATATATAATATAACAAAATAATTACAAAATTATTTAGCAGCAATAATTTTATTATTATTTAGAAAGAATTACGCTGAGTTATTTTACTTGATAAATAGAAAATATGAACCCCCATTACAGAATAAGATTACATGAGATGTGGGCATATACTTTATCCATAAATTATTGCTTGACTGAACTAGAACAATAATAATAACCGTTTTCTTATGACAAAATAACTATTAATAAGTCTTCTAGGCGATAATATATATTAATTATCAATGCTTAAGATTGCCAATATAATCCTGCTCTAAAAAAGCATGTCCATTGACCCAGGGATGGAATTGGTTAAACAATTTTGTACAGTCTTTTCCTGCTCCCAACATCAATTTTTCTGCTCCTCCAGGATGATAATCCATATATAATGAAATATCATACACCTTTCCATTTAAAACTGTCCAAACATCTCCAGGTGTATTGTGTTTTGAAACCTCTTCAGCAGTATAATTCTTGAAAGCTGGCTTATTCTTTCTCGGCTATTAAACAAACTACATTTGGCCTCCTTTTACTTGAACCTTTGCCCTCTTTGCAACCTCCTCCTATGGGAGTAAGGGAGCAATAAATCTGCTCTCTGCAAAATTAGGTTTGCTTGACAAAAACGCCCCTGTGCTTTAATTGAAAGACGACAGCATTTTCTTTATTTGTTCAAATGTGATTTCTGTGGATTCAGTTTTGCGTCCATTCCTATACTTTTCCTTACAAATCTTTCCATCTTTAGGCTCATAGGTATACCTGACCTCTTTTTGAGAAGTAGAATCCATGGCATTTTTCACTCCAGGAACGAACAAATATACGAAACGATTGTCCACACACTCCTCTAACGTAAGTTTTTACATCTTTTGAGATTGTAGCAATATTTTATCTGTCATTAAGAATTTTTTATAGTCCATAATGATATAATTTAGAATTAGAAGAATCTCTTCTTTAGTTGCATTCAGATGTAAGATTTCATCTATTCTATCATCTGTAACAATTGTAGTTTTCTTATCTTCCATGGGTAAATTGCAATTTTAAATAAAATATTTATTTTAGTATTTGAGAAATAATTCTTAATTTTAATTTATTTTTTTGTAAATCTAAAGATTAGCATTTAATACAACCTATTTTTTTGACTTAAATTATTCTTTAAAGCTATTTTATCTTGTAGTATGAAATTTCATTTAAATTTCTCTTGCATAACTTATGATAATCAACAATAGGGAGGTATCAGAAAACTATTATATTTACAATAGGATTATTAAATGAATTGGATTTAAAAACAAGTCAAATAAAAGTTAAGTTCTTTTCTAATTATTTCAGTATATTAGAGTTTTAATTTGTTATTAATTTTTCTTAATTTCAGCACTGCTTTAGAATAAAGATAAATATGCAATAAAAGATTTATGACTACTACGATGACTAACCTATGTATATAATTAATATATATCAAGAAGAATGTAAAGTAATAATCATCACCAGCCCAAATATCTAAAGAAAAATATAGGTATTTTAAAATAGAGTTTCTTTTTAATTGTAAAGAGAATTAATTAATTTTTTTTGAATAACACGTTAATGAATATACAGAAGTGGTTAACTTTATTCTAGAGCACGAAATCAATTCTTTGAAGAATCCATTTAAACAGATCATAATTAAGTTTTACTTAAAAAAAGTATTAATAGGTTACCTAATTAAATGAAGAATGGATTTTTTAGGATTTTCTTTTTAATTTGATTCCTCTGATATTCTTTTACCAAGAGTGAGTAACAAAATATAGAAAAAAAAGTTATTGAAATAGTAAATAATTAAAAATAGAGATATGTGAGAAATATATAGTGTAAAAAGAATCTCAGTTTTATTGCTCTGTATAAATTGTATCGACAAGAGTTAATATTAACATTTCCGGTATAGTCTAGTGGTTAGGATATCAGGTTTTCACCCTGGGGACCCGGGTTCAATCCCCGGTATCGGAAAAATTTTTTGTTTAAAATATATATCGTTTTTTTGAGTTGATTTGGTTCAAGTATTATTTTCAAGTATTATTTTGTGTGGGAATGTTGAATGGAGATTTTACAATTCATAATAATCAAGCAATATTCACAAAACAATTTTTAAATTTATTATTGACTATTTCCTTAATTTTTTGTCTGGTTTCTCTCTTTTTTGAACCTTCTGCCAAAATGATGGCATTATGGTCAGCTCCATGATTCCAAATATATATTTCACTATTGAATTCTTATAACAATTGTCGCATTCCGGTGAATCTTTCATTTGTTGCCAAAAGTAATGCCTAAATAGAGGTTTGGACCAATGGAGTTAATTGAATCTAATCTTAAATAAATATTATATACAATAATAATGATTGTGTTGGTCATGGCAATAATTGTACCTATGGCTGCATATGATAAGGTATTATCAAGCATGCATTCTAGAAATGTGCCTATGTTGAAGAGTAATTCACATAAGAATAGCATAGTGATGGCATGCATATTCAAATAATGAGTGTAATAATATTTGGATGGATTTGAACCGATTAAATCTTTGTAGTTGTTTATAAACTATTGAAGTTATTCCTTGTCAGTAATGAAATTTGGTTGTATGTATTCAACAAACAAGAAGATTCCTGTGAATGACAAGGCTATTCTCAATGAGGCATAGTACAATTCATTGTTTTATTAATGTTCATCAGTAGGATGATTGATGACATGAAGATCTTCCAGGATTTCATGTGCATTTCTTGATATTTGGAACATAGTCAATATTGATACATGAATGCATAATGTGAAAGAGGATAAATATTCTAATCTCTACATTCCAAATGGAAATGTTTTTGTTGGCTGAAATGTTTTTGCTTTGATACCACAATAGATGGCAAACACAATTACTATTGAATTTAATATGCAATCAAAGCTCTCTTCTGTCAGATGAACACTTGAACTTGTTAATCCTGAATAAAAGGCTTAAACAGCTAGGGCAATATACAAAAAGGCTATGATTATAGCTTATTTATAATCTGAACTTCCAAATATGAATTTTATAATTTATGTATCTTGACTTTATTCTAGTTCAGGTTCAAAATGATCACCATGATCATGATCGTGGTCATGATGATCGTGATCGTGTTCACAATGATCATGATCATGGTGATTATGATCTTGATGATTATTATGGTTATGAGTATCACAATTATGTTCTCCACAATCACAGAATGTTAATGACTATTATTCTGACATTTAATTAAATAAATAATAATAATTGATGTTAATCATCATTTTGTTAAATTTATAAGTTGCAGTATACACGCGTTATGCAGCTAAATAAGTTAAAACTACTGCTGCCTTTCAATAATTTAAACTTCATACAAATGAGACTTCAGCATCAAGAGCAGGACATAAAATTAATTTAGAATAAAATCTCATTTTAGAAATTAGATAAGAAAACATTGATTAAGTTGATATTCAAATCTATGATGAGGCAAATAAGCATTTTAGAATACCATCAGATCCTGTAATAGAATTCACTTATAATAGCCTTTCAACTATAATGATGTGAAGGATCCTTAATAATTGGACCATTATGATTATGAGGTCAAAGTACAAGAAAATAATATAGCGATACAAGTACAAAGAGATAATGCTACCATTTTTTAAATAACCGATTTAATCTTTAGTGAAACATATATTGAATTCACTCATACTCCACAAAATAAATAAATGTGGGGTTTAGGAGAAAGAAATTAAGTTGGATTTCGTTTCAGAGAAGGAATCTACACACTATTTGCAAGAGATGAGCCAAACATAATAGAAGATGGGAAACGACCAGGAAAGCACGTTTATTCTAGTCACCCAGTCTTGTTAAGTATGGAAGAAAGTGGTAAATTTAATGTGATTTTCTACAAAACTTCATCGCCAATGGATGTTACTTATGAAGAGGATAAAATGAAATTCATAACTATAGGTGGAATCATACATATAAAATTATTTTTGGGTGATTCTTCTCCAAGAACTGCAATTAAAAAATATCATTAATATTTGGGTGGTTGGATGCTTCCACCTTTTTGGGGATTTGGATTTCATCAATGTAGATGGGGATATAAAAACAGTAGTGTATTAATAGATGTTGTACAACAATATTAAAAAAATTACATACCTATTGATATCATTTGGACTGATCTTGACTATATGGATGATAGATAAATATTTTCTGTCGATAATTACAATTTCCCCAAGAAAGATTTCTAATATTTAAAAGGGTTAGGTGTGAGATACATTCCTTTGTTAGATGTGGCTGTTGGAGTAAAATATGGGACTAAAGACCAAGGTTACAAAAAAGGAACAGAATATGATGTTTTTTTGTATTCACCATATACTGGATATCGCTTTTAGGGTTATGTTTGGCCAGGTGATTCCTATTTTCCTGATTTCTTTCATCCAAATATCAGCTAATATTGGAATGAGATGCATGAACATTTATACGAATAAGTGGAATTTGATGGACTATGGGTTGATATGAATGAACCAGCTAATTTCTGTGAAGGAGAATGCAATTGGAGTAATCATCATCGTGATCATCCTAAGAGGGAAGACAAATTGAATTAGGAAATCACATTTCCATACATCCCAGGAGAAATACCATTAGCTAATAAAACATTACCTCCTCATTTGTTACATCATGGACAATATTTACATAAGGATGTTCATAATCTCTATGGAATCATGGATTCTTACTATACTTATTAGGCTTAAAAAGCGTTGGGGAAGGTACAACCATTTCAGATTACCAGATCCACATTTCCAGGTACTGGTAAATATGCTTAACATTGGACAGGAGATAATGGAGCATCATGGGATTTCCTTTATTTATCTTTGGGACAGGTATTTTAATTTTAAATATTCGGAATTCCAATGGTTGGAGCTGATGTTTGCGGATTTATGGGTGACACAAACGATAAGCTCTGTTGTAGGTGGATTTAGTTGGCCTTCTTTTACCCCTTTTTCAGAAACCATAATAATGATTTATCAAAACCATAAGAGTTCTTCAATCTCGGAGTTCATGTTGTTTAATCTGCTTAAAAGAATATCCATCTTAGATATACATTATTGAAATGGTTTTATTCTGTTTTCATTCGAGAGTAAAATCATGGCTCAAGTATAATATAATAAATAACTACTAGTAATAAACCCCTTGTTTTTCATCTTCCCTGAGGATTACCTTACATATAGAGATTTTGTGATGGATACTCAATTATTAATTGGTGAAGAGTTAATGGGTGCTCCAATTCTCAAAGAAGGAGTGACAAGAATAGCCTATTTTCCAGATTCAAATTGGTATGACTTAATTACTGGATTGGAATTGAAGGGCAAGTAGGATCACACTCTGTATTGTTCGTACAATGAAATAGTGCCAATATTTATCAGAAGTGGATACTTAGTGATACAAAATACAAAAGAGATCATTAAAAATCTGAAATCCTTAGATAATCATTATAGGATTATTGCAGCTCCAATCAATTCAGAAGCAAAAGGAGTGTTTGCAGATTTGGAAAATTTTGAGGATGAAGAGAAAGCACTTGAAGCTTAACTCATTAATTTCAAATTAGTAGTCGAGGAGCAAAGTGTGAGGATTAGTATTTCCAAAAGTCACTCAGAACTAATAATTGATGAAATACTAATTTATGGATTAGAATGTTCGTATAAGCAGTGTACATCTGGGTATTATAAATACAACTCAGTATTCAAGGGTCCATTTAACTTGGGATAAGATAAAACTGAATTAGTGCTTAAATGATGTATTTTTGTTCAATATCTAGATTTACTTTATAATTTGACGTCGAAGATATTTTATTAAATAAATATATATCATCTTTTATGGTGCTTCTTGTGGTGTCTATCCTTTTTATGTCTATGCTTTTTGTGCTTCTTCCTTTTAGATCTACTTCTACTAGAATCTGAAGATGAATCAGACGATGAGTCACTATCAGAATCAGAAGAACTACTGCTTTCTGGTACTTTTTATTTGATTTCAACTGGCTTTGTAAGAGTTGGTTAAACTAATTAGGGTGGTTATTGGATTTATTATTATTATTGTTATTGTTGTTGAGTTGATTATGGCATTTATTCAGTGATTCCCCATCTCAATTCCTCTTAGAACTTTTCAACATAAGCATAATCAACTAATTTTAATTTGAGTTTTTCATTTTTATACTCAAATACCTTGTTTCTGTCATTGATTAATCTTTTAGCATCTCTCTCATTTTCATATCTAACAAATGCTACATTTCTGGTATTACCTGTTTGACGATCAATTGGAATTTTCAATTCTTTTATTTTGCCTTCCTTTCTAAATAATTCCATCAATTCCAAATGACTAGCTTTTTCAGGTAAATTCTTTATCAGAATTGTATCTTCAATGGCTCCTGATAACGTAGCCTTCAACTCTTCTTGACTCATCTTTCCCTTGTTGATTCGTTCCAATTGTTTTAAGTCATTTCGTAACTTCTCAATTTTATCTTTCAACCACTTCTTACAATCATCATAAGATATTAACACTTAATATATTCTGGTACTCTTAGCAAACTTAATCTTGTCTTCATTAGCCAAAACCACTGGTAAATGGGGTTCAACAAATTATTCATTATGAAAAGTGCCTCCCTTCGAACCCAAATCAACTAAACACACTTATGATTAATTATTGATAAAAATAGCTGCATGTCTCCTGGATATAGAAGGATGTGCCAAATGAACATGATTTCTTTGATGAGATCCGAAATATAAGAAGGCTGAATGTTTCATTTCAATTTTAGGCAAATTCTCCCCCTCTATTTATTAATTTTATGTATTTACCTTTCAAAACCTTCAACTCCACCTTAGGAATCATCTTTGACTCTTATTCAATTGGAAATGTCATCAATAACCACTTGTCTTGATCCTCGTAATTATTAATGTCAGTTCTGATTTGTTCGAGTAATCTTCCTATTTAGTTCTGACCCTTTCCATCCACTACTCCCCAATACTGATTGCTTGGAGTGGAATGTGTAAATGTGTGAATCAATTAATAGTTATTTGTGGCTCTCAATGAATCTCTGATGTCGGCATTCCTCCTGAACTTATCACGCAACAACACCTCCATTATTCGCAGTCTTTGTTTCGTCCAATGTGGGGGATCATCTATATGCTAGGCTATCTGATAGACTTCCTGAACTGATTATGCCTATTTCACTCACAATTCATATTTACATTCACAAATTTCTATCTCATTTCCTCATCCTGGGTTCTTGCAGATTAATATGCAGCATAGACTGAATTATATATCAATCCCTATATTAATCAATTGACTTCTCTACCTAGTAATAAACAGCACAAGGATATTCATTCGCCAAAAATTCAAATTGATCTGTAAAGGATTCAATTCTTTCCATCCTCTATTTTCGAAACAGAAAGTCAGCCTGCTCCTCGTATCTCTAGAGCTCAGCCTGAAATTAGGCATTCTTTTCCATTTAAGCAAAAAGAGACATCCTATATAAATATTTTATAATAATATTTATTGTATTATTGATATTTTTACATCATTAATATTTACGATTTCTTAGTAAACACATGAAATATTAGATTGAAAATCTCAAATTTATTTCTTAAATTAAATAATTTTATAAGTCTATATTTATTGCAATTACAATGGAAAATTTATTGTTATCTCCTAATACAGGAAGGACTTATTCTCTTATTAAAAATATTGGAGAAGGTGAGTATGGGACTGTGTGGCTTGTCCAAAGAGATGATCAATGTATTCTTTTCAATAAATTCTAGTGTTTTTTGCTTGTAAATTGCTGAAGCCTAAATTTGAAGTTTGGAGTATTGAAAAAAGCAAGAAATTCGAAGAAAGAGCCAAACAAGAAATACAAACTTTGATCAAAAGTACTCATGCTAATGTGGTCAGATACGAAGAGTGGTTTTAGATATAAGTTTCTGAAAATTTGAATCGATACATAATATCCGAATATTGTGAAGGTGATACCCTGTAAAAATTTTTGGAATCCAAAAAAAAATTAAGCGAAAATGATGCTTTGTATATTATGAGACAATTGGCCGATGGATTACAATATATGCATAATCAAAAGGTTATTCACAGAGATGTTAAACCTGCTAACATTATGTTCAAATAGGGAGTGCCAAAGTATATAGATTTTGGATTTGCTAAGTATATTGAAGAGGAGAGGATAGATCAAATACAAACTGTGGATGTAGGTTCTCCTTAATATATGGCTCCTGAATTATTGGATGAAAGTGGCTATTACAATTAAAAAGTGGATGTATGGGCTTTGGGAATTATTTTCTATTAATTACTTGTGGGTCAATTTCCATGGAATATAGAATTAGCTACTACATATTAGATGATCTTAAATATAATTTATGATGATGAAACTGTAAATTTTCCACCAGAGATTCCTATTTCAAAAAGACTGAAAGATGCTATCACTTAAATGCTAAAACTCAATTCTGATGATAGAATAGATAGCAATAAATTATTTTTGATATTATAAAATTGATAATCATTCCAAAATCATCATTGTATCTATTATATTATCAATTGGAAGTTCCCTATTATGCATATTAAGGATTTTTGCTTTAAATTATTCACTGCCATCAATTGTTTTTACGTTTGGATATTGTCTAATGTATTTTTAATCTAATTATTTCTAATAATCATGATTAATAGAAAATTTTGCAATTTATTTGGTTTATTTTATCACTTGTTACTATTCGACTTGTTGAGGTTACCTTTTTGGTGGTTCTACTTTTTGACTTTGAGTTTCTTTAAATTGTTTGAGGAGTTATTCGATCTTCTTAAGCTCTTCATTCAAGTGGACATTCTCTTCAGCCTTTTCCCTATTTTATCTTTAGTATCTCAAGATTTTGCTGGTTTCTTCTTGTTTTAATTATTTTTTTTCTGTTTCGCCTTCTCCAGGATCTTGTAAATCTGCTATGAATTCCTCTCCTTATTCAATGATGGATCTGTTGGTAGATATAAGATTTTTGATAAAATTCTAGTAGACTGGTAAATCTCTAAAATGAATATTGGATTTAGGATTTTGGATCCACTTAGTTAGATTGTGGTTGATTCTTTCTTTGATTTGATCATCTGTTAATTTGGAAGTCGATTTAATAATATCTCTAGTTAAAATAAATTTATGGCATTTACCTCTCCTTTCTTGATAGATATTCCTTACTGGGAATTTGAATTCCATTTTCTTCGCATCTTTTTTGCCATACAACAAACTCTTGTTTTTGAATTTATTGATTGGAAATGAGAGTAATATGTCTTAATTTAGCATCCTTTACCTCTCCAAACTATAACTTCAGCAATTTATAGGTTTGAGTCTATTCTAGTTGATAGGATTTCTCTCCTTCGACAACAGCCAAAACCTAGGCAATTGCATAACTCTATTCCTTTCTTCTGATGAGGTTGGGTTCATTGATTTTAACAAAAGACCCTTCAATGACATTATCGCAATAATGCTTCATCAAAAGGTAATAAATTTGATCTCTTTTGAGTTGTGCATTTTGGATCAATTTAAAGTAAGTGTCTAATTGCTCATTATTGGGTTCTACCATGATGGGTTTCTCTTCGACTTTTTACTCAAATTGTGGCTCTTCTTTTTGAAATTCATTTTCAGATTATAAAGAGTCAGATGACTCGGAATCACTAGAAATCTTCTCTAGATTCACTTTTTAATTCTAAGGATTTTGTGTTTATGAATTTGACAAGAGAATTGATCTTTTGTATTCTTCCTCCTCTTTTTGTTTTCTAATTTCAGCCCAAGCCTTTTCCTTTTCTAACTCTGTTCTGGCTTTCAGAAACATAGTTTGTTAGGCTGGAGTCATCTCATTGAAATCATAAGGAAGATTTTATTATTTAGACATAATTTAATAATAATCATTTTTTATTTGGTTTGTTCAACTTCTTGGCATTCTTATCCTTAGCCTAAGCTCCATATTTTTATTTTAATTTGGCTGTCACCTCCTAATCAATATCATCTTCAATTTCCCCATCACTAACATCATCATCCTCCTTGTCTTGAATTCTAACTCTAATATTTCTACTAACATTCTCTGGTTTGATGTCTATAACATAAACAATAATAATAAACTGTTATCTCTTAAATTCAAATTGATGAATTGATCAATATGTTCCTTATTGAAATCCTTCCAAGTCTATTTGAAATCCTAAGCACGATAAGAGGCATCATTCTTAATCAATTGCAAAATGAGTTTCATCTTCTCAACAACCTAAGACAATCCATCTACTAAAGTTTCATCAGAAATCACAATATTAGGTTTTCCTTCTAATTTAAAGAACTCCAATTTCTCATACAAATGTTCAATACCAGCCTTGACATTAACTAAAATCTTCTGGACTCTCTCATATTTCAATTTGGTCCTTTCACATTTGTTAATTGCATTATTCACATTGTTTTCAATCTATCATACAATATTTAATTTACTTCATCAATCTACTTTCTTGTTAATGCTTCTCCTCCCTCATACTTTAAATCATTCAAATGATCTCTCAATTTCTATCTTTCAGTTACTAATTATTCTATCTTATCCTAATACTCCCCCTTAAGATCACTCAATGATTTGCTCGTCTCATCCTAACTAGTGAACTTTTAAATGATATCATTCACATCTCTGAATCCAGTGGCTTCCTTCAACTTATGAAATGCCTCTTCATAATCAGCCAACTTCTATTTCTAGATATTTGTATCCACATTTGGATTGGATGACTCCTAAATAGGAATATTCGATGTATTATATTCCACCTAAGTCTATACATTATCCTTTTCTCTTTTCTCCAACTTCTATATAACCTTCTCTCTCTCCTCAATTGCCTTTCTCTTTGCATCCAAATAAGTCTTTCTCAATTCCCTCACTGCTGCCTTCTTGTGTTCATACTTCTTCAACTCAGCCTGAGCCAACTCCTTTGCATGAGTGGCATCGTGAGCCAATAACAATAGCTCCTCATAATCATGCTCCTTTCCTTTCAATGATCTTTCAATAGCTGCTAATTAATTATCATATCCAACTCTTTCTTCCTTCAATCTCTTCACTATTTATTCGTATGTTTTTCTAATTGATTATGCCTCATTATATTTGATCATGACTTTATCCAAGTTATTTTCCAATATTCGAATTTATCTCATCAGAGGTGATTCTTCTGGAACTCCAAATTTAGTGTCACTTACCTCATTCAATTTGTCCTGCAACTGAATCAATCTTTCTTTTTTGGCTTTTGTTAAGTGTTTGGCATCATCCAATTTACGTCTCCAATAATTCTCATCTTTTATGTCTCCAGACCAAGATATGAATGCCCCTTATGTCTTTGCTAAAGAAGCACTTGCACCCTACTATTTGCAAACTCATATACTCTTTTATTTGCAATTAACTCATCTTACAGTTTCTTCAAATCTCTATTCTCCTTTTTTAATTGTTCAATGATTTCATTGTTCTTACGCTTAGTCTCCTCGGCATTATTATAAAAATTCTTTCTATCAGCATCAAGAAGTCCAGATTTTTTAATCTAATGTTCCAACTCCTCCTCAATTGAACGTAGATTTTATTAACTTTTTGCTGTTTGAACCCTCGACATTTTTAATTAAATTTATAAACATATATTTTCAATCCACATTTCATTCACCTATATATCTTAATGGGAACTCTCTACTCAATATTATTTACCCCTCCTCCCCCCTTAATTTTAATGATTGGTTTGCCCAAATCTGGAAAAAGAACTCTATTAAATGAAATTTCTTGTAAATTCAAACATACTCCAATTTACTCAGGAGACCTAATAACTGCATTGAAGTATTCTAAATTCAATCTTCTCTGTTTCCACAACATAGAAGACAACTCAATCCAAAATCATTTGAATGGTGCTTTTCTTAAAGTAGACGCTCTTATCTTTGTAATAGATTCATCAAACCTGTCAGATTTAAACAAATCTCATATGCTTTTGCACTATCACTTAAATTAATTCAAATGGATGCCAATTCTTCTCATTATAAGTAAATATCATGAAGCATAAAAAACCATATAAGAAATTGTTATATAGTTTGAACTAATCAAATTGAGATAACCGTGGTTTGTTCGAACCGTTGGATCTGATATATCTGATTTAGATGAAGGTTTAAACTGGCTATATGATTAAATTAAAAATATTAAATAATGAAATTTAAAGTACATGGTTCTTTTTCAGATTTAGTAATTTATTAATTCCTAATAGGAAATCACAGGATTTTAGTAATTTAAATAAGAAATTTATAAACCATTTCAAAATAATAATTTTTATGGGAAATTATTTTACAAATAATTAAAATGTTTAAAAGTCAAACTTAATGATGGTAGGTTTAGACAATGCTGGAAAAACTACTATTTTATATCAATTACAAAGAAATAAAGTAGAAACATTAATACCAACAATTGGATTTAATCTAGAAAAAGCCTAATATAAGCAATATGAAATATTTGCTTGGGATATAGGAGGAGCAGATCCAAGGGTGTAAATTTATAAACCAAATGGATTAACTTATAATGGAATCATTTTTGTAGTCGATTGTAATGACAAGGATAGGTTTGAATGCACAGCAACCATATTTCATAGACTTTTAACCAAGGAGAATTTTAAAGAATTGCCTATTTTAATATTGGCCAATAAAAAAGATCTAATAAAAGTGAACTTACAAGAATTGACAAGAGACCTTATGCTTGAAAAATTAGCTAATATTTGGCATATTCAACCTTGTTGTGCCGTCTCTAAAGAAGGAATTGAAGATGGACTAAAATGGATGTAAATGTAACTTAAGTGATCTATAAATTTTAGTTATTTTTAATATTATTATAATATAAAGACAAGAATATTGGGTTATAATAAGTTTTTTAAAAGAGAAAGTGCTAATTATTCAGAAAAAATGTTAGCTTTTAAAAATTAAATTCAATTCTTCATTCTTTTGATTTAATGTTTAGGATGGTTTTGAGGAGAATAAATAAGATGATAGAACTTCATATTCTTAAATAATTAAGAGTTTATCAGTTGACTGCTCAATAAAATTTATTTAAAATTTGAATAATGAGCCGCGGCAATGAATTAGACGACTTGCTTTTCAAAAGAAGAGATTAAAATTCGAAACAGGGCGAAGACTTGAAATAGATAATAGAGAATATCCCTTATCCTCATGCAGATATAACGATAACCTCTTATAGTGAATTCTCTGACAACACACCATAAAAATATCTCCATAAATTAGTGCATACAGAAAATACAGAGGTTTAACCTCAGAAGTTTAGGCGACATCGAACTTAAGTAGATGCCTATGCGACTGATAGCGAGGTTGAATAAAGGGAATTGAGATCCCAAAAAGTAGATTAAAAAAGAAAACCTCTTCAATAATAACCGATAAACCAATAAGAAATCAAACCTCCCTTGGTACCTCAACAACAATAATAACAATTATAAGATTTCTATGCATCAGGAGGATCTTACTTAGAATCAATGACCCCTTAACGAATGAACAAGATTGTAGATTGGTCAAAATAACATGTTACACCTGGTGATGCTAAAAATATCTTTCCACAAGTAATAGCTCCAAGCATTGAGTTTTCAAATGAAAATTCTCTATCTCTGTAATTTAAGAATGTCGATCCAGAACCAAAAAAGCCATAAATTCTGTCTCATTAAAATCAAAATAATTAAAACTCTCGGCTCGAAAATAGAATCTGGGAAAAATAGAAAAGGTACATGGAGAGTGAAATTCAAGGAATGAAGAAGTAATAAAGGAAATTAGAGAATGAAAATTTAGTATTAGCTTAGAAGCTTGAAGAGTAGGAGGAGATAACTAAATTACTATAAGAAAAGCATAAGGATTATTCATGTTTAGAAATATTACGAGGTAAATATTTGGAAGTGGCCAAATAATAAATGAAATAATTGAAGTAATAATTGGAATTGAAAGATTAGAAATTAAGAGATTTAAATGAATAAACAAAAGGAATGATTGACAATGAAAAAAGAATGCAGGAAGCCATAGAATTAGAACTAAGAGAATTACATGCTTAATTGGATATCAAGGATCAAATGGTCAGAGCACTCAAAAATCAATAAAATAACGAAGATAATGAGAGATAAAAGGCCTTACAAGAATATGAGAAAACTATGAGTGATGGCAATAAATTCATTTCAAAACTGAAGAGTTAAATTGAAACTTAAATGAAAGCCTTAGAAGAGAAGGAATCAATCATCACATCATAGGATGCTTAGATTTAAAATCTATAAGTCAGGCTATTAAAGGAAGCTGAGTATAGAAAGTAAGATGAAAAAGTAATTAATGAATTCAAATCCAAAGAAGCATTGCTCTATTAATAAGTGACTGGAAATACTATGCCAGAGGTACACAATAGGGCTATGGAAGAACTGTAAGCAGAGTGCATAAATTAAAAGATTTTAATTTCCTAGCTACAAAGTTAATTAACTTAATAGATGTAAATGCATCAATTATAGCATATGAATTCCAATTCTTATAAGGAATGCGAATAATGCAAATTATGCAAAGATGAATTAGCAAATATCATATAAGAGTGTTCTCTAGAAGAAGAAGCTAAGACAATAGATGCTACTTAAAGTATAGCTCAAATTGCCAGAGAAGTTGTCACCCTTTTATTAACTAAGCAAAGGGAACAAATAGATCATGCCTTTTTATAGTATGAAGAATAAATTAAAGAGCAGGCTTAATAAATTGATTATTTTAAAGAATAAAATGATGAGGTTATGCAAGAGAACCAAAAGATCTCTGATTAAATTTAATTGGTTTTGGAGAAGAAAGAAGAGTAAGAATAATAAATATTTGAAGAGTATGAAAAACTAAGATAAATTAATTAAAATCTTTTGTCTGAAAGTAAAACTCTTAAATTAGAATTGGAATAAGTTAAATAATAACTTAGAAATGAAACCTAAGCTCATTCTAATGAAATCTAATAGTTAAAGCATGAAATTTAAGTTAATAAATAATCCCTTTTGTAAGCTAAATAAAATGAATCAAAGTTAGTTGTTCAACAAAGTTAATTAAAAAGTGAAGAAAAGATATTGATTAATCAGGAAATGGAAAATATGAAAACTGTTTTCTAAAATCAAATATAAGAACTATACAACAAGCTTCACAATCAAGATGAACAAATTTAAGAATTAACCAAAGAACTATATACAAAAAAAAAATAAATTGATGAAATGCAATAGTAACAATCATCCATCAAGAAGCAAAGGAAAGAGAAAGAACAGAAAGAAAGCAAAGAACAAACCTAGCTTAAGACTTATGCTCAACAATTAAGTGATCTTAATGATGAGAAAAGTAAATTATTACAAAAGATTTAACATCTTGAATAATAATAAACTTATTAAACCAAAAGATTAGACGAAGAAAAACATGATAAATTAGAAAAATTAAATTAATAAATTAAAGAAAAGGACAAGAAGAACATAGATCTTTATAATTAAAATAGAACTCTTTAAACTTTATAAAAAGAACTTGATGATTAAATTTCATCAATGAAGGATGAGCTTGAAAAATAAAAAAAATAAATTCAACTAAAAAACTCAGAAATTAAACAGTTATTGGAGTAGAATAAACAGTTACAAGACAAAAATTAAGAAATTAATAATAGATTAAGTCTTCTCCAATAGTAAATGAATTAATTTGAAAATGAAATTAAACATTATGAATAGAGTCCTTAAATACCAGAGAAATTAAGATCCCAGGCTTCAGTGAGAAGCTTTGATAAAACTCCTCATGCTGTCATAGAATTAGTTGAAGGATTCAATTAATACTAATAGGAGTTTTATCACTTAAAGAAAATGTTTACTGAGAAGTTAAAAGCTTAAGAATAAGTATTTCATTTAATTTATATAGAATCTATTATCTCTGTAATAAACGAATCAGTAAATTACCTAGTAAAATCTAAAATTGATTCAAGAAAATAATGCTTTAAAGGATGAAATATCATCAGCTAGCCATGGTAAAAATTATGAAGATAGAGGATCAGCTTAAACTGGGGATTCTCTTAACATTCGTTCCTTTTTGGATTAAGATCACAAAAAGACTCTTCCATGCAAGTCACCTGAATAACACTTTTCAATTGTTGAATTGGTCTAACCTGAAATTATGTCAATTGAGGATACAATTATGATTTTCAAAGAGATTTTAAGACGATCAGTCAAATCAGTAGAAATGATTAAAATGATTTGTCCTTTACCTGAAATTAAGGAATTATTGATGATCATTCTATAGGTGGAAGAAAAAATGCAATAGCAAAGTTAGGTTACTGCAAATAAAAAGTCAAAAATCATAAATTCGATTTTGGGAGCATCAAATATAAAACTGATAGATTAATCACGGAAAAAGAGTGCCTGTGGAGGAATGAGGGTTAAACAAAGTCATAGAAGTGAGACAGGAGTAATTGAATTTTATGAATGATTTATAAATATATCTTTTATATAATTATCATATGTGATTGATCATCTTCCTATAATACAAACGTTATTTTATAATGTTTGGCGGCAATTGTCATTTGGTATTTAAATTAAATAGCCTTTGTCCTTATCAAAGTTATCTACATATGCTAAGAAAGCCAAAGGAGCTTATAAAATTAATTTTGAGTTTAACTCGGTATTAGATTCTTCGAGCTATGTTTTTTTGAGATGAAGAACTGCAATAGTTAGTTTAACTATATTAGTAGATTTTGTTTTCTCAAACATTATTTATTTGTCTTCTCTCACTTGCATTTAATATAGTTCTAATTAATTCTCGGGTATCGATTGACTACTCTAGAAAGAAGTGTAATTTAATGATTCTAATTCTTTTAGATTATAGGAATCAACAACTCCTTTGAGCTTTTCCATTTTGTACACAATTATATCTTAGATTTTATCAAGATCTCTGTAAATATCTGGTTTGTCAATTACAATGACCATGGTTATTTTAAATTTTTCAATTAAGAACTTAATCTACTCCATTATTTGATTATGCAAGCCTAAGAAATTTGGACAATTTACAAAGATCCCACTGGCATATATCTCCTTCTCATCTTTGTCTTCTTGGGATTTCATGTAGATTAATTCACAAAGTTTCTCTATTAGAATATTAATCAATAATGTACAATCTTTAACTTTCCCCAATTAATTCAACATTTAAACCTTTTATTCCTTTGCTCTCTCAAGATCTGCCTGCAATTTTCTATCTACTTACACACTTAATTCCTCTGTTAATCTATCAAATAACATTCTTTTTGAAATATCTCTTACGATATCCTTATCTTTTCATTCTTAAATATTCATGTACATTAATATCCAAAATAATAGGTAACTCTGTTCTTCTACATTTACTCTTTGACACAAGTTTGAACTTCAGCTCTTATCGAATGTGGATATTCACTTTATTGATTATCCGGATCAATGTCCACATAGATTGGTTTCCATCCATACACTAAACTATAATTGATGAGAGTCTTGCATAGAGTGTCTACCATTAATCTTAATAATTACTTTTGCCACATGAATGACTTCCCAAGACTAACAACCTAGGACCAATTTTATCAGTTTGCTGAAAAGACATTTGCCTTTAGGCTTAAAATAATTGAGTATTTTACATTCTAAAACGTGGTTTATCTTGAGAAAATCATGCATCATTTTATGATAATTTAATTCTTCTTCATTAAAGATATATCCCGGCTAATCTTCTTTAGTTTTATATTTAATCTTTAATTTTGATTGAACCCAACAGAATAAAGAAAAAGGTTTATGTGGAGGGAATTCATATAATTTTTTCTGAGCTTTTAATTTATAAATTCTACCAACAATAATTCTTAACCAAATATTTCAACTGCTCCTTCTATCAAGGTCACTTAAACAATATCAGTTGGATCCGATATTCTATAAGCCTCTTCCTCTTTTAATTCAATGATTTCCATAAAAATAAATATTAATATATAAATTAATGCAAATTTTGTAAATATAATCGATTTTATAATATGTTATAAATTCAAGTATCAATACAAAGAATTATAAAAGTCAATAAGAATTCAAAGAGACCATTCAAAATAGATCCAATCTAATTGATCACTAAAATTGAATGAGAAAGATATTTCGAATTTAAATTCTAAATGAGTATCTGAATGTTATTGATCATTGTTTTAACAAAGAAAATAACACTATATTTTGATAAATAAGGATAGCAAGCCTGCATTATGAATGATTACTGAATAATTGATTGATATTAAAATAAAATATTTTATTTAGAAAGTTAAGATTAGTATTTTATATTAATTTAAATATATAAAATATTTAGCAAGAGATGGACCAAAAGCATTTGATGGTAATATTAATGATAATATTTTAAGAGATACTATGTTGAGGAATAATAAGCTTTACATAGAGCAGCTGCAGTTTATGGTTCTGGGTTGGCTATGTAATTAAACTTGGAGAGAAACATCCTAGGAGCTCCTGGATAATCTTCATATATTCATTTAGAGATTGCTATGAATAAATTGGAGGATATTGATGAATTAGATTTTATGGGAAATAAGAAACTTGAACAAGAATTCGTCAAGGGATTTTAATAAATATGAAACATTAGTATTATTAAATAAAATTGGAATTTTTAAGTTATCATCATCATAATAATCTCAAAGATTTTCTAAGTTGTGTAATATCTGTGCTTATGTGTTCTTCAAAATAAACATTCATTATAAATTCGCTTTTGTGTGCTCTTTTCAAAATTTCTGGTAAAGTCTCTATTAATTTTTGTTTTTCTTAACAATTTAATTTGAATGATCCTACAAATGCACTTAAAGTAGCTGATGGCAATCCAAGTTAAGCCATTTCAAACCATTTCACGACAATTTCATCATAGACACTCACATCATACATGAGTAACACATGTATAAAATCATGAATCTTTTGTTTATGATAAGAATTATACTTCTTTATATCTTTAGTAGACATATGCCAATTCTAAATCTGGAATGTATTTAACTATTGGCCTTTCCCCACTAGAAAAGTCTCTGTCCTTCATAAATTTTCCATATTGATGTCTTTATATTAAGAAGAGAAGTACCCAAATGTATTTTCGTCTAATTTCAATAATTCTTCTATTTTAAAAGTTTCAGGTGTAACTCTAGGTTTATCAATTAATATTCTCTAGCCAACAGGATGCTGAAGCATTCTTTAGTGGATATCCTTTACACAATAATACCCTGATAATTCTCCCAATTAGGAGAGATGATTACCACTAAAGAAATATTTGTTAAGTAAATTTACTTTAAAGGGTATTTGTATGCATTAATGGCACATTAGAACAGAGTGGATAGTCTTTCAAAATTACCTTTTAAGGGAGTGTGATTATTAATTAAATCTCTTAACATTTTAATTAATGTATATAAACTCTGAGAATTTATTACCAAAATTGCAAGGAGAAGCATTTGGTATTGATATTGAATTTAGTAATAAACGAATTTGTCTAATCTAAATATCTGATGGGAAGGATATATATTTATTCGATCCAATAGCTTTGAATTTAGAGTAATATATGAGAGATTTTTTTTAAAATGATGCCATCAAAATATTTTATAGTGGTGCTCAAGATTTGAAATGGTTGAAAACTGAATATCAAATAGAAGTTAAAAACTATTGTGATTTAAAAGTGCTTGCTTAAAAAGAGCCTGATTAAAGTTTAATTGCATTATGGAAGAAGTATTGTGGAGTCTAATTCGAGAGAGACGACAAGAAAAGATTACAAAAAAGTGACTGGTTTGCACGACCATTATCTTAAGAATAATTATTCTATGCTGCTCTTGATTGCAAACATCTGGTTATGTTAAGAGAAATTTTATTGTAATAATATACGGACGAGGAAAAGAAGTTTATACATTTCTCAACAGACCTCAAAGAACCTAAACTATTGAGATATTTAAAGAAATAATTGGGTGACAATGAAGATGTTCTTTTGCCTTAAAAGATTTATAAGCATATCAAATTCTAGGAGCCTTTTTAAACAGACGATTAGAAGATTATTGGGTTGATTGAATAATTAACTAAAAAACATCACGAAGATTACAAGGAATAGAAAAAACAAAGGTTTTTACAATTTTAAGAAAAATTTACAACACACAAACCTGTTTATAGTAATTGCCGTATTTATAGTTTAAGTGGATTATAACTATGCTTTTGTGATTAAAAGAAAATTGAATGGTATGTAAAGAATGGGTTAGGGGAATATTTAGATGAAAAGAGTATCAAATTAAATTTTGATCCTGTTTGTGAATTTGATGAAAAAGAAATGAAATTTTATAATGAGGAAAGGGCAAATCGATGTGTTGTTTGTGGTGCCTCTTCTAATATATTAAAATATCAAATCATCCCATACATGTACAAACATAACCTACCTAATCATTATAAATCTCATAGGGCTCATGATGTTGTGATCATATGTGCTCGTTGTCACGAAAAAGCCTCTGCTCTACAAGACAAGAAAAGGGCTGAAGTTGCTTAGTTGTATGGAGTTCCTTTGTAATATTATGGGGAGGAAAAGAAAGTAGTTGATAAGTTGAATTACATTCTTAAAAAGTACGATAACCTTACAAAAGCAGGAAAACCTTTTGATTTTGCTTAATATGAAGAGATCAGAAATCAATTTAAAGACTTAATCTTATTGCCTGCTGAATTTAACAAAGAAGAGCTAACTTAAATTAATGAGAAGTTGAAAAAAGATTTAAAGAATACCCATGGAGAAACTGTTGTTAAGAAATTAGACACAGATGAGAAAATTGAAGAATTTATAATGATTTTCAGAAAACACTTCTTATTATCCATGGATCCTTAATTTTTACCTAAAGAATGGGCTATCGATCATAGATTTAAAAGAAACTTTGGAGAAAAATCGATTTATTTTTAGAAGTAAGAAGCAAATGAATACAAATAGGAATTAAAAGAATAAGAATAACAAGACATAGAAAAATGAAATATAGGGATTAATGTTGATAATGACATATTGTATTCAATAATGTAAAAATTATTAGATAAAATAATTTCTAATTGAAAAATATTATTAAATAAAAATTATTAAAGCTTAGAAGGAATTTCTATAAGTACTTTGATTAAGTATTAAATTCTATCTTGAGTGTAAATTTAGATATCGAATAAATTTTGGATTTGCCATTCAAACTGTTTCTAGATCAATTTTATTAATTATATAGATTAAAAGTAATTTGAAAGAATGAATTATGGATTTATTTATATTATATCCATAAACGTTTGATCTCTACAGATTGAGAAGGCTCAACTATTGATGAAGATTAATGAAAAATACTAATTGCATTGTAAACATTGAATAAATACAATTATGGTTGTTTCAATAGGAAAATTATTAGTACTAAAAACTCATAGTATAATAGTTAAATAATCACTTTAAAGCATTTTCTTTAAGGTTTACCATTTTTGACATTAGATTGTTTAATATCATTGTTTAATTTGCCTTAGGACTTTTGGTTTGAGCAAATAGACTTTCTGCAATTTGATTCAATTCAAAGCTTTTGTTCTTTATTATTGATCTTTCTTTAATTTATATCTTATTATTCAGCACAAGTTATTAAATTTGTTTATTAGATTATTTGAATGTGCTATTATTTATGCTATTATCTCTTGAGTGTCTAGGGGAACTGACAATAGACAGGCAAGAAGATTTATTTAACTATAATAGCTTAGTTAAAGGATTTTTAGACTGAGATTATTTAAATTCTTTGTTGACAATAGGAGTTTCTTAAGTTTTGACCTCATCTCTGGTTGTTTTAGGGTAATCTTAAGAGATTTCGTTAATGTTTTCAGTAAGACAAATTTAAGATTCTTCATCAATTTGAGTGAGTAGTCGAGGTTCCAAGATCGCTCGTTCTTCAATCAACACTTATTTGTTAAAGGAATTTTAGAGATCATCTATTACAATGTTAAATATAGCTTAAAGATTTGTCTTAAATATCTCAGAATTTAATTTATAATGTTCTGCTAGTTTGAATTCTTTCAAAGAAATTTCCTTTTGGTTTGCTAATTTTAGTAATTCCTAGTTATATCTGTTATGTACTTAAATAGTAAATTTGTGTTCTTCGGCAAATATATCTTTTATGAGATGATATATCCGATCTAGGAAGGTACTAGTAAGACGTTTAAAGATGTTCTCAATTTCTAAATACTTTATAGTTTCTTTGTGTAGCCTTAGCAAATCAATTTCTTGCATTGTTTTAATTTATAAATATTCGTTAAAAATTAGATTTTAATGTGAAATAATCATACTATATATAAGGCAGTATTGTATTTTCATTAATCTCTTCATGTGTTTCCTTGCCTGAATCTGATGCATATTTTGTAATTGAAAGAATCTGTTGATAAAAGTGTTATTTTCTTTTAATATATTACTTACTGCCTTTTTTGCTGAATTTCATAACATTTTTAATTAATAAATTCTGATTCACTTGATCTTATCTAAGTTAAATCTATTCAAATAATTATTATCGATTTCTTATGATTAATCATTTATAATAAGAGATTCTCCATATATAAGGTAAAATAGACTAATTTTACATTTTAATTTATTTTCTCTAGTTTGAATTATTAATGACTTAAAAATATTATTATTATGATTAAGCTGGTCTTCTTTCCTTCAAATTTTGGAAAATTAAGATCAATCATAGGCTTTGATACAAAATAAAATGCTTTCAAAAGATATAAAATCCTCTATTAATATAAATATTATTCTCTAAATTGTAAATGACAATTTTTTGATATATATAAGATATTTTTCTTCTTATATATTTAATTATTTTGAATTGAAATAACCTTAAATATAGGTTGATTAAGTGAAAGAAAAATATTAATATCTTCTTATAGTGTATTGGTAAATTGGAATAAATTTATATATTTTCATTCAACCAGAATGTTTTTCATTCTTTTTCTAGTTATTATTATTTGTTTAAGTTTTGCTTGACCCTTAATAAAATCCAATTTAGCCCTGACCTTATAAGGCAGCTCTTTATTAATCATTAATATGATTCATATTCACAGTCTGAACACCGGCAGCATGAATGTTAGGATTAATACTCTAAAAGGATTTCATAACAAATGTCAAAACTGTTCTTCCAACCTGAAAATTTAATTGATATGTAAATTACTTATATTGCAATTTTATCCATGCATATAAGATATGGAGTTTAGAGACGAACTAAAGTTCCGAATTTACTATTATTATCAACTATAACAAAATTTCCCTTCTCATATTTGATAAAGGCATGTAGTCGTGATACTGAGATATCTGAGATTCTAATTTCGCATTAATGTCCTCGACCTAATTTGATTTGATCGTCAGGAGTTCCTTTGATAAGGTATATTCCTCTCTAGGCCTTCTTATCTTTTTCAGAGATTTATGTGTTTTCAAGAATTATGTATGGTTGATTGGGTCTTTCCAAGGCTGCTAAGTCGAGCACCTTTCCTTTGAATCTAATTTATTGAGGCAACAATTCCTAGCAGACTTCACACTCTAATCTACAAGATATCAGTATTGATACTTCTTCCATCTATAGGAAATTGTATTGCCAGATTCTTTTTTATAACCCCTGCTTTCTAACCATTGCTTTAAACAATTAAAATGCACATAAGCACAACTTCCATTGCATTTACAAGGTGTAATAAATGGATCTTCTGGGGTTTCTTCTTCATTTAAACATATTTTGCACTACTATGTTACATTCCCATCTAAAGAAGGGGTAATTTTAGCTTCTGACTAGAAAACATCCTTCACTGTTCTTATTTGTCCCTTACTGTCTCTGATTTCGATCACATGGTATTCAACCCTGCCTAATTTTAGAAGATCCCCCTCTTATAATGTATAACCCTATACTGTAATAAATATAAATACCTTTTAAACACCATCAGCATTTTTTAAACTACGAACAATTAAATAATTTTCGTTTTCTGTTGAGTTTTAATTCGGTTGAATAAAATATTAGTCTGAATGTTAATAAGAATTATACCTCCTTGGGCTTAAATGGATGTTAGAGGTAAGTGTGCCTCATCCTTGGCCTTTCCATCTTATATAACTATTTCATTCTCTATAATAAATTAACACTTTCAAACCTTCTCTGCTAACTTTGCATGATCCTTCAACCCTATGTTTTTTAACGCTTAAAGATTTAGTCTCATAATCAAACAATCCATGAGAATCTTTTTGCCAAGTAACAGCTTTCATTTCCACACTACAAATATGATGATTATTTACTAGTTTTTGTTCTTCGATATAAAAGGAAGGGTAGTTGTCATTTATTCTTGTATTTTTTTTTGATTTAATATAATTTATTATTCACATTCAAAAACTCTTCTCCACCATAAATATTAATATCATCTCGTCATTAAGACCTGCTATTAAGGTATTCTCCTAAACCCAGCTCTATCAACCAATAAATTTAAATATTCCCATTTCCAATTTGCCCCTTTTACCTTCCAAGAAATCAGAAGAAAACGAATATAAATTAAAGGTTACTATCTATAAGTAGGATGGTAATAGAAATAAAATTGTTTTCAGATCTTAAAAACTAAATTTTTTTGTTTATTATTTTACAGAATTTATAAATATCAGTATGTTTCATATTATATTTAAAGAAATAGTTTAGAATAGGCCTATCTATTTTAAAAAAAATGCTAATATTTAATATTTCATTTAGGTAATTGTTTGTCTTAAGTTATATTACTCACTAGCCTTTGATTAGATTGAATCTCTTTTATTTGGCAGTAGAAGATCTAAATCATATTAAATAGGTAATTTATATATATTTTAATAAAAATTCAATTTATTTCTACATATTTTTTTAACCTATGTTTCAATTTTAAATTAAAAATAATTGGATCTCAGTACATAATAAATAAAAAATAAGATTTTTAGAAAGTATGCACCTTCTTTAATGTTGATATGCTCTGTTTATATACTAAAATCGTTTTTCTAAAATTTAAAATTTATAAAATTGATAATAAATGATATTGGCTAAGATTTTTAATAAATAAATTGCTTTTAAATAATGAGAGTATAAGAAACTTAACTAAAACAATAATCAAATTCTTGGATAGTTAAAAATAATTAAATAAGGAAGTTAATCACTTTGCTCAAGAGTGGAGAGTGAACAGAGATATATAACTTATGAAACAGACTAGAATTGAATTCTAATGAAAGAAAAACAGAATGCAAGTTATAAGTTTGTGTTTCAGGATGATAACTAGCAATTTTTAGATTAATTATAATTGTTCATCAAGTTTCATAAATTCTATAGAAACTCTATGTAGTTAAAGAATTTTTGATGGCCTCAAAGAATCAGAAGGAACTTATGCTTCAAGAATAGTGAAAGTAGTATTTGAAGGATTTTTTAAAATAGAATATGTTAAAAATTTAAAGAGTATAATTTGAATGATGACCAGATTCTTAGAGATTAATTATGACAACCACTGTTGAAAGACTTTAAAACAAATTAGGAAATAATATAGAAAGAATGCATTTATATACTACTTAATTAGAAGCTTGATTTAATTTATATTTATGTCTTGGTTATTTAATAAAGCTTAACAGCCAGCACAACAGCTTAAATTACCAGCCTAATTTGCTGAGAAGGTCTTAAATTTAGAATTGGATGTTGACTCTAATGCTGCTTCAAAGGATGAGATTCAAGAACTATTATAACTCTATAGTGTAATCAATTACTCCTAATCTTTTTAGTAAGCTGTTGAGTATTATTCTTCGATGAAATCGGAAAGATATACTGTATTTACAAATAAAATTCAAACTTTATTAATGAAACCCTACGTAAATAAAATCTTGGGATCAGAAGCCAAATAGGAATAAAAACAAGTTCAATAGCAGAATGCGTAGAAAGAATAAATCAAGAACAATATCTAATTTATATAGTAGATGGACAGCAATAAGCAGGTTTAGTAGATGATGACAGCTGCAATTGATGAAAAGATTAAAATAGACAATATGATCGCTGACGATTTTAAATTATAAGATCATAGAGTATAATAAAGAATGCTTATGAGAATTAAGGTATTTTTAAGAGTCACAATTATTTCTAGGATCCTTCCAAGTACAATTTGGCTATCTCGAAAAGTACATCTTTGAGACATCTAAAATTAGACATTGAAAGTTAGAGTTAGCAATCAACTTTGCCTGATATGTAAGAACAAGGTTTGGAAAGTATATCTGAATAAGCATTTGATAAAATATCAGAGGCAGAAGCCTAATAACAATTTACTGACTTGATTAAGAATGATAATGATTCAACTGAACAAGTACATCAGACCCAAGAAATGAATACATAATCCAATCCCATTTGCTTACCAATCAAACCTTCCTAGATAGAGGATCAACATTAGGCTTATTTCATTGATGACCCTCAACCTATTGATTAGTAAAATTGGACACCATAACTTGGAGATTTCAGTCATCCAAAAACTAAAAAAGTTAGAGACATGGTTAACAAAAATTAAGTTCTGAAGAAACAAAAAATGGAACTGAACAACGTTTTGCCATGTTGAATTTCTATAATTGTAATTTTCTATATATATATATTAATATTCTAACGTTTAAAGACTTAGTTAAGAATTAATTTATCTAAGTCTTGCTATCTCCTATTGTATTAATAATTCTTCAATTTATAATTGATTTTAATGGGATAAGAAAATTCGAATGCAAAACTAAGCTAAAATATTATTGTTTTTGGAGTCAACTTGCTACTTGATGAGAAGCTTATGGGTTCTGAATGGCAAAAGGATTAAAGTACTAATAAACTCTTTATTTTTATAGTAAATTCGTGTCAAGATTTTACATTGTACAAAAACAGTAGTGAAAAACCTAACCAATTATTATGGTGTCCAAAATACTCTTAAGTACTACAGCAAACTATTGAATCTATAATTTTAAATATAGAATTCGAGGGAGTGTTATATGTTTTCGAGCACACTCAAGATCAATTTTAATTGAATTTACACAGAAAATTGATAAAATGGTTAATGAGCGAGGATTCTATGAGATAATGTTCACTAATCCTATTGTGTGTATCTAAGTCAAATGATCTGGCAATTAATATAAAATCATAAATGGAAATAGAATTAGATTTAGAATCGATGGATTCTAAACAAGCAAGAAATTTGATAATAAAATAAAAAGATAAGGAAATTAATCTGCAATTTAAAAAGATTATAACACAATTGATTAAAATGAAGAATGATTCATGATATAAATGATATTATTTTAAGGTCTTACTATATGAATAAACAAACAATTACAAACTTATTCAATTTAACACATTTACAACTATTAGTTATAGTATTCATTAATACTACTTATTAATTAGTAATGTATAGAACATAATTTTAAGCTGATGATCTCTCTCAAAATATTGACATCATTGACTCTATAAAAATATAGGATTATCTTTGTTTAATCTTGGATTTATTAACCCTTCTCTTATATCCTTACATTTAAGTTGTCGATCATAAAATGTACTTAATTAAGTTATAAATCATCTCGAAGATTTGCAGAATTCATTATCCGTTTACTTGTTTTAGGAAAAGCTTGCAAAAACTACGTTTCAATTGATAAGAAATTGATCATAACTCATTAATTTATGAAAATTATTTAAAATAAGCAGATAAATATATTCAATTTTAGATAACTAATGTATCTTAAATAAAGATTGGATATTCAAATATTTTAATCTTTAAATTATTTCTTAAAACAAAAAAATTCTAAAATTACAATTTTGAGTTTGATTTTAAGATTACAAAAAAGTTTATAGACAACTGTTATCAAAATGATTATGACAGGAAATAAAATATCTATAAGATATAATCTATATAATTAGTATTATTGGTTAATATTTCGTGGAGTGTTATATTTAATGAATAAAAACAAAAATAGTATTAATTAATGAATTTATTTATAGTTAGAGTGCTTCATACACAATTAATGACTTCACATTTCAAAGGAAAAGGATAAAACAGAGGAGCAAAACGATTTCAATCACAATTATTATTATGAGCCAACAATTTGAAGACTTTGAGATGATTGATGCAAATTTGGAATTAACGAATGTCATGTTTTTATTGGTTTTATCCACATCATCATTTAAACGATTAAGATCTACAATCTATTGATTCAAGGTTTGATTTATATTCTATCCTGAATACTTTAAACCCATTGTCTTATGATAAAAAAATAAAATTACTTGTTCATAGGTCTAATCTAGTAATTTCTCTTATTCTTGTTAGAGATCTTTTTAATTCTTGAAAAGTTCTCGATTTGACATGTTGCTTAATTCAGCCATTTATTTTGGAGCTGCTTGCTTCTCTTATTTGGTTTCAAGAACAGCTTTCTTGAATTGCTCGGAGATGAGATCCCTCTAATTCTTAAACTCTTATAATTAATTTCTGCGTTTCTCCTATTCCTTCTGCATCAAGGTATTCTCTTAAAGTCTCATCAGATCCCCCAGAAGCACTAAATCACGATCTTAAAATCTTAGAAGAGATTCGTACCTAAATTTGTCAATTAAGCTCGAATTTCACCTTCAATTATGGTAAACTATTATCCAGCATTCTTTTTTTATTCTCGTTTATTGATATCAGTTTTAATAGATACAATTAGTTTCTAAATTCGATCAATGTCATTTTTATATTGATCACTCATATTAATAATATTAATAATTACAAAATGAATGGATGATGTATTATAATCTAAGGATAAATCTATATACTTTAACTTCTATTATGCAGAGAATGACAGAACGTATCTATTTATAGAAATGAAGTGTGATTATGATATAATAAGTTTTTAAATAATGTGACACATGATGAATTCTGTGATATCTATAACAGATTCATTTAAATTCATATTCTTAAAATAAATAAGCAGAACATTTCTACAAAGTCTTTTAGTTTCTATATGGACATGATCTAGAGAGAATCTCGAACAAATTGATCTTGAGATTCAAGATCCCCTAAGTGATAATGAATATGAATGGATCCGTTCAAGGAAGGGCATTCGATACGATTCTTAGTAATACCACAACTATACCATTTTATGAGGAGATAGAAAATCTATCTAGGACACTTGGGTATGTATTTTTGATATTAAAATTAGTATTGAATTGGGATTATCATTTATCAGTCCTGCAATATTGAATAATTATCTTATTGTACATAAGTCTCTCAAAAAGTAGGTAAAAATGCTGCACACTCAATTCGTGATAAATATGAAGAATGAGGAATGAGATTAGTCATAACAGGCAGACACATTAAAGCTGTATAACCTGGAACAGATTTAAAAAAGATATCATGAAATATTTTTAATAATTGATTCTGAAAATTGGATAATAATTATAAAACATCTAGTGCACAATATAAAATTAATAATTAACTATTTGTTTATGGTTCATTTGATTTTTGAATAAATATAATATTATCTAAAATTGGATATGAAGCATCGTAAAATTGATGCGCAGGAGCAAGAAACAGCTAGTTCAGGTTATTCAACTCCAGATGAGAAAAGTGTTTAAAAATAAGCCAAAATCAAACACTTGAGAAAACATGCGTTTGTCAATAGGATTTCGTTCCTTGATGATATGGATAAGGATTCAGAATTGAATAAAAATAGATTGGTTGGGTTTTACAATATGTTATATGTCGTGGCCTTCTATTACTTCATCATAAATCCCATCATGTCCTATTGGAAGACTGGCTAATGGATAGAGACTTCGTTGTACAATTAAATGCGTCGAGATTTGTTCATGTGTATTGTAACATGGCCTTTGGTAATTGATTTATCATTATGAAACAGTTCTATGCTTGGAGTCACATAGCCTTGTTGATTCAATATTTAGCCATGATGAACATCCCAAAAGTGCTAATTTTCATAATACAACATGTCAGTCAAATTTTTATGTTTGTTTATGCTCAATATTTGGTTCTAACCCGAGATTGGTACTTGCCTCAAGGTGCCTTTGTAACATTTTAATCCTGTGTGTTCTTCTTCAAAATGCATTCATACACTATGACAAATTACAAAATGAGAAGAGAGTGGATTGATCAAGGTTGTCCCAAAAGCAATGATCCTTTCGCTTATCCAAATAACATAAACTTTAAGAATTTCACCAAGTTTATCATGACTCCTGTATTGGTTTATGAACCTTAGTATCCCTCATCAGGTAAGATAAGATGGTGGTATGTGATTGTTAAATTTATCAACACCATTTCGATGTTAATTATGGGATATATGATTGTTTCCAATCACATTTATCCGATAATTTTGAATGTAAATGCCTTAAGTTTAGTTGATTCAATATTCTAAATGACTCTGCCGTTGATATTCTTATGTTTAACCTTATTTAACATGATCTTTGAGAATTATTGCAACTTTTGGGCTGAACTTACACATTTTGGAGATCGTCAATTCTATACTGATTGGTGGAATTCAACAGATTATGAGGAGTTTAATAGAAATTGGAATAGACCAGTTTATGAATTTCTGTATCGTCATGTATATTTGGAACTCATTTTTGAATTTGGTTTTGGAGTTAAGAAGGCTCAATTGGCTACTTTTCTGTTCTCTGCCATTTTGCATGAATACACTTTGGCAGTAAGTTTGAAATAGATTACTCCAATTATGATTATGTTTATGATGATCCAAATACCCGTGATGTTATGTACAAAGAGGATTAAGGGAACGAAATTTGGTAATCTATTCTTCTGGTGGGGGATCATTCAAGGCTTACCATTAATTTTAAATCTATATCTTAGATTCAATGAATTGCCAAAATTATTGTTTGAAGGAGTATGAAGAAATTATCTATACATATATCAAATATTATCATCAATTCATTTTCTTTAATTCGTAACTAAGCAAAGCTTTTTGTAAAAGAATATTCCCTTGACAGATCTTCAGTTGCAGTTCAATTTATTATTTGAGTATTTAACGATGCTCTTCGATTCGTTTTAAATAGGCATTTGTTTGTTGGTTTATAAACCCGAAAACTTGAGGTCGTTTCTCATCTTTAACAATTTAGGAATATTAGTTAAAAATTCTTTGAGCATCACTTTGCATCAATTATTTTGTATCAAATTTTGGTTCACCATATTACAAAACAAAATTGGCTATAAATTAAGTTGGTACATTCAAATACCATTTGATAATTTAAGTTTTTTAACTATTACATCCTCACTCATTATATTAAAATAAAAAAAATAATCATTATTATTGATAATTTAAATTAAAATTCTTTGTTATCTTATTAGAAATACTGCTAGGTTAAAATGATGTATAATATTAGTCATCTCTTTGGAATGCTTTAATATTAATTATTAATTCCATCTATGCCAATTTCATTTTTGATAAAAATAGCTCAACGAATCTGAGTTGACGAATCTCAATTTGATATACCTATAAGCCAATTATTACCTGGCATTAATTTTTATTAATATATCAGTTTAGAATTTAACACTATCTTTTTATCATTCTTAACTCTATGTTAATTTTTTAATAGAAAAATCAAATAAAAATGAATAACTTAGGGTATTTTCGCAATAAATATTTTTGAGTTAATCATCAACTCTTAGAATAACAAATCATTATTATACCTGCATTGGTTCCCTTAAGTCAAAATTTTAAGATTATTTGGTTAAACTCATAAATGATTTAATTTGTAATTGAAATACCATATCTATACTTTACAATTGCTCTCTATTTCTATGAAACTCTAAATATTCCACATTTATCGATTTAAAACATAGATAAAGAATCCTATTTGATATTCATAATGATTGTTGGATGGATTAATTACTTTTTTATTTACTACTCACTACACCATTTAACTTATATAAAACTAAGGATGTTTAGAATTATTTTTAAATTTAAATTTTGGAGTTGAATTTAAGTTAAAAAGAATTATCGATGATAAATTAATTTATAAAATCTCACTATCCTATTTTATATTCATATTCAAAGAAAAGATAATTATTTTGAATTATATAAAAAATTCTATTAAATACAGATTAATCAATCAAATTGAGATAAAACTTTAACATACTTCTTTTTCACTAGATTTATTAACATCAATTTTAGGAAGTTTATTGCTTTCTATCACACAATTATGATATTTAATATTGATTTTCACTCATACCTAAAACAATTAATTTTATTTCATTATCAATAGTAGGTTGTAATAATGTTAAATCATATTGTGGCTAAAGAAGAAGAAGAGTAACAAACCCCAGCGTCGCATCAATTAGCAAGCGTGGTAATTTTCTTAAATGAGATAGATAAAGGATTAAAATTCTTTAAGTCCTATTTTTTTACAAAAATTAACAAAAACAGTAGAAAAATTTTATAAAGCTTTGGCAAGATTATAAGAGGCCCAATACAAAGAATAAAATTCTGTCAATCCAAGTTATCCTTTTGTCTTTTAATACTCTTTTAATGAGATAATAGTAAATTTTAAATATATTGCATAGATCCATCTAGGCAGGCACTAGGTCTAATTATCTTAGCCAGAAGATTCCTATAATTATTAATTAAAAAAAATAAGGCATATATAGAAAAAACCCACACTCCCCTAAAAGTACTCTGTATAAAAAAGGATTGCATTTTGTGTTTAAGATTAAAAGGATTCTAAAAATATCCCGAAGAATTACTGTAAGGCTATAATCACTTTTGCATAAAAAAATCAATAACTATGTTTTCAAATACTTGGAGATGAATTAAAAGTAGCGAGATTTACAGATTTCTTGTCAAATTAGAAGAAGAAATTACTTAATATTCGAGTTTTCAGCGCATTGTTGCAATAATGCGATGATCCTTTTTAAGAAGAATTTAATCGAACATTTAGAATTATAAGGTACATATTTCTATTAATTAAGTCAAATATTTATTAAAAAGTATGCAATTAATTATATTTATAATTCGAAAATTGTATAGCACAATTGGCATATCAGATATAGATAACAAATATATAAAGGAATCAGAAATCCTAAATGTTTCTCTCATTTAAAGAAACTTTGAAATAATATTTATAACGTCATAAATTTGATTTCATTATTCATTTCGTAAATTCTCCCATAAATCTATAAAATAATTATTAGAAGAAGAAAGTTGTTTTATAATATAAATATACGCATCAAAATGTAATTCTATTATTAATTTTATTCTATTAAGAACTTTAGAGAATGAAATAAAATATATTTCTGAAAGAACTTTTTTAATTTTGGCAAAGACTTATGTTAATTTGAAATTGAAATTGTTTTTAGTTAGAATCTACAAAAAAGTATTTTACCATTAATAAATAGTTTAAATGAATTCTATTCAAAATGTATAATAGTAAAAGATCAGTGAAGATTCTTTTAGTCTACAACAATTTCTATCAAATTCTTCAAAATGTAAGCAGACCTTTGTTGAAGATAACTCACCGAAGTAACATTAATAAAGAGAGTGTAAATAGTTAATTTAATGAAAATCCTATAAAGAACCAATCAAAAACTTTCAAATTATGCTACCCGTTTGGATCATAGTAAAATCAGCCGCAAGAGTAGGATTTAAAATAATGATATCTATAATCCTTTATGAAAAATCACTATATGGACCTTCGAGAAGTATTAAGCAAACGTATCATTCATAACCAGTTATTTTCTTTGAAAGTAAACATGCTCATAAATAAGAATAGAGAGCAGACATTTGGACATTTACAAATTTACAGAATGATGATTATTATTGAAAATGAGCATTGCTTGATACCTAAATCTGTTGAAAGACTAAGTTTATATAAATATATTATTACTTTCATTATAACAAAATATGAGTTCAGAGATCAATATAAGACAACTGCTTTATTACAAATCTCTCAATCCAAGTATTGTCTCATTATAATTGCTTAGATCCAAGTTAATAATCCCTTCGGGTGGTTAAAACTATGCAACATAGGCTCAATAAATTGAGATCAACTGCTCAAAGTGATTTTAGACTTACAACACTCTAAACTTAAACACCTGCAAATAACTTTAGATATGGATTTAATGTCGATGAACACCAGAATTAGAATTCTTAAATTCATTTTTTGGAAGTTTACGAGCATCCAATGAAACATCTTAATGTAATCAAATATTAATTCAGAGTTACATTGCAGAGAGTAAAAAGAATATAGCATAACTGCGGGATCAGGCAAATAGAATACGGTTGGAGAAGTCGACTATTACTTCCAAATATGAATTTGAATTAAATCAATTGCAAACCAATTTTAGAGAGTCTATGAACTAAAAATATAAATTGCTTAAAGAGGATAATGTCTAATTCATAGAAGAACAATACAAATTGTCGAAAGAATACTCAAGATTAGTTAAGGCTAAATAACTTATGGAAGAAAAATAACAATAATTATTAAAAAGAGTAGTTTAATTAGAGAACACTTTGCAAGGAGTAACGCTTGAGTTAAAGCAATGATCAAAATTTCTGATATTGATATTAGATATAAAATTAGTAAACAAACAGATAAATCGAATTTGTTTGCATAAATATGAAAAATGAATAAAATAGTAATAACTAATTATTACTTATTTAAATTTGTTACATCATCATTAATGCCATGTTCCCTTTCTCAAAAAGACTTAGGCACTCCATATGAACTGCATAATGTATCAGCTCGTGAAATTTTGGACTTATATTGATTATATGTGAACTAACTCACTTGACTAGCACATTCAGATTCTTCAGTGTCAACAGCTGATTATTCTAAGCAGCTCTTGGAGAAGAACTTGAATCTCTAAGAGATTAAATAATTTTAATACACTATGTTCCAAAAACATAGATTGGGGTATAATCTTTTTCTTCGACAATGCCTCGAAATCAATGTCCTCAAAGAAGACGTGTTGCTAAGCCTATTAAAGATTGTATCTGGTGTTAACATTCACATCAAGCAGATGTGATAGTAGATCCTTGGCTTGAGTGGAGATGGAAGTATTTTCAAATTCAATTTGTTCTGTATCGCATCCAATTAACATTTGATAGAGAACAACACCGAAACTCCATACATCACATTTGTTAGTGTATCCTTGGTTCCCTAAAACTTCAGGTGCTAAATAGTCTATGGTTCCACATTGTGAAAATTAAAGTCCATCATTTCTAGTCGATAATCCAAAATCGGTGAGTTTGATGTATCCTTTCTCCAATAAGATGTTTTGAGGTTTGAGATCTCTATACACTATGCCATTGGAATGGAGATATTCCAAAGAAAGCAAGATCTAGGCGGCATAAAACTTGGCTACATCCTCTGAAAATTTTCCATAATGTTTTAAATACTAAAATAGTTCCCCTCCACTCATATATTCGACAACTAGATAAAGTTTCTATTGAGTTTGAAAAGCCTCAATCAATTTAACAATGAATGGACTATCCAAAATTTCTAACAATTATCTTTCTGTTTTTGCACTTCTTCTCATCCATTCGGAAGTCAGATTTTTCTTGTTAATAATCTTCATTGCATATAGTTAGTCTATATATTCATTAATATATTATTTACTATTCTTTTTATGTTAGACTAACATGACTTTTCCAAATCCACCCCTTCCGAGTACTTTGAGCAACTAATAGTCTTTAATACTCGCTTGATTAAGAATTGGTTCTGTATTCTGATCATTCAACTATTTAAATGCATAAAACTCATCAACAAAAGTGTTTCTGCATACCATATCACTATGATGAGGTTTCAAGCACTTGTTTCCCATTATAAACAAAATATTTATATTTTAATAAAGACCTATAAATAACACACCAGATATAAATAGAATTGAGTGTATTACTCTATCATCTCAATGATTTAACTTAAGAATTAAATATTACAAATAAATTTGAATAATTGTCCTACATCATACATTAACTTAGATGAATTAAAATTATATATCTAAGATTGAAGTTCAATGAGATGTAAATGAGTTTGAATAAGACAATAAATATATGGAGACATCTTAGGAGATCCAAAGTTATAGTAAACAGTATATCCTAAAGGATTATTTAGTTGATACATGTAATATTCTATAATTAAAAATATTAAAATATTGTTAAATTCATATTTTTTAGTTCATTTAGAATTAAACTATTAAGCAAAATAATTGTCAATTTTGTTTTATAGCCATTAATAAAATTCTGGATTCTCCTGAGTTTTTTTATACCATGGGTATTTTTCAAAGTTTTTAGTGTATTTTACAATCTTTTCTATCAGTTAAAAAGCAAACTTTATAATATAAAAAAATACTTTTCTTGCAATTAATGCTACTAACCAAGTTGGAACAAGAGATAATTATGGATCACAATTATTAACAGCTTTAATCTTACATTTAGTTTTGGTTAAAGGAGTTATTTAAAAAATATAATAATTTAATTACAACCTTACATTCTTTGATTTATGAAGTTATAAATCATAGTAATCTAGAAATTTTTGATCTTGATCTATAGATTTACATAAAAACACTATTGTTCCATTCTCTTCTAATCTATCGATACCTTGACCGAAAAATACTGTTTCTCTATTAGAAATAACTGGAAAATAAAGCTAACTCACACAAACTTTCTATGTCTTTGAAAGTAGTTTTATTGTTGTTGCATAATTACAAAAAGGAACATACTCTGAAAAGAGTTCCACTTCGGTGATCAAAGCCATCAGCTTAGCACAATCAGTCTCAACCTCTGCTTCCATAAGCAACGATACTGTTGATGATTTTGGTGGAAATTTATAGGAAACACTAATACCATGACTACTTTTATCCAATGTCCATCCATTTGATTCCAGTTCCATTAAATTTTTTATCATGAATTCATATGAATTCTCGATTACGGATAACCTTATGATTTAATTCTAAGAAAGTTGGGTTTTATCAATTAATTATATAGTTTTGTATGCCTAAATAGAAACAGGAAAATACTTTGTCCAGCATTGAGTCGTTATCGTAGTTAAGTACTATATTATAAAGCTCTTGACAGCAAGGACCAAGTTGAATTTCTGAAAGAATTTATTGATTTTCAGTTTATTAAAAATTTGTTTCTTAAGCCGAAACAAATATTATTGTCTATTTATTCTCATTTTAAGGAGATAGTAATGCTTAAAATTTTATTTTTTCTCTTTAGAAATGTGTGAACAAATTCTTTAATTCTTGAGGCTTTGGTGGAAAGTTTTCTAAATATTTTACTGAAAATATTATTTACAGTCTCTATAGAATTCATAAAATTTGATCATTCCCTCATTGGTGTCCAGTTGCTAGATTAAATCAGTAAGCTCTTCCTTATAAAAATAATTTAGAATTTCTTACTTTATTAATACTCTTTGTGCCCATTAGTTTCTCTCTTGCAAGGACATAAATCTGAAAAGCCTCATAAAAGTCTGATTTATATGAATAGTATTCATTGATATCGTGCATCTAAAATATTACTGTACAAAACATACAAATTTTGAAAGATCAGATTTTAATTCCTTATAAGTTAATCTATTGAAGAGATTACATTAGAAGTCGTTTCCAAAATAATTATTTTTGTTAGACATCTTTTGTAAATTATTATATATTTACCTTTTTTGATTTTTTAAGGAATTAAATTGTTAGTTTTTGAGTTGAACAGTTAATAATACTATGTTCAAAATTTACCCACGCATAAAAATTACATTTTGGATAAAAAGCATTTCATTTAATATAGACTAATATTTAAATATGAAAATTCAATGATATTAATTATGGTTTGATAAATCTTAAAACAAATGGTGAGAATATAGTTAATTTAAGAAATACCTACAATCCTTGTCATAAGGAATATTTAAACTTGATATTACAGTTGAATGATAGAATAGTTGAAAGATATTAGTTAACTCCTTACTTTTGAATCTAATTTTTGTAAATTTTAGAATGATTATTTAAATAAGTATCCCCTAAAAATTCTTTCTTGTTATACAAATGAGATCATCAAATGCAAAAAAAATTAATAGTTTCGAATGAATCATTAAACTATCAATTTCAAATTAGATATGATTTTTTTGTCATTCTTGTAATTTCCTATTAAATTTTATCTCAAGTTAATTCCTTTTAAAAAAATAAAAAATATTTCATTGATAGATATTCACACTAATATTTGATGCGTATTTAGAAAATAATTAACATACTAAAATAGGTTTGCTATACAGAAAATTCAAAATAGATTATGTTGTTTTGTTTTGTTTTCATTATGTAAATCATAATAAATACTTATAATAATATAAAACACAATGACATAATCAGTGGTATATGTGGAAAAAATACTCTATTAGTACTATTTCTATATAATAATGACATACCCCTGGATTTAGAATTTTTCTATTGAAAATGACTTTTAGAATAAAAGATTTGTCATTTTAAATAGTAATTGCATGTTTTAAAAGAAGATTGTATTTAATTATGAAAATAGAATATATCAATTTTCTTCATCAAAATTCTCCATTAAAATGGTGGATTCTCTCAAACTATGTCTTGCACTAAGCTAGCACAAGCATTGAAGATTGATTAAAGCTTAGGTAAGTCTTAAATTTCAAATCTATTTAATATGATATTAATTTGTACTGTTTTTTTAAGACTCCTTCAATGAGAAAATTAGATTTTAGTGTTGATTCCGACACCGCAATCTAAGAAGGAGTTAGAAAAGTGTTGAGGTTTTCATACAATCCTACTTTTAATAGAAACTAATCTAATTCAAATTTCCAGCTTGTGATAGATTAGTAGATGATAATTTAGAAATTATCCTACCATATTAATTTATCTATGGTAAAGTATCTAACTCGTATAGAGTAAGGATTACCCTAGTTTGAATATTATTGAATAAAATTAATAATAAATTTGATATCACATTTGAAATATTTAAAAAATAATTCTTGTAATGTATAAAATAGTAAATTATGTTATTTTGTGATAAATTTAAATTTAAGTTTCTTCTTAATTTTTTATTAGAATGTGATATCCGAGCAATTATTAGTTTTATGAAACGATTTCTAAAAACAATTAAATATAAGTTAGAGCTCTACAATTTGTATAAATAAGCACAAAAATTACTAGAAATGTAGTATAAATAAATAATGAAATAAAATGATAAGCATCCTATAAAATCAAAAATTCCAGTTGCAAAGGGTAAACATGCTTTTGAATGTGGAGGTTAATGTATTGGCTAAAAATGTAGGTCAGACATTTGTAGTGGATGAGAAATACGAATTCATTAAGCAAATAGGGTAAGGAGCTTATGGAGTAGTGTGCTCTGCAAAGAATAAAAAGAATGGTTAGATGGTGGCAGTTAAGAAAGTATTAGTATGAATTACATTAAGATTCCAAATGCATTTGAGGATTTAGTGGATGCTAAAAGAATAGTGAGGGAGATCAAATTACTAAGTAATTTCAAATTTGTTATTGTTAGAGTTTTTTGATCATGAGAACATTATTTCTTTGGTTGATTTGCCTAGACCAGATGCAAAAACAGGATTCAATGATATTTATATAATAACAGACTTAATGGGCACAGATTTGCATAAAGTCATTTATTCATCATAAGCTTTGACAGATGAACACATTTAATATTTTGCGTATCAAATGTTAAGAGGGCTCCTCTATATCCATACAGCAAATGTGATACATAGAGATTTGAAGCCTAGCAATATCCTTTTGAATAAGGATTGCGACTTAAAAATCTGTGATTTGGGATTAGCTAGAGGTTATGAATCTGAGGAGGAATTCAAAACTGAATATGTGATAACAAGATGGTATAGAGCACCAGAAGTTATTTTGAATGCATCTGAATACACAAAAGCAGTTGACATTTACGCGGCAGGATGCATAATAGCAGAACTTTTAGGTCGTACTCCATTGTTTCCAGGTAATAATTCAATTGATAATCTAAGGTGAGGACTATTTAGATTAAGTTTAGAGGATTATTTCAGTCTTAGGAACCCCAACTCCTGATGATATGAAGTACATTGGAAATCCAAATGCTATAAATTATATTAAAAGTTTGCCTAAAAGAACAAAGTAGTCATTCACTCAACTCTATCCCAAGGCCAATCCTAAGGTCTGTGAATTATTGACTAAGATGATTACATTTAATCCAGATAAAAGATACACTGTTGAATAATGTTTGGAACATGATTATTTTGATGGATTACATAACCCAGAAGCTGAACCAAGGTGTGACAAGGTGTTTGATTGGAGTTGGGATAACTTCGAATTAAAAAAAGAAACTCTATAAAAAATGGTTTATGACGAATCTTTATAATTTAATCCTGTCAAATTCTGAAATAACTATTAATATTAATTTTCATTTCTACTAAAGATCAAATATTTTGTGATTCCAATACCCCGAGTATTCTTATTTCATCTAATTTACCTCTTTTGCAATATTCCTAAAATCATTCAAATTTATTACTCTGTACACTATTAGAGATTTTTGTGACTAGATTTCCATAATTCCCATATGACCTATTGTCCCATCTATTAGTTATTATCCTAATACTAATCAAAAATTCCTTAGCAATCTTATAGAAATGGTTAGATTATCTCGAAGAATGGTTTAAAGGTGGGTCTGAAATTGAATGTATGAATTGAGAGGAGACAATGGATAACCAAAGATCTTAGAATATTTATTTATCGAATAGCTAAGGGACAATTTTTTAATTCTTTTGACTCCTTTGAAATATCCTCAAGTTGTGAATAAATTAAATCATTTTGTATTTACTTTTTTATTAATTCACTCACACTATTGTAATGAGGAAATATACTATTGAAAGTTCCTTGAGTTCTATGAAATTCCTCTTATAAAATTACTAAGTTGGGTTTAAGATTGATGTTTGGCAATTCTTTGCATTGAATCACTCGGTTTAGATTAATTGATAATGCATCCAATTTTGATATTAATTAATCATCTATAAAATTCTAAATAGAAATAACAACTTACATACTACTATCTATTGCTATCAAATAAATTGACTACTTCCGATATGCAAGCATCCACTTTAGAAAGTGTTAGTAAAATGTGCTTCTAAGAGTTATTTTTTTATTCAAATTGCACCTCCTACTCATGCAATTATTATGATTATATGTATCTTAGTCGTTCCAATTGTTTATCGCAAAAGGTACTAAGTTTATAAGCTCCATCGTATGTATCCTAAATGCTCTCCATTGTTTCTCTCAAATTGATAAGCTTGTTATAAACTGTTATACTTGATTTTCCAATTCATATTATATCTGTCTTGTTAATTAGACGATCTAAGTCATTCTGAAAATTTGTTGTTGTTTGCTTAATATATTTTAGGACAAGAGTAAAAAACGTCTTTGATTATAATGTAACGTCGTTTTCATTGTCTTCTCATTCAACAACCTATATGAATAACAATATTCATTACTCTTAATACTCCCTATTCTAGTTTTTCAATAACATTATATCAGATTCTAAGTTTTTCACTTTATCATTTAATAGTTGCATCTCCCTTTACTTTTCCTTTAATTTAACTTGTAACTGTCTTTCATTTATCGTACTAGTAGTTTTCATTGATTCTGTCTAAGAAACATTGTTTTATTAAATTGCTTCTTCTTTTTTTATCTAGACAGGTTTTTATTAAATTATTTATTTTTCAGTTTCTTTGGTCGTAGGAGGTTTGCCTATTTTCTATTCCTATTATTTCGCAATGGGAAGCTTTTTATTTTAACTTGTTGATTTTTAATCAGATTTTTTAACCATTGATGCCTTGCTTATTAAATCACTAGTGCTTAACCCATCATTATCTTAAATGAATTAATTGACTTTTTCTTCTAACTACTTTTTTTCTATTTTCGAGTTGCTTAAATTTGAATTGTGTTTTTTAGGTTGCATATTAAAATTAGAATTAAATTTTATGAAAAAATATTATATATTAATAATAAGTTGATCTTCTGATCTAGGATAATTGTGTACCTGTTAAAGTCTTAATTCTAGAATGTAAAGTATTCACACTCTTAAATAGCTATCATTCTTATCAAATTTTCCTAAGACTTCTACTCAGATTATTTATATCCTTAGATATAAATTCATTTATTGAGGAATTTCATTAAGATATTGGATTACTGCAGCATTTATTAGTTAATTAATGTTTAAATTTCATAAGTATCTAGACTTAGGTTTTTAATATTTTAATCTCAAATGATAAGGGAAAACTTAGAAATGATTGGATAATACAAATATATTTTTTGGCTAATAAATATAATTACTTGAATATCAATATTAATGTAATTCCCTTTGGTTAATTAATAATAATCATTTTATACAAAATCATTAATAAAACTTCTTAATACATTTAATATAAATGATCCAAGAGTTTGAGGTAACTAGTCAGACATATAATAGAAATTTAAACTTTCTGCACTTAACCCAATTTTAGTTTGCTCTGTATGCAATGGATACTTTCGATTTGCACATACTCTATCAGAATGTGGTCACACATGTATAAATTTTAGATATCCGAAGTTTGTTTTGTTTGCATTTCGAATAAAATGTACTGTCCTAAATGTCCTAATATTTAAATAACAAAAAGCACAATTAGGAAGGATCCCTATTTATAATCCATAGTTGATATGCTGTTCCCACAATTCTAATAGGCTGATTAAATCATTTTGGATCGCTTAAAAAAGTTGTTTGGAAATAGCATTGATTTCAATGATTTATAAAATCTTCTGGTTGAAAATAATAAAAAAAAAAGGAAGAATCATAAATTTGAATAGAAACAAGGTCTTGTTCATTTAGTTTAGGAAACCTTCAATGGAACCATCTCCTACGATTAGTTCAAGGATAATATTTATGATGAGTAAAAGTTCAAGCAATTGTTGGATTACGTCAGAAAATAAAAAATAGCGAGAGAAGAATAATTGATGAATCGAGTCCCAGGTTAGAATAACACCAATGGGTCTAAATTATCAGTCACCATCATTGGGAAAACAGAATAAGATAAAAAAATTGCAAAATTAGATTGCAAAGTCACCTATCATCCAAATGAATAATAAGGACTCATCAAAAGGTTAAGGAAACTGGTGCTGAAATCAGTTTTGAAACAGGATCTGAGTGATTAGGTTATTAACAAAAGCAAGGCAAATCATTAGAATGTAAGAATAAATTTAATTAATTAGATTGTTTTATATTTTAAGAACATTGACTTAAGAGATGATGAAGATGAAGAGTCATTATTCATAGGAATAGCTGATCCAACTATAGTTTATGAAATTTTATTTAAGGCATGACCAATTTAACATTATATTTTTATTACAATTTAATTATGAGAGAGTAACTACATTTCTAAATTTAGTTTACAATCTGAATTGAGAACCCTTTATGTCAAATTGGGCATTTTCTATGTGTTCTTATTATTCGACTTAATTTGGTCATCCTTCATCGAGCCAACAACTATGAATCAAATATCTTAAGACAATAAAGAAGGATAGACCTAAATTTTATGGATGAGCTCAGTACACATAATTGTAACTGGAATAATTTTTGTACTCTTCTGCACTTTGATGTGGTAAACTTAGCCACTAAAATTAGGAATGATCAAACTTTTAATACGGTATTTCAGTTATCACATTTTAGAGATTTCATGTATGTCTTCGTGGTTAGTGGTGGTATGCTTATTATAGTTGTAATTGAAAGAGTGGCTATCTTCATAACCAATACAAAATCAAATGCAGCTATATCTGAAGGAATTAAATAGAATTGGTCCAGTTTTTTTTATTAATTATTTTACTTTATCAGATATCTTTTGAGACCACTTTACATCTTTGTGATGTTGCATGGATCATTGAAAATAACTAAACCTTATTATCATATGAGAAACCCAGAACTTTTCATAAATTGAAATCAAATTTATTTTATAATGTTAAGGAACTTAGATATTAATTATTCATGCTTGAAATGTTTACATTATAAATACATCTACATTCTATCTCCAAATATTGTTATGAAAACTTAAAAGTATTGATTTTTGGTACAATATATTATAGTTTGATACATCTCCAAAATTGGAAAAATGAGAGTTCAAAATAAATTCATTTTTCAAATTCTTGAAGATAATAATATCAATATATAAAATTAACTATTAAAGTTATATGAATAGTATATTTATTAAAATTATCATTTGAATATCATTATGATATTATTTTAATTTTGAGGAAGTCGGATTAATTTGATATTAATTTTAGATATAATCAACTAAGTTATGCAAAAAAAGCATCTTCTTTTGAGAATAACTTCTTTACAGCCTATGGATTTATTCCATCATTTTCATAATTTTTAGCCACAGATTCTTGAGGTGTTGGAAAAGATTTTTCCACTTTCGCTTATTTTCTTGCTTTTTACGTCTATTATTTATTGCCACTTAACAGATTTTTTTCCTATTATGCCTTCTTTTTTTGATTTTTAAGTTCAATATCATAAATGTATTCTTTATTTAAGGCTGACCACACAATTTATTTGTTTGCCTTTTCCTATTCATTTAAGATATATTCTTATTCATCTAATTCACTTAAAGAAGATAAGATTTCGTTATCTTTTTATTCTTTGATTGGCTCTTTAACAGGAATAGGATATTCTTATTTTAAATTATCTTCTTGTTTATAGACTTCAGGCTAGACCTTGAGCAATTCTATCATTTCTAGGGCTTTTTTTAAAGTACTTTCTTCTAATTGTTTAATTTCTTCTTCTGTCAATCCTTTCCTCATTTCTTCTTCTTATTATTTTATTCTTCTATAAGAAGGTGGGTCATTTACTGGTCCTGGAATTCCAGTCTCAATATTTTCAATCTATTCAAATTGCTCTCTTGTTAACTACGATAATCCTGTTTAGTTGAATTCTGCCAATCTTTTTCTAATTGTTTCATCACAAACCTGTACAGTTTTACAGACCTAAGAAGTAGGCACGTTTTCTCCATGGAATCTAGCTGAAATGAGTAATGCCGCTCCACAAAGGGATGATGGTCTTCTCCCATAAGCCATCCAATCGAGCATCATTCTTTTAATTAATTTCATGGCTGTATCAACAATAGCCTTGTATTTATCTCGACTTAGAATTACTATAATTCGATTACCTTATTTCTAATAGTCTTACAAATTTTGGTATGTAGATTGATGGGTCTAAATATTATAAGCTTTTTGCCAATTGAACTATTTGGGGAGCTTTGGCATCTGCTTTTACAAATTTTAAAAGTTTTAAATAACATTTGGCTACCTTTGTAGCAGAGTCCTTTTTTATAAATTCTGAAATCTCTATTAGTAGATAAGGGGCATTTTTACATCTAAATCCAAAATATAGTGCTTTAGAAAATTATAAATTCGTTACCTGCTCCAGCAAAATATTATCCATTCCTAATTGCATTCTCACTTTTATAAAATTTCAATAATCTTCTAGCTATTTCAAATGCTTCTTTGTATTCTTCATCAACAGCCAATTCTTGATCCAATATCTTTAAAGTTTTCTCCGTTTCTTAAGGTAATTAATCTTAGTCCTAATACCGAACCTCTTGTTAGTGAGCCACCTTTCCCCCGTTTAAAAAATCGACTTGTTCATAATAATTATGCATTTCTAGTACAAATGATAATTTATTAAAATATAATATATTTTCAAAAGTAAATTTTTGTATAAATCTAATCAGCAATATCTTCAATCATATTTTGAAATCAATTGCAATATGATTAGATCATCATCAAGATATTTAATATAAATGATTACTTAAATAATACTTTCTTAATTGAATTGGTTAATGTTTAGGTTAATCTAAACTATTATTTTTAGATCAAAGCGAATGCAAGTGATATTAAAATTCGTTTAATTTATAAAGAATAAATTCAATTATTAAAGTAATCAATAATTTTAATCAAGTTATATATTTTAAAATAAAATAAGCTAAATAAAATACAGTTATATATTCAACCATTTTAAGGTTATACAATACTCAATATCATTAAAATTCATTTTTACATAAGTTTACTACATATCTTTAAGCTGCTCTTTACAGTTAAGAAATTAGTAATATTATGTTAATTTACTTCAATTAATCATTTGCTTAGTCTTCCATTTTATTAAAATACTTCTTATTATATTTACAATTTCCTAAATTTTAGAATAATAGGAAAGAATGCTCCGAATTAGCAACCAATAAGCGTAAAAGAAATAATAAAAATAATTTTCTGGTAATATTTACACAACTAATTACTTATATTAATAATACAGAAAAACACTGAATTTAATTGAAGTAAAATGTTCATAATAATACAAGTAAAACTTTGTAATGGAAACCCAAATTGTATATTCATTGAGAGAGAAATGAGTATCTTAGGAGATTCATTCTTGTTCCTATTCTTGGATTGCTAGTTCCTGTAGTTTGACATGAAAAATATAAATAATATAACCATTTATTATATAGAAAGTCTGTTCTTTACTTAGATTGAAATAAGTTTATAGACTACTTGTTTAAATGAAAGGAACGATTATGGAATCTTTAATTTTATAGTAAGAGATGCTTTAATTGTTTGCTGCAAAAAGCTAAGATATAATCATTAATTATAATGTTTCCTAAATCTTGTGATGAATTATATCAATGTCGACTCTACAAAAAAAAGTTTCTGGGAAGCTCTCCTAGGTATTTTTATGTCTTTTTGGACAAAGCTGTTGTGAATAAGGTAAAATAGTGAATAAATTGGGTTTATAGGAGTCTAATCGTAAAAGAGCAGATCGTGTATTTAATGTGGAAAATACTAAGAGAATAGTTTGGAAATACACCACTGAATAACCAATAAAATTGAAAGGAATCATATTTGACAATGGAAATTAACCGCAAGAATACTTTGGAGATGATGATGTACTTCGTGAATTAAAAAAACATATCTCAAAGTTATTCTTTTAAGCCAAAGTACAAGAAGAATATGTGGCTATGTAAGTGATTGGATAAGGAAATTATGCTCTAGTACTAATTAAACTCATTATTATTAGGTTCTTGAATTATAACATTTACACTCAAATCAAAAATTCGCCTCTAAATGCATAGATAAAAAAAAACTATAGACAATAGAACAAGGAATGGTAATTAATATATTTAACTTCTCAAGGAATCCGTATTGAATGAAATCCAAATAATGAGGATCTTAAGTCCCCATGAATAACTCATAAATTTGATTGAAGTCTACGAAGGAGATAACAACATATATCTCATAATGGATTTAGCCCAGGGAGGCAGTTTATACAAGGAAATGAAGAATAAGTTGACTCTATACAGTAGAAAAGAAGTCTAGAAAGTAAATATTATAATTTAAGATAAGATTATGTATTAGTTATTATCTGGCTTATAATACATTCATTCGAAAGGAATCATGCATAGAGATCTCAAGCCAGAGAACATTCTCTTCAAAGAAAAGGGGAACATAAACACTTTGACAATTGCCGATTTTGGTTTATCAGTAAAAGTTGATTCTTACCCATACCTATATCCCAAATGTGGAACTCCAGGCTTTGTTGCTCCAGAGGTGGTTAATTTGATAGATAAAACCTCTTCTTATACAACAGCATGTGATATTTTCTCTGCTGGTGTTATTTTTCACATTTTACTTTTGGGAGAAGGTCTATTTATTGGAAATGGACACCAAGAGATTTTGAGGATGAACAAACAATTTTAAGTGGATTTAGGAAGAAATAAATACTAATAATTAGACTCCGATGCCAGAGACTTATTGTAAAATTAATTTTTATTATATTAGATTTAAAATGATACTCTAAGATCCTGATCAACGATTTACAGCATATCAATGTCTGAATCATGTCTACTTTTAAAATGATGTTGCTCCTTAATTAAAACTAAAAATGTAATATTCTTTTAATTATGTGTCTTAGATAAGATAGTCCAACTAAGGTTTCTTTCGATCATTATCTTGATACTTACAACAGTCCTGATCAAAAATTAATGAACAAAGATAGCAAAAAATTATCTATAGTCACTAGAACTCCAATATATGCTCCAAAAGCCAGTACACCTGAATTGCCTAAACAAAGATCAATTATGGAGGAATTAAGTCCATTAAGTTCATTTTCTTTAGATTAGCTTTGTAATGAAACTCAAAAAGAAGATTAATTATAATTTGCTATTACTAAATGATATTATATATATATATATTGATATATTTTGATAAAAACTTAATATATAACCATTATGAATTTTAATTCTTCTAACTGGATGAATTAGATATATAATATTAGAATAATGTAAATATAACATAGGTTCTCTATTAAAATTAGCACTCTAATTTTTCTTAGTTTTAAGGAAACAAATTGTTTAATTTATTTTTATCATTAATCTAAGAATAGTAGAAAAAAAAAAATAAAATATAAAAAAATTTAAAACTTTTCTTCTTCATTTAATTTAAAAAATTATATAAGTTGAAAGAGCATCAATGTATGAATATTAATACTTAACTGTACTGATCTATTGTTTGAGGATCAGTAATTACAATTATTAACATCTATAATAATAATCAAAGTAGTATTCTCTTGTTGTAAGTTTTTTCTAAATTGTGTATATATTCTTGATGATGGATTTAGAAATCTTCGATGAAGTTGGGAGGTAGATTGAAACTATGGTGTGGCTCGACTTCATCTTAAAATTTAGCATCTAATATTTATTTCTAAGATTAAACACAAATAGGTTACTGCCAATTCTTCTCTTTCAATTTTTGATCCTCCATTATGTTTGAGTCTAATATGTAAATTCAATGAAATGTCAGTCCCATAGATTTTGTCACACTTTTCGTAAGGACACTATTTGAGCATAGAATAAAATGTACTTAAAAATCTCTTTTGATGAGGTTGGCAGTTCTACGTTTTTTTTTGGTTTCTAATTTTTATGGTTAAACGAGGGTGTAATGTTCTGTGATTGATTCCTAAAATAACTCATCGATTTTGACTTACTTCTAAATAATCAAGACGTTTAGCCAACTGATTTAAATCCTAATCTAAATGATCAATATTCTTGGAAATCTGTTAAAAGTTCATCATAAGGGTCTCAATTGTGCTTTTGGTACACAATGGTGGTTTTTTCCCCAAGAACTCGATTTGCTCTTTTTCACTCAACATACTAATTTTCTATAACTATTAATTAATTTGAGGATGATTGCATACTTACTTTTTCTAAAATATTCCAATTGTATATAATTCTTGAAAATATGCAATCACTAAACAAAGAGAATTGTTTCAAATATAATTTATTTATATGAGGACAAATATTCATAATAAGTATTAGAATATTAAATAATTACATAAATGGATTACGATAACTTGTACACAAGAATTAAAAAGTACCCTCAAAAATGGGGATTGTAAGAAGTAGAAACTTGGTTGTCAATTGCTGGACTCTCAGAATTTTAATTCAAATTCATTTCCAATTAAATAGATGGTGCTCTCTTATCTTCCCTCGAAGAAAGCGATCTGATTGAAATAGGAATAGATGAAAAGTCTGAAAAGTTCCCAATTTTAATCCAATGTAGAAATTGAATACATAAGTAGGGATTAAATAAGGTCTAAAAGATTACTCATATTTTCTAAAAGATAAACTGCATTAAGAGTATATCCTTTAGGGAACAACAGAAGATGATCTGAGCATTACAAAATGCTAACGTTCTTCATTGATAGCATCATAGAATTACGAGAAAACTATTTAAAAGGTTGTTACTTTCTATTAAGAGGAAGGTGCAATTAACGAGGTGTAACCATTTTAATAGGTGAATCAAAAATATGAATAAAATCTTAATGGACTGATCTTAATTTTATATCAAGATCCTCCGAAATAATACAATTTTCTGAATTAAGAAATATCAATAGGAAGAAACTACGATAATACAATAGTATTATCTGAAGATTACATAAGCAGACAACATTGTAAAATAACATGGAATTCAAACAACCAAACCTTTTACTTGCAAGATTTGGGTTCTACATCAGGAACCTACATTTTGCTCATTTACCCAACTTTGTTATAAGAATAATTTATCATATAAATGGGATCTGCTCAATATAGAATAGAGAGACTAGATATCCAAGGTATGAAATGTTCAGTGTAGATGAAGATTGTTGAAGGGAATAGATTAGGATTTACATTTTGTTTTGAATTAATAAAAAATCAGTCAAGTTTAATATTCGGACGGAATTAGTAGTTGTTTGCTATGGATCCTGTAATTATTTGAGTTTCACATAGATAGAATCTGAGCAATATACATGCACAATTTCAATTCATCGATGATGGATTAGTGATTGAAGATCAAGGGAGTAGAAATGGTACTTGGTTGAGATTGAGTGTTCCTTAATAAGTTAGTGAACCAATTAAATTGATAAATGGAAGGAGATTTAGATTAGCTTATGAGAAGGTTTTTGAATGCGTTGTAAATCCAATTTGAATAGATGTTTGTTGTTTAGTTAAATTTGCATTCATATTTAAGAAAAAGAAAAATAATGTAAACTGTATTTTAATAATGATTCTAATCAATTTGCTAATAATTTTCTCTTGAGTTATCCTAATTTGGAGGATATCAAATCTACAGCTACAGCAACGGATCTCTTTTATTTAATTCTAAGTTTATCTATAATATGAATACCTGCTGGCAGTATCAGTTTCGTATTCTTATCTCTTCAATCTACAATCATTATCCCTGTTTTCTTTCTCTTTGGATTTGATGGAAATCTTTTGATCAACTTCGAATTTTTCATTTTTGGCTTATTGGATTCTGTTTGATAAGGAATCAATCAATCCTGAATAGAGAAATTAATGAACATTATACCTTCCATATATGTTTTATCTTGATTGGCTTTGACCAATTGATCGGATAAGAGAGTTCTCAAATCTTCATATGAGCTTTGTCTGAGACTTTCAGCTTAATCCTCTCTGATTCTCTCTGATTAAATGTAATTTTCAATTTATTTAAGAATGGACAAAACCTTTCTAGTCAACACTTCACATTGACTTGGCTCATCTGCTGAAGTTTAAGCTTAACTAGCCAATTGACTAAGAATTTCGATCATGGATTTATAGCCTTCCAAATGAACCTTGAATTGTATTGTTATAGTTTACATGATGTTTTAATTTATTTACTTTTTGAGCTACCTAAGCAAATGAAGAGATTCCCTTAGAATCAATATCTTCTTCCACATCTTCATCATTGTATTAGAAACTGAAATCTTCTTAAAGGAATGAGGGTTATGGCTATTAGAATCTATTTCTATTCTTGACCAACACATCCAAATATTTATTGAAGTATCCTTTGACTTAATTAACTCCGAATAATGCTTATTCAAGATTGTCCAGAATTGTTTAGTAGGTAGCTGATTCCTTTTATCTCTTCAATGTCTAATAATCTAGTTCTGCCTTCAAATCTGCAATTTCTAGATTCTTTCTCTCCAAACTAGCCACTGCTTATACTTTCTATGGGTTCAATGAATCTAAATCACTCTTCAAAGTAAGGGAAGTGACAGTGCTTGTGTTAATAATTTCTGTCAATTAGCTCAAAGCAATATCACAGTTCTATTTGAATCTTACAATTCTCTCATCATCTCTTTTTTGTTCTCCTTCCAATGTTTGTTCTAAGTGTTGCATTATATCAACCAAATTAGAGACAACTGGATCATCTGTTTACATCTCCATCTGAATTGTTTGTAAAATTGTTTGTCCAAATTATGTTTCTTCTAGTTCAGCAATTTATTAATCAAATTCTGTTGCTAGACAGCCCACAATCACCAATACAAGAAGCAAGGCTCGTTTCATATTTAATATAATTAACAATAAAAATCCGTTTTCCACTCTGTTTATTAATATGCTTATAAATTCGATAAACTTACTCTAATGAATTTATGTACTCATTTTGATATCAACTACAAATTATTCAACATTATTATCAGTAAAGATATGTATGATACAACCAGATATCTTTAGCTAACTAATATAACTTAAATTATTCGTTTTAAGACTGCTAATTTTAATTAACTATTTAAAACTTGATTTAGCTGCAAAAATTAGATTATAAATTTAATTTAAAAATGAACTCAGAAATAATTGAAGTGTGTTAACATTAAAAAGACAATATTCTTGTTAAAATGAAGAACGGAGAAAAGAAATGGTTTAAATTTGACGAGGTTCTCAAATAATAGCCAAAAATGCTAGCACAATGGCTCGAGAAGCAAGTATTTTTCAGGGAAGTGGAGGAAGATAAATTATATTGATGTGTTTTATTTTATTTAAAACTCAAAGATTCAAACTCCATTCTAAATCGATATCATCGATCTCAAGAGCTTCTTGCTTTCATTTCTATCCTTCATTTATTAAACTTTACTAAATTCCGGCTAGAATAATATATTCTCAAAATTAATTATTTCATCAAATTGATTGAGAAGTTCAAAATTCACAACATTTAAATTCATTACACTTATTTTACAGCTAAGCAACATCATACATTTATTTAGATCTTTAATTTATTTTCCCATATCAAATTAGGCATAAAAAAATAAAAATCTAATTCATCATATAAAATCTCATTTAAATTAGTCTTTTCTAATAATAAATTCAATTTTATCAGTTTATTATCTACAACTAATCTCCATTCTTTTTGTACTCATTAAGTATTAAAGTTATTAAATCTTAACTCAATATTTTTAGTTTGTTAAAAGCAATTATAAAATTATTTTTAGTTACTCATTAATAATTTTTAAGATTAATACTTTTTTAAGTAAGTTCCTTTAATAATTATTATATTTGTAAGTAAAACCTACAACAATCTCTAGACACTTTGATCTAATTGATAAAGTTACAAAGGTAATATTGGCGATATTGTTTAATGGATATTAATGGTAAAAATATTTTTATTAATTGACATTCAAAGCTGTCAATGAATTAAATGAATAAACTATATCAAAATTTTTGTTTCTTTTTAAATAATTTCATCAAAAATATATCATTTTATTGAAATAACAAAAAATCCTAGAATGAATAAAGAATAGAGCAGAATCCCTGATAAAAATTAACCGAAAAGTGCACTAAAAAAAGAAATTAAAAAAGGAAATTAGAGTATTTAAGATCAAAATAATTTAAGTTAAAAGGTTTGATAGAAAGGGGCAAGAAATTAAATAAGGGTCAAAATATGAGATCACAATAAATGACAAGGCCTAATTCTTCACTCTTAATGATAATGACAATGAAATCTCTAATCTAGACTCATCTAATTCTTCGAAATACGAAAATACAGAGAGTTGTACTAAAACTAACCTTAGGACTTCAAGAAGTCTAGAACTCAATTCGAAGGAGGAAGCGTTTTTGAAGATGCTGAGTTATAATTTCGAATAAAATAAGAAAAAAGGAAAAAGAAAAGAATGTTGTATTATTTAGTGAAACCTTCGCTATTGTATTTACAATTCTAATTTATGAATAATATATTTAATAAAGACTAGTATATTTTAATAATATATATATGCAATTTTTTAAATTAAAATGAGCAAGCGACTTTATTTTGGAGACAAAAAAAGCTCAACTCAAAGTATCACTATTTTCTAAATTTACTCCTTCAGAAAATTATCTTTTTGCTGCATTTCTTAAATTCACTAAAATAATTGCAATACATTATTTATTGAGGAATTTAAATTTAATAATAATCAAATCTAAATCAGTTAAATCATTTTACTTTTCATTATCAAGCATCGCTCCATTAAAGTTACTTTTTTGGAGACTTTGTTAAATTATCTCGTTATGAAATCTAAAACTTGTGACATCATACAATTTATAATTAGAGGAATTGTTGAGAAATTCATTCTTATTTATATAGAATTTAAGAAAAATGATCATATCATAACTCATATCACTTCCTGTATTTAAGACATCATGCATTTAAGTTATTGTATTTATTGCTATAATCCATCAATTAATGCAATCTTCTCTTCCAATTCATTTCTAGAGAGTTCAGAACAATTTGGAATCATCTTTTTTTGTTGAATGTCACAAGAATCTTCTTCTGACGACTGAGTTTTGGACATTTTTTTCAATACTCTCTACTTCTTTATTCTTTTATATATTGGTTGAGGGGTCAAGAGCATTTAAGAAACAGTGCAAATATTCTTTAACTGCTAACATATTGATTCAATCTTTTCATTTTCTGTCAAACATAATTCTTAAACTGAGTTAATCCTTATCATGTCATCCTAGATTATTTGCATACTAAATTTAAGAAAAGGAAAATTTTTGGAAAAATTAATTTATATTATTTTCAATACAAGAATTAATTAATCCGTTTTAATATATTTAGAAATAATAGACACAAAATAAAATGAGTTAAACTATGATTTCTGTATTTATTTATAAACATTATTATTATTATAATTAAAGTACTAATGAATTATTTAGTTTATTTTTATGCTAATTAACATTAAATAACAGTCCAAAAACATGATAAAATCTTACTCAAACCCAAAACCTTAAATCCTTATCAAAATGAGTGCTTTATCTGATTAAGAGGTTAAGCACTATAATTAAGGTCTACTAGTGCACTTCTCACTATGTATTTCCAATTTTATTAAAAATGATATCCTTGAAGTATGTAATACTTAAATCTCTATTAGAATATGAACTATTAAAATTAGAATAAAACCTATTTTTTATATTCATTTTAAATTGTGTTAATTTTTATGATTTTAGGATGAAATTTGTAAGAAAACCTTCTGTTATGATATAAAAAGAGAAAATGATAAATCAGCAGTATGAAAAATTGTGAATTTGAATTCTATTAATAGAGTTATGCTATTAAAGTAGTTTATTAATTCTGATTTTTTAATAAATAATTTACAAAACTATTTTGATTAAAAAATGTTCAAACTGACTCCCTCAGCTAATTCATAGAGATCAACACCAAAGTCATTTAGAAGATTGAGCTCAATCAGTCACTCAAATGGAGAAGTGCTTATGAATGATTATTTCAATCTACCAATGGTATCTACCAAGAGCACATTTGGAAATTATGGAATTATTGGGTTAAAACCCAACACAATCTCAGTAATTGGAGATTTGGATGAAAACAACCAATAATTCGCTTAAGAGAGTAACAAAAAACCACTATAAATCCAAATTGGGTAAGTAGAAAATAATCAAGACAACACTAACTACGATATCCTTGAGAAGTATTATTAAAACAAGGCAATCGCTACTTAAAGGTAAATGGACGTTAAAAAAGTGTTTACAAGAGAAAATATAAGAGAACTAAGAAATTTGAGCCTTTAAAAAAAAAACGTACAAAATTTAGACAAATTAAATGAAAGTTAAAAATATTCTTCTGGAAGAAACTATATTATAAGAGAAAACTAATTCAAGTCAATTAATACTGATGCACAATAATTAAGATTTTCAAACATTGATTATGCTGGATATTAACAAAAAACAAACACTATTGAGATGGTTTCTTAAAGAATTGAGAAATCAAAAAGAACACTTAAAAAAGTGTTTCTTAGTGTTTTTTTCTCCATGGTGATTTCCAAAAAATACAGATAGCTTAAACAAGAGGAAAAATAACTAATTACCATCTTAAATTGTAAACTTCAAAGTTGCTAGAAAGTAATAAACCAGATTGGAATCAGATAAATTGAAGAGCAATAATAATAATTCGTTTAAATTGTTTCGAATAAGGTGATTCACTATCTAAACAATCAAACTTATATCAATGAATGTAACTAGAATGATGATGTATCTAATCCAGTTTAAAGTATGGATTGGAAAAAACTTAGAGTTCAAAGCTTTTCCAAACTAATTTACTAAAATTTGGAATTACTCACCAGAGAATGCAATCTCCCAGAACTATTAAAATGCTAATTGATCACCAGTCTTTATAAAACTTCGAAATAATAGACTTCATTCTTCGTAGGAGAAAGATGTCACTTCTATTAGGCAAATAGAATCTAACTTACTAGAGAATAAAAATTAGCAATCGCTATGGAATACTTACTATTTTAAATTGTAATTCCAAAGTTACTTCAAATAGTTAATGGTTTACCAACTTACAGCCAAAATCACAAAATCTATACCTAATAGATCATAGTAATAATCGCAAGTCTCTTACATCGATAATTTGTAAATAGATTTTAAAACATGAAAAAAGTAAAAAATCCTAATGGTTATATGGTCAACAAAAAATTGTCTATATAATATGTAGAAAATGGTTTATTTTGCAATGAAATTAGCATTGCGGACAACATTGGTGATAATAACGAAGTTCTAGAAGGACTTTTAGAATTAGACCAAATTTAATCAATTGAAAATTCAAAGCCAGCTTGGAAATAATAAATAGATGATCTCTTTGAACAGATCCTGTCAAATGTCCAAAGTTTAATAAACTTCTGATTTTATATTACTTTCTCTTTATATAATGTTCATAATCATACTATATCTTTTTATTTTTTTTGAATTTTTATTTTAATAACAAATCAGAAATATGAATTAATGTAAATGAACGAATGAATTTTTATATCAAATATGCTTTAATGATGATAATAAAGATTAATTAGTATACTTGTAATTGTTCATACGTGATAATATCGAGATCTGAATATTTATAAATATACAAGAAAATCAAAATGAAATATATTTGATGCTTAGTTAACTAGCTCATATTTTTATTTGAATTTCACCATTACGTGATAAGAAAAGTGATATTAGTGCATTTTGAGAATATATATATACATTAGTGTCATTTAATTAAAAATAAATATAGAAATGAATAATTAGTTTAATAGATGAATAAAATAATTAATTATTTAATTATATGAATTAAGAAGTGGAAAATAAGGAAGTTAAGGATTAGAAAGACCAAATCGAATAAGAGTCTGATGACAACGAGAAGAATGACAAAAAGGAATAGACATTACAATAAGAGTAGAAGAAAAAAAAGAAGAAAAATAAAAAGAAGAAGAAATGGGGAGAAGAAGGTATCTAGAAATGAAATATTAGAGGAAATTATGACTGATTTCGATGATGATTGGTAGAATAAAGTGAAGATGTCAAAGATATTGCAAGACCCTGATTTACCTCAGCATATAAAAGAAAAATATGCAATTTATGAAAATAACCCTTATATGATGATAGTGTCAAATGTGCCACTGAATGTGTAATTGAAGGAATTGGAGGAATATTTTAATACACTTATCACTTCCCTTGACCCAAAAATCAGTATTTATAAATTATATATTAGCCGAAAGACCGATCAAGGCTATTGAATATGGGGCCACAAAGTCTTGGGTAGTGTTGGAATGCAGTTCGAAGGAGGCTAAAAGAGCATTAGTCACTTAAGATTAGGTTCAATTTGTTAATAATTGTAAAATAAAAGTAGAGAAACCAAGGAAATTTTTAGAAAGAATTTTAAATCCATAAGCAAAGGAAGGGGAACTGAGTGCTGAATAAAAATAAGAAGACAATACTAGATTGTATTTGGGAGGATTACCAACATATCTGAGAGATGAGGATGTGATGAAACTCATACAATCATTTGGAACAACTAAATATTTCAATTTAGTTAAGGATACTACGTCCAATACTGAGATTTCCAAAGGTTATTGCTTTTTTGAATATGAAAAAACTGTCTCAACTGCAAAGGCTTTGAAAGCACTCAATAATTTATAGATAGGAGACAAGAAATTGAAAATTTGTAAGGTTCAAGGGGAACCTTAATAAAACAAAAAAATTAATGGAAGAGACTAGCCTTCTAATTATGCAGGTTCATTTTTGGCTTCATGTGATTTATTACGATTGCCTTAAGTGTAATAGATGTTAACAATCCCCTAGTCTGCTTTGATTCCAAGTAAAGTTGTGCAATTTTTGAATATGGTAACAATTAAATGATATAATTAAAGTGTTCCATTGAAGATCTGTATGAAGATGATCTTTACGAGGAATTGATGGAGGATATTAGAAGTGAATGCATTCGTTTTGGCTAGATAGAGAAAATAGAAATACCAAGACCAGATAAGGAATCAGGGTAATAAATAAGTAATTATGATTATAGCTTTTGTAATCCAGCAGTAGGAAAGATCTTTGTGAAATTCTATTATTAAATTCCAGCTAAGAAAGCTAAATTTCATCTTGCAGGTCGCACATATAATAAAAGGACTGTTATTACTTCTTTTTATCCTGAGGAACAGTTTGACTATAAGGATTATTTGATAAACGGATGATTGCTTGAGTTTTACGATATTTTAATTATTCTATAATGGTAAATTGATTAATGATTATAATCATCCTGCTCTTCTAAATCTTCTATCTCTTTTAGGTAAATCTGCCCCGCTTCCAGCGCAATTTTATTCAGAGTAAGTATTCAGATTTGGATATGGTTGTCTACCTGAATACTTCCTCATATCTTCAGTAGATTATTCGGCATATTTAGTCAAATGTTTTCTTGCTTGTTCTGCATATGTTGGATCATGTTTTTGACCGTTCAAATCAGTTGCAGGCAAACAATCTATATTCAATTTCTTTGTTTACCTGTTTCCATATAACTAAACTCCTTAGCTGTTATTACAAACACCAATACAATCACTAGTAAATACTTCATGATTGAAAACAAAAAACGATATAATTAATATTAAATCACTTCTTCTCTGGTTCATATCCTTATCTCTAATGAGCAACCTCTCTTGCCTTAACCAATCCCTATTCTCTATAATTTTGCCATTCATATCCATGGTATTTTGTGAATGACCTTCTATACAAATCAGAAGTGGCCTTTGCAAACCCTTTCAAAAACTTTACTAAGTCAGCTCTATGTATAATTTAAGTTTTAATACCTTTCTTCTGCACTCTCCAATAGTTCTCCTCTTTATAAACATTTTGTCCCCTTGCACATAGCTTATGGATCTTTAGCCCACATAAATAAATTATAACTATTCCAATATATTTTAGAATCCAACAAGGCCATTGTATATTCTTCATATACTCTCTAACTAGCTGCAGGTTTATTGTAGATTTGAGCCAAGGATGGTCCACTGGATTCTTAAAATGAAAAATCTGCTGCATATGGTTTTCCTGTGAATATTTCCAAAGAGTGACAAGAAGCACATGCACGCATAAATACTTTTGCTCCTTATTTCAAATCACCATCCACTGGCACTAATTTAGATTTATCAGCATTAGTATTAGGATTTGTTAAATTTCGATATGTCTTCTTTGCCTTTATTGTTTATAACAAGGCCTCTCTGGTTATTGCTTCATCAATCATTTGCTATTCTTTATGCATGGCTCTAATTTCATTCTAAACATCATCCTTGCTTTTGCCATAAGGATTCAAAAGAATTTTCTTCCATTTCTCATTTGGATCTTCTGACATTCTATAGTTTAATTTATTATCACATATTAAAATTCATATTTTCAATTCATCTTTCAACCTCTTCTCTAATTCCTCATCAGTCTCCTTTCTTACTACTTCTTCCTAATTTTATACTATTTCCTCATAAATGTATCCACTCACATCTTCTCCTGTAATAATATCCTAGAGCAACTTTATATTTGGTATTTCAGCATTGTCCTTAGTCACTAGTACTCTCAGATCTTCGTATAGTCTATTATCGTATTTTGTCTCAAATTATATAACATAATTTGATTATCTATATTTTTGATTCTTAATAATACTTTATTAGTTACCACTTCTTCCTCTATCTTATTGTTTGAAACTGATATCACATCACTAATATTCAATAATTCATTGTCCGTAACATTTACTTTCAACACATTCTTGTCTCCTAATTCAATCAAACATTTCTTCTGATCCTTCTCCAATGTTATTGATTAAACTAATTTTCCCAAGTACTTTCTGCCCTTTAAATACGATGATATTGTTTAGAAAGAAAAAAAGACAGGAATCAATGTAACCCAAGGATTTATATACAAATACGAAAGTCCACCTACCATACTCCAAACAGTAATATATATAGTAGCAGATCTATTCAATTTCGTCGAGAATCCTTTTTTTTAAGCAAATTCTAAGTACCATCAACATTTAGTTTATTTTGGAAAACTGTATAATTATTGAATATTTTATTGTTCTGAGGATTGAAGGCAGCAGCCATCTTATCAATTTGTTCAGTCAGATACTCTTCGTGATCTAGAATTTTGTTTATCTTCTCTTTTGAAAATCTAAAGATGGCCCTTCTAATCAACATTATTAAAATTTAATGAGAATTGCTACATACAATATTAGAAATACTCAGGATTAATATCTTAAGAGAAGAGAGAAACTACAGAGTATCATCTAAGGATTGAATGCTGATGTGATTTCTCTTCAGGAAGTGGCCCTTCCAGAGCTGGATTACTTGGCAGGAGATTACTAGAAATTCTTTGCCCCAATTCAATTATAATTTCCCTTACATCCAGACCCAGAGTTTAGAATAGATGGAAATGCTATTTTAGTTAGGAAAGGCATCGAAGTTAAATTACATGAATTTGTTCATATCAGTGTGTTTAGAAACATATAACACATTGTAATCGGAGATGTGCATATTTACAACACTCATTTACATCATGTCATTGGAGATGATCAAGTTCGAAGTCATTAAATAGATAACATCCTCACCTATCTATTGGGATAAATGAATGAAAGGATTTTTCTAATGGGAGATTTCAACTTGACCCCTGAATCTTAAGAATACAAAAAAATGACTCAATATTTTAAATCTTCTTACACATTGGCTAATCAAAAAGAACCTGAAATAACATTTCCAACAGGTTTGACAGGACCATTTATGGACACTGATCCAGCTGGAACCTTTGATTATATATGGATAAGGGGTAATAATATAGAAGTCAAGGAATGCACTCTATTTGGATCAGATAAAATTTAAGAAGGAGTATATCCAAGTGACCATCTAGGAATTCTAGGAGTATATAATATATGATATTATTAAAAAGATATATTGTAGTTTAATAATATAAAACATTAATTTAATTATATAGTTTATAAAAAGGATTTTGCATATGCCAACTTAAGAGATCTTGTCCAAATCGCATTTTTTTAATAGGCAACCTTATTCAATATTACAGTACAGGGCCAAAGAGCAGTGAAATTTACAAAGAAAGTAAAATCTAAAATCTCACAATGAAAATAAAACCATAAATAGATATATTAAATTATAAAGAAATACAAAAAAATATTTAATATTATAAATAATTATGATATAATTTAGTATTGCAAATTATTAAAAAAAATTTAAACATTCACGAATATATAATTATATCATTTTATATATTTGAGTAATTGATTGGCTCTTCTACATGTATTTTCATTTTTACAATTGGTTGCTATATCTTTTAAGTATTAAGTTATTTGATATTGCTTCAACAACTTCAAAATTGAGTTACCACTAGAATTGTGTTACAAAACAGCTAAGGTCACTAACATTTTAATTAATATATTACATTGTAATAACCATTTGCTTAAGACATAATCTTGGCACTCCTTTATTTCTTAGTATTTAGATATTAGAAGTGTAAGCAATCCATTATCGTATAGATCAATGCATTGCTCAAAGGAGCTATTTGAGCATAAAAGAAACAAACACTCTAATTAATGATAAAGGACTTGGCGATCATCTAAGATAAATAATTGAATTACTTTCACTTGCAATTATTATCATCAATTATAATGGAATCTAGTTTAAATGAATGTTCTAGATAATGTATTAAGATTATTCACTAAACAGCTGTTTCATAATGATGGATGCTTGAGTTCTTATAAATTTACCATTAGCTTTGTAATTTTAATGATGATCGACAATATTGAGTAATGAACAGAATATGTCTGGATATTTTTCAATGATATCAAATTTCAATTTTTGGTCATTCAATTTTATTGAATCAGATATCACTTATAAGGCAGCTAACCTTAATTAAGGTTATTCTTAAATAACAAATGCTAGATTAGTGAGTATAACCCAAAAGTTTTGGTAGAGTGTGAGATTAACAGTGAATTGAGATTTATCGATAAAGTGACGAGCAAATAAGAGAATTCTATTTAATAAAGAGTGTTTAGTCTCAGTATATTTATCTTTTTTTTCTAAATCTAATTCTATTACTAAATAATTTATCCCTCGCAATTTTTTACATAATTAATCTAAAATTGACATAAATTCGTAGACATCCTAAAAGTGGATTCCACTCTTAGGTTCGATGAATGTAGTTATAAGAAATATTAAAGTAGACATAAGTTATTCATCTGACTCAAACTCTAGATCTAATATCTTTTTTAGAGTTTGGCCAATTTTTAGTTTTATTAGTATAGATTGGCAAAGAAGTGAAGATTGTGACAACTATCCAAGCAGATATAATTATTCTTCTAAATAAATCAGGCTCTACTCTTTTTCACACTTACTCAACAATCTTGATCCTAAAAGTAAATCTTCAAAAAGAGTTTCTAAATCTTCTGTCTATTTAGCATCTGTGCATTTCTTCACTATCAATTATAGTAATAGAATTATTTAGTTTGTTAGATCCCCTTCTAATATTGGTTTCAGAAGAGGAAATTTATAAATGTTGAAATTTTTTTCTACATCTATTTAACTGTATAAGAGAATTATCTCATCCTAAAACTAATGAACTGCATTTTCTGACAGTAATTTCTGCCTCCTTTAATTCAAAATTTTTTCTAATCCTTATTTTCTAATTTGTTGTCCAAATTGCTCTTTCTTATATTATAACATCAATGTATTAATACTATAATTAAATTATAATTTTCTTGATTTTTAAAAAATTCTTTACATAAATTAATCATTTATATATTTATGGATTAGATTGAACCACAACCTATTTTTGATGAAATTCCATCCAAAATCAATATCAATCTCTTACCAAAACATAAGCCAGAAAAATTCATTGAAGCAAGCCAAAATAAAAGTATAGATCCTGTTTACGAAGACGGTCACGAAGTTGGCTTTATGATCAAAGGAGAAAATACTGTTTATGAGTTGGATTATGAAGAAGGGTGAGTTTCACTTTGCTTGACAATAGGTTCTTTGAGCCAAATGGATGCTACTATTCGCGTGATTTTGTTCCAAAGGGATGGTGGGTATTGGATAAAGATTCCTAGGAATTCTTTTATGATATTGATGGAAAATTGGATGGAGAGGATGAAGAGGGAGAAAATGAAATGGTATTGATCTAATAATAATGATCAAGTATTATTTATTTAGATTTATAAGATATTCGCTCTTGTTTTTAAACTTCATTATTTATATATATAAAATACTTATGATTAAATATCTATATTAAACAAACCTAATCATTTCTTCATAGCATTTGCCATCCATTCCATTCCTTCACTTAAACCCAAACCTGTTAAAGCACTGCATTTTACTCTAATTTTTAAATATAATATAATAGACATACATTGTCCAATTTCTTGATTTCTCTTCTTCTAATTTCAGGAACTCACAAATTTCAGTTTCACTCAATGCTCCTTACATATCCTGCAAAAGTATAAATATAAACAAATTAAAACTTATTTATTTGCTAAAATCAGCAATGGAACATTTTTAAGTTCTTCCTCTTATAATAATGTCATCAACTCTTCTTTTGATGTTTTGAGTCTCCCCTCATCAAAAGAGTCAATCACATAAATAATCCCATTTGTATTTGGATAGTATGATCTCCAATATAATCTACACGTATACATTTAGTTGATTACCTAATAGCATTTTGACCACCCAAATCCCAAACTTGAAACTTTAGATTTTTATAAGTAAGTGTTTCTACATTAAATCCCATGGCTTATTATTATTATAGTTTATTTACTTGGTGCTGTCTAGATCACCTCATTCAAATGCAATTTATCTTAAAATAGATGCATAATGAGTACATAAAATAGTTGTCTTCCCAGAGTTATCTAACCCTAAAATTAAAATACGCATCTCCTTTTGCCCTACTAGTGAATTGAATATTTTAGAAAACACAAATCCCATTATTAATTTTATGATAATCTATAAATTAGAATCACTTAAAGAAAATACCTTTTGACTGTAGTTTACTCATCAAATTAGTATAACCTAGTTCCATTTTTATAAGATAACTCGCTTTGATAAATGGGTTTGAATTGAAATTGATTAGAAAAAGAGCCTATCATCCAAGAATAGAGATAAAACAAACTTATCATTAGAAAACATAGAAATACATTTTTTTAAGATTCTCAAACTCTAATGAGACAGAAAAGTTGAGAATAAGAAATAATTAGATAATTACTTCATAGAAGATTGAAGAGAAGTTATCAATAATTTAGAATTAGATTAAACCAAAAATTCTACCATTATTTATGAATTAGATTGAGATGAAGACTGTAAATAGTGTGTTCGTTGAACATATAAGTTTTATAAATTGAAGCAAAATTAAAACCAAAAGTTAAATTAGAGATAGTTAGAAAAGGGCTGATTGCTATTTTATATATGAAATCATTTCTTCTATAAGAATTTAAGTAATTGTGAACTTTGATTATTTTACAAGCGAGAGTTTGAAATCTGTCTCTACAAGGCTTATAAGCTTTTACCGACTTAATCAAAACTTTGGCTGGCCATTGTTTATTCTTACTTTTACTTATAACAATAAAAAATACTCTAATTAATGGCGATTCTTTTTTCGTTTTATTATATTTATGTAATTTCTCTGTGCTTAATGATTATTGTGATTGTTCAGTTAGCTTTTCAGATTTTTAAAAGCGATGTCTTTTATCACCCTTTGAATCTTTTAGTCTTTCTGTTTCTGTCAGTTTAGGCTCTAGATTTCTTTATAAATTCATAACATTACTGAGTTTCATCATTTGTTCTTTAATTATTACTTTCCTATTTAACTGTAACTTGTTTTCTACCCTTAGAAAGAGAACGATCTTTTTCAGTATTGCATATTTTTAACAAAGCTTTAAAATTTGCTTCATTATTGGAGTTTTATAAGCTTTTTTGGGATTTATTAGAGACTAATTTACTCAATCTCTCAAAAGCTGAGGGAGTCTTTTTATGAAGTATTTCTTTTGGTGAACTATCAAATATTTTTTTATGTTGATCCTATGATAATAATACTAACTTACTTTAATGGCTTATTCTAAAGATTTTATTTTTTCCTACTATTATATAATAATAATATCCTTTTCAGCAGTGACTTCATCTATCTTCTGTATCAAAGCATCAATTTGCAATTTCTGTTGTTGTTCTACCCTGATGTGAGTTCTAATGGATGCTTCAAGTTTTTAGATAATTGTCTCATAATCATTGTTTATATGTTCTTCCAATTATTCTTCAAATACATTTTTGACTCTTTTGCATAGCAATTAGAAAGTTACCTATTTAAATATGCAACGATTTAGAGGATATTGTCATATTATTACTTCTCTGATTACTCGCTAATTTACTTTACGCTAACTTTATTGATTTGTTCATATGTCTCAATGATGTCCTACTTCAAAGTAGATATATTACATTGTCTATTACTTCTGCAATATCTAACAATAGTTACTTTATAGTATAACCTTGCATATATATATATATTAATTAATCAAAATTGCAAACCAGATCTAGTTAAGTGAATATTACTATACTAAGGGATTGACCCTTTTAATTGTAATATAATCTTCTTAGTCTTTCTCTGATCGACACTTACTTATTCATCTCTTTGAGTTTGTGAGCATGAATAATCTTGTTTTATAATAGATTGTTAAAGCCTGCTTTTTTGAAAGCAAATTTGTCTCTTTTTATTGTCTTATTGTAGTATTTTAGTATCGATTGATTTCCTCAATGGATAAGACGTTTTTCTTTAAGAAAGTGAACGCTCATCTTAATTTAAGAAACCATTTGTACTAAGTATATTCTATTAAGACTTGTTTGACATTAATTTGTTGATCTTCTCATAAGCTGATGGTGTTTTCTTCTGTGTGTTTAAATCTAGTTATGAAAAATGATTCAGAAAATTATTTTACAAATTTCCTATACTTTCAGTATGTTTATCTTGTAATTGCAATTACAGTTTATGTATTTTTTCCTCAAATTATTTCACTTAGACTTCTTTATCTTTCATCAGCTCCTCTACCTTACTATTTAGTATTTCAATCTGAAGATTCAGTTAATATTATGTTCTAATATGCTTTCTAACAGTGGCTTCCAAATTTTAGATTATGGTTTCATAGTCATTCTTTATATGCTCATTTAATTATGACTGCAATTATTGACGCATCTAATCAATTGATTTGAAGAGCTATATTATATTGAATTATAATGATGCATCATCTTAATTGAGTATTTACGACTAATCGATATCATTGTCGATTATGCTCTCTAATTTATGTTTATTGATACATTATCCATCTCTTGAATCAATTCAAAATACAATTATGCTATAAGTGAAGGTTTCTTAATCCTTTTATTCATTAATAATTTGTTATTTTTATACTTAAATTAAAGTTCCACAGATTAATTTGTTATATCACTTTAAGTATTCATAACATTATTGGTATCGTTGCTATTGGATTCTTATTTCAGAATGGCATTATGCAATATATAAATAATTATAGATTTAGCACTTTGATTAAAAACCTATCATACTCTGACCCAATCAGATTCTAAATATCCTGATTTCATTATTCTTTTATAAAACACTTTAAGTTTTTATGAATTATTTCAATTTAAATTTCCAAAATAATTTTATATAACAGAAAAATTAAAGAATGAAACTTATGTATTATTAATTATTATTCTTATTTTCTAGAACATTGAATAGAAAAGACACGGCATGCATATATGGTTTTATATATGAATATATTATTTTCATCCACTTTTAAAGAGGAGAATGGCAACTTATCCCATATAGAAATAAATGAAATGCTTTGTTTCATGTGTGACGTATGAACCGAAGTTTCTACCAACAATACAATGCCAAGTTGGATTATATTTTTTGTCAAACTCTTTTTTGATGAATGCCTAAGATTAAAAATATTGTATACAGCTATATCTTTTTCGATGTTGAATTTTTCCAATGCTTAATTTGCACAATCAATTGCATCTTATTACATTTCTTCTGACATATCAGCATTTTTAACAACTGCTTTTCTATCAGCTTGAGCCATTTTTTCTTATTATTTAAATTTATTAATAATAATTTTCAATTTTCTTTTCCAATTTATATGGAACTTAAATCGATGTTGCTTTTACTTTCTTAATTAATATTTCTTTAACCTAAGTTTTCCTTTTATATGTATTCAATTAATTATTCGCTTTATTTTATAAATTGACTTCAAAGTTTTATTTCTTTATAATTTCTAATTCTCCAAATAAAAGATTGTAATTTTTTATTATTTTTGAAGAAACAAAAAATCATTTTTATTCAGTTTTTTAATTCAGTAAAGCTTTAAAATATTACCTAGAATGTCATATAAGTTATTGGTTTATAACAAGAGATTAAATGAGTAAAATTTTTAAGGAGACAAATAATATAATGAAATTTTATTATCATTAATTTTTAATTAATCATTTTCTTAAATCTTTAAATTAATATAGAAGATTGTGAAGGTAGAATAAAATTTCCTTTAAAGAACCTTTATTAACTAATATTGGTTAATTAAATCTAATAAATTAAAATAAAAGAATAGAAGTTCTATTTTTAAGTCAAGCAATCCAAAGACTTGATTTAGCTTCATGGTATCAGATTTAATAAAAAAGAATAGATAATATAAGCTATTGAAAAAGTTTGAACAACTTATAAAAAGAAACTAAATATTATTATTGTTTTTATTCAATTTGCTCAATAATATTATAAAGACTTTAAATTTTAATCATGTTAATAATAAAAATTAATCAATACGGTCTTGGTACATTAGTTTATTCTTAATATCTTTTTGATTTTGGTTTTAGTTCTGAGGCTTTGAATTCAATTATGCTACTTGCTTCACTAATTGGCATTAATTATTATTATTAGATTATAGATTTGCTTAGATTAATGATGTAAGAATGAGTCATCTATTTTTCTTCTGGTATTTCTCTTGATTTAATATACTATTTATTTGAAATGTTAATTGAAAACAAAGAACTTTCTTAAAATTGATCGAAACTTATATTGCATTTCTTACCAAATGTAGCAAAAGTGAGTAAATCAAAATCAAAGTTGTTAAATTGAACTTTATTGTTTTTCATATAATTCATAACACTAGAACAATTGATGATTTCATTATTGCCACTAAGATTTTAAAAGATCTATAATAGAGATTTAAAAGATTACTTTAAATATATTGAACTCATCATTGTTAATTATTTACAATTTGCTATCCTTGATTTGTTTGATCACTCGTATCTATTGGATGAGGAGTTTTAGGAGCTGAACTTAAAGATCACTATTAGTATGATCAATAATAGTGTTTGACTTGTGTAATAAAAGTTTCGTTAAGTAATTCTAACCTTTTTAAAAATTAACTATTACCTGAAATTGTTATTTGCTGACAGTGAATCTTTCTTTATCACCTATGAACCATATAAATTCAATAATATCTTTGTAATTTATAGGTTGGAGATTCTAAACAAAAAAGTTTAACAAATTATTTTTAGTAATAGTATCTTCGTTGTTCGACAACAACTCAAAAGATCGATGGATATTGTCAATATTATTAGAGTATAGAGTTTATTTGATCGTTTATAATTTCTGTTCATAGTAGGATATCATTTTCAGATAAAGTGCAATTTATTAGTCCATTATTAATTTAAATATATAAAAATTCATATGATCAATTCCTATTATTGTTGTTATGAATGTTCTGTGTCATTAGACTTTATATCAGAAATACACTTGTCACTAGAAAGAGGCTGTTCTAGTTTATCAAACTTGTTCAATCTCAATCTTAAGTTCAAGATTTTATCACTTAATTTTAATTACTCTTCTTTGGTGTCTTATATCTTTTTTATTAATTCTTATTTCTCCAAAATACAAGTTCTTGTTATTTCTTATATTTAGAACGTCAACTATTCTATCTTTTTAGTATACTCTTCAATTAATATGGTTTTTTCTTATAAAATTTCATCAGGAGTCTTTTAGATGATGGCCACAGCATTTGGTTTTTACTTATTTCTTTATGCTTTAGGCATCTCATTAAAATCAAGGTTTGGTTGCTTTTATCTAATCTTTTACTCAGTCTTTTTATAATATTCTTCAAAAAGTTAAATTTTTTTCTTCGATTGTTACTTTTAAGCATTCAACTTTAAGCTCAATCCTTATTAAACTTCCAATTCAAAGTATTATACTTTATTCATATTATGTAATTGTATGGTTTCCTATTTCAATTGTTATTTCTTCGCTTACAATTCTTTTATTTAATCAGTAGTTGGGTTTTCCTTATTATTTTAACGGACTAGTTGAAGACAGTATTCTTTAATGAGATCTTCAACATAATCATTCATTTGATCTCCTTCCTTTTTGTATAGTTCTATTTTTTTTTCAACCTATGAGTATTCATTAATTTTTTCATTTAAATAGTCCTATAACATTTTTATTTACTGTGCTAAATGTATCAATTAATAATACATCTTTTCTGCCTAATGGTTACAAAATTTATTTATTGCTTTTATCTGAAATGATGGATTCCAAAGATTTCAACTTAGCTGTGTTCAGTCTTTAATAATCAATTCTACTTGAACCCAACCCAGTCGTTTTGTTTGCTTATTTATCACTTGTTATAGATTTCAATTACATAGCTTTTGATTATTTAATTTATTAATAAAAATTTACAATTTTGTCTAAAACTTAGAATACCGATATAATTGTTTTAAGTTATGTATATAATTAATTAGTAATATCATTATTTTAGTTACATCTTTAGCATTCTATTTTCCTCTTTAATCATATTGCAGCTAGCTTATTCTATATTGAGCAATTGTAAATTGGTTCTTAGTTGATATTGACGGAATTCAAATTCTTATTCGCATTACTATAATAAATTGATTCATAATTTACATTCAAATATTAAAAATATTATTTGACTTTTTCGCTTGTAGAACCTTCATTCAAAGTCTAGGAGTTGCAAAATCTTTTAACATTGATACTTTTGAAGAACTCATCCAATAATTCTAATTCCTTTAAAAGCGATTGATAGTCCTTTTCTTTCTTTTCTAATTATTCTTTAAGCTGATTAGTGATATTAATGTCTTTTCTCATTTTAGTAAGATCAACAGAATATATTAGTTTTTCTTCATATTTTTTTTACATAATTTCTTTCTCATCTAATAATTGTTTATAACATTTTTAGAGTGTTGACAAATCAGCATTTAGCTTTTGGTTTGCCTTTTATAAGAATAGTACATTGTCAGATAATTTCTTCTATTTGATTTCATCCAACTCATTCTAAATATTCATTTACATTTATTAAATTGTTTATTGTAGCTCATTTTTAGTATTGGACAATTCTATTTTGGCAGTACGAAGTCTTAATATATAGATAAATATTACTTGTCGATTTCTTCTAATGCTTTTGTTCTTTAAGTTTATTCTAATTTCAGTTCGGATTTCAGTTTAATAATCTCATTTTCTTTCATTATTAGCTTTTGATTGATAATATCAAAGCTATCTAAAAATTTACCTAATTTTTCTTTCTAATACAGAAACTCATCTTTCAATTACATGTATTTTTAGACTGCCTCCTTATTCACTTTATTTTTTTCTAGTTCTGACTTCAAGATCTCATTTTCTTTAGATATATTATCTAAAGACCCTTAGGTTTCATTATATAAATTCAAATAATTCTCCTTTTCGTTTTTTAATTAAATGGTCACCTACACTTCATTATTTAGTAAATTTTGTATATTGTCAAACTTTTGTTTTACTGCAACTTATATAGACTCATTTGTTGGAACATTTTATTCAAGTTCCATTTGCTAATTAAGTTCTTATAGAAAATCAAGCTACCTTAGCTCTAAATGATGATAATTTTCTTTTTCTTTTTTGAGCACTTTCAAACTCTTTAAAAACTTTTTAGATTTAAGATTGCTTAATTTTCTATGTTTGATGAGTTCTTTTACCTATTCTTCAATTAAATTTTCCTTATCTTTTGATTGTTCCTACAAGCACTTCACATTCGATTGGAGATTCTCCAATTCAACTTTGATTTAATCAATTTCCAATTGTAATCTTGATATTTCATCACTCTAAAACTCAATAGTTTATGCATCTGTATCCATTTAATCCTTGTACAATTATAATTAATCGTTTAATTCTGCAATTTTATTCTCTAGGTCTTATACTTATTGTGATTTATCTTCTTAAAATGTATCTAATTGATTCTCGTACTTTTCAATAATTGATTATTGGTTCTCTATTTCAGCAATCAATAATTCTTTATCTTTTTGTACCTCTTTTAGAGTTTATTCTAATTAAGTAATTATTAATTATTATTCATTTCTTCTATGCTTTAAGATTGTATCTTCTTGAGACAATTCAAGTATTCTTTAATTCAAGATCTCATTTTTATGCCTTAATTCTTTTTGAGTTTCAATTGCTTATTGCAATTAGATGTCCCTATTTGAATGGTCAATTTTAATTGATTCAGTATTCTTTTCATTATTCTCTTCTAATTCTACTATTCTTGACTCATAATACTCTTTCATTTACTTTAATTCTTTACTCAACTATTCTTAGAACAACTCACTTTCATTGAGTTAACTATTAAGACTGGATATTTGTGAAATCAATTCTACTTCCTTTTACTTTTTAGGGAATATCTCTGAATTGGAATTCTATTATTAAAGTTCATTTTTTAATCTCTTAATTTCTGCCTTGAGACTTTCTACATTTCCTCCCACTTCTTCATTAACAATGGCCTGGTTTCTAATATTCTTGGCTCTCGAAGCAAATTTTAAAGTTCCAAGAGTTTCTTAAAATGAAGTGCTTGCTTCAGAGATCGTTGCAATCATAACTGTTTTAGAATTCCCTCCCAAACTTTCTCTTAACAAAAACGTTAATTTACTATCTCTGTATGGTATAAATCTCTTTGGGTTTTCAGCAAGAGAATTAATAACTAATCCCAAGACTGTTAAAGATTTATTGATGTTGGCTGCTTCCTTAAGTCTTTCGCCAGTTGCAGCAGTTAATTTTTATCTTTCACTACCAGCTAAATCAACAAAATTTAATTTGCTCCTTCTGGTGTACATCCCCTTAGTTCTTTGTTCAAATTAGATTGTAAAAACTGAATGACTTCTCGAACTCTCCAGATTCATTTAAGTAGCCGAAACGTGTCTATTGTTAATTCCCTTTTGTAGTAAAGATAGAACATCGTTATAGGAACTAGCTGCAATTTCGGTGAGATTCTCAACATAGACCTTCTTTGAGTCTTCTCTGATTGTTAGAGGCAATGGCCTCGTATCATTTAATAGATCAATCAATTATTCATTATAAATTTCCAAGTAGGTACATTTGATTGACCAAGTATTTTCTTTGGGCAAGTCGAGGAAGAGTTTTTAAATCAACCTAGGTTGTAATCCCAGATGAGTTTCATCGTTTTATACATCGTCTAGTCCTTTGCCTTACATTGTGTAGGTTTTGCCTGCTCCAGTCTAGCCATAGGCAAAGATACAGCAATTTAATCCATTCAAAAATGATTCAAGTGTAGACATTCCAATTTTATCAAAGACTTGTTCTTGAGTTGAGTTGATTCCCAATACATGGTCATAATTGTATTCCTTCTTACCATCTAAGATAACAGAATTATTTGAGGTCGTCACACAAGAATTGGCTCCCAAATGGGTTTCTCTATAGTTAAGCGGTCGAACTCTGACCAACACTCTTATATTTTCCATTGAAAATAAATGCAATTTAAATTATTTTAACGAATTAATTTAAACTAATTATGTAATAATAATACGAAGGATTGATCGAAGAGAACACTTAATTAAAGAAAGCCATCATATCTTCGAAGGCTGTGATAAGTAGAAAGATTAGTAATTTAAATTTATCATAATAAAAGATGAATACGAGACTCTCCAGGCAATAAATGAGGAATTGAAATCGAATCTAGATAAAATGAGAATGGAGAATTAGGATTTATTATAGAAGTATAGAATTGCTTTGCATGATAAAAAATAAACAGAATAGCAATTTGATAATGCAACCAAGAATTGGAAACTATTAATTGAATAAAAACAAAGAGAAATTGAAGAGATCTAAAGTAGATTAACACCTGCCTTTGATTAAGATATGATGAGAATTAAATTGTTGAATGAATTAGATTTACCACATAGATAATAATTGGAATAAAAGTAATTAGAGATTGAAAAGTTGAATGAAACTATTTATCAATTGAAAAGAAAGATTGATTTGGAAATCTCGAGAGTAGAGACCATACAAATAGATAAGGATAAAGAAATGAAATTGTTATCAGAAAAACACAAATTAGATTTGGCAGATCTCTAACATTAAATCTCAGATTTAACTAAGCAAGTGGAAGACAACAAAGATAGAGACACAATCAGAAGATTAAGAAAAGATTTGGAAGAATACAAATTAAAATTTAGTGCTACTGATACTGAAAATGAAGAATTAAGAAATGAAAGAGATAAAATTAGAGAGGAGAAGAATGATATCATGATTAAATTTGCCAGATAACTAGATTCAGAGAGAAATGATAAGAGACAATTTAAAAGTGATTTCGATAAATTATAAGTGAGAACTAGATTCTTAGAGGATGAGTATAGAAAAGAAAAATAAAGAAGAGAATAAGTTGCAACTGATTTTGAAATTTTAAAAACAGAAAAAGACTAACTGTTAATTGATTTAAGAAAAAAGGATGATACAATCCATTATTTATAAAGAAAAATTACTGATATGGAAGAAGAGCAAGTGGAGTAAGAATAGAAGGTTTAAGATAAATTAACGCGTTTGTATTAAGATGAACATGATAAGTATTTACAAGAGAGAAATAAAGCAGTTACCCTTTAAAAGGATGTTGATAACTTAAAAAAACGATTTAGTGATCTTTAAGATGATTATAAAGTGTTGAGGGATAGATATCAAAAAGAAAACACAGAAAACAAAGATTCAATCAGAGTTTAGAATGAAGAAATTGAAAAGTTGAAAAAGACGGTATCTTAATAGACAAAAGAAATTGGAGAATTAGAAAGATCCCATAAAAATAAAGAAGAATAACTTCATGATATAGAAAATGAGAATGAAACAATCAAAAGAAGAAATAGAGAACTTCAACATAGAATCTAATTAATTGAAGTGAATCCTATTCCTACACCAGTCTAAACTCAACCTATTATGAATTAATCTTAAATCCCTACAGTTACTCAAGTTCCATAATTTGTGTAGCAAGTTTAAGAACAGTTTGATACCACTAAACCCAACAAATAATCAACTCCAATTTAATCAGAAAATGATCCTTAAAATTAATAATAAATGCAAGCTTAAAAATAATCTCTATAATAAATTACTGAAGAAAACAGGTCTTTAATTTCTAAAAATAAAAAATTAAATAAAAAACTTAAAATAGCTAATGAAAAAATACTTGAACTCTCTATGAAAAATACTATCTTAGAGAAATAATTATAAAGAAAACACTCGCAACCACCTGTTTAAGATATTGATAGATCTAATTTTGGTTTGCATGCTCACTCTTAATCTCCAATTAAATAAGACTCTTTTTAATAGTTAGGAAATGAGACAGTTTAATAACGACAATAATAATAATAAATGATACATACTGATACAAGATTAGATAGATATGATAAATAAGATAAATAAGATAGATAAGAAAGATAAACCAGATAAGATAGATTCGCTTAATAGTCCTAGGAGAAATATAGACCAAGAGATTAATCTGCAGTTGATGCTCGTGGAGCCTAAGGTCATCCAATCTCAATAAGAGATGATGATTTATTAAGTAAAGTTATGATGCTAACAGATGCTTCTGGATAAAATAAATATTGGTGACTTTTTCTTAATTTCATGTTATATTTTAGATATGAATATGCATTGAATATTGATAATAAATATTTTGTATAATTTTATGATTTCAGGAATCCTCCCTTTCCCATTTTGAAACCACTTGCAACAGATTTTCCATTTTTTATTTTTCATATTCTTCTAATGGCATATTCTCAAATTCTTTAGGTATTTTGCCATCAGGGAAATTGGATGCTTTAACTCCAGCTATAAAGTTAACTGTGCGATTATACATTTTGTTAGATTAGGACTTAATTTAAGTAATGTGATTCCACCATGAGTATCACCTACTAAAATAATTGGATCTCTTTGATTAAATGCAATATTTGTCAATCTTGGTTGTTTAGAGGGTTTTTATTCTGCTAATTTTCCGATTTTATCAACATTCAAATCATAAACAAAGATTTTATCTTAGGTGGCACAAGCGAAAACTAAAAATAGGATGTCTATGAATACCTGTAGAACTGTAAGGTGCCCACATAGCATCAACCACTTACATCCCCTATTCAAAACTCATAATTTGAGTTGAGATTTTAGAATCCCAAATTTTAACTGTCCAATCAGCAGAAGCAGATATGAAAGTTCTAGGGTGGAAATTATTCCATTTAACTTTATACACTGCCAAATTATGACCCTGATTATAGATATTAGATTTATACAATGTATGTTTCTTGATATTATCCTGAATATGCTCTTGAACATTTATGAATTTTTCCTTCTTCAGTACCAACTAAAAAGATATGGGGTTCAAATTTGTTGAAATCAAAACATAAACCACAAGCCAAACCAATCAAAGTGCTTTCCTCTTCATTCTTACCAACCAATCTTAATCTAATGACTTCTTCAGGCTCTAATTTATTCTTCATCAACACCCAATTCATAACTCTACCATCTGATGAAATTGAATAGAAATTATAATTCTTAGAGATATCTGGATTCCATCTAACTTGCCATACTGGGTCTGTGTGTTTCTATGTTCTTACTGTTGATTAATAAATTGGTTTCTTATGCTTATTTCTGATATCATAAACTAGCACTGTTCCATCATATAATCCTACAGCCAATAATGCTGGACTTTGAGGATGAAAATCTAGGCACATCACACCAGCTTCACATGTAAAGGCATATTCTGGATGAGTTGTGTTTTTGAGAGAATATAAACAAATTAGACCCATTCTTTATTTCGAAAACTCATAGCTACCAAAACTCACAGCAAATAGATCCATATATCTTGGATTCCAACACAATGATGTTACATGTTTCTTCTTTTGTTTTTCATTTGAAAATTTCCAAATAGGCAATAAATGTCTAATTATTTAATAAAGCTTACCCTTCATTTTTTGATGTCTCAACTACTTCACCTTGATTCCAATAATATTTGTAATCATTGTATTTCTCCTTCTGATCATTATGAACCACTGTTCTTTCCATGATTTTTAGACATCTCTTGAATGATGGCTTATAAACTGTATTATCTGAAGTGTGATCCTTCTTCTTCTGACTTTCCTCCTTGGCCTTGTTTTATATATAAGCATCGAATATTTCCCATTGAGTGATCTACCCCTTCAATGTATCACTTGGAGGAGGCTCTGTTGATACACCTCTTTCTCTAATGACTCTTCCATCAGTTTATGCTTCTCTCGCATTATAATTAAATTTATTTCTCATTGTTTATTTAATTGCCTCTTTGTCCTTTGATGCCCCAGGATCTTCCATTTCTTAATTTCTTTCTGCCTCTTTAATCAATGCCAATTTGGTTTCCCATAATTCCTCTTGTATTCTGGCCTCATTTGAGTCTTTGTGAATGATTTCGCCATCCATCCTGAAGTGAATAATCAATTATTCAACCAACTCGTCAGTTTTGTACTATCATAATGATGGGTAGTTACTTTTCTTTATAAATAATCATATTGAGTGATATTCTTTGGTGCTTAAGGATTGTTAGGAATCAACATTTTAGATGGCATGTCTTCATTCAGTTCCTTCTCTGTCAATTAGGGTCTTTCTCTTTCCCTCTATTAATATTTATTTATTTCAAAACTTCATGTTGATATTCTGATTCATCACCATCTGGCTCAGCTTCTTATTGATTTAAATTCTAGTTGGCTATTTTGGGTTGTTTTTTCTATCTATTACAATTATAGAATTACAGGTATTGGTCTCCTAAGGGTTCCTTTCTATTATTTAGGTGGCATTTTAATTATTAAATAAACTTAATCAAAAAATGATTGTATTTATAATATATTCCACACATTTAATTATTATACATTCAGAAATTGCCCCACCATCATTCACACTTCATTGCTTTTTATAATAATCTGTATTATATGGAAAGAAAACCATAAGAATAGGATTGTATTTTCATTAGTTCAGATAGTTGATTATTGATACATTAGAATAAAGACAATATTGGATTCGTAAACAAATATAAACAAAACAGTGTTTAATACTCTCATTTTCTATTAATTAAATGGAATATTTATTTAAACTTTTCTTTGATCTCTTCATTTTCAATTTAATGAGCTTCTCTCTTGAAATTCTCATAGAAATTTCTATTTATTTTGCCTTTCTCATTTAAGATCTAATTTATACATATATTAATTTACTTTAACACTAATCAAGAATTAATTTATGAATTTTTTCTCTAACAATTTAAGATTAATCATTGTTGACATATTTGGAATCAAGTACATAAGAACATTAATATCTATGCTTAATTTTAGTGCCTCATATGATTCTGTTAATTATCTTGAGTATGGTCCCGACATTATTCCCTTTTTGAATAGCACACTCGTCATCATACATAAATCTTGGATGTTTGCTGCTTTATAGTCCTCACAATATAACTCCATGCACATTTCCACTAGATCATTCGTCGCAGTTGCCTATAATGCATGCAAACCAACGATCATAGATTATAAATTTAACCTTTTTTAATGAACAGCATCTTCAAAACAATTGTAAATAGACCTGATAACTTGATGTTTAGTAGGAGATTCAAGATCAGATTTGGCTAAAGTATGAATAATTTATGCTTCAACTCTTCCAAAATATTTGAATTCTAGTTTACTTAACAATTCATAGAGGAATTCATGCATATCATAAATTTCTAATTTTTAATAGGCAACCAAAGTTTCCATAATTATTTATTCATCATTACAATCTGATATTTTCAATTGAATGATTGGCATTAGATTTTTTAATGTAAGTTAAGCAGCATTATAAGCTATCAATTTTTCTGTTTAGAGATCCATTTAAATATTTTTTCTAGCTATTTTAGCTATTGAATATGCGCAATTTGATATCGCTTTGATATTCATTTCAGTTGATTTTTTGATGAGTATATCGCAAGCCTTACTTATAAATTACTCAGGATCCTAGGTGTAAGTGATATTTGCCATCAATGCAGGTAGGTTGTCATGCTCTTGTTCAGATAAATTCTCAAGAACATGAGATATTAAATTTTATCTTGATCTTAAAATAGCTCTATTATGTACTTTACGAACATAAGTTAGTAGATTATTGACTATTTTTGCTGATTAATTTGAGTGAATTGTCTAAATTATGCTGATTTAATACTTGAAGATGATCAAATGCTCTTAGTGATTCATCCAATGAGATATTCATCTTTTTAAAATTAGCATAAGTAGGAGCTATAGATGTGAGTTTCTATATTCTTTCAATCTACTTAGTTTGTTGACCAAAGAAAAAGAATATTTTCATCATGAATTATAATTATAAATATTTTAATCAATAATAGATATTTATATTATGATCAAAAGATGGCTAGAAATGTAGAAAAAGCTAAGGCAATTCTCTCAAGATGGTGCAGATTGAAAAAAGATATCAGTAACACTACAAATGGAAAGTATAAGTCTTTTCCGAAAGTATAAGAATGTGTCAATCTCTAAGAATGTGAATCGGAAAGATAGGAAGTATTGAAGGTAGTTTCGAAATTGGTCATGATATCTAAAATGCCTGTTTTGGTGTGCATAGATTAGGGAATTGAATGATGAATTGAATAAAGTTATTCAAGAATTGCGATTATGGGAAGATAGAATTAAAGAATTAGGAGGACCTGATTATAGAAGATTGGGTCCTAAGATTTAAGATATTCAAGGCATTGAATTAACAGGAAAAAGAAGGATATAGATATTTTGGAGCTGCAAAAGATTTGCCATGAGTTCTTGATTTGTTTTTCTCTGAGCCACTTTCTGAACCTAAAAAGTCAAGAACTAATTGTATAAGATACTTCCTTTTTGATAAAGTAGAATACCTCTTATAATAAATATGGAAGTAAGAAATAAGAATTGTAAGAGATTTTGGAAAAAGAAAGGAAATTGAAAGGCCTAAGAAAAGGAATTGTAAAGATTATATAAGGCAATTAAGAGTTAGTTAAAGATTTCAATACAAGGGAAGAAATTTTATATTTTATTAAATACGAAGTTGATAAAAGAGATGAGAATGAAGGAAGAGAAATGTAAATTATATATTAAATTTAGAATAACATTCCGATTCTGAAGAATATGAATGGGATTAATTGGAATAAGGAAAACAAGAGTTGATAAGATAGTATTATGCTGCTGAAAAAATCATTCGCAATATGTTGCTAGTGTATAAAAGGATACGGATCTAGAATTATTTATTAGGGGAAATATGACTAAGTGATGAGTTGCATTTCTATATTAATTCTATATTTATTGATGTATTTTCGTCATAACTCATTTAATTCTTTAATCACTTAATTAAGGGTTTCTTAAAAGCACCCTTTTATTGATATATGATAAGTTAATTTGTCTTGATTTGAATTATCCTCTTCAAAATTCTCGTTTAGAAAAGACTTGAGTGAAGTCAAATCATTTTTTTCATTTGTCATTAATGAAATCTAAATCGATGGACTAAATTATATTGATAATAAATACAAGTTTGCTTATTTGATGTAATCAATTAATTGTTTTAGGTCTTAACCATTTTTCTGAACTAAACTTGTGACAAATATAGATGCAGGTTTTGATATTTTAATTTCATCGATTAGTTTCTCGTAAGAATTATGCAAACTTTATTTGTCAAAATAGTGGATAAAATTTTATGGTTTCAATAGATCTCTATAATAGATATAATAAATAGAAAACTCCAGAGTTTCATACACATATTTCTAATTTGAATTGGAGTCAGTTACTTTTTGTTGAAAACTTAGCTCATATTGAAACAATTCAAAAGAAGAACTCACCTTTTGATTTACTAAAGTAATATTATTTTACTGAATTAGTTCATTCAGCCATAGCAACTATATTGTTTAGGGTTAATCGTGTATTTTCTCTATTGGTATTAAGATCATACTATTCTTCAGATTTAGAATATCCTTCTAAATATCATAGAGTAAATTGGGTTAACCATAAAAAACTTTTATTTTTGATTAGTTCTTAGTGAAAGTAGAAAGCTGTTTCAATCCAGAATCATTATTTTTTTCAATAGTTATAACAACAGATGGAAACTTGGATGAAAGTTATTTAATTTATGCACTAAATTTAATAAACTCATTGTTTACTGTAAATGTATATTTAAGTGTTTTTCAATTGATATTTAGATGGTTTTCTTAGATTTTTCAATATCATTCTCTAATAGTCTTAATTATGATTTTAATTAAAGAATCTTATTTGAATCTCTGCTCACAATTTTCATTTTCAATTCGTTTTCTCCAAAAGAGCCTATTAATTTATAAACAATTTTGTACTTTAGCATTAAGATTACTAGAGCATATCCTATAACTTATCCTTATAATCATTGATTACTACATTGTAATTAAATTAATTTTTGAAATAATGAAAGTCAATCACATCTGCTTGAGGTGAAATTTATTTGATTAGGAATTATACAAAACGATCTACCGATTGTTATTTACCTAATATTTCAATGCAATTCTAATTGAATTTTAATTTAACCTAATAAGTGTTTAGAAGATTAGTCAACTCTTTTTCTGACAAGTTTCTTAAATAATTAGTTTAGTTTATATTGTGGATATTCTAGTGAATAATATCCAGATCTTCATTAAGTTTCTTAAGAAATACAGACTATTAGAATCTTCCATTAATGATGACAAAATAACTTAAAGCTTTTCCATCTTTTTGGGTTTTAGAGAGTTTATAAACTTCATTTTCTAGTAGAATCTCAATATTCTTTCTATCCTTATCGAAATTAAAATAATATTTGGCATTATTGCATAATTCATAATTCCTAAAATCTAAGTAAAAATGAGTGAGATAGATTTACCAATAGCCAATATTGCAGAAAAGATTCTACATTTAACTGATTTTAATGAGTTTTCTAATTAGTCTAAAGCAAATGAACTATGTTTTGCTACTTCATAATCATAATACTAATTTTGATTCAAAACTTCTTAAATTTACATGAGCTAGATAGATTCATCATCAAGATCCTTAAATTTGAGTATTCCACATTAATAATTAAGGGCAGTATACTCCTTCATTAATATTTCCTCAGCTTTTGTAACTAGTTGATGTGGTCCAAATAAATCAATCTTAGACTTTTAAATGTATATTTATTACAATCTAATGGCCTCTCCGCACTTCAACATATGTATATAAATGCTATTCAACCCATTATTTAATTATAGGAATATAGTATTCAATAAATACATCATGCATAGCAACATCATTTTCATGTCTTACAACTTTTTTCTCAAAGACGTTTTACTATTTAAGCTGATTCTTAAATCCATACAACGTATAAGTTTTTCTCGTATTGTATTTCTTGTAATCTTTTAAGGGAATATCATCTTGACTTGCATAAACTTTGATTTGATGTTGAGTATTCATGTAATCTGCATATTGTTTGAAGTTTGTCTATGTATAGAACAGCTTATTTAAAAATTAATCGACCTAATATGAGCAATCTAGATGGGTGACAAGACATTCATTTTGTATAAACCAAGTAAATTGAGTATCAAATGTTTGAGCAATATATTCTTTGAGTTTGTATTCGAGTTCTTTGTCGTATTTGAGGATATCAGAGAATTGATGAAGTGGTATTTTATAAAAATGGTCTAGATTTAAAAATCTTTGAGATTCCAACTTTTAAATAAGAGAATCTGCTTAAGGAGTTAATTTAACCACATTAATTTGGATATCAATATCTTGGTTGATGAGATCCTATAGGATGCATTCGAATTTATCATAATGTTTCCTTATATTTTTTACTTATAGATTTAATTTCATAAATAATAATATTAATAATTCAAATCATGCTTACGGCAAACACACTACAAATGCAATGGAGAGTATTTTTTTATTGTTCTTGTTTTGCTTGCTTATCTTTAGGCCAAGATATGATAATTTATCCATCAGCTACAGTGTCCCACCATTATGAAGTTGTAACAAATGCTCCAGCTCCATTTCTTTACATAATCATGCAATGAACTATATATCTTCAACATCTAAACAAATTCTTACTTGTATGGTTTTCCCAATTCAATTAATTATTGTGTAACTTTTTCACAAATGGCATTGATCCAACCTTGTACCTAGAAGTCAACATGTCGATTTTACCTTTGATTCCTCGTATTGCACTTCTTTTAAGACACTTTCGATGGATTCCTAGGTAATACGATCTACTTCTTCTTGTGAATAGGTGTTCTCCTCTAAATTTTGATTTTCTTCCATTAATTTTATTAATGAAACAATAACTAAATTACACGCTTTGGATTAGTTTCCTGGTTTCAACTGTTTTGATCTACCTATTTTTCAGTTCAGGGGAATTTAGTTTCATTTTAACACTGGCTTGTGGAATACAATGTTTTGGATTTGGATTAGTATTTGTGACAATTTCAATAACCAAAGAGACAAGTGGATTAAGTAGATAGACCTTTATATGTTGTGCTTAAGCGTTGTTGGCTAGATTATTCTCAATTCTGACTTTCGAAGTACGTTGATTGTACATAAATTAGGGTTATTTGCCTTCAGATGCAACAGGTGATTATGTGTATAGATTGTTTGAAATTTTGTCACTCGTCTTTTGCATATTGACAGCATTCAGCATAAAAAATAACAAACAAGAATTGTTTCAATGGTATTACTTCACTCCTTTGATGTTGGTGACTGCTTATTATGTGCATCCAGGATTGAATTCGCATTCATTTTGTGATATCTCTTGGGTGTTTGCTTTATACATGGAATCATTTGCAATATTGCCACAAATACACCTTTTCACAAAGAGAGGTTAGATTTTAACAATAATATAGAGGGAATAATTGAATATCACACATCCAATTTTGTAATCACTCAAGCTCTCAACAAAGTAATCTGCGTGATCTTTTGGTTTTATTCTTACGAGGAACTTAATCGAAGCTCAGATGAGTCAACCATAAGTGTGGCTCCTTGGTTGAGTGGCTATTTTGTGATGGTGGCTCAAATGATTTCAATTGTATTTAATTAAGTAAAATTAGGTCATCACAGCAGATTTTGTGTTTAAGTATTTCCAAAGTTGGAAACAAGGCATTCCTTTGGTTATGTTACCTTCATGATGTAGAAAATAATAAAAAATTACAATATATTATCATTTAGCGAACATCATCTCCTAATATTACTATTGTCTTTTGTTATTATATTTATCCTATCCTATTTATTCCATGTCGAACAACTTCGGTTGCAAACAAGGCTTAGGAATTACCAATTGAATTTGCTTTTTGACAGTCTATTTGCCTCTTAAAACTGGAGGTTCAGACTATTGTCTAGGTTGCATCTTGATATTAGATAGTTTGTTGACTTTGGCACTAACCTGTTCATCCTCGCCATGCACAATGATACTTTCAGGTCTCAGGATATTTTGAAGCTTAGGAAGATTCTTAACAGGAGTATTTGGTTTGAATGGAGCTCTGACAACATTAATTTTGATCTATTATTATTATTAAGGGGTTTGGGACTCTTTCATATTCTTCTTCTAATTTCGCTTTATGTCTAAAAGATACATTAAATTAATACTTGTTCCAGTCCAACTGTCTTAGAGTGATGAAGCAAACTCAATATACTTATCATATTTTTGAGAATCTTCCAGTGGATATATCTTAACATAATCTCCTAAATGTGCATTCTCGTAGCCATTCCTCTACTATTCCTGTTATTTCATTTAAGTAACCTTTTCTTCCATTGTCAATTTCACTTTTTTGCCTGTCAATACTCTCTATTGGAGAGATTCCTTTCTGGAGGCAATTATTTGCTCTTTGGCTTTTAAATTGACATTCATTAATTTCAATGTGTCCCTAATAAGATTTTTCTTAATCATAGAATCCAGGGGAGTATCTGTAGTGAAACTAGGAGTATGATTAACTTCCAATAAGATGGGTTATAGTTTGTGATTCAAAAAGATGTCAAATCCTAGGATTTCAAAACACATATTATTAGCATAATTATCTGGTTGACATGATCTGTAATGATGACTCAATATTGGTTGCACAGCACAAAAGGTTTTAATAAATATCTCATACATATCTTACCAGAGTTTCTTAATGTCATGGCCTTCCTCTTCCAATTTACCGAATACTGCCTTAATGGATCTCTTATGTCCAATGTCCATCCTGCTTGCATCTTTATTAAATACAAAATTAGGATTCTCCTTATTGATAGCATAATTGGTTAAATGCATACACATGTCATCTAAATTTGAAGTATTAGGGGGAACATATGGTTCAGTGGCAAATCTGACTAAGCCATCTTAATAGACATAGATTCGCATAGGGTCAGTCCCAGCCAATAAGACATAGACTCTCAAATCAAATTTCAAACCTTCTATCAGGAATGGTCTGAGTAAATATCTTTATGCTACATAATGATCATTTGGATTGACATCATTTAGATTTCTGGTCAGGAATATGCCTCTGCCTTAACAACTGGCTTCAGGCTTAATAATAAATGTTCTTGCTTTTCCTTTTACGAATTAGGATTTGAAGTCACCGTATTCAGCTGGCAATAACCAGGTTTGAGGAAAGAATTTGTATTCTAAAGTGAATTGTTTACGCATTTTCATAAGGTTTCTTCCTAGGTGATTCTTACGAGCAAGAGAATACATACCTGGAAAATGATTAATTTTTTGGTATGCTTAAGATTTATATATAAAAATACGTTGCATTTTCCCAAGAGTCTCAGGTTACACAGCTGCGTCCGTCCAAAACATATCCCAATTGGTAGCATCAGGCTCGTATTGTAAAATCCATTTAAATAGCTTTTTGCCTACAAACTTCACAACATCATATTGAGTATCTAAAATTACGAAATCACTTATAAACCTGATACATTCATTATCAAGGTTGTCTTCTTCTTAGAATTGTTGTCTTCAGTCTCACTATCACTATCTTCAAATTCCCCATTAAAGTGTGGTTCTTTTAGTTATTATTATTTCATATTAATATAAATGGACTTATATCACTACCTCTTTAAATTCATAATCGTTGGAGATACAAGTAATACTCATCATCGCTAAATATCAAGGTGTTGGGAAGAGTTGTCTTTTGCTCAATTACACGGAAGGGAAATTTAAAGAGGAACATGATGCTACCATTGGAGTAGAATTTGGGTCTCAAGGATTCAAACACAAGAACAAGCAATTCAAAATATAAATCTGGGACACTGTACTATATTGAGTTTAAAGATAGGCTGGTTAAGAATCCTTTAGGTCAATCACGCGATCATATTACAAGGGGTTTGTTAATTTATTGTTAAGTGTAGTTCAATAGGGGTTTTACTAGTTTTCGACATTACAAATCGATAGTCATTCCACAATATTGTTAGATGGTACAATGAAATATTGGATTGCGCTCACGAATCGGTAGATATAGTAATTGTTGGCAATAAAATTGATTTGGAGAGCGAGTAAATCAATTATGTAAATAGACGCTAAGTTTCAGCAGATGAAGGGAAACAATTTGCAGAATAATATCGGATACACTATATTGAGACATCAGCTAAAACTGGACAGTTTGTGGACTAGGTTTTTTAATAAATGGCTATGCGAATCTATGAAAAGATAGAAAATAAATTGATAGATTAGAACAATGAAAATTTAGGTATTAAATTAGGCACATTTTACAGAAATGATGAACAAGATGATAAAGAATTGTAAACAAGTTTAGGATAAAAGAAGAAGAAAAAAAATGATGATTGTTGTTGAATCTAAATTAAATTATGTCATTTCTCTCATTTTAAACGATTACATGCGTCTTAAATAGTCTCGGTTGTCTTGCAAAAAGCCCATCTCACAAATCTAGAACCCAACTCTTTATTCTCAAAATAAGGAGAACAAGGGATACAAACTACTCCAATTTCACATGCCATATAGTATGCAAAAGCAAAATCTTTAGTAAGTTAATGACCATCCTAATCATCTTTGAAATATTTCTCAGGTATATCTACATCACTAATGTCAGTAACTAAAAAGTATCCTCCTTATGGAACCCAACAATGTAAATTCAATCTACTCTCAAGCAAACCCTTTAGTAACATAGTTGATTATTCTTCATATAAATCTCTGATTTCGGTAAAGTATTAGCCATCAATAGTTTACTCTAAGCATTTCGCTGTAGCAGTTTATAATACAGGATTCAAGCAGAAGTTATGATATGTCTAAGCAGATTTGATTGCTTTAATATATTTTTCATCTCCCATGGCAAATCCAATTCTTAATCCTGTAGCTGAAAACATCTTGCCTGCACTTGTTACACATACAGTCTTAGATTTTAATTTTGGATGAGTAAAACATCTAGGATATGAAAATGGCTAATAACCACCAAATACAACATGATGATATGCTGCATCTTCACATACTATTATTTATGGATGCTTTTCTAATATTTCTGCCAATCTGTCTAATTCCTCAACTGAAAACACTCTAAAACAATAACAATTATTAAATTACTTTCCAATTGGATTTTAAGGTGAATTCAAAATTACCATTTTAGTCTTAGCATTTATTCTTTATTCAAGATATTCATAGTCCAAATGCCATTCGTCCTCTTTAGAAAACTTAATTTTGCCATTCTCAAATCTGTTCAATATGCTGGCTTTACTATTCAATTGACCTGGTTTTAATGGAACTCCAACATGTTTGGCACCTTGGAATTCAATTAAAGGTCGATAAAAATCTTGATATCTTTTCAATTAATACCAAAAGCAGGGTCAAAACATATGACTTCATCATCTGGATTTAGCAAAGCCTGGAAAACACATGCTAAAACTGATTGTGCACCAGAACTTGCAACTATCTCTTTGGCAGTATCCACTTTGACTCCCATGTGCTTTTCAAAAAAGTCAGCTGCTGCCTTCAATAGTCTTGGGTGACCAGCTGTTATTGTATATTGTAAACTCTCTGTCAATGCTTCTTCTGCAATAGCTTATCTTAAAAATTAAGGTGGTGGAAAATTCGGAAAACCCTATCCCATGTTGACACACGAATTCTTCACAGCCAATTAAGTAAACTTAGCGTACATCTATAATTAAAGATAAGGTGCCATGCGATCAGCAATAATATTATCTTACATTCTTAAAATTAATATGGATTATAATATAAAATACTTTTTAATTGTTCTTCAATATTTCATATATCTACTTAAAATTTATGTAGTAATTGATAACATCATTGTTTAATATATATTATTAGATAATTAATTTTTTGTTTTATGTAATCAGATCACTCATTGCAATTCACCACAATCATATATTACAACCTTTTTTGATGGTCTTCCTTATTAAGTTCCACAATATTCAATTGCATTTAACACTTCTAATCCGGAGGCAACTTTTCCAAAAACTGTATGTTTTCCATTCAACCATGGACATGGGACTGTGGTGATGAAAAATTAAGATCCGTTTGTATTTGGACCAGCATTAGCCATCGATAACAGTCCTGGTGTAGTATGTTTTAATGTGAAATTTTCATCTGGGAATGTCCTTCCATAAATTGATTCTCCACCTGTGCCATTATGATTTGTAAAATCTCCTCCTTAGACCATAAATGATGGAATAATTCTATGGAATGATGAACCCTTATAATGAAGAGTTTTTCCAGATATCTTAGATACAGTATCACCAATACACAATTTTCTAAAATTTTCTGCTGTTTTGGGAGTGGCATCTGCGAATAACTAAATTTAAAACATTCAATTTACTTCAAAGATGATTCTACCGCTTGGGGCATTATTAATGGAGATATCGAAGAATACCTTTGGATTTTTAGTTGTGGCAGAAAATGAAAATCTAAATAATTTAGTAAACATTTTTATTATTACTAACAAATTTATGTTGTTTTCATAAAATTTTCTCTTATTATCCATTTTCCATCAAACAGAATAAATATGAATAATAAGTACTAATCATATAACACTCTCGAAACTTGTTATAATTAAGTGGAAGATCATTAGTATAATAATTCCCATACCTTGAACAATAATTGACTACGGAAACATATTGATCATATATAAAAATCTTGTTGATTTATAAATATTTAACTATTTTTAGGATTATATTTATAAAGCTGAATCTATTTTCGTTTCTATGAATTCATGAAATTCCCCCATAATGATCTCTGATCTCTTAATTTCTTTGAATTAGATACTCCTAGTCTACCAGAGGCAGAGTTTGTATACTCATTGAATTTTTAATTTGTTTTGGAATTGATTAGAATGGAAATTGGTTTTCTAAATAATACAGAAATATTTGTATATATTAGAATTTCTTAAATGTTGTCGAGTAATTTTACATCGTATCTAGAGAATGTAGACAAATAAATAATGAATAATGAATTAGATTATGAGGAGGCAACTGAGATGATCTCAAAATTAAATCCTTAGAGTTTAATGGAGAAAAAGGAGTTGATGTAAATAAAAAAAAAAGTGTAATAATTGCAAAAAGATGAAGCCAAAGAAAAAATCAAAGAAAATTTAAAATTGCATGTCCTTTTATTGAGAGAACTACTAGAAAAAAGCAGAAATGTCAATAATTGTGGTGAGAGATATAAATTATTAAGTGAGGCTGAGGAATAAAAAAAGATTACGGAAGCTCTTATTTACACGCTAAATTAATATAAGGATCACATTAGTTAAAAATTCGTTGGGGATTGCAAAAAGGTAATACTTGAATATGAGGAAGAATTAAGACAATCATTTTTATCTGCAAAAAGAGAGGAGGCAATCTTCTTGACAAATTAAAAAAGCTTTACTTAATCTATGGCTGTTAGTGCAATAGAATAAGGTGAGAGACCTATTTCATCAACAAAGGATAGATCTGTAAGAGCAAAAATTAAATAATATTTTAATAAAGTATTGGGATGTCTAACTACTTCCAATCATTGAATAAGATAAGCGTACAAATGTAATTGATTTAAAATTATCTGTTTAATTATCTTAAAATTATTAATTCATTATGAAAATAATTAAGAATAAAATCATATAAAATAATATCATCTATCTATTAGTAATCCTATTTTTCTTAATTAGTAAAGTAAAGTAAACTTCCTGTTGGCACATTATAATATCAAATGTTAATAAGAATTATTATGATTGATTTAAATATTAGATCCTATTTTTAAATCAAATTGATTGAAATTATATTCTTCTGATTTGGAGGTACTCTTGCGTTGTTTTTGAGTAGTGATGTAATTTGAACATTTTTGGTAGGTAATAAAAATAAATTATTGAAAAATGAAATAAATAGTGAGTTAATTATTTTATAAAATGAAAGCACCCACACATAGGTGCCTACTATCAAGTTTAATAGAGAGTAATGAAAAGACTACTCGTTAAGCCAAGACACACGAGTCTTTCGAGAGACTGAAGTATTCTTAACCACAAACTGCAACTCCCAAAACATAAATGACTAACAGGAAAAGCAAATAGATGAGTTTAGTGCAAGTTCAGCAACTAATTTAGTAACCTCTTCTGCGAAAGAATCACACAGCATTGTCTGAAGTACCTCATACTTGGAACACGAGTAGGAGCACAGAGAAGACAGTGGATTTGCTTGGTATGCCTCAACATAAACGTGTCAAGTGGCTTGAAAAGTAAAAATCTTTGCTTGCTTAACAACAACCAGTAACAGAGCGTGTTTAAACAAGTCGTATAAAGCAGATGGCAACAGCCACGAATTATAATAACTTTCTAAAGAAATTCAATGGAGAATAGATGATGATATTAGATAAAACTAAAACAGCAGCAGTGCCAATTTAGAAGGTACAAAATGAAAGTTAAGAAAATAAAGAGAGGTAGTTTGTTTTTAAGCAACCGTTGCGTATAGTGAAGGGAATGAGTGAACACATGCTTAGAATGAAGAGTATAAGTAGATAACATGAATCAATACGATCTCCTCCAAGGAAACTTTCGAACCCTCGTTATGAGTTAACTAATGCGAATAGAGTTCGGTTTTCTAAATATTATCAAGATGATAGTTTGAAGGTGTTGAAATCTCAGAAACGAGATCCGAATTAAATATTTAAGGAGTTGCACATAGAGGATATCCAATACACTGATTTGGATAGAGCATAGAATCATCCTATAAATATTGCCTTATTCAATATGTTAAAAGATGAGGAAATTATTCTAAGTAATTTATTAATTGTATTCAGAGTAATAGCAACTTGAGGAAGCAGAAAAATACACTGCTCAAGAACTCATAAAGTAGAGATAGGAAATTGAAAGATTTGATGAACTCACTCGTTAAGAGTATCATCGGAAATGTTATGTGGATTTCAAATCCAAAGCTATTAATTCCAAATATCAATACAAACAAGTCCAATTAGATAAATCCTTATTAGAAATATTTCCAAAATCTGAGGTTGTTAACCCAGAACAGCAAAAAAGATTGAGAAGACAAAAAGTATTGAACATGATAAAGATGTTCTTGTTTAGATTACATGATCTGCATCTCAACCTTGAAGATCTCATTAATCATAGAGTTTACCCTCTCACAGCATATTGTCATGAACGAGCCAAATTGTTCTTTGATTTAGTAAAATCCAACAAGCTTGAACTAACTCACAGGGAGTTGTAAGAGAACAGGTATTTGGTGTATGAATTTGATTCATCCAAATTGACTCCTCTTCATCACGCAGTCATTCGTAATCATGTTGAAATGGTTGAATTACTTTTGGAATACCATGCTGATGTGAATCGGAGAGATATTGTACTTATCATTCTATTATCCAGCTTGGAAGAACTCCACTCTTCTTTGGGATCCGCTCTGGTAACAATGATTGCGTATAGCAACTGCTGTATCATTAAGCAATTCCTTGGTCCAACAAGAAGAATCAATACGACCTTTATTTGGACATGCTCGACGACAAAGTGAGAGATCAGTACCGTAAGGCTAAAAATGTAATCTATTTATCTTGATAATCAAAGTACCATTTATAGATGCAAATGATGCCTCACACAAAAAGAGCTGCTTTCTGGATGGAGAGAAGATATTATTTTACTTAATGAATAGTATAAATATATAAACAGATGAAACTCGATAGGGTCTTATACTCCTGAATAAATTATACTAAAATTCTAAACACAATCAATGTTTTTTCTTTTGTCTTATCTTCTTATCATGTCTCTGATTAATTTCCATCTTCTCCTTCCTGTCTTAAGCTAAATTCAAATCCCCAGTTTTCAAAGCAATTAAGTCTTCTCTGTAATTGCTATCAGATGCCAACGGATAATCCTCGTATTTCAATTTATAAGGAAAATGCTTGAACCAATTCAGCACTTCCACCCCGTCAATTATCATCCCTGTTGTCCATCTGCCAGTTATATTGGACAGTTTATCCTATTACGGTAACGCTTTGACTCCTTGATATTTGCGATAGGTTTCTAGGTTGAATTTATTAACATCCCTAACAGATCCCTTGATAATGTATCCTTCAATGTAATCTTGAGGTGTGACCTTTTTACTAAACATTCCAGGAAAGGCTGTGACTGTGAGATCGCAGAAAATCTTGTTCTCCAAATCGACTAGCCACCCAACTCCATTGTAGTAGAATTGTCTATGTCCGATTGTCATCCCTTAGATAACTCCTGGCATCACATTGAATATGATTTGTGTGGTATTTGGAAATGTGACTTACAAATACCCATAGTTCTATCCTGTGATTGAATTAGCACTAAAATTTGCCTGCGATTCCAAATGGCCTGTTAATTTAAAGTTTCTACCAAGCACATACAATCCTAATACTGGTGGGTGATGAGAAATCTATTCAGAATACAAGAGATTTCCATTCATGTACCCCTGGAAGGTTTCTCCCAAAATAGGGTTGAAAGGCTTCTCCATATTTAAAAACATTATATTATAAGCAAGAGAGAATTGAGCTACCAATTTCATCTACTCTATTGGATCCTATAATTCTCCTGCCTTTTCTAATAACCACAGATACCCCAAACTGTAGCAGGCTCTCTCCAGATTAGATCTTCTCTCGAATATATTAACAGGCAAAGATATGCTAATCAAGGATTTGCCCATTAATAAATTGGACCCCAACTTTTTTAGCATGAAGGTTATGACTTCCTTCTATATTTCAAGTTTCTTTTTATTTATAAATCTCAAACCACCTTTCTCTAGGATTTCCCAATCGCTTTACAAAATCACATTCTTATGCTCTGCGGTTTCTGTATAATAAATATTATCTGGTTCCAATGGTGTCAATTAATAATTATGAATTGCAGACCAAAAGATTATCCCAGGGTTCTTTGTTACTAACTCCAACAATTGGAGATAGTCATTTTTATTAATCAATTCTGGTTCGTCATCTAGTATTATTTGGGACTAAAATTATTTGCAATCCACATCAGACAACGAGGAATCCATCTAAACTTCAATCACTCTTTAAGGTTAATATTATTCTATTATCTCTACATTGAGTGGTTCTTTAGTAGCCTCCTCCACTATCTATGGAATTGGAATCTTAAACTGCTTCTATATTAAATAACTATCTAAGTTCTATAATTCTGAGACATAATGTAAAGAGAGTTAAGCATCATTTGCATATCCTCCATTCTTAGTTTCTGTTTCCCAAATTATCATAACTTATTGTTATTATTATGGAATTACAGCTATTATACTCAATTATATTTATCCCTCAAATTGATAGCCATTTTATATATTGTTTTGATACGATAAACTCTTATCAACAATGAAAAAAGCATCTTTGTCTTTGAAAACGTATCTTAAATATGTGTAAGATCGTTTCAAATAAAGCAAACCGTACTTCTTTCGCATCTCAGATATTATCATTGAATTGTTGGTAAGCATAATGTCCAAAATTATAGTCTAGTCTATCTACGTATTCCATTATTTCATGACATCTGGACAAACCAAAGCTGACACAATTGGTATTATGTTATCACTACTAATGTTCACAACACCTTTTATTTTTTCTTGCTATGTTTTATGTTGCAATAGTCTAGTATTATTGCATAAACCAATACCTCAACTTGTTTTTAAAACTTATCAATTGATATTCTGAATCATCCATCAATCTCTCCAGAGAGAAGAGCTACTTATTAAGTAGTATATTCTGAAGAAGAGTTGGGACCTTGTTTTCAGGTTGGGGCATAATTTATGGAACTTATTTTACATTTTATACTGAGATAATGGACACTGATTATTCCTTCTCTATTACTTATTACTTTTATTCAATTGACTTTTGTGCACTACTTTCATTTATTGGCTTTGTCACTTAGGATTAGGTTTTGTGATGTGTCTTCAACTTGTCGTCAATCATGTTTTAAGGTTTAGACTATACTATTTCGGAACGCTTTTAATGATATAAATTTAATGATTGGCTCAAATCTTCAGATTATCGTTAAAATTATTTTTATTATCTTTGTTTAATAATATTATTATCATACTTTATTTTTTTTAATTAGTCATCATCAATAAATGCACAGCATTGTCTTAAATAATTAAACCATCTTTCTGCTTATTATAAATCTTCACTTCCAAATAAGAATGTCTCCTTTCCACACAGCTAAAAGCAATACTTGGTCTTCATTGATTCGCACCTTTATAAATATGAGAATAATAATACCATTTTAGAGAAAAATCTTATAGTGGCAATTACTTATCCCTCTTCTTGGGATCATTCCTAGATATCATGAGTTTACGATCCATCATATTTAACTTTAATATCTTATTATTCCAAAACCACCCTGACTTTTTTTTCATTTCAAGACGACCCTATACTTCATCTTCAGAATAGATAAATGAGTTCACGATGTCGATATACATTCGAAATTTAACAGGAATAGATGGATTGATTAATTAATGTATCTCTTCCTCGGACAATAACTCCGCTTTCCCAAACTTGTGATTGTCAATTGATGCCTATAGAACTTGCAATTTTTGTTGCACCTTCGCTGGCACTCTATCAGGATAATCTAATTTAGTCATGCACTCTACTTTAGATGAATCTCTGCAGCTTTTTTACGCAATCAATATATTATTTTTGAACCTTCTCTTCCATTATATAATTAAGAATAAATAATAAATAACAAGGAATTCTATAAATTTATATCATATATGTCCTTTACTTAAATTCTAAGAAATTATTATTCCTCTTCCCCCAATAATGAGATAGTGATTTCCTCAAGAAAATATCTATTAATAATTAATCTATGATTTTTTTTATTTTAAGTATTATTGTGATTCTTCTAGAATATAAAAATTCTCCATTTTTATTTATAAATTTCAATCTAATAATATGTTATTTTCACATATTATTAGATACATGTATTAGATGTAAACTTAACACTTATTATTACATTTATTTAATCTGTTTTAAAATTTATTCGACAGGAATTAAATTTATTAATTAATTCTGATTTACATGAAAACTGATATTGAAAAAAATCAATACTTATTTTGGACTTTTAAAAACGAACAAACAATATTCCTATTGTTTAATCTGGCCCTCCTTTCTAAGTTTGTTTAATAAAATTCTACAAATCAATAAAATTGTATGGTAACTAAATTACCTCAAATTTAGGAGGGGCTAGCTTAATTTTTATTTCATAATGCATTAATATTCATTTTTAATAAATTTTAATTAAAATTTCTCTATTAATATTATCAAAATTATTTTGTGTATCTGATAATAACAAATTAAACTAGTTCAAAAGGTCTAAACGAACTTCTGACATTAAGATGCTTCTTAATTAAGCATGGGATTATACTTTCGAAGAGGCAAAAGGAAAATTAAAATACTTCTAATTACATCATTCTATAAAAGTGTTATACGCTCCTAAATAATATTTTTATTGAGGAAGGAAAACAAAAATTTATTTAAAAATCTTTTATAAAGTATTATATACTGTTCAATATAAAACTTTATAATAATTATTTATATTTTATTGTGCTATTAAATAAAGTACTGCTAAGCTTAATCAATTTTCACCAAAATATATGGTTTCAACTTTTGGGCTAACATTATTTTATGTATTAAGTTTATCCATCCTTCATAGTTTTATATTAATTTTACTGCATAATACTAATATTATTGGTATGAACGGTATTAAGTGAGTAGTTATAAAATATAAGAAGCTTATATATAATAAATATCATTTGTTTTTACTAGTCTTGAATAATACTTGGCAAATCTTCTTAGAGCAAATTAAAATAAGTAAAGTAATCATTGAATACAAATATATTTATCAATTTTTTAGATCGTTTAATGGCTCTTTTTGTGAAGTAGATATATTTCGAGTTGATTTAATTAATTTTTTTGGGGAAACGGATGATAAGTGGCGAAACTTATTTCTGATTTATTTCCCAGGACCTTAAATTTTATTGTGTTTATATTTGAAGGTTGGAGTACTTATTTCTTATTCTTTGTTGAGTTGGACAACCATATGTTCTCTCTTAACTGAGAAATTAATCTTCTCCAGTTCCAGAAGATCGAAATCCAGGTTCTGAGCCTTCAAAGAAGTGACTGGTTAGTAATTCAGATGACACATTATCGGCTTCATCAGTGTATTAATGTTAAGATAGTTATGGAAATGATTAATTATGTTTAAATAATTGATTTAGGAATTTAAAAGATTAAATTTGGGAATAAGATAATGAGTATTGGTTCTGCAATTGCTATTTAATTATTTAGGTCTTAAGATTAAGATATTAAATTTAATACTTTATTTAAATATAGAGCCCAGTAATAATTATAAATAATTGTAATAATACTATGATAAAATCATTTTTATAGTTAAAATTTTGGAAGCTCAATATTTTGTATGTTATTAACTTTAAGGAGGCGCATATAATAGCTGGTCTATTCTTCGTAGAGTTCTTTCCACTTTTTAATCTACAATATAGATTGGGGATTTAATTTACTAAAATGTCATTCTTTTTTCGAATGGATGAACTCCTACTTTACTATTGTGTTTGACGAGTTGGGACACTATAGAAGCGAGAGTTATTGGTGATTTCGTTAATTTGCAATTGGGGTTTGCGACATTGTTTTTTATCTCCAAATGTGGGTGTTTATGGTTTGATGAGGAACATTTATATATATATATAATTATTTATTTGTAATGATATCAATTTTTCTTAACTTAGGCCATCTTGCCCCATCCTCTAGCAATGGTGAGGACATTGGCGATTCTCTATGATGAATTAGAGGGAGATTTTTACTTTGATTTTTTTGGAAGCACGATAATCCTTTAGTTTGGCTTATAGATTGACAATAGATTTGTGGGTGTTATTGAGGAGCCAGGGGTGTTTAAGGATTTTCTCAGTGGTGAGTCTTTTGGCAGGGTCAATGGTCAATAGGCCTTTGATTAAATCCTTGGCTATAAATATGATATTAAGATTCAACCTTCATTGCTAATTTGATCCCAATACGGTGATGGGAAAACAAAGTTGCCAGTTTTGATCATTTAAAAGAGCTTATCGTTATCTTCATCATAGAAAGGAGGGAACCCGCACAACCTTGAATAAATATTCTTCATACATGATATAGAGAATAACACCAACTGACCAGAAATCAATGGCTTCTGTGTATCCTTTGCCATTGATGATTTCAGGAGCCACATAACCTGGAGTACCACATTGAGTCATCATGACTTCTTCTGAGCCAACGAAACGAGCAAGTCCGAAATCACTTACTTTTAAGAGGGCTCCAGGTTCCATGGTTGAGTAGAGTAGATTTTCTGGTTTGAGGTCTCTATGTACAATTCCCATTTTGTGACAATAAGCAAGTGCATCAATAATTGGTCTGAGTGTTGCAGCTGCTTCCTTCTCACTAAAGTGATCTTTTTCAACTATTCTCTCAAATAGCTTAATGTGATGATTGATTATTGAATACCTCTCCGCCAGTCATTAATTCCAAGACCATATAGAAGTATGTGTCATCTTCATAAATCTCATACAATTTCACAACATTGGGATGATCAATCTAAATATTTATTAGTTGTACTTGAGTAAGGATTTCCACTTCTGTTTATAAGGCTAATAGGTCTTCGTTTGATAGGTTTTCCCTTCAATCAATATGGATCAAATACTTGTTAATTATTTTCACTGCGAAATGTTCGCCTGTGCTCTTTTTGACAGCTCTCTTCACAACTCCAAAGGCTCCCCTTGACTTATATAATTTCAATACTCTCCTAAGGTTTTCTCCAAAGTGTACACTTTGTTAATATCTTCGTTTCCTTACATTAATTATATTATATATAAGTCTAATTTTATAAGTTGTTTCCACTATTAATTTATTTCTAGAATTCGTAAATGCTTCACAAACTCACACTAACAAGTCTATATTTACAATCACAAATTGAAAAATTTAAATCTTTTGATTTTTAAATTTGCCAATCTAAACTAAACTATTCAGTCTTTAATATAATTAAATGCAATAGACACAAATAGTGTTTAGATTGAGAACATTGAATTTGAAATCAATTTATAGTTTATGAATAAAAGACTGTTAATAAAAGTGAGGGGGGAGGAGGGATAAAAAAAAATGAGTGGAAATTTGAAGGAGTAATTGGATTTAGGTTGAAAACTAACTGAAAAAGATTGAATGAGTAAAACAGGGATGAGTAAATAAATCAAAGAAAAATGAAATATTAAAAATAAATATATAATGGAAGCTAGTGATGCATTACTAAGTAAAGCCCTCAAAATAGGATGCACGGTTACTCTGTGTTATAAGGATGATGATGGAAAGAACTACTATGCTTGTTGCGAAGGTTTTACATCAATGAAACTGAGATTACTACCGGCATCGAGGATTAAAGAATAGGGACGCTTGAATTAATGTCTATTTAAAGTGGTGCCTCCATTTTAGTTTGTGGAATACAATAAGGGGAAGGAGGCATTCCATCAGAAAGAGACTTTGAACCAAGTTACTAATGTTGATTAAAGAGGTAAGGAAGTTACCATTATGGAATAGACTCCAGACTCGAATTTCCAAAGCAAATTAAGCTCATGTAGGATGAATCATCGTTGAACAAGGAATCTCTTGAGAAGATGAAAGAACAATCAATATTTTTTGGCCAAACCATCCAATTCATTCATCAAGCAAGCAACAAATACTTGAGTTATTTGAAAGATTAGGGAAGTGATTACGAAAGCGATAGTTGGAAGGCTACTTTGAAGAAGGAACATGGAGAAGACACCCAATTCAAATTTCAGGCTTCATTCTCATTTTAACAAGAGACCGGAGGCTTAATTTTTGATGAAGACACTGTCTACATAGTGAGTGTTTTGGACATGAGTGTCGAGCCAGGATTGCATGCCTCTAATAAGAAGAAGGATAGAGAGAAGAGAGAATTGAATGTTGCTCCTGAGAAGAGATCCTTTTGGAAAATCAACATATTCTCCAAGTTTATGAAAGATGAATTGGGATACTTGTCAGTCTTTGATGTCATCTGGATCAACTATTCTGAAACTAATGTAAATGAATCTATTGAGTTATTAGTTGAATATGATTGTACAGAAGTATTCCCCAGACGAGAAGAAGAAATATTTGAAATTTGAAAAAGGCCAAGATTCAGAATAGATCAATTAATTTATCGGAGACAGCAATGGAATGTATGTCATTGAGAATATTGATCCAGAAAAAGGAGACTTTTTAAATGGGGGTTATGTTGAGTGGGTTAACGAATACAGACTTAAACATTTAACATCCAATTATTATCTAAAATTAGAAGAAATCACTGAAAATCATGGTTCATTCAGATTGGTTGCAGTTGAAAGCATTTCTGACTCATCCATTTTCAAATTTGGAATGATACATTCTACAATAATAAAGAAGGAGAATCAAGAATTCTTGACAAAAGATTCCTACTTTAGATTGTCATCAAGGGACACAGAGAATTAATTTTGGTTGAAGATAGATACTGTGGGTCCTAATGAAATTTATAAAATTGAGGGTGACAATTTCATTGAAGATATTACAATCCCTATTTTCAATTAAGATAAAAAGGATGAGCATGTATTTAATCTGGCTTGTGCATCCTTAAATGAAGTTAGGTTTATTAAGTATTTATTATCTTGCATGAAAATCTTAAAAAGAAGTAAAGAGTATCTGGATGTCGATTTAAATAATACTAACTTTTTTAAAGATTATCAGTTCCAAGACATTTACAAAAAGTTGGTTGTGAGATCATAACACTTGGAACAAGTATTAGATGATTTATATTTACTTTGCCATAACAAATTAGAAGGCTTTGTGTCTTTTGATTCAGAATTTGGATTCCCACATCCTCATACACAAAACCTTCTGAAAGAATAATACTTCTTTGAAATCCTAATATAAATTCTTGTGATTTGCTTCCCTACTTAGGAGAGTTTATAGAAGGCAGATGAGCCTGTCGAATTGGTTTAAGTGACTAAATTATTATCAGAAGAATAACAAGTAGATCTGAATCTTGAAAAATAAATTATAGCTAGGTTTGTAGAGAAGAAAAAGATCATTTGCACTAAGATCTTTAAATTGTTACAAGCTATGGTCGTCGATAATCTCTCAAATCAAGAATATTGCTCTAAATATTTACCTATTCTCTCAATGCAAGCCATGTATTTGAATGGAGCCATAAGTACTATCATCTCAATCATTCATAACTTCGAAGAACTTCTATTGAATCTAAATAAAGATGACAATCCACTTGATATGCCATAATAAATTTTAAAGGCTGCCTCCATTAAAACTCCTTAGATTAATTAAAATAAATAAAAGAAGAGAAGAAGAAATGAAATTAATAAGCCAATTATTGATTATAATGCCTAATACAAAATCTTGTGTAAACAGATTAAAGAATCGACTCCTGTTCAACTCCAAACATGGGATTTACTTATGTTCTTCACTACTATGCTGAAGAGCAATCATTTCAAATTTAACAAAAAGATTGAAATTATGTACTTCTTAAAAGAATCAGTTTGCTTTGAAGAAAAGGGTATCAATATTAATCAGGAATCGGCTTATAAATATATACTTTCATCATAAAGGGTATTTGAAGATGAAATACTTATAAGATTAAAAAGTGATGGTCCTCAATTGAAAGTTTACCGAGGGGATTAAGAAAGCACTCTACTTGATTATTATCATAAATACTCAAGCAATAATGATCCAAGATTATTGAATTTTATTCCTTATGTTTAGGAATTGATGAGAATGTATTCGAGAATGTGCAATTCCAGAAATTATACTTGGAAAAAGTTTGCTGAAAACTTCTTTAATGTAGAAAGTTTGATTGAAAATATTTAAAACAATCAATATAATGTTGAAATTCGTTCGATTATTTGTAGTCTCTTGAACAAATTATATGTTGATCAAGAACCAAGAAGAATAATCATTTGGCCAGAACTTTGTAAAATTGTCAGGACTAATAGGAAATAAAATAAAAATGATATCAATAATACTATGCTTTCAGAAGGGAAATAACAAAACAAAGTTTCTAAAACTGATCCAGTCGATATTCCTAAGGTACAAGAGAAGATAAATGGATATCTAGCTGATTAGTTGATTTTTGTATAAAATTAATCAGATCTTGTGGATTTAAGTAAAGGACCAACAGAAAGGCATTAAATGTTAGGAATTGTATTCAAAAATGCCCCTGAAATATATAATGAACTCACTTTAGAAGTTATTAAGTTATTTAAACTATTGATTTAATTCGGAAAATATTCAATTATCATTGAGGAAGATGAAGAAAAAACAATCAGAAAAAATTAGTAGTTGTTTTCTAATCTCAGAGCATTAACTGCTATTTTAGAGTATAATTCAACCTATCCAGAAGTAAGAAAGATCTTGTCGATTAAAAGAAAGGAAGAGGAAAATTAGAAGAATAGTACAAATCTTTTTGGATTTGGAAATAAGAATAAAAAGAATGAAGACGAATAGGGTTAAGTAAAATAGTAGTATTCAGGTGAAGATGATGCTGAAGATTTATCAGAAGCAGAAAACTTCTAAAAATAGGTTGAATTTCTCTCATTGAGAATGAATCAATTCATGTATCAACAATAATTACCTAATGATCCATTGATTAAATTAGAAGTTTGTGAAATATTAGATCTGTATCTTGATAGCAAAATGGATTTTTATCTTAATAATTTGAAACAATAATTCTCACAATAGGTAAACAAATTAAATCTATATAATGATGTATTTAATCGTGATTTGGACATCGACAATGAATAACACAAAGAATAAATTCAATAGTAATTCAGAGATACTATAAAAAAAAATCTTGATAACATGTTACCAGCAATCATGAAAACTGGAACAAAGGTAGATGATGAAATTTTTAAGAAGAAAGATGAAAATCAAATCTTTGGACTTATGAATATAGCTAATATCGCCAATATTGCAAACAAGTTGGTTAACACAGACGAAGATTAATCCAAAGTCAAATCTCTAGATGCTATAGAATTAAGTAATATCATACAGTTTTCAATATTCCCTTCTTTGATATCTATTTTTTGTCTAAACCAAAGTCTTGATTTAGAATCAAAGATTCTCCATATTTTAACTAGATTTTACAATTAGAGACATGAGTTTGCTTATTTATCGTCTAATCTCTTACTGTTGTTTGATGACACTAATATCACAATATTTAAAAAATCCAAAAAGAAGATATTGGTTTTGGCAAAATGTGTTGATGAATCAGAAACATGGGTACAGAATTTGGATGAACCATCAAATTTGAAAACTTTAGAATTAGTATAATAACACTTTGAATTTTTCACTTAATTACTTTTCAAAGGTTCATACTTGAATGAATCCTAAGAACTAGAAAAAGGACATGAAGGACAAGTTGATAGCATTAGATAAGATATGATGAGACACTTGAAAGTCGACAAATTGGGAGTTGACTTAATTAAGGATAGTGTTTTTATGGTTGAATAAGAAGATATTGATCCTGAATTGCAGTTAAAGTTGAAGAAGATGTTTTAAGTTTGTCTAACTTTCTTAAAGTACTTTTGCATGAATAACCTAACCAATTAAAATGTTATGGCTTAACACATAGTAGCCTTGATATCTAAATTGAATACAGATTTGGGTTAAGTTGAGTTACTCTGCGAAATATTCAGAGATAATAAGACAGTTTGTTATGAGCGTTCTCAAGAGGTCATCGATGATTTTGTGAGATTAATTATTACCAATGGAAGAAGAGTTAGATACTTGGAATTCTTTTTAGTGATAATGTAAATTAAAACTGAATACATCTCTCAAAATTAGAAGGCTGTTTTAAATCTATTCATTGATCCTAGGTACAAGACTCAATTGTTTTATATGTTACCAAAGGCTGAAACTGATGAACATCCAGTGTTTGATTTTGAAACTAAAATTCATGAAAATCCAAATTACAAAGATGAACCATATGATTATCACTCAAAGTTTATTGAAGTTTGTGCTTAATGTACTATAGGTAAGGAAGGTTTGCTAAGTTCAGAAAATAAGTTGAAGGCTTAAATTACTTTTAAATATGTAATGGAGTTGTTATTGGAAAAGGATGAATTTTCTGAATTCATTGATCCTCCCAGTGGTTTAGAATCTGAAAAATAATTTATGGAGATTCCAGTTCACAAGTAAAGATCATAATTGTAAAGTGGAATCAGCATCATACCACTTAATTAAGCGAAAATGGAAGGGATCACAAAAATGAAACCCTCCTTGTTAGATTTATTATTTTATACTTATCTAGAATCAGAGAAGATATCTGAAGAAGTGTTTTCATGTTTTGATATGATTATCTAATTTATTGCAAATGAGAAGGATAGAATTATGAGGTGTAAAAATTTCATTCCATAATTTTATGATTATTTCTTTAGTAATCTTATGTTGGTGTTAAATGGATTGGTTAAAGTATTGAATAGAGAATTGGGATCCCAAGCATTAGTGCAAGGCTCTAAACTATAAAAATAATCCACTGAATTTTATAGGGAACTTGAAGAATTGAGGAACTTCTTGACAGATTCATTTACTTCTAAGCTTCAATTAAGCAATCGTTAAAAGACCTTATTATAGTATTTTAGAGATAATATCATTATGAAGGAAGAATTAAACAAATAAAATTAGGATGATTAAAGGTATTAGTAAGAGAAGGAGAGATAAAAGAATCGATCTAGGCAAACTTCGTAATATAAGACTCCAAAAAGGCTTTAAACTATTTAAACGTCAAAAAGAGAATTAAGTACTGATTAAATTTGGAAGGAATTGTGGGATATATTTTTAACAGAATTCTTAGATTGTGAAGAATTAATAGAAGCCATCAATAAAGAATAGATGGCTTTTGCTTAAGCCATCTCAAAGGTTGAAGAGATATTTATTAAAGATAAAATTGTTCATCAACAAATTAATAAATAAATCATTTTTTAAAGACTTATTGCATTTTTAGAAAAATCTTCAGCCTCAGCTGACAACATCACAACATTTAAACTAATATTGAATGTATTACGAAATTTCATTCATATTGAAGATGAATCAGAATTCACTCCTGATATGGATGAAGAAGAAAAAAAGAATATTGTGTAGAGACAAAAAAAAGATAACTAAAACTTTTTAAATAGCAATAATGCTATGTAAATGGCATTGACGTTGCTGAGTGATATCTCAGATCCAATCAATTCCCAGAAGATCTTTAGCGAATTAATACAATTTGCAATCGATCTTCTCGATGGAGGAAATCAAGATATTTAAAGATCCATTTGGAATTACTTTTAGAACTTTACAGAGAGTGAAACCTTTTTTTTAAGATTACATAACGAATTTTAGAAAGCTATTAAGAATATGAAATAAACAGATGAAATGTAATAGTAATTCGGATTCTAAAGACAACCAGATTTAATCAATTAGATTTTAAGATTACTTTAATTATTCGCAGAAGGACATTATAGTGAATTATAAGAATATATGAACTTCCAAAAGTTCAATCATCATTCACATAACCTAATCTAGGATTTTATAGACTTATTGTAATCCTATATGAGTGCTGTAGAACCTGATTATTTCGACAATATGGTTCAAAACTTTGATACGATAACTGAATTTATTCAAGGGCCTTGCAGAACTAATTAGAAAGCACTCATTGAGGCTAATTTCCTAGATCTAGCCAATAAATTATATGAGATAGATGAAATAGCTTTAGAAATACAAGATGAAATTATTGAGAATGAGGAGTTCCTTGATGACGATAATCAGGAATTATTCAATGTGTAAAAGCATTTGCCCAGATGGATGATTGCATTCCTCAAATACAAATGTTCTATTACCTTGATATCTTTATTGGAGGATCGGGAAGGAGATGAAATTATTTAAAGAATTCAAAAATCCATAAGCAATGAAAATTTGAAGCAAAACATCAGTAATATATTTTATATGTTCTAATTGTATTCGAATGAAATTTACGAACTTAAATTGTTTGGTCACTTTACTAATACTCAACCGAAAACCAGAGAAGAAAGAATGAATTGCAGTTTCATCATTGAAACTGGGTTCAACTTATTTTTCATTTACTAAATACATTAAAAAACAAAGAACAAAACTGTATAATAGGTTAAGAATGAGGAGGAGGAAACTGACGATATGACTTCATAGTTATTAAACAATCCCCTCTATAAGTTAATTTTACTAGTATAGAGCTTAATTAAAAGCTTGTAAGATAGTGCGTTGCAGGTGGCAAAGATCTATAAAAAAACAGAACAATAGACTCCAAAAGAAAGGATGGATAAATTATAATAGGCAAGACAATAACTATTTCCAAAAGCATATAAGTTCTTTTTATCTAAGACTGCTAAAATAGAAATAATGTTGGAAAGCAAAAATGTTGAGGAAACATACTTTTATATTCCCCCTTACTGTTAACTTGATGATGATGTCAAAAGAAACTTTAATGAGACTGCTAATAGGAATTCAAACAAAGCTAAAGTCACATCTTTGGTTGAAAGTTCAGAGGAAATAATAAAAACAATGAAGTTGAATTACAAAATTCAAGTTTATTTAAATCAAATCAAAACCCTTTAAGTAATTATAGAGAACATAGATTTACTCAGAGACATAGAGTTTATCATTGCATTATTAATTAACATATTTATTTTCCTATTTTATAAGAAGGAGTACATTGGAAAAGATGTAAATGCGGATCTTTCGGAAACAGAAAATTGGTCAGATGCAGATAGTTTTGAATATCAGGATCTTATAGATGCATTGGGAATTTTATCAATTGTGCTCTCAATTTTGATTGTTGCCTTCTTCTTAAGCAGAAATGCCCCATTACTATTAGAGAAGGCTTGGAGTGGTGTTGGACAAGAGAAATTAAATCCTCTAGCTTATTTGATAAGATTGCTCAAGACAGTCTATTACTTATTATCAGATTTCTTTGCCTTGTATTATATAATGTATGGAACAGCAGCAGTATTGGGTTGATTTGTTCACAACTTTTTCTTTTCATTTCACTTGTTCGAAGTGATGATTAGATTCCCATTGTTACTGAATGTAGTAAAGTCTGTATGGAATCCAAGAAAAATGATCTTGTATACAGGACTGTTATTGTTGATCTTCATGTTTGTATTTACAGTGTTTTCATACAGAGTCTTCTATGAAAGCTATAATGCTGGGTTCTGTGATTCGATGTGGATATGCTTTTTATCAACACTAGACTCGGCATTCAAATATGATCAAGGTATCGGTGGTTTCCTTAAAAACCCATATGAGGTTTATCAGGATGATGAAGTTAAATTAGTATTGAGATTCATCTTTGATAATTTCTTCAATATTTTAGTTATCATTGTTATGTTAAACATCGTTGCTGGTATCATTATTGACACTTTCGGTGAATTAAGAGAGCAATTGCAAGAATACAATCAGGATTTGGAGAATCAATGCTTTATTTGTGGGCATGACAAAGAAACAATAGAGAAGGAATCAATCAATTTACAAAACTTCTCGGATCATATTAAGAAAGAACATTACTAATGGTATTATCTGTTTTATATTGCCTACTTGAGAGAAAAGGATCCAACTGAATATACAGGTATTGAGAGTTATGTTGCAGATAAATTGGATGCTGTTGATATCACATGGTTCCCTTTGAATAAGTAAGTTTTATGAATTAATTTGTAGAGCTCTATGTTTGAAGAAGGACTTTGGCAATGAAGAGGAGAAAAATATTGTTACCTCACTTGAATCTATCAAAGAGAATGCTTAAGAGCTAAAAAATATTTTGGTTGAAATCTAAACAGAAATAGAAGAAGAGGATTGATTATTTTATCTATATTATACATTGTCTTTTATATTATTATTAATATCTAAGAACTAGCAATAATTAATAATCAATTAAGATTATTTGTAATAAATTTGATAAATTTAATGATTCACAAAAATGTAGTATTTGGAAATCATATCACAGCCAATAAGTTGGAAAGATTAATAAAGAAATAAAGGATATTATTGAAATCTCCTTTGGATTAAAAACAACAAACCAAAAATCGCAAAATTTGCAAGTCTAAAAGCTTCAGATTTGAAATTCAACCACATGTATTTTAAACAGCACAAAACATTACTTTCAAAAATTAACCACTATTATAATTACCTATTGATAGAAGTCCTAATCGCCGTTCTTCTTCTAAGCCTGTTTTAGAAGTCTTTTCACGAAGTTAGAATTCGATGACAAGTTTATAATTAAAAAATGCTATTGTGACTAATAAATTGCAAAGGAGATGGAGTAATTATGAATTAATAAGTGAAAAATAAAAGCGTCTTAACAACAAAGCCCCAAAATCAGTAATTAAATATCAATATCTTATGGCTTTAAAAGCAAAGAAAAAGAAGATATAAAGAATGAAAATGCAATACAGTAAGTTCATCTTAGTATATAGAGTTTTTGGGGAAAAAGAATAATAAGGTTAGAAAAACTAGAAGTAAAACTTTGCCCCTAAATCCTGTTATTAAAATGAGACACAAAAGAGCCTAAACAGTTATTAGAGAACATCATGAAGGACCCATCTTTCCTTTGGAGGATAGTTTAATTAGAAAAATCTTTAAATTAATAATGTCCAAGAAAGCTGCTGTTAAAAGATAAACATGTTTTTAGCTTCCAAAAAGAAGTATGCTACTTTCAAAGGAAAAATTAATAAGATTTTAATAATAAATTAATGAAAAGTTAATTTCATAATCAGAATCAGATAGCTAAATTGATGGATCTCCATGTTTTGATTCATTAAGATCATATCAAAGAAGAGTTTAATTTGAAGAGAAAAAAAATTAATTAAAAATTATGTCAAAAAAGAAGAAAAATCTCATCAAAGCTTTAATAAATAAGCAATCCTTTAATATAATAAATTCTTATGTTGCAAAGAGGGTTAAGACTTAAAATTCCTAGCATTCTCTCCATTAAAAGAGTACTCAACAAACCCTGTGTAATTTTATGTCCAAATAAGGCGATAGATTGACTACAATTCATAGTACACATGAGCAACCTTAAATTTTGTAGAAAACAAAGCGATCAAAATTGTTAACTAAGCTATTCCCTTATATATAGCCTTAGAAAATTATCAATAAATGATATTCAATTTTCCAAATAACTTGTACTTTTAAATATATAAAATAATAAGTTAAATTTAAGTAATTTTGTATAAGGAATGACAAGCAAATGTTATATAAATTGTAATATAAATTTTAAAATATTTAATTCTTTCATGCCTTTATTATTAATTTGTGGTCCACCAGCAAGTGGTAAAACTCAAAGAGCATTAGAAATACAGAAATTTGTTAAGGAGAAGCTGAATAAAGAATCCATCATCATTAATGAAGAGAATTTACATCTCATAAAGGATGATGCTTATAAAGACAATACAAGTGAAAAGATGACAAGAGGGTTTTTGAAATCTAATGTTGAAAAATACATCTAAGCTGGCTAATTAGTCATATTCGATTCTATTAATTATATTAAGGGATATAGATATGAGCTATATTGTTTAGCAAGAGCTGCCAAAACTACAAATTGTCTAGTATATTTACAATTTTAATTAGTTATATTTAAATGTTCCATTGGAGATATGCTAAAAAAACAATGAAGCTCGTGAGAATAAATTCAATGATAACTTATTGATTGATTTATACAAAAGAATGGAAGTTCCTAAATAAAAGGATAGATGGGAATGCCCTTACTTCGAGGTTAGATTTTAAGAGAAAACACCATTTGAGGAGATGATAGAAGTGCTATTTTTTGCAGAGAAAACAGCAAAGGATCCTGTTGCTACAAAAAAAGTAACTATATTTATATAATATTTAAATAGGAATAATAAAATGAGGGAAATTTTGTACATGAATAGGAAAAGAGAGTCTAGGAGATCTTAGATTAAATCTTAAATAAGTAAGTTGAGTGCATTTAAATTGGAAATGGATCCATCAAATTTTAGGGAACCAAATCAACCCTTATTTTAAAACGAGCATTGAGCATAATTGAACTAAAGAAATTAAGATTAGAGTTCTTGAACATGCTCAGAATTACTCCTGTTAAAACATTAGAACAAACTAATGAGGCTTTCATAAATTTTATCTAAGCTCAAGTTGAGCGATTAGGACAATGAGATTTTCTTCTTTTTTTAGACACATATTTATTTCATCATATTTTATAATTTTGGAAGATTTTAATTTCTATTTTTGTTTCTATTTAATTAATTAGAATAAATCAATATATATATGGTGTTATAAGAATCTAATACATCTTAATTTTTTCTCTATCTTTTTTTTTCATTTACTAATGAATCTAGCCTTTGACTCCTAAGCGGTTGAACTTTTAACAAATTATGAGGACCTTCTAAATTCAACGCTTGACCAAAGTCAACTTGAATAGATTTGTCACGAACTCATAGACACCTTCTGTACATTTTGGAAATATTTTTAGTTCTATACATAGAGGAGATGTAAAACTATAAAAGTGAAATAAGTCTCGAATTGAAATCAAAGTAAACTGAAATCGACATGCTTCACTTACAAATTACTAAATAAACAAATCAACTCGAAGATCAAAAAGGTGATTTAACTAGACAGATTGAGATATGCTAATAATTGGAATTGCAATTGTAATACTCCGAGTAGTAAACCTAGAAATCCGAGAAAGAAATCCTTTAAGTCGAAGCTGAACTCAGAAAAAAACTTCATCAGCAGAATCAATAATACAGAGATTAAATTTAAATCCTAACAAGTGTGCAATAGGAGATAGATAAATAGATTCTTCAACTCTCCAGAGAAAAGGGACAGCTGTAATTATAATTTGAAAAACTCTAAAAGAAATATGAGGAATAGTAATTCTTAATTACAAATTTGACTGAATAGTTGGCCAATCTTCAAACAAACTCAAGTTTCAACACTAAAATATAGCAAAATAATGATGCTATAATGGACAGTTAAGATGATTCTATAGAAATAAAGCCTCAAGAAAAAAGAGGTTTGTATTCAAATTGTATTTCACATAATTAAATCAATTTCAAATGGGAGAAAATTTAACCTAGTATATCCTCTATTCGGAATTCGATGACAATTATAAATCCAACAAATACAAGATGTGACTTATAATCAAGACAAAAAATTAAATCTTTGGCTCTTCTGGGCAATAAACATGAAAAGCCATGCGATCCTTATTATGAATTTTTTAAATTGGTACTTCACATAGTTTATTATTTTTAGATTACTCAATGTGTCAAATTAGACTTAGGATAAGCCCACATATTTACAATGAACTTTGATTATCTTTTTGAAAGATTTAAAAATGATTGTGTTCCATTCAACCAGTGGTATAAGAAAATACTTGATGAGATTTTTACATGAGTTTACTAAAATCTTATTAGAAATAGTTTGTTTTTATATTCCTTATATTTATATTATGTAATCTGAAACAAAATATTTATAAGACTAAAAGTAGTACTTTTAAGTAAAAAGCTTTTTTCAATTTTGATAATTTATGCTAATAAAATATCTATATTTAAAGCCAAAGTAGAAAGTTAAACATATTTAGAAGAGAAAGAAAATTGTTTTCATTAATGAGAAATTTTGAAAGTGGAAATCACCCTTAAATCAAGAATTCTGAATCAAGAATTTAAATGAAGATTTAATATAGGATGATTTTTCTGGAGGTTAATGATTTGCTTGTTAATTTAAGAAAGTAAAAGGTTAAAAATGCACCTACTTTTGTAAGCAAAAATAATTTTATTAGCAAATTATTTAGCCTAATATTTTAAATATTATACAGGTTTTGAATAAAGTGAAATAGCTGAAAATAAAATTTATAAAGATTCATTAGAGCTCTTTGGTTAGATTAAAAATGATTGCTTCCAAAACAATGACATTTTTATAAGGATGTATAGTTGTTAAGGCTTTAGATACTTTAAAAAGCTTTAGTTATAAATATTATTAATCTAATTAGAAACTTGTACTTTCTAAAGCCTTGCAATTGTATCCTCTGATTAAACAATAATACTATCAATTAACAAATCACAGAATGATCACTTCATATTTTAGTTAAATATATATTTAAACAATATTATTTATAATATAATGCAACCATAACAATTAAAATAACAGCCTTAATAAATAAAAAAAATAGAGGGTCCATCTACTAGTCCTTATGGCAAGATCAAGTTTGAGAATAAGCAATCGTAGAATTCTCCAAGCATACAAGTAATAATCAGAATAACATTTAGAAAGAGATTGGCTAATATGTGTATAATTTGAATAATGTTATTGGGACTGGAGAATTCAGTTCAGTCTATAAAGGTCAGGATTAAAATACAAATGAAACAGTGGCTATCAAGATTATTGATAGGAAAAGCATTTAAAACAATTAAATTTTTCGAAATTTATTGGTTAATGAAATCAACATCCTCAAGTCAGTTGACAATAAATGCTTGCTTAAATTATACAATTATCTTGAAACAATGAATAATATCTATATTGTGACTGAATTTTGTTCTGATGGTAATTAGTCAGTGGATTTTAGGTGATTTGCAATCTATAATAGAAAAAAAAGGATACTTGCCAGAACACAATGCAGTGAAGATTTTAAAACATCTCATTAAAGCATTGCTATATCTAAAGGAAAGAAATATTGTACACAGAGACATTAAGACATAAAATATTTTAGTTTCAAATTAAATACCAAAATTGGCAGATTTTGGATTTGCTGTTGACTTAAGTCAACCTCAGTCAAGGTATTTATATAATATATGTAGAGAAATTTTATAAATAGGAACCCCATTATACATGGCACCAGAAATATATTCTCATTATCAATATACTTCAAAAACTGATTTATGGGCACTTGGTATAGTATTTTATGAAATGTTATTTGGTATGAAATTATGAAATAAATAGGAAAGGTACCATTCAATGCTAAAAACCCTAAAGAACTAGAGCAAATGTTTTAAATGCACAAAAAGGCTTAAACTATTTCATTTGAGAATGGTCCTTAAAAAGTCACAGAAGTTGCCTAAGACTTTATAAATTCCATATTAGTGATTGACCCTAAATAAAGATTTGATATATCATAGGCTGCCAATCATCCATTGATATAAAGTAATTTTTATTTTTAACCAAGACCCACACCCACATGCAAACAAATAAAATTGATGTATTGTTAATTATAATAATCAAATATCTATTAAATATATTAAGAAATAATGATTATTCCATTTTAAAAAAATACTGATAAGAAGTATCTATGTTTTCCTAAATACTACTTGAATTTATTATTCAGTAATTCAATTTTCAATATCAGTTATTACACTTCTTTTAATTTATGAAATAATAATTAAAATTAAGTAAGGATCAATCATAGTGATAATTATTACCTATGATTTAAGATCCTTATCTAAACATTTTTAAATTTCATTTATTGCTTAAATACATCATTTAAAAATATATTAAATTCAATGATAAAAATCTACTTCATCATCATACTCAGCCATTTTTATGATTTCATCAATTAGTTACATGTGCTCAAAGTCATTTGTATTTTTTTAAATGTCTTAAATAATGGACTCTCCTTGGTATTTTAAAAATTCTCCAACATAACGATCTGGGTATATCACTAATTATTAAATTAGTTAATACTTTCGCCAGTTTATAGAACTGTAAATGCAATAAACAAATAATCATCTATCGTGATCAATTGCTTTTCACTCTAATAGAATTCACTAATTAATTTGAAGATTGGGAACTCAATTATGGTTTACTCTTTGTACCTAGATTTTAACAGTTAAGTAATCAAGCTACAAGTATTGGATGGAAATTCCTAAATTAACTAGAGTGTATACTTTATTTTTTTTATTATAGACTTAAACTTAAGTTACAATTTTTTCAAAACATAGATCTTACTCATTTAAAACAAAATTATTATCATCTTCAATAATTAATTAGAACCCTTCATAAATTAATTTAATTATTGTTTTATCGAGATTAAGATTAGAAGACAGAGCATTACCATAAAATGTTAATAGGCTATATTTTTCTAGAAGAAGCTTCATATGTTAAATGCTTTACCTTCATCAATTGCTTATTTTTTTGTAGCATTATATTAAACATTTTTAAGGCCTATATGCCTAACTCTGTAACTTTCTATTCTTAAAGGATAGCATTGAAAGCAGACAAGCCATCTTCAATGATTAAAAATTTATCAAATTGATTAACAATCTCAAATTGGTTGATATGATATGATCCTATAATTGCTCTCATCGTTTTGAAAGATTGCAATTTAAGGTCATCATCTACAGTGGATTAGGAGATGTTATCTATTATTTCTAATATGTATTCCATATTATGTTCTTTATAGTTATTGAAGAAAAGGTGAGCAATGATTCTGAGGTAATTCATACTTAATCTTTCATTGCATCCATGAGTAGTGTAACTATAGTATATATTGCTTAGTAGCTACAGACTTTGAGCCAATTTTAAGGCTTCCTCTGAATTTAGTTCAACTATAAAATTGCATATGATTTTGGTTAGCTAAGGTAGTTTAAGAATGATGGTATTACATTTTCTTTTAATTCCTCTGAACTGCCATTCNCTATGTTTTCCTAAATACTACTTGAATTTATTATTCAGTAATTCAATTTTCAATATCAGTTATTACACTTCTTTTAATTTATGAAATAATAATTAAAATTAAGTAAGGATCAATCATAGTGATAATTATTACCTATGATTTAAGATCCTTATCTAAACATTTTTAAATTTCATTTATTGCTTAAATACATCATTTAAAAATATATTAAATTCAATGATAAAAATCTACTTCATCATCATACTCAGCCATTTTTATGATTTCATCAATTAGTTACATGTGCTCAAAGTCATTTGTATTTTTTTAAATGTCTTAAATAATGGACTCTCCTTGGTATTTTAAAAATTCTCCAACATAACGATCTGGGTATATCACTAATTATTAAATTAGTTAATACTTTCGCCAGTTTATAGAACTGTAAATGCAATAAACAAATAATCATCTATCGTGATCAATTGCTTTTCACTCTAATAGAATTCACTAATTAATTTGAAGATTGGGAACTCAATTATGGTTTACTCTTTGTACCTAGATTTTAACAGTTAAGTAATCAAGCTACAAGTATTGGATGGAAATTCCTAAATTAACTAGAGTGTATACTTTATTTTTTTTATTATAGACTTAAACTTAAGTTACAATTTTTTCAAAACATAGATCTTACTCATTTAAAACAAAATTATTATCATCTTCAATAATTAATTAGAACCCTTCATAAATTAATTTAATTATTGTTTTATCGAGATTAAGATTAGAAGACAGAGCATTACCATAAAATGTTAATAGGCTATATTTTTCTAGAAGAAGCTTCATATGTTAAATGCTTTACCTTCATCAATTGCTTATTTTTTTGTAGCATTATATTAAACATTTTTAAGGCCTATATGCCTAACTCTGTAACTTTCTATTCTTAAAGGATAGCATTGAAAGCAGACAAGCCATCTTCAATGATTAAAAATTTATCAAATTGATTAACAATCTCAAATTGGTTGATATGATATGATCCTATAATTGCTCTCATCGTTTTGAAAGATTGCAATTTAAGGTCATCATCTACAGTGGATTAGGAGATGTTATCTATTATTTCTAATATGTATTCCATATTATGTTCTTTATAGTTATTGAAGAAAAGGTGAGCAATGATTCTGAGGTAATTCATACTTAATCTTTCATTGCATCCATGAGTAGTGTAACTATAGTATATATTGCTTAGTAGCTACAGACTTTGAGCCAATTTTAAGGCTTCCTCTGAATTTAGTTCAACTATAAAATTGCATATGATTTTGGTTAGCTAAGGTAGTTTAAGAATGATGGTATTACATTTTCTTTTAATTCCTCTGAACTGCCATTCAGCAGATTATTCAGATTCACAATTTGACTTTGACTTAACAATTGGATCATCTATTCTCGATTCATATGATAAGTGAAATTAGTTAAAAATTTAGAGCTCTCGTATGGGAAATATTATAATAAATCAAAAGCGATTTAGGCTCCAGGTCTTTTTTTATATAATGAATGTACATTAGAGCCTAGATAATTTAAGGATCAATATTCATTTTTGAAGTCAAGAATTAGTCTATGTTATCTAAACATTGAGGGAGATTTGTTTTAGAAATCAATTGATCATAATCGACTTTTGGGAAATCTAAGGGGATTGGCTGAGTGATGTTGGTTCTTTTTTTAGTGAATATTTGTTCATTCTTTTCCTTTCTTATTTAAACTCTAAATAATTCCCTCTTTTCTCTTATCATTAATTTATATAAATAAAATAGTTAAATCAAAACATGCTAGTTTTAATTACTCTCGTGATGACTTGTCTACAAATAGGACACTATTTATATTATGAGAAGTATTACATTCTTAAGATTTTCAGTGCAATTAAAGCAAAGAATGAAATGGCAGCATTCCATCAGTACACTATCAATTTGTCTAATGAAACAGATTTTACAAAGATGCTTTTCTTCTTCCCTTTGGATTTTATTGGTCAATTCCTTAACCTATTCTTTGAGAGTGACAACCTCTTCATCTTGGAGAATTGAGGAATCCTCTTGAGGATAGGTGAAATTGATTTTTTCTGTTTTTGTAACGAAGATAGTGTACATGTCATTTAATCTTTGTCCATCATAACCTCCTAGTAGAAAGAATTGATTTTCTAAATTAACTAATTTATGAAATGTTCTAGCTGAAGGAATATTTCCAGATGTATTAATTTTAATCCATTCTCTCTTCTTGAAATTATATTAGTGTAAATCATTATATCTAATCTATAAATGATCAACTCCACCAAATAAAAACATGTTTTAATTGTAAACTAAAGCCTCATGTCTATACCTGGCTTTGGGTTTTTGTCCACTGCACCTTCTGATTTCATAAAAGGTGTTTGTAACAAAAGAGTATTCATACATTTCATCCAAACAACTAGTACCATCCCAACCCCCAAAAATGAACATTGAATTTTAATACGAGACAGCTGTGTGACCAAATCTTCCAGTTATTTATTAATCATGGTCCATTTCAATCCATTAGCCCTTAAATTTCCAAATATCATTGAAAATTTGTTTGTTTTCCCCTTTGCCTCCAAAAATGTAGATTCCATTGCAATATTCAACTAATGAATGATCAGTTCTTTTTGCAGGATTGGCCCCTTATTAAGTTTCCATGGCAAAAGTATTGTTCTTAACATTAAATCGATACAAATCATTACAGTAAATTTGGCTTTATGTCTGAACATATCCTCCAAACAACATTAACTGATCATCAACTGCAACCATTTTAGCTCCAGATCTGGCTGATGGTATTTAGCCTGAAGTAACAATGACAGACCAGGAATTGCCATCAAAACAATTTAGGTCATTATTGATGTTACCAGATTGATCGACTCCTCCAAACAGATAGATTTTATTTTAAAGTACACAAGCAGTGTGTCCAGTTCTAGGAGTGAAACGATCTTTAAGATCCAATTAGATCCACATTAGATGAGGAGCCTATTTAAATTATTCAATTTGTTATCTGCCATTCTCTGAATCCAAGTTGATTCGATGAACATCATTTCTTCTTTATCCATCAAATCCCCCAACCAAGTACAAGTAATTACCCAAGACAACGCATTTATGGAAAGAACGAGGAGAGGGTGGATTCTAAACAACTATTCTACTCCATATTGAAGTTTGGAAATCAAATCTTTATAGATCATTAAATCTTTCTTGATTCTGATCCACTCCTCCAAAAATGAATAGGAACCCCTTGTAAATATTGGCTGTATGTCGGTATCTTCCAGCAGGTGGGTTTTATTATTTGACCATTTGGAAGGTGCCATTACTGTTTGAATATACCCACAGATCATTCAATGTATTATTGCCATCCCATCCTCCAAATAAGTAGAGTTCATTTTAATAGGAGGTTATTGTATGTCCGAGACGTGCACTCAGTTATCTTACTTAACTTAATGCTTTCCATTCGAAAGTACAGAGATTTAGTTCATGCAAATCATTAAATCGTTTTTAACCATTTGATCCTCCAAAAATATAACATAAATTCTTTTAGATGGTAAAGGAATGATCCACTCTGGCTGGAGGTGGTTAAGTTTTTGGAGTTATTTTGTCCCATTAATTGTTTGCAGGATTGAAACGAAAGAGATCATTAAAATATTCTCCATGTTTCCAAGTATAGCCTCCAAAAAAATAAAACAAATCCTCATAGACACACCCCAGTGATCCAGATCTTGCTGATGGAATTTCACCTGACAATTTGAGTTTTGTCCATCCTTTATGATATTTGTACATATCGTTCTATCGATCTTGCTCATCAATTCCACCAAACACATAAATGCATTCCTTGTATGCTATTACTGTATGTCCAGTCCTTGGAGAATAATCGTTTACATCACTGGGCAATAATTCCCATTGCATTATTTAAATTATTAAATATGTATTATTAGACACCTACTCCTATGATGCCCCTGGCTCATGCGATGAACAACCCTCTTCAAGTACAATAAGCTGCCAACATTCGCAAACCTGATTTCCCCCCAGATGTAACATTATGGGTTTTATCCTTAGATGCAACCAATCTTTGTCATCCCTCAAATTGCTCATATCAAATCCCAATTGAAACCAAAATGCAGGGCCTATGATCCCATTTTGGGGGTTGGAAGAAAGGCTGAGTGGATGCTGGATAAATTTGAAGATGAATATGAATAGATGGAAAGAGAAGAAAGAGAAAAAGGTATTCATAGTTATGATTTTGTAGATATTGTTAAGCCATCAAGATTGCCACTGAAGATATTGAAGAAGCAAGAGAAGAAAAGATAACATAGTGAAGAAGTCAAGAAAAGATTGTAAACATGGAATCCATTTGAAGATGCAAACATCACATCTGATCCCTACAAAACTTTGTTTGTTGGACGATTGAATTTCGCTACAACTGATAAAAAATTGCGCAAAGAATTCGAAGAATATGGCCCTATCAAATCTGTTAGGATAGTGCGAGATTCAACTCATGATAAACCTAGAGGTTATGCATTCATTGGTAAGGGGGTGATCATAAATTAAAAGAGTATGAAAGCAAGAACAGTGTTAAATCAGCTTATAAATATGCAGTGGATAAGCGTATTGATGGTCGCAAGGTTGTTGTAGATATCGAAAGAGGTAGAACAATTCTTAAATGGAGACCTCGTTATCTTGGTGGGGGATTGGGAGAATTGAGAAGGTCAAGGAGTGAAGAGTTGTTGAAGAAGACCAAAGATGATTAGGTCGAGAAAGAGGAGGAAGACAAAAGACGCAAAACTAAAAAAGGTAATTCTATAGATCTATCCTCCTGTAGACGATGGCAAGTCATCCAAAAAACCTAGATCTCGATCTAAGAGTGCCAAAAAACACAAGAAGAGAGATGAGAGTGAATTTAAGAAGAACAAAAAGAGAGAAAAATCCAAAAAGAAACATAAATGAGTGATCATGATGATGAATAACACAAAAAAAAGGTAAATTTATTTATGGTAAGTATTCTCTTTTAAAACATCTTTCTTCTCATTCATATGAATAGTTTATATAAAATATATTTACGATACCAAGCTCTCAAACGTGCCTTCAAATCTACTAAACTATATCTTAGATATGCCTAATTTAAAGAAGAATTGGAAGACTAAAAGCTCAATAGAATCTGTGTGGGACAAGATCGTATGGGTAATAAGTTTTATCAATATTATTCCTACTATGGATTACCCACTAAAAGAGAAGTAAATATTCATGCAATTGACATTCTTAGATTCGCTTTAAAGATGATAGGGAAAGAATAGTAAACGATTTAGCATATTATGATTGGCTCTATAAACGAATTGAATAACCACCCACAGAAGAGTAGGTTGAGCAATTGTAAGTACTTTTATTTCATATTTAGCTATAAAGAGGAGTAATTGCGTTTTTAAAGAGCCAGAGAATGGGATGAATAACAAGAAAAGATGATGTTAGCATTTTATGAACAACGAAAAATTAGAGAAGAATAATACAAGAAAGCTTATTTGGAATAGAAAAACTTTAATCAAAATTCTGAGGTATTTGCAGAAATAACTAATAATTCTGAGTTGAAACAAGAATCTCAAAATGAGTAATGGTAACCAAAATCAAAGCGCTGATTTCATAATATTAATTACATATATTTAGTTAAGAATTATCAATCTTTTGGTTATAGCATCAATCTGATTTTTTATGTCACACTATTTAAGACTTATAAAATCAAATGCGATTTAAAAGAATTTTCTCAAAATAAAACTTAAAACTATGATAAATTATTGGCATATCTTTGTTTTAATGCCATTTCTCTTTCGAATGATCTTAAATTAACTATATAAAGTATTCCTATTATGAATTCTGATTCAAAAATTAATTAATGTATATGGAAATCCATTTGTTAATCAAACTATAAGGTGTAAATAATAACTAAATTGATGGAATGAAAGAGATACTAATGAAAGTTGTTTTAATTTATTAATGTAAACATGAGCAAAATTTTAGTACTAAATATATATATGAAATATTATTGTAGACATCATTATTAAAATAGTTAAATAATTGATAAAGAGCATTTGAAAGATAAAATCACAAATTGCTTATTATTATGATTAACAATCAGATATCAAAGACATTGATTAAATTTATTATCTATTTTATTATTGATGCTTATTATATTTTATAAATGATCAAAACAATTGTACGGGTGATTTGATGGCATTTTTAAAATCGTAATATATAGTAACAATGGGTGCTGTGTCTTATGAATTTGATCCTTTGATTGATAGGGCGTCTCCAATTTTCTTATTGAATATATATTGTAATCTAATGTAATTAATAACTTACTGATTTTGCTTTTCAGCATCCAAATATAATCTGATATCAGTAATGCCTCCATGCCTATCTTGCAATTCCTTATTGATGAACATGAGGGGATCATTGTAAGCTACAACAATTTCGAAATTTGGATAAGGCCAATCTTTTTCTAGGATGACAAATTTGAGTTTGATGTATTGACGTTATTCACTGTCCATTTCGAATGATGGCTAAAATAGGAGTTTTGTTATGTATGTATATATACATAGATATTATTGGCGTTCATTTTAATTTTATTAATGAAATATACTATCATTATTCTTCAAAACAATCTTCGACTTATTGATTACGCTCTATAGTTTATGGTTATTTAGGTTCTTGTTGATCTTGTTAACCTTCCGTTTGCTTTTTGATCCATTCTCGGGTTTTAACAAAACGCTCAGGATTCTTAGGTTCAAAATTGAGTTGTCTCATTGCTTTTTCTCTTCTGAGACGACCTCCAAATTTAAAGAATTATTGAGACCAATGTTTAATTGCGTTTTAGAGATCCACAACAGTTTTTGGTTCTGCCCACCAAGTAACTACTTTGGTAGCACTATTCTCTTGAACATAACTAAGAAATTCATAATAATCAATAAGCATTTTTAGTAACTCGTCTTGAAAATCGATTTTATGATTAATGAGTTCTTGTATCTATTTATGTATTTACAGTTTCAAGAAATTAATCTGTTCTGAAAAATCTTTGACCATGAAAGAAAGTGAGATGGAGAGGATGGATTGTATTACTTAATCACAAGTTTAGAGTGTTGGATTATTGAGTGAAAAGTTAGGACTTAAACTAAGTTTGTAGTTGGTTTCTTGATTAATAAGAGTGTCTATTTCCACTTGAGGATCGATCATAATCTCATTCTCATTCTACTCAACATGCACGACCTCAATATCTGAACGAGGGCACAATGCACCCATTTAATTAATTATATAAATGCAACACTTTATATAGATATCCATCACAGTATATCTGATGGTAGAGGCATCTCAAATACGAAATGACTAGCCATTATGCTAGTAGCTTCAGGTTGATCCATTGTAGGGCTATGTCCTGCATTTCTCACAGAAACAAAAGTCAATCCATCAATTATCCAAACATTACCAGCATTTTGCGGTTCTGAACCTTTATCTCCAGGTTTATACCAAGGTCTCCATTCCTCTAAGGTAGGCAAGTCTAAAATATAGTTATTATTATAGACTTAGTTCTTTCTATAGTTTTTCTATCCAATACAAAGTACCAGTGATAGGAATAATTGAATCGAGGTCTCCACTGAATTTCAAGATTCTAATTCCATTCTTGATTAATTTAGGATATAAATAATAGCTGCTTCTTAAATCCTATGTGTAATCAATAGATCTGCAGTCCTTCCAATAACCAGCATCATCTCTAATATGTAAAGCCTTGATAAATATTCATATCAAACTTTTCTAAGTTCTGCATTGTTGAGATAAATCAAAAGGGCTCCTCTTTCATTGCATTCATTCAGCTATCGATCGATCCCCTCCTCCATTGGGTTTAATTTGGATCTCTTCCCTTTATCAAATTCTCCTTTTTGTTTGTTAATTATCAGCTAATAACATTTTCCATATATATTATAAGGATCATAATAGTAGCTCCTAAGATTATAAATTGAATAGTGATACCAATTTCCATCGATCCCTTCCTACACTTCCATATAGTATTCCATGCATTCTGGAATATACTTCATGTGACAGTAACTTGTCATAGCTTCAATCCTTTTGTATAATTTCTCAGTGATTAATCCATGACCATGAAGGAATTTGAACATATGCACAGGGAAATTTAATCCCAATTGTGTGCATTCTGTTGGATCAGTGCATCCATTACCAATCATCAAACCCTTCAATCTGATCTTATCACCATCTGCTGCCTTGGCATTATAATCAATGATCTCGTTTGCCAATGTTGGAATGTAGACTCCAGCCCAACCTTCTTCGGCAATATAAAAATCTATGTTCTTGTATTCTGGGAATTTCTTAAAGAATTCAAGAACTGCCTTCAAATTATCCTTTGCTGTGCTTTCATCGGATGATATTTGATTTCCAAAAGAAAATCCTACTCCTGCTGGACTCTCCAAATAAAACATGTTAGCCTTTCAAAAATATATCTTCATTATTACAAAATTCAACCAGGTGAATAGATTTTACTTAAAATAATTTGTACCCAATTCTACTGTGAATGGTCCATTTTCAACCATAGCACCAATAAGGGATGAGCATCCAGGACCTCCATTTAACCACAATATAAGGGGAAAGGTAGTCTGTAATGGTCCAGCTAAGCTAAATGCTGGGAATGCAAAATAATGGAATTGCTTTTCACCAGCATCGTCGATTGGCAAATACCCAGAGTACCTAGGAAATAAGTCTTAGCCCTTACATCTTTCCGGAAAAAGGAATTTTAAATTTTGCCCATGTAGATGCATCCACTAAATCTTCTTCTGGAGCTGCAATTACAAATCCAATAAAGTAGAGTAATGACAAAATTATTATTATGATAAAATATATATAATATCATCATATTATGTTACTAATATCTTTATAATTAATTCGACAAAATAGATATGTAAAATAATTAAATTATTAATTAATTCAACATTAATGTCTATCTCAAGTGACATGCTAGTCATTTCAACTCAAACAAAAACTACTCTCCCTGTCCCTCATTCGACCAGATCTCTCATCAAAAGGGAAAAGTAATATTCACAGGATGTTATTTCAAAAAATTAAAAAGGAAAGTAATCAATAAAGAAGAAAATCAAACGTAAAAGACTATTCTCTGGATCAAAACGTACTGTTAGCAACTATAGGGGTCGAATTCCACAGTCAGAAACCTTTACTCTTAACGAAGATCGCTTAATACTCTAGTCTGTAATAAAATTAGGTCCTAAATTCAAAGTGATTTCCTCCTACTTTCCTTAAAAGTCCTTAAGCGCTGTCAAAAATCGCTACTATAAGTATTTGAGATATCGTTGGGTTCAAATTATGGGCAAGTATTTATTTTTGCCAATATACAAGGGATTTTGAAAGTTTATTGAGGGAAAGCCAATCAATAATAAAGCAGGACGATGAAATTGTAGATACTGCAGAGCTCTTCCCAGAATTAAAAGATATATTGAAAAATATGATAACAAATATCAAATCTTTAACTTAATCATGAATTTCATTATTTTCAATCGTAACAAATGATTCTTGTCAATTAATATCAAAAATGGCGAATACTTAACAAGTACTACCTAAGAAGTAGAAGTAACGTAAATACTTCAACAGTTTTAAAATTTGGACTAACTGAAAATGGAACTTAAAATTTTTTATTAATGTTCTCAATTAATACGATATGATATTATAAACGATCTGTATGTCAAAATTCAGGTGCATATTCTTTTTCATTACATATAGAAATTTTATTTATGTAATTTCTGAAAATAGTCATTTGTACTTTTAAACGATTATTTCTTTAATTTTATATTGTATTATTTAATATTAAATTGATTGTTTTATTGAATTTTAAATCAACTGCTTAAGATCTAATAAATAAACATAAAGATGCTTTATACTTTCCTCCAAATAATTTTTAACTCTACCTCCTATTAAATAAGAATACATGTTATCATTTGCATCTAATCAGACTTATTACCGTCATTTACTTAGATTAAAAACCTATTTAAAAAATGGCCATCCCTATGCATTCTCTTAATTTTCTTAAGTACATTTAGATGAATGAAATTAAAATGGGTATAACGAAGAGAGTATTACTAAATTAATTATCAATTAAATTGATTCAAATATAAATAATGACTAAATAAATGCAATAGCATCAAATTGCCTATGTTTGATAAGTAAATAATTCTATTTATAAACTGTAATTGCTGATAGCGATAACGTTTTTTAAATTTCGAATTTATGTATAAATGTTATTTTTGTTTCTATTTACACTATAATTACCCTAGAAGCTTTTAAATTTTAGTAACTACCCTACATCAGTGATTAAATGACTAGTATTTATACTAATTGAATATATATTTTGTATTTGAAAGAGAAGAAGTTATTTAGATTACTGCATTTTCATATTCAATCCATAATTTCCATGATCACAAACAGACTCTATTTGTTCATGTAAATTTTATTGAACATGCTTCTACTTCTTCGTCCTGGTTGGAATGAGTTGAAATAGAGATTTGTCTACTCATAATTATTTAATATAATTCATCTGAATGTTTTTTAGCCTCTATTCTCAAGGTGAGATTGAATCATAGAATTTCGTTCATTAATTTTTTGGTCTTAGCTAGGTTCTAGTGGCATTTAATATAGTCCTATCCAATCTTAACGCTTATTGGGATCAGGCTGTATGCACTATGTGATAAAGGTCATCAAATTCTTGGAGTAAAATTAATCTAGCCATTTCAAAGGGTTTTCGAAAGCTTAAAACAAGGTGAGACATTACAGGAGCACAATCCTATAAAGCATAATCCTAATATGCTTACCCAAAAGCAAATACATCTACTTTGAATGGATTAATTTATGCTGTTTCTAATAGACTGGCTTCTGAATTAAAAAATGGTTTGGTTTCTGGGGCCAGAAATACTTAAATTTCAGGGTCCTTCGTTTGTTAATATTTAATGAAATTGCCCCATCTACCACCAATTAATTCTTAATCATAGACTCTATAGAGAAGATACTCTTCATCAAAATAGATGGTCTTGGTGGTAATCATTCCATGGGGAATATTATTATTTTAAAAGAAATGCATAGCTTGCATCACTCCCTTAATAAGACACCAAACTTCTGGTTCAGGTATCAAATATCGCTTAGCTTATCTTCTCTCTGTTAATTCATGCAAAGTTAATTGACCATATTCAAAAAAAACAAAAATCTAAAATACTTCGGTCTATCCAAATTAGCCGGGTTTCATTGTTTTTTGGCTTTCACTTTCAATCGAATAGAAAATATGTGGTTGTTTGATCTTACAACGCTCCTTATATTGCTTGAGTAACTGCTATTATTGGTTGACATCCATCTATTAAACTGGAACAGAACACACCAATTTCGAAACCATATATCTGTTAGGAACGTACATTTGTACTTTGCAAAGGGATGGAATCTAAACAATCGCAATTGTCCTCGCTAGGGGCAGAAGATGTTGTCTACAAATTTCAATTCCTCGAAGTTGTTTAGTACAAGTGTCTTTGGATCCCCTCTTTTCGCCATTCAATTTTAATTTTAATGTTATAATAGCATATTAAATTGAAATTACATACAATAATAGTTAACTTGATTTATATATGAAATCATAATCATATAGGATCTTCAAGGAGTTGGTTCTCCTCCGATTCTTGAACTGCGATGCTTTGAGTTATTTTGAGCATGTCATTGCCTATTTCATAACTTCTGATCAATAGAACAATAAATGCAAAAATAGTAGAAATCAATGGATTGACACTAGCCAAACCATAGGCATTTAATCTCCTATCTCCTCTCAGTGTTTCATTGATTTTCCTCACTTTCTTCTCTGTTAAATCATTAACTGTTGCATTTTACAACTTGTTCTAAATATCAAAATCTGTAGCCAATTAATCTCTACTATCAACATCAAATATAAGCATAATTAATCCTAATACCTTCTCTACTAATTTGTTTTAATCGTATTTTGCAATAAATTTAAATTGTAAATACTCCTTCTCTGTTAATGACTCTAATATCTTTTCTAACTAATAAGCTATGTTTTTTAATCTCATGTCTATAATCAATAAATCAATTTAATTACTTAAGTCTTTTAGTTTCTTCTATTCTGAAATTGGAGGCAGCTAACTTTATTGTTATTGTTGTTATTGAGATTTCTTGGCTGGTTTGAATCCTGGGTTCTCTGCGTAAAAGTGGCCAGGTCTGTTTTATAATCTGTCTTCTGGTTTTGCAAATTTAGCTTATTGATGAAATTGTGGAATCTCTATTTGGGTTTTGGGCAACTTTGCTTAAACTTTAATGATCTTGCCCTATGCTAAACTCTATTGATGGAGTGCCTCTTGTTATTTCTACTCTTCTTCCTCCTGTTGAATTACTTTAGTATACAAATTATTCAATAAGTCTTTTGATCTTTCAACAATAATTCTATAATGAGATGGTTCAAATCTATACAATGGATTGTACTATTGAATTGCTGATATAATTAACACATTTTCAACATCTATTCAAATTATGCTAGATTTCATTACTAAATTTTTATAATAAATGCAACAATTTTTCTCCACTTCCTTCCAAAGTTTCATCTTCATGGAAACCTTCTATGATTCTATTTTCTTATTATTCTTGTCCTGGCTTATCTTGAGTAACAAAAAACTATTGTTGTTCATAAACTCTATATGCATAACTGAATCTGTTATATCTCCTGAATTTGTCATTTGTTTTAATATAATCCATAATAATATTGATCTAGTCCTAATGTGCAATGGCTGCACAGAATGATCTAAAATTGCCATATGAGTTTTAGACTTGATTCCCAAAAATAATATTCTTGAATAGATTGTCATTATTATTATTTTCTTTTTAATCCATTTTATATAATATATTGAATATTAAAGTAATTATAATATTTTAAGAAATTATTATATTTTGAGTATCACATTAGTAATATTTTATTGATCTTCCATTTAAGTTACTAAATCATAAGATATATTATATTTATATATCCTAATTTATATAAACTTCAAAATCATTTTAGATAGATTTAAGTATTACTTATAAGTTGAAGAATCATTAGCATTAGCTTATTTTAGTAGTCCATATTTATGGGATATTAATGAATAAAATAAATTTTATTTAATGTTTTCAATGTAATATAAATGTCAACAATAGGACTCCTAATTGGATGGAATAACTATTAGGAAGATCATTGTCATCTAGATCATCACATGCAACGCATAATTTTTGATCTTCTGACCATCTATAGTTGTTAAGAGTGTAAGTGTTGCAATTACTCTATGCTATTTTTGAGGCATCTGTCCCTTCCACACATTTATTTGTATCAGTATTCCAACTACAATATGTATATTAATTTCCACTTCCACTCACATACGTAAGTAAACACTAAGTCTATGCAAAGTCAGAACATTTCTTTTCTCTGCAATTTCCATTCTCGTAATAGCAACCAGATTCTAAGCATAAGTCTTAAAAATCTGCTAATCCTCCACAACTTGGAATGTTTGGTAAAGAATCACAGGTAGACGCCTTACTCCATTAACAGTGAGAATCCATTGAATCATAGCTTTCATTGCACTCATCTTTTGTTGTCTTAGATGAGCATTTCTCTACTTATAAAGTAGTGCATGTCTCATTAACAACCTTACAAAGACCTGATGGGCATTGTTTATCGGTATAATCTGAACAGGTTGTAAATTCAGCACACTCTTGATTCTTATTCCAAAAGCATCCCAGCTCTACTTAGCAAGTGATTGCTTCTGTGTAACTATCACATATGGCATAAATATCAATGCATTCTTTATCATTTGGATCCCATTGACACCATGATTTTTAGTTAATACAATCAGCTTCTGTTAAGAGACTGCATGAGCAATGTTTTGAAGAATCAAAGCTTATACCTTTGACTACAAAAGCACTTAAAGTAACAGTAAACAAGATCTTAAACAACATTTTAAAAATTCAGAAAAATTAATTTCTTGACCCCCATTTAAGAATGCAAAATAAATACGAATTCACATTAAATAAACAAACAGGCTTTATCAAGTGGATTATTTATTTTACTTGAAATTATTTCTAAGTGAACCCTCACTATGTGAACTAAAACTGTTAATTTATAATTAACTTAAAGAAAATAAAAATAATATTATTAAAAACAAAAATCCAGAAAATCTGATCTACTCTTATTAGTTTTTCAAATATCTTTACATTATTTTATTTTGCTAAAAGGCTAATCATTTTAGCTATTTATGTGTTGAATTTATATCTAATATGATATAATAATTTTGACCTATCTACTAATTTGATGTTCATGAAAATATGATAAAAATCATAATCGTCCATTTAACCTCTTAGAAATATAATTCTATAAATAATTTTATAAAAGAATTCTAGAAAGAAGTACTTATGATATTAGTTTTAATAATTATTATTTATCTGTATTATATATCACACGTGCACATGACTTTTCAATCTTCAAAATCTCATTATTTGGATACTATGTTAAATACTAATATATTACTTTGTTTAAAGGTAATACGGGAATCGCCAAATTATCTTCCGTTTTACTTCAAAATTAAATACATAAGATTTTCATTCTATAAAAGGAGTTACCCTGAAGGTTTTTAGTTGGGTCTTTTGAGTTCAATTTCATCGATTTTGCAGTTAGTTTGACTAACAATCCAATTGATGAATTCTTGATTAGTTTTTTTGGAATCCAGATTTTCAAAGGCTATCTTATATCCATCATCTTCCTATTCTACTTATTCCTATTGATTGTTTTTGGAATAGTTGGAGTTATTTGAAAATTGCTTTCCGTTATTGAATTTGGCTTCTCTGACAAAGATTTGAATTTCATTGCTTGTATATTTGCCATCCTATTGTGAACAATAACAATTACTTTTTCTTGCAATCTAAATTTTCTGCCTTCCAAAATTAACAATTTCTAGACTTTGTCTGCTCCTGTAACAACGACATATCCTTTGGTAGCTTATTTCTATACTTTTTTGCACTCTTCAATTTCCCCCTGTTTCAAATCGCATCTATCCAAAATATAATTAATGATTTGGATGGGCACTGTATTTGGGGGTAGATTTTAGATTTCAACAACTGGGGTAATAAATTGACAAAATACCAAACTTTTGTTTAGAGTTGTCTGGAACACTGTCAAGGTATTTTTACTTTTTCTTGACTTCTCTTTCAATGGTTTTCCCACCCTTGTATCCACCAGGGATTCTGTACCCATTCATATCATAGAAGTTGTAATCTTCATCGAAATAGCCAGCAGGTTCTCCATCTCTGTCATAGTAATTTAATGCTTTGTCTACCCAACTCCCGTAATCATCAACAATATAAATGTCGGTTGAGCTATCGGATTATGCAATTCTGAATCCTTCTCCCTCAGGACCATCGTATTAAATATACTAATCAAAAAGAGCTGGGTTATGAGATGGTTTGTGTGTCATTAATAAAATAAATAATTATAATAATAATAATAATATATATATATAAGAGGTATTCAAAATGATAACTACTAATAGATGAATAGTGGAATGATTGCGAAGATCAAGGATGTTATTTATGTTACTTCATTTCAAATGGGATTTGTACTGATCGAATATTTTTATAAAATAAATAATATTAATGAAGTCTAAATAGGTGATACCGAAAGGGAAGCATGCTTTCGATTGTAATGGGTAGACATTCATAGTTGATGACAAATACCAATTTATAAAGCAGATTGGACATGGAGCATATGGAGTGGTGTGTTCAGCTTTGAATAAGAAGAGTCAGCAATTAGTGGCAATCAAAAAGATAACAGATGCATTTTCAGATCTGATTGATGCTAAGAGAATAGTGCGTGAAATCAAACTATTAAGTATAAAGCCTATGTGTATGATTCATTAGAATTCTTTGATCACGAGAATATCGTTTCATTACTTGATTTGCAAAGACCAGAACACCCTCAAAATTACAAAGACATTTACATCATTACTGATCTAATGGAAACAGATTTGCATAGAGTAATTTATTCTAAACAAGAATTAACAGACGAGCACATTCAATATTTTCTGTATTAAGCCTTAAGAGGATTATTGTACATACACTCAGCCAACATCATCCACAGAGATCTCAAACCAAGCAATCTGTTACTGAACAAGAATTGTGATTTGAAAATCTGTGATTTTGGATTGGCTCGTGGTTATGAGGATGAAAGTGAATTTAAAACTGAGTACTAATGTTCGATTTATTTAGATATGTAGTTACTCGATGGTATAGGGCACCGGAAGTCATCTTGAATGCTTCTGAATACAATAAATCAGTGGACATCTATGCTTTGGGATGCATTATGGCAGAACTATTAGGGAGACAACCACTCTTTCCTGGCGAGGACTATCTAGATTAAGTGCAAAGAATCATCTAAGTGTTGGGCACTCCTACCAATGAAGATGTTCGATTCATAGGAAATAAGAATGCGCTTACTTATTTGAAGAGTTTGCCCAAGAAACCTAAACAGCAATGGAAGAATTTGTATCCCCATGCTTAGCCATTGGCCTTGGATTTATTGGATAAGATGGTCACTTTCAATCCAGACAAGCGTTTGACAGTTTAGGAGTGTTTGGCACATCCCTATTTCGAGGGTCTGCACAATCCAGAAGAAGAACCTATTTGTGAATGCACGTTTGATTGGGGATGGGACAGCTTTAAACCTACCGAAGCTATACTAAAGTAAATGGTATATGAGGAATCATTGTCATTTCATCCACTTAAGTGATTTATTTTAATTAATATATACATGGATCTGAGTTCCCAACTAAATTAGATGAAATTTATAAAAGGTCTTGATTTTCGCAAGAATCTCATAGACAACGGACACTTGGGTCAGGGCAACAACATGGTGTACAATGTCTTAGTCAATGGAAAAATGTATGCGTTAAAAGTAAGGCATCCTTGTTTATTAAGTAAGTAATAATGAATTCATGCAACATTGAAAATGAAATCAAAATTATGTAATCATTATCTCACTCACCATATGTGATCAATCTGATTGATTATATGATATTAGAAACAGTCCATTAAGATAAATACACTTAAAGTCAGTAATTTGCATATTTGCTTATGGAAAAGGGGTAACAGAATCTAGAGCAATATCTGAGACAGAGAGAGTAGCAATATCTAGAGGTCGAGGAATTGCACAGAATATTGGAATAATTAATAAATATATTCGAGGATCTCCAACAAAAAAACATTGCTCATCGAGATATAAAATTAGTCAACATTCTAATTATGGAACAATTTTAACTCAAAGCATGCGATGTTGGCTGCAGTTCTCAAGTGGAAACCATTCAAACTATCAGCGTTGTCGGAACAGAATCCTACTTAGCTCCAGAGTTGTTGAATGCAGAAACTCATAGACTTAAACACAACCCCTTTAAAAGTGATGTCTACTCTTTGGGGTTGTGTTTTCTTTACATAATCACCCTTTAATTAATACACTCAAGATAGAAAGGCAATGCTCAAGTTGAAGAAGAAATAACTGCAGATTATTTAAAGCATGTTCAAAGAATTACTGCTGACGATAATCTCATTATTTCAATCCTCAAAAAAATGTTGTAAATCAATCCTATCAATCGCCCTGATTTTATAGAATTGAAATAGACTTATCTATAGTTAAAAGAATCTCAAAATCAGCTAACTAACTTATCCAAAGGAACTACCTTCGAATCTTTTGAATCCCCCAAAAGATCCCCTTTGTAATTCGATTATCTTTCACCGGATACTGTGTTAAAGAGAGGGAGAAATACAGGATCCAATTTTTATAAGGAAGAAAGACAACAGTCAGTCAAAAATCTCCCTTCTAATTTGAGTAACTCAAAAAAATAAAAATCTTAAGCCAATCTATTATCAGAATCAACAAGGAAAATATCATCCTCAAAATCACCCTCTAATTCTTCAACTCAGAATTTGCATATAAAGGATTCATCATTCTCAAAAAACTCATCCTCAAACCCTATTAAACTTACTCAATAGAGCAAACCGAAATTCTACTAAGCTCCTGCATCGCCAAATCATAGTCAAACCAATTTCTAACAGAGGCAATTCTCTAAGTTCCATCAATCTGTGATTGAAAGTAAAAAAGCCTACACTGAGAGCTACTCTCAATCATTCCCAGCAATACAAACCATTTTACCTACTGAATAGCAGTAGCCTTATGATGATTTACTCTATTGTAACTATGAAGATCTAATTAATTCATACTAATTTTAGAATTATGTTTGCCTCATACAAACAAAGCAAAAATCAAATTCAAAACGAAATAAATGCTAATTGCCTAACAGTTGCAAATTATTAAATTTATAACTCAATAATTAAACTCCAGAACTTCATTTATCTCCAGTCAATGACATACAAATATTGATCCTTGAATTAATTGATGATTGTAATGATCATAATCAAAATTATCGGTGGTCTGAAAATCTCAGTTGCATGAACTTTTAAGCAATAACACAATTGAAGATTATTGTTAACACTCAATAACCTTAAGCTAATAATATTATCTAGTTTCTTAACAAAATTTAGCACATCCCTAAAATTTAATTAATATTCCAATCTGAAATATCAGAATCGGATCATAGAACCATTATGTGGAAATTAAGCAGATATAATTGCACTTCCCTTGAGTTTAGAATACCTCATATTAAATTAACCTTAACCCAAAACTCTTAATTGTGGTAATTCAATTAATCTTTGGAAGAATTGTACTTAGATTATGAAGATTGTGGGATCCACTAGATATTCTCATTTCTAGTTACATCATTAAGAACAGTTGTATTCAAGAAGTTTTACATCAATTTATCAAATTTGCAATCAAAAGATTCAGAAATAAGTTTGTTTCTTGAATATTTAGGAACCAAATAATTACTCAGAGACTTAACATTAATTATGGATCACATTGCAAATTACGATAGAATGGTATAAGAAAAATTGAAGACTAACATATCTAAATTAAAAAATCTAGAAAGAGTACAACTATCACTTGTGGGTAATAATACTAATCTTGAATTCTTGGAAAAATTATTACATAATTTAGAACAACTAAATTCGCTTAAGGTAATAATCATACGCTTAGACAGGGTATTTTAAAAAGCCTAGATAAGAGAATTGATTAAGATATATCCATTTTTGAATTCATTTGTTTTATAATTTTATGGTACAGTTAAAACATTAACGATCATCATGCATAATAATGGATTGCAAAAATAATAAGATTATGGAACTACAAAATGTAACTAAGGGAAATAAGTCATTTTGAGTTAAATGTATGAGTGTATAAAATGTTCTAAAGCTCACTCTTTCTTCTTAAAACATAAATTTTAAATCTGTAGCACATGTGTAACATTGTGCCATTCTAAATGTGACAATTTTAATTTGAATAATAAAGAATCAATAACAGTTAGTTCAGATTCATTGATTTAAAGCTAATTTGTCATCAATAACATTAAGAAGAATCATACTTTTATTGAATCAAATGATACATAGGATTTCAAATGTTACTGTAACTTATTGGGTAATTGCACATAAGCAATCTGTAATAAGGATAGAAACAGAAATGAAATTTAGTTTAAGTATAGAACTTATATTTATTAGATGCAAAACATGCAATAAAATACTTTGTCGATAGTGCTCCTCTGACTGTCATACTGCTCATTGCATAAAAGAAATGTATATAAAAAACTTTCAATGTCAATGTGATTGTGATAAACACATATGAATTAATAGAAATGTAATTGATTTCATATCAATCTATATCCAATTTAATATCTTTTGGATAAAATTTAAGTTAGGTCTTTTGAAGTGCATACTTTTTTAATAGTACTAACCTTTAACTAATCATATATTTCCAATATACAGGGCCTTATTATAATACAAACACTTACTCAATTATGATTTGTAGATCTTTATTATTAATTTCAATTTCTTTGGTCCAGCAATTCAATAAACCATTGCTGATTTATTCTTCTGTTATTTCAATAGGTTATTCAATAATTTCTGGTAAATTCAATTGAATTTTAGTTCCCTTCTTAAAATCCTTATAATTAAAAGCTTCTGGAGGTAAATCGAAGATAGGTACAACATGTTCATCGAGGATCTATTACATGTTCTTAGTATTCAATAAGACAATTATTGAATCTAATTCTTTGAGAGTAGGAGAATAGATCTTAATAATTTGCTATGATATTTTCTCCCTTATTAAAATTTAAGTAGGTAAAAAGTCGCATGTATAAAAATTGTTATCGAAACTTGTAACTTTCTTTATCCACCTTTACGATAAGATCTTTTCAGGAAATTCATGTTTTTCTAAAAATTAATTATTTTAATTTTACAATCCATTATTAGAATCCCCAATTCTTTATTAACTGGCAACCCAGTTTAAATTTAATTTGATACTGCATTATCTGAAGCATTAATTAGCAATTCTGATTATGATATTTACTATAAGGACTGTGGCTCATTTAAATCTTCTAAAATAAGTCCATCATCAGGTTTGCTTTAGAGGTGTAATTGCAATTTTTCATTATCAAATTATTCTGCAAATGAATGCATCTCAAAGAAGTTATTCTTAACAATATCATGTAGTTTTTGGGGAGACAAATCAATAGTCTGTATATATTAGTATTCTTGTTGGTATAATTGAATTATTGGGAAATAAATTCTAAAGAACCCTAAACCGGATTAATTCTTGATCACAACCACCCTTTGGAACTCTTCTGTGTTGAAATGATTAACCTTATACTTCAATCTATTGAGTCCCTTCTACTTTAAAGCTACAGTATTTCTCTCCAGTAATTATAAGTTTTTTTGAAAGAAATCCAAGGGATCTGAATGAGTATTGAATATGGCCAGAGCCATTTAGAATGTCAATTAAAGAGGTTTGGTTGATTTCTTGTTTACCTCGCCTTCAAATTCCCTTATCCACTCTATTTCGCAAGATTTTATTAAAGCAAGTATGGGCATCTTTTGATATTTGTAAATTTTCTTGAAATATGTCCTCTCCTCTTTTGGAACGGATTCTGTGTCCTCTGCATCAGTAAGTTCAGTGACCACGTTTCTATTTATTGGTTCTAATCGTGCACTAGAGTGACCAAATTTTTGGGAGTAATGAAATTTAGACAAACCTTAAAAGCCTCTATCGCACGCAGCTCCAAAATGTCTGTTACTGAAATCGAGGCTGAGAACGAGTCCTTGGATAAATAGTCTGTTTTACTTTGCACAACCAATTATTTGATGGTTGGACTCTATTGTAAGATGGAACTTCTTTGAATCGGAGGGAGCATCTTGCTTTCGTTGTGACTAAATTTGCTTCTAGTATTCCTAAGATAGACAGGTTCAAGTAATTTATGTTGAGAAGTCATAATCGTGGGAAGAATATCGAATTTTGTATGACTATTGTTGTTGTTCATTAATATAATAATCAAGGAATAATGCCATTTGTCAATTTTTAGAAATCGTCATAGTATTTTGTATATTTATTGTTGGCACTTTGGGTAACTAGTTTATGTACATGTTCCTCAAGTTGTTACTCGTTAAGGTCCAATTTGAATCTGTCTTTGAAGACTTTCATATCAAATTTTTCTAAGCAAGGCAATTCGTTATCGATTTTCATGGCCTCCAAAATAAAGGCAAATTTGTCCACGTTCTTTCTCAATTCCAAATAACCTAGTAATAGTTTACTTTTGAATAATTGAAACATGCAACTCTCCTATCCATCAAGCAATTCGATATATTCTTTTGTTAATTTGAATGGAGCAGATTCAAATTTGATTCCCCCCGGAGCAATGGTTAAGATGAATCCAAAGTCAATATGGATTATATGACCTTGGTTATCAATTAGAATGTTGCCATTGTGTCTATCCTTAATTTAGAATAGATATTGGAGTAAACTATAAGATGTTAAACTCAAAATAAAATTGAGTTAAGCCTCTTCAAAGTTGTCTCCGAAGATGCTGTTATAAATATCCCTGAGAGTCATGGAAGGCATGGACTTCTTAAGTTGATCCATTGACATTGTATCATTACAGAATTCTAAAATTCCTGAGTCCACTGAAGTGATTATGATATCATAAGATTTGACATAGAGTCCGACCTAGGTTAAGATCTAAGAGAGTATAAGTTGAAATGATTACATCTTCAGAGACTTTAATGATTTGCATCATCATTTGTTCTTGTCTCAAATCATCACCTCCCTTGATCAACAAGCTTCTCAAACAATAGGATTTGAATTGTCCATAAGGAGAGTTCGATTGGATGACCTATCTTTTATCTTCCCATTGCTCACTAAAGGGGCCACTTTTCAAATCATTTTAGGAGGGAGATTGCAATTATTAAATTTCTTGTTGTTAGACAAAGTTCTTAGGAGTGTTTAATTACTTTTGAATCTTCTCGATGATCACCTTTTTGTTTGGATACTCTGAGACACATAAATAATTACAATACCATTAGCAATTTAATCAAGAAAAGTAACATTGTCTAATTCTTTGTCGCTGTGTTTTAGTTTTTCTTCTTGCTTAAACAAATCCTTAAAATCTTTCTCGTATAATTATTTATTGGTATATGACTGGATTTGGTCAATGCAACTTCTTCTACGCACAATTTATTCCTTTTTAAGAGGAGGAAATTGCTAATCAAACCTCTTTTTATTCTAATGGAGAATTTATTACCTTGCTAACTAAATAAAAAAACCCATATCAATACCTTATCTTTATTTTCCTGCAAGAAATCTTCAAAGACAGTGTAATCGAATTGATGCAAAGCATCAAATTCCAAAAAGGCTTAAGAATCAATTGACAATTGTTTTTAAAGAGTGACAAGTGATTATTCACGTTATTCATACTCGTCCATATCTACAGTTTCGACCACCAATTTATATGGTACTCTCTTCTTAGTATTAAATGATTGTGCTTCAGTATCAATAATACGAACAACCATCTATGATCTGCCTTTAAATGGTAGTATTATTCCTTTGCAGTATTTGATACCAGGATTATTTCGACGAAAACTCTCCAAAGCCCTATTCCCTTTAATGAGATTCCGTCTCAAATAGAGTTGTCTCTCATTCAGAGGCACATTCTTAAGATGCAATGATAAGACAGTCAAACAAGTCACAAATCTATGAATAGAATTCACATAATTCGATCTGCTCTCCTTTTCTAGAAATTGATTCTCTGAAATTTGATTTACCATAGCTTCTTCTATTTTTTAATCGAATACAGCCACACTATTTTCAGCACTCTGTCTCTCTTTATAAGAATAAGCCTCATAAGACCATTTGATCTAGTAATGAGAAATTTGAAAATACTATCTCATAAAATGCTATATGTTCTGCACACTTCTTCAATAAATACTCACCAAGTTGGGGCCATCTCTTTCTTGTGAATAGATAGCTAACTTTATGAAATCAAATCAATACACCAATCCTGATAAGTATGTGCTAGTCTCATCGTAATTCAATTAATTCAGTCTTTCCAAAAACTCCGTCAGAGTTGATTCTTAAACATCCTTGCATATGATCTTCCTAAAGGATTCGTCGATGCTTATCTATTTACCTTAATTCATTAATTTATTCTTATATAATTAAAATGCTCCTATTTTTGATAGCTCTTGCTCGATCTCAGTCTGCCTCCTCTTCAGGAATGAATGAGGTACCCATCTATTGTTTTAGGACTCCAAAATCACTTATGAAACATACTATGCCCAACTCCTACCCTATTACATAGTCGACATGTCATTCCCAGACTATTTCCAAATATCAATGAAGATTAGTGGATGTGAAACCTGCGATTCTCCTTACATTGAAGGAGGACCTGACATGATCATTGAACTCAACTATTCCCTTTTCATTGTGAAATGCGATCAGATATGGGAGTTGCATGGAATCTGTGGAACCTACTTAGAAGTTCACAAGTAATTGCCATTAATCCTATTTCCAAGACCATTAAACAAAGAAATAATATATGAGCAGCAAATCAAAGGAAAAGGAACTCTAAAAACATAAATGCTAACCAAATCATTAAAAAGTGGTCGCTATGAAATCTGGGTTGTTGTTCGCAGTAAAATTGGATTTGTCATTTAATATGTGAAATCATTTTATATTACTATTGTCAATTAGTGATGCATTTTATAAATTTAAACTTAATATAGTATTGCCATTAGAGATTGTATAGTTATGTTGATGAGGAACTAATAACACAAAGAATTATCTCTAGGGCCTGTTTCTCATTCAAGAATGCCTTAAATTAAGTCTCATTTAATTGGATTAAATAGGAATTCAAAATATTAATAGGCCTACAAATTATAAAAAGGAAGAGGAATTAGATTTGATGAAAAAGAGCAACTTAATCTATTAACGAAATTTCTATTGAATAAAAGTAAAAATGAGGAATAAACAAAACAACTCTAAAAGTCCTCAACCATAAGTGAAATTATATTATGTAAAATTTGATAAAATATTCAAAATATTCATTGTCAGATCTACGACTATGGAAATACATCAGGATACTATAGAAGATTAGATTATCAATGAATACCTATCCAGGTCTATAAGATGGTGCATTAGATCGAACTCCTGATTTGGACAGTTCGTTCTACTTTTTCTTTAATGACTCCAACTCAGCAGTGGTCACAACCAACTCTTCTTAGACTTAATGATATTCTCTGTTGAGTTCTTAGAACTTGTTCTTCCAAATTTGAACATCGTTTGTAAGTTTGGTAGTTTCTTCATAGGTTGTATTGCTATTTTAATATTCGTATTCAAGATCCTAATACATTTTGTCTAGTTCATTATATCTCGATTTCCAATCTTCAATTTCGATATTCAATTATTAGATTTGACTTCTGAGCCTATCAATTTAGTCCTTGTCTTCATTGTTTGATTAGATAGTTGGTTTAAAACTGAGTTGGTTGGCTTTAAGAGAATCGTACTCTGACTTCATTTGTAGAATCTTATTGTCTAATTCTGAAATCTTACTATTCAAGTATTTGATGGTTGATTCCTGTTATTGGATTTGAGATCTGAGACGATTAGTTTCATCATTCTTCTATCTCAATTCATTCTGCAACCTCTCTATTTCAAGTTGGAAATTCTAAAGTTTGCCATCATTTTCAAATTAAGAATTTAATTTAAGTGATTCTATTTCCCTATTTCGATTATCAACCATTTCCTTCAATCTTCTAATCTCAACCTCATACTAAGCAGAATCTCTCAATTATGCTTCAAGTCTTTGGTATTTTAACTTCCATTCTTCAGTCTCAGCCCTTTGACTATTTACAGAGAATTGAGCTCTGTCAATTTCTTATCTCAATTAAGAGAGAGTGGCTTCATATTCCTTAAGTGACAATTGATGTCTGCTGTCAGCCATTGATAATTCTAGAATGCGATATCTCTTAGAGAGTTCTTCGTTTTGATCTCTGAGTCTAACAATTTCGGCATTTAACATGGCTTCATTCTCGACCATAATTGCTCTCATCTTATCAATATCTATTTCTGCTTATTATCTTGCTTGTTTGTCAGTTGCCATATATAATTTGTGTTTGTATTGATCCAATTCCAAAGACATATCCAACAAACACTTATTTAATCTATCAATTTCCAGATACAATTAATTGATCTATGGTGAAATTATTGGAATTCTCATACCTTCAAAGTATCTTCAACATAAGTGATTTTTTCAGTAGCCCCAATCCCTCTGAGTCTCATCACTTCTGTTTGACATTCTGTTAATGCCTGCTCCAATTATGAGCATTTGGCCTTCCAAACACTCTCAATCTCATCTCGAGTAACCACTGTAATTGGAGCTTCTCGATGATACATTTCTCTAACATGAGGATGAGTAACTGTGTGACTCTATGAATTCTCGTTCGGTTTATAGGATTGCTTAATTAATTAATAAATGGAATACATAGGGGGGTCGAACAGATTGCTATGGTTGAGGATAGCCGTACGCCTACCCATATTGTTAAGAAGCTGGACTATATTTCATTACGTACTGTTAAATAATTAATATAACAGAAATTCATCTGATATATGTTATAATGATTTAAAATTCAATGACATCCCCTTTTTTGGAGTCTTGCTGATACTTTATCTCATTTACTATCTTCAAATCTATAGGTATACCACTTTTTTATTTTAAAGTGATCTGTGCTTTTTCAACAATCAAAACATATATTAATATTAATGATCTATTTTATTTAATGATATTAGCATATATATAATATAACATTATCACTATTAAGAAATATCAATAATATCAAATAAATTAATTGTATAATTATGAATTTATCATAAAAGAACATCGCGATCAGCGTGTTCTTAAGTTAAAGTTCTAAACCAAGGCCAAAAATTTGTGAGATTTTTTCTCATACAACTATGTAAGTGCTAACGGTTAATTTATACATTCTTGGCTTTCCTTCAAAATGATCTTTTCACCAGAAAAATCTTCTTAATTATAAAGTCTGACTGAATATCCTTTTGGAATTTGAATGGATTTTATTTCATGATCAAAATTACTATGTTTATTACAATCTATACTCAATGTTTCTTTGAGATTCACATAGGTCAAGTGATTCCCCTTTGAAATGACATTATGAGTAGATTACTATGCAATCAGAATTCTAAACAGTCTTTTCAGTTTCTGCTAATATTAGATAAAACTATATTACAGTTTTAGTTAATATCTTACTAAGTAATAGATTAAGTACTCTAAGTATCTATCATGTCTAGTGAAGGTATACCATTTGCACCCTCTTTATTACAAGATTATATACTTATAGTGAATTTTCATCATTTGAGAATGAATCTAATTCTGAATTTGAAGTGTTAATACTCAAATGGTCTAAAATAAAATTATTTGGATCTTCATTAGAGTTATTTATTTCATTGTTTTAGGTTATGTCTGTGTTGGAAGAGATAAAATGGCCATCAAAATCAAAATATCCTTGTTGTGATAATGCTTAATCAGTATTTCTTTGATTTTTATCAAAATTAACCATGGTAGGTATGGGATTGGTTTCAATCTCACTCAATTCCATTTTGGATTAGGCTAGCACTATGGCTGGAATAAGAATAATTCTAAACATTAAAGCCTATATTGGCATTTTAAAACGGATTAATTAATATTATATAATGTTTGTCATATAAGCTCAATCTCAATTATATTATCCTTATCATTAAACACTAAAACACCCGGAAATATGGTTTAACTATTTTCAAATGTCAATCCAACCATGGCACATACAACACTTCCAACTTTTTACTTTGTAGTAGGAATGATTTTAACTTTCAAATAGCTCTGATGATTTATAATTTTCAAAGTCTTTGTGAATTAATTCCTATCCTTTGTTGTAGTAATTTATATGACTTAAACTTTTTGTTGATTCAGTCTGTCACTGCTGAATAAATAATAAGCATCATCAACCAGCAAAGAGAAATCGAATTCAGAATTTGGAATGTTAAAAGTATTCTATTTTGTTTCAATGATTTTTGATTCTGAAAAGCATAACTCTGTGACTCCAACACTTTTATCTATTTAATTGTTACCCACAAACAAAATTGATTTACTATTAATTGCAGCAAATTAAGAATTTTCAGTTATCTCTTTCGAAATTTTTATTTGCTCATCCATAACAACTTTCTCATCAATCTTGTCCTTCACAACAATAGCACCTCTGTCTAATATAATTAATAATGATCGATAAATACTTCCAATCATGAGTAGATGATTGTTAAATTAAAGCAATCTCGACACTCCAAATAATGTATAGCCAGGCATCAGAGACACATTAAATATGGGTTTATCCTAATTCCCTTCGAAGATTTAATTGAAGTTTCCTCTATATAATTAATAAAGTTTATCTTGTTAAACAACCAAATAAATAACCTTGTTAATCAAAGAGACTTGATATGTTGTCATTTGGCCATATTGAAAATCTGCTAGTTTTATTATATTATTTTTATTAGTATCATCATAGAGATCTAATTCTATTTTGATTTTAAATATATGATAAAATAGAATTAATTTGAAATTTATTACTCCTATCAAAGTAGGTTATTATTCTTGACGACTTTTGCGGTAGATTTGAAAGATTTCATTATTTCTCTAATTTAGAAATCTATATTACTTAAACATTTAATTTCTCAATCAATTACAAAGTAAACTTATTTTATTTATGATTATCATTAAGTATTTTCGCATTAAATTTTTTTTACAATTCAAAAAATTGCTATTCCTTACTTAATACAAAATCAAAGTAACTTGATTTCTGCAATTTGAAGGTCTATTGATCCTCCATCTTAACCACAAATTAATTTTCTTTATTTTAAAATTCCTCCTTGATATATTACAAATCTAATAGAATTTGACCCTGTTAATGACAGACAGGGCATTTAAAGTATTTTGAATCATCCTTCTTCAATTAAATTTATATCTCTTAATCCAATTCAAAAAAGTTGAATTGACAACCCTTGTTCACATGATAGTATGGGAATGTGAGAGAGTCAAGCGTTATTTACGAGTACTAGAGTATAATTCTATAATGATCATTTTTCATTAAGGTACCAATAAAAAATTAATTATAATCATTATAAATTACTTTAATTAGAAAACTATCTTAAATTTATTTATTCCTATCTCTTATTCTCATAGCTAATATATTTTGTACTTCGTATTTATTTCATAAAGTAGAATATTTTTGGAATATCGGGTTTATAATATTATTATTGACATCTATTGATCATTTAAACACAATTAAAGTTGCCTTTTCTGGAGTTCCCTATACTAAGTAATCTTAATAATCTATAATTAAGAATAGAAGAGCAAGGTAATTAGGATTAAAATATAACTTGGTAGATAAATGTGTATTATTTGATAACAACGAGACCAAGAGATTGAATAAAGTGTAGAATTTGAATCAAAGCTATTTGATTTGATTGAGTGAAGCATCAATTAACGCCAAATCAGATAGAATTGAATTATATAATATTCTTATAATATCCTCTATAATAATTATAAATGATACACTTATGATATTATGATTTTAGAGTATCTTATAAATATTATTTTATAAATACTCATTTATTAACTAAAAAATAAAAGAAAAATGTTAATAATTCAAAGAGTTTAATTATGCCCTTATTTTAAAGTAACTATTTCTTGTTATAATTTAGAAATATATTATAAAAGGGCTCTTTCCCTATTATTGTATGAATCTAAAATGAGTTTCATCTTATTAAAAACAGCCTCGAATTATCTATTTACTCTCTAATTTTAATAGAGTTTCTTCTTTTTTATATTATTTTTGGAATCTCCTAATTCCGAATAATCGATAGAGCGAGTAATGTAATTTGGATCAATAAATTTTCTATAGAATTTTGATGATTGTAAAATTGTTGGTTATTGAGATTAGGAAAGTCTTGGTTGACGATTTAAAACTGTATCCATGCTCTTTGGTCTAATTATAAAAACGAAAAGGAAACTTTAGTGAAATCATAGCAGACGGTTGAATTTTATTTGCTGTGCTATAATGAGATCTAGGTTTCACTTCAGGTACACTTTCAGAATCAATAGTTTTTGACATCCAATCGGATATCGTAGCATATCGCTGCCTTACTTTGAATCGAATATCCTCATTGTAGTTCTTTAATTTCATTTCCGTCTTTATTATTAATTTTGTATAAAACAGAAAATATTAATTTACCATTGTAGTTTAGATAGAGACATGTCGATCCTAATTGTATAACAATAGAATATGAATTGGTTTACAGAATTTATGTTGTGGAACCAATTCCAAAATCTATATGATAGGTATAAAAAATAGGAATAAGTTATCGCAATTGAAGCATCAACAGTATTATTAAGTTTTGTATTACCTAATTTTTGATTGCCTTTACAATCTAATTATATAATAATACCAACTTTTATGTTAAACCATTTTGAGAATACTCAAAAAGCATTTTGTTATATTACTATTTTGGATTTATATTAATATACATTAGATTAATTATCTTATCCTTATTAAATAATTAACCACTTTATAATTTATTATTATTTCTTTTCCACAGGTTCCTCAACATACTCCCGTTGTTTTCTACAATGTTTTCAATTTGGTACGATATTCATTTATTTTAAATAACATTTATATATATAATCCTTATTAATGTCAACTTATAATTAGTTAAATAAAATTAATTAAGAATTTATCACATTATTTGTATCACATTAATTAACTTATTTCATAAATTAGATGAATACAAAAGAATTCAGCATCAATTAATATCTTGATCAAATAGATATTCAAATAACTGATCCAACACTTAAATAGCACGCGTATTTTGAGAGTATCAAACACAATATTCACCAAAATAAAAATAGTTTTCTAACTTCTCCTCTCATTTTAAGAGAAGTGGGAAATCGAATGGTTGCATAAATCCATCATAAGACTCATGAAAATATTCACTTTTAGAATCGTGATAATATTAGAATCAACCATAACTGCGAAAGACACGAGGTTTGATTAAAAACACACTATTTTGTATTATTATTATTTTATATGAGTCAAAATGATAATTATTTCCCATTGTCTTACAACGATCACAATCACCCACTCCAGAAGTGGCGTTTACACAGCAACTCCATGCATAGCCAACCCCTCATTAAAATCGATTTTGATCATAAACCTAAAATGGTATATCAATTGCCAGATGTATTCATGACAAGTAGACTAAATTAATTAAAAGTAACTTAAATCTTAACATCTAGCAATCCTTTTGTGAAAATCCTAAAAAAAGCAGAAAAGCAAGTAAAGTAAGTTTGAACAGTTTAGAGGTATCCCCTAAAATTCCAAAATTGACTAAAAGCAAAGAACACAAGGACAAAGAACTATCTGAGCTACATAAGAGTTACTGTCAATTTAAGTATAATACTATAATAATATTCCAAATAGAAAATCACTCAATCGAGTTAAGAAATAACACCTAATTGCTGAAAATAATTGTGAAATCAATCCAATGAATCCAAACTCATCCTTTTACTTAAATGGAGTCAAATTACCTTACAGTTTGTACGTTATCAATAAGAATCGCTAAATGGCCATTACTAATTTAATGAATAATGCAAGTCCGCATGCTCATGAGTAATCGTAATAGTAGATTTAAATGATTGACAATTAAATCAAAAAAGTTCGTAATATTGGCCCTTATATCAGGGATCTAAAATCAGAGCAAATAAAAATTGAAGGAATACAGGAGTCGATCTTATTTGCAAAATGCGTACTACTCAATGTTGTGTGTGAACTCCGATTCCAAGAAGAGGTTAAAGAAGATTATACATCGATAATTCCCTCAAGAGTCTCGTTTCTAGCAGTTATGAACAAAATTTTATTATATATAAATTAATATTTGTTAATTATGATTACTTCGCCTAATCTCATCGACTCTAAATTTTATGAGTTATAAAATAGCACTCTTGCATCCAAATCAGATCACGAGGAATTCAAATAAATATTACTAAGATTGTGGATTCAGATCTCGAAATCTTTTAATGAAGACTTTGAAGAAATCCTGCAATTGGGCATCAATTCAGATATACAAGATGTCATGAATGCTATTTTGATCATTGAGGAGGCGAGACTAGAGCAAATCAAAGTATGAGGTTATGTTATATTTTAAGTGCGATAGATAATAGATTTAGCTTCTCGAAGATGAACTCAAGGCCATTAAACAATAAAATGCCACTCCTTCTGGAAATGATGAACTAAGAGAAACGCAAAAATAGTACAGAGAATTGAGTGAGCTTGTCATTTCATTAAAATTATCAAATGAAGATAAAGAGCAATAAATTTTGGAGTAAACCAAATTAAACAAAAAACTATAGGTTGAACTCAATCTATTGACATCTAAAATCAATAATTTATCATTAGCTTTGGTTCAATCTAAGGAAGAAAAAATCTAGTACATGGAACAATCATAAAAAGAAATTAAATTATTGATGGAAAAGGAGTTATAACAAAGCAAAATGATTCAGATTTTACAGATCCAGAAAATTGAATTGGAGAACATGCTCAAAAAGTCCAGTCAAAGGAATTCAGTTGAATCATCAAATCACTAAGCCTCTTAAACTTTCAAAGAGGATGATCAAGCCAGAATTCTAAGTTGTTCACCAAGTACGATTTCACCATATTTTAAGGAACCACTCATATTGATATATCAAAAATTGTTTTATAAAGTCTCTAAAACAAAAAAGCTGAAATGGTTTCAGGATAGTCACTTTCACAAATTCCTTATAGATTTGGAAAATGATATTCAATTATTATTGTTAATTATGGATTTTATCAATCAGCTTCTTTTACACCAAATTTTATCTCTTTGAAAAAATGATACCAGTATTATACTATTATATACAAGTTCTTTTATTATAAAGAGATTCAAAAAAAAAACTTATTCATTCCATTCTTATATGGTTACAATTAAACTTTTTATTTAGGTTTGTTATCCAAATTCACAACCTCTTGCTCCTTCTTTACAGGCTTTCTTTTCTTAGGACCTTTCTTTCCTTTGTTATCCCTCCTCTCTTCTTCCTCTTCTTCCTCTTATTAATCTTAATCGAACAAACTTGCTTATGTCTAGCCATATCTAGGAAACGTGTCATCTTCCTCTATTTATAATGGAACTTATTAACTAATTCCTAATTGATTGGATTATTAAATTTATTTAGAAGCCATTGTCTAAAAAGAAGCATTTAATTTACTATTTTAATTGAGACTGGTTCTAAATGTTTCAATTCTGAAATCTTCTTGGAATTTGATAAAGACTTAGTTTATATCATTAGCAAAATCTGCACAATAAGATGATTCTAATTTAGATTTACCTTCAAAGTTTTTTATAATGGCGTCACGAATTTAAAATATCAAAGAGTCCTAATTTTCTCTTTACTTTTTAACAATTTGGAGTATTCTATTACTATACTATGGAATGACATTTTCCCTAAATTTTTCTATGGTCTTGGGGTATAAATCATTAAATAAATTGGACTTTTCCTTATTAGTTGACGATAAAAAATTATCGAGTATGTTTAAGAAATCTCCTTATTCAATGATTTAGAAATTTTACTGAAACAACTTTTGTGATAGCTATAATATAGTATATTTCTGGATACCATGGTGGAGAACTCATTCATCATTGTTTAATTCTGGGAATTAATCTCCACTTTATTTCTTAAGATATTATCAAACTATTGATTAAGCTGTTATGCTTATTCCTTTCGTTTTTGTATCTATGCTTATAGATTTGTTTTTTTCTCCCAAAATTTGAATATTTAATCTGGATTGGAGACTCTGTCTGCAAATTTAGTTTCAATATATCTCATCCTCATCAATTCGAATCCAGAATACTCTACTTTAATTCTTAGCAATGGTTTTTTCTATCGATATTAGCTAGTTTAATAAAAATTAATCAGCTCCTTTTCTACGAAGTCAAATAGTAATTTTTCAGCTAATTCCTGATTGCTAATCTATAAATTATTATCTGTTGTTTTGATCAGTTCACTTAACTCGATATTCTTATAAATCATAGGTCTATAGCTCTTTTCTAATTTAATGCTTTCAAATTTCATTTGATTCTTTGTAAGTGTAAATAAACCTGCTTGCTTAATTAGAGATTCATATTCAATAATTGATGTTGCCACTGTGCTTCCAGGATAGAACACTTAAAAATGTTCGCATGTATCTAAAGTATAAATTCTACATAATTTAAATTAAATATTACGCCTCATGTTCATGACCCCATATCAACAGATCGATTTTATACTTCTTAAAGTAAATTGGATCAATAAAGTTCTTTTCATCTTAAAAATGATTCCCTTTGTATCTATTTTGATGAATGATCAGGATGTTGAAATTATTCTCATCTAGTGATTCCAAGACTAATTTTCCATCATTGATGATTTTATGTAATTAGTAGTCTTTCATGTATCCTAAACCATAGAGTGCAATCTTTTAATTATTTTTAACAAGAACTATAGGTTTAATAGACACAAAAGATTAATCAGTGATTTTTCCTATATAATTTAAGTATTTAGATTCATGAAGTATATCCAAAATGGACACACTTTCATTCCTTTCGGTAACAATATCATCGTGATTGCCATTAATAATAAAAATTGGTAATTGCACATTAAAATTCGAACAACTAAAATTAGGCTAATAATTGAGTGAATTGAGTTCCAGTTAAATTCCGCCAAAATTATCTCCAAACACATGCCTTTAAAGAATATCAACACATTTGAGTAAACAATGTTCTGTTGGATGTTTCTCATGAAATAAATCTCTTAAATTTAAATAATGTTATTACCCTCCCAAAATCACAAAGTCAACATTTTGTTATGTAGCTATTTGAAGAACCTCCTCAAAGGCTTCAAAGGCATCTTAGTATCGGTTGGATTTTGGTCCCACATTTTCATTTGCTCCAAGATGATTGTCAGAAGCAACTAAAAACTTAGATATAAATTTCAAAGTCAAATACTTTAATGAATTGATTCCTATTAACTTACATTAAATATTAAAAATCTCTAGAATTGTAATATTGATAAAATACATAAGTGTTTTTTAAATCACAGTATATTGTTACTCTTTAAATGAATAAACTTTTTAACTTGATCATCATCTTATTTATAAAACATGAGATTCCTTAAATATAGAAATATGAATAATACCCAAAATTGATGATATTTTCGTTTCCTTTATTTATTTGTTTAGTTTGATCTATGATTAGTTATTGCTTGATGAGTTGTATGGATTCTTCATTTCTTCTAGTGATTTATTCCAGTTATTCTAGTTTTTGAAGAGATTGATGACCATACTAAAATCTTGGATGTATATATTACATCTTATTGTTTTTTGCTTTCAGTCATGAAATCACTAAGCTGATTTTGTATATTTCTATTGAATTGATCCAATTAATCTTATCTCATTTTGATATTGTTTATATCTTTTTAAATTTTATTCATTTGTACTTCAATTCTCCTGTAAGATTCCTGTTATTCGATATTCAACTTCCTTTTGCCATCTACCTTAAGGATCGTATTGAATAAGGAGCTTGATAACTCAATCTTGCATTTCTCCTATTGATCAGATTTATTTTTGTGACCATTCAATTTGCTACCATTTTCCTCTGCTCTATTCCTATCTGGCGTTAGACTAGAACTGTCATTTTTAGTATTTGATTATAAATTGATTTGACTGTGTTTCTTTTGCAATTCATTGGTGAAACTTAGATGATTATTTTTATCCTATCTTTCGCTATTTAAAGTTTTTTGAGTGATCTCCTTTATAGGATGATTGCTCTTAACCATATATTAGATATGCGAGATGAGATTTGAGGAGGAGCCTTGGTTTTTAAGGTTTTCCTTCTATTCTTGGGAGTGATTAGTTTTATGACTCTGATCGATGAATTGAGTCTTTTTGGCTGATTGCATTGATTATTCAGTGGATGATACTATGTCAGTCTACTCGGGGATTTAGAAAAGCATATTACCAAAGCTTTGATTCTTTTGGATTATTTTGTGTGTATTATTTTCTTCAAGCAATTCTGAAATTTTGGAATTCAAAATTTGTTAGAAATCATTATTGGATAATGCTCTTCTGTGATTATTCTTTGGCTTGTTCATTCAAATTCAAAATAAATAATAATCGATTATATATATTAGATTAAAATTATGTTTGGATATAAACTCTTCACAATAGTGAGAGAAAAATCTGTTGTAATTGTGGAACAATTGGGAAAATACAACAGAACCTTGCAACCTGGATTAAATTTCCTTATTCCACTCATTGATAGAGCAGCATATACCCAATCCTTAAAGGAAGAAATCTTGCCAATTGAAAAGTAGTAGGTGATTACTAAGGATAATGTTGCTATTCATCTTGATGGAATAGCATTCATTCGTATCGTTGATCCATTCAAGGCTTCTTATTAAGTATCTACCATTTTCATTTCAATAGGTAAGTGAGCCTTAAAATGCAATTAAATTGTTGTGTCAAACCATTTTGAGATCTGAGATTGGTAAATTGAAATTGGATCAACTTCTATAAGAACGATCCGCCTTGAATAGAGCATTATAAACCGGTCTGAGCAAAGCTGCAGCAGAGTGGGGTTACACTAGTTTGGGAGTTGAAATATTATAAATTGAAATACCTGAAGAAATAAGAGTGTCAATGCAAGCTCAGGTTGTGGCTGAGAGAAACAAAAGAAGAGAAATCTTAGAGAGTGAAGGCAAATAAATTAGTGAAATTAATATCGCTACAGGGGCCAAAACAGCTTCGATCAAAATTGCAGAAGGAGATGCAGAAGCAGTCAGACTCGTTTCCTAAAATGAAGCCAAAGCCTTAAATCAAATTAGTGAAGCTCTAAAAGAATAATCGAAAAAAAGAGTCTTGGATTATATACTCTTATAACATTACTTGAAGGGATACTCAAGCATTCTAAAGTCATCAAAAGTTGTAGTCGTGCCCAAAGCAAAAGAAGGATAAGGAAATGATTTCATGAGTCTGGCTGCCATGATGATGTTTAATAATTAAAACTCATCAGCCTAAAAAATCATTGAAGTTTCTACAAAACCTAATGACATAACAAGCAATACAACCACAACCCAATCAGAAATTAGTAAGTTGACTCAAGAACAATTGGATAATCTTATAAAGAAGAATGTCTATTATAATGACCCAAGGTATTCATTCAAATATTCTTAGATTGTACTCAGATGATGAAGAAAAAAGGACACATTGATAATTTATAATCAAAAAATAAATTTATAAATATTTTTAACAAACATAAAAGTTTTAATTTCAAATTTTGATGCGATATTCATCATCATAAATTATGAACAATTCTTAAATAAGAGCAGAATCTCCTTCTTTTTAAAAAATGTAAGCCCTTGCAGATAGATGGAATTAACTTAAAACAGGAATTGATAAGGGCAGATTCGAAAAAAAAGAAATTATAGAAACATCCATTTTAAAAATAGATAATTTATTAAGTTATGACAAAATTAACGATGATGAAAAGTTCAAAGTAATTCTTCACTTTTAATATAGACTATTAAAGAACAATTATTTAAAATAAACGAATAGATCAATAATGAGAGATTTGGAAAGGAACATTACTTACGATATCAAGAATAATTGCTCCTCTTTGAAGAGTAGATAAATAAATAAATGGATGAAGAAAAAAATGTATTGAATTCCATGAAATTAGAACAAACGGAGAGTGGAATTATAACTATTGAAATAAATTGAAGATAGGTTTGAAACTGTACAAAGCATGTTGGAGAAGAACAACTCTCTCTATTATGATAAATTAAATAGATAAATTGGAGATATTGCCAATTAACTGAGTAATCTAAGATTTACTATAGAAAATGAATCATAAAATAGGTTTATATATAAAATATATATTTTAGAGTTGAATCTTAGACTCATTTAATTGAGCAAATGGATTTGGAACTAAATAAATTCTAAGAAATGATGACCATTGAAAAATCAGTTAGAGAAGAAACAGAAAAGAAGATCTTCTCTATGATAGAGGATGTGCATTAGAAAATTCAAAATGAAATTATTAGTGAAAGAATCTCTAAAGAAAGGTCATAAGAAAGTATCCTAAGATTGTTAGAATCAACCTGCTTAAAAATTGATGAAAGTTTTAATTCTTGATTTTAACAATATATAACTAATTTCCTAAAAATTTTATAGAATGTCATTCACTTATAATGATAGAATTCAACAAATAATATAAATATATTTTTATGATTTCATTAAACATTAATAATTATTAATGATTCAATCAGACAAACTAAATATAGATGAAAAAACATTGTTGGAAACAATAGATAGGATTTCTTTATAATTAGATCAATTTGAGTATAAGATGCAGTCTAATTTGTAAGTATTGATTCTTGTTGGTGATACAGGATCAGGAAAAAGCACAATTTTCAATTTTCTCTGTGGAGCTAAATTCAAATATGTTATTACCGATGATGAGGAGTATTTAGATTTGGCTGATAAATCAGATTAATATTCAGAGATGAACAGCGGAATGAAATCTGTTACCAAAGAGCCAAAGTACTTTTACAATGAAACCTTCAATCATTTATTGATTGACTTTCCAGGATTTCATGACACAAGTGGAGAAATAAGTTAGTTAATTATTTAGATGATTTTCTATAAATTTATTACCAAATCCAATGTAAAAATAGCATATGTACTCTTTCATCCATAAACAAATTTTATTAGCAGAGGCATTGCATTACAGTAATTTATAAAAACAGTTTTTAAAGAGAAAAATTTGGAGATCTCTAAACTGGCACTTATTTTGAATCATTATAATGAAAATATGAAGGAAGAAAAATTAATTATAAATGTTTAAAAACAACTAAAAGAAGTAGAAACAGTCAAACATGAATGGATTTCTGTTATTAGAAGAATTAATAGCCCAGAAAAATTGAATGAAATTTTCTCAGAAGAGAATAGAGAAAAATTGTGGTTCGAATTAATTACTGTAAATGAAATATCATTCTAACCTTAATTTTTACCATATAGTGATAGAATTAGCACATATATTACTGAAAAGAGTGATTTAATATTAAGTTTGATTTGTCAATAAATGGATTATAATCTAAGTCTAAAAAATAAGGAAATGAATGATGAATAATTCATTTTATTACAAAGTCTAATAGGTTCTATATAACACATTCTATCAACTACACCTGAACAAACAGAAGATTGGTTTAACAAATTTATTAATGTTTCATTAGAATTATCCTAAACATTCCATTTCGAAAATGATATCCATGAAAAAAGTTAGAATTTCCTAAAAATTTTCAATTTCTTTTCATTTTTCTCTGAATTCATTAATGGATACTCAACATTTGAAAAACATTGTATATAGGTCTAATAGAAATGTACTTATTTCTTAGAATCCTTATAAAAAAAGATAGAGTTACAAAGAGTTAATGAAGAAAAATTAAGAGAAAAATAAAGTAGAATTAAAGCAGAGCAATAATTTAATACAGAATCTCAAATTAGAATTTAGAAAGAATAAATGTATGCATAAGAGTATGAAAACAGAATTAGGTACGAACAATAATTAAAAATGGAATAATAATTAAGAACTGTTTTAGAATAAGATAAAAAAGGAATGGAATAGCAATATAAAGATTATTGTGAAAAGTCTCTTTAAATATAAAACAATCTACAAAATCTGATTTAAACTGAAAAAGTTTAAAAATAATAAGTAGAATTAGATCTTAAAAGATAATTGCAAGATTTATAAAATAAACTAAATGAAATGGAATAAAGAAGAAAAGAATGGTTAGAACATAGAGCTAATCATCCACCTCATCATGGTCCTCATGGACCTGGTCACCACGGTCCTCCTGGACACCATGGATGGTTTAAAAAATGAAATTTTATTATATTTAATGTTCTTAATTGAATGTTCTAAATAATTAATTATCATTATTCTTAATTATTTTTTTATTATTTTATTTATATTTAAAATNACAGTTTTTAAAGAGAAAAATTTGGAGATCTCTAAACTGGCACTTATTTTGAATCATTATAATGAAAATATGAAGGAAGAAAAATTAATTATAAATGTTTAAAAACAACTAAAAGAAGTAGAAACAGTCAAACATGAATGGATTTCTGTTATTAGAAGAATTAATAGCCCAGAAAAATTGAATGAAATTTTCTCAGAAGAGAATAGAGAAAAATTGTGGTTCGAATTAATTACTGTAAATGAAATATCATTCTAACCTTAATTTTTACCATATAGTGATAGAATTAGCACATATATTACTGAAAAGAGTGATTTAATATTAAGTTTGATTTGTCAATAAATGGATTATAATCTAAGTCTAAAAAATAAGGAAATGAATGATGAATAATTCATTTTATTACAAAGTCTAATAGGTTCTATATAACACATTCTATCAACTACACCTGAACAAACAGAAGATTGGTTTAACAAATTTATTAATGTTTCATTAGAATTATCCTAAACATTCCATTTCGAAAATGATATCCATGAAAAAAGTTAGAATTTCCTAAAAATTTTCAATTTCTTTTCATTTTTCTCTGAATTCATTAATGGATACTCAACATTTGAAAAACATTGTATATAGGTCTAATAGAAATGTACTTATTTCTTAGAATCCTTATAAAAAAAGATAGAGTTACAAAGAGTTAATGAAGAAAAATTAAGAGAAAAATAAAGTAGAATTAAAGCAGAGCAATAATTTAATACAGAATCTCAAATTAGAATTTAGAAAGAATAAATGTATGCATAAGAGTATGAAAACAGAATTAGGTACGAACAATAATTAAAAATGGAATAATAATTAAGAACTGTTTTAGAATAAGATAAAAAAGGAATGGAATAGCAATATAAAGATTATTGTGAAAAGTCTCTTTAAATATAAAACAATCTACAAAATCTGATTTAAACTGAAAAAGTTTAAAAATAATAAGTAGAATTAGATCTTAAAAGATAATTGCAAGATTTATAAAATAAACTAAATGAAATGGAATAAAGAAGAAAAGAATGGTTAGAACATAGAGCTAATCATCCACCTCATCATGGTCCTCATGGACCTGGTCACCACGGTCCTCCTGGACACCATGGATGGTTTAAAAAATGAAATTTTATTATATTTAATGTTCTTAATTGAATGTTCTAAATAATTAATTATCATTATTCTTAATTATTTTTTTATTATTTTATTTATATTTAAAATAATTCAATTTATATTTCTTATTTAAATTAGAGTGGCACTTTAAAAGTAACCAAATTACCAACTCAGGTTGAAAGTAATTGTGAAATACAGTTTACTTAGGATAATTTATGCTAATTTTTGGGCAACATATTGGAGTCTCTACTGCAAATTTATTATTGTGTAAAAGCAGGCTTTTAAGAAATGTGAAAATTAATAAAATTAGAATATATGCAAGCTCCAAATAAGAAATAGGCAGTCCATTACAAGCAATTGGCAAAGGTGTATAAGCAATGTGCAGAGACATAAAAATTTATAGATGAGTTTGAAAAGAAAAATAAGGTACACGTAGATAAGTTTGTTCCACTTGATTATTTGGAACTTCCTACCAAGATTCCCAACATTATTTCGATATCTCTAAAAAACAAGAAGAGGTTTGCTTTGGAGAATATTGTCAAAGATGGAAGCCAAAAGTCATCCAAGAAGAGCCGCAATTCTAAAAGTAAACAAAAGGAGAAAGAGCCATAAGTAGTAAACACTGAATGATCTATAACAATATAAACAATCATATTAGTATATTAAAAAAGGAATTTATTCCCCTCCCTTTATTTGACAATAGTTACAAATAGTAAGAAAAAAGAATGATCAATTTGTAACTATAAGAGGAGGGTCTTTTAAGATTTAATTAATTAATTTATTCATAAAGTTTTGTATCATATGGAAAAATCATTGATGACTGTTGGACTCCTATTACTAATTGGAGCAGGTTTGTATCTAAATTAGAATGGAGAAGAAATAGAAGAGTTTTAGAAGGTTAGACTATTTAATGATTGGAAAATCTAATACAACAAAAAATTTAGTAGTGAAAAAGAGGAGATGTATACTTGATAATTTACAGCCTTAGGTATCGTTACTTAGTATTCCAATAAAATGCCTAATCAATTGAAGCTCATAACAATGACAAATCAGGTAAGTATACCTATACCTTGGAAACCAACTAATTTGCAGACTTGACAGAATAAGAATTCGCATAAAGATATCTAACGTTCAGACCCAAGAGTATAAACAAATCAAAGTCAATTGATTACGTTCCAAATGGGTAAGCAAGAGATTGGGTTGAAGAAGGAAAGGTGCCACCCATTAAAGATTAAGGATCACAATGTGGTTCTTCTTGGGCATTTTCTGCAGTAGGTGTGTTGGAAATCAACAGCAACATCAAGTTTGGATTAGAAACCACACTTTCTGAATAGGATATGTTGGATTGTTCAGGTCCATATGGAAATTAGGGTTGTTCTGGTGGATGGATGGATTCAGGATTTGAATACGTCAGAGATCACGGCATCGCAAATGGTTCAACATATCCATATGTTGGAAAAGACTAAACCTGCAGAACTACAGTTAATAGAGATTTCAAATATGTTACAGGGTTCGTAGATGTTGATGGTTGTGATGGGCTCTAAACTGCTATTCTTGATTAAGCTATTTCTATTGGAATTGATGCATCCAATTGGGCATATTACAGTAATTTTTTATATATAATCTATTATAGAGGGAGGAATATTCAATAATTGCAAACAAAATTTGTCTTCTGGATCTATCTTAGTCGGTATTGATCAGAATGGAGTCTGGAAAGTAAGACATTAATGGGGATCTAAATGGGGTGAAAACGGATATATTAGATTGGCACCAGGAAATACTTGTGGAGTCTGTCTATCTGCTTCATATCCAGTTCTAGAGAAGAAATGAGACTTATTATTTGTCTGAACAAGATATTTAAAAATATAATCAAATTATTTTATTTAAATTTACAATTACAAAATTGAGAAAATTGCAGAAGTAAACTTAAAATAAAAAAATATACAAATGTATCTTAAACTTACAAAAAAATTCAGAATATACATTACTACATTACTGGTATGCATTTTATTATACTTGTCATTTGAATAACCATATTACATTAAAAAAACCAAGAAACTCAATCAAATAATATACTATTCTTTAAAATAGAGAAATATCTTTTAACTAAGAAATTCAAAATTGATTCATTTTATTATTATGCTAAACTTAACATTTACATTTCATTAAGTAGCTGGGTTTTGAGAACTGATGTTTGTGAACCTATCATTTATATACACAATAAATTTGATGGAGATATCTAAGAAAGTCTTATCTATTAGAATCTAAATTAAGTTCTTAATTTATATTGTTGAAAATAAGTTCATTTTAAATGAAAAATACAAAGTATTCATAAATGATAAGACACCTTCTTATGAATTTGATTTCAAAATAAACTAGGGTTTTACAATGAATCCTAAGTAGAAATTGTGAATTATAAATTAAATAAGTGATTATTATATAATTTTAAAATGAACAAATTACCTTATCAACCTTTGGGCTTTGTATTAAAATTTGATCCACCCATTATTGGATTGTTATACCATCCTATTGAGAATAAGAAGGTGAATAAGAAAAAGAAGAAGTGCTATGCTATTCATTTGAATAACTTGATCTTTTTAGTTGAACCTGAAGATATTGTAGAGGCATTGTTTAATGAGCATCAAGAATTCTTGGATCCTGATGTTGTCAAACCACAACAAGTACATTTGATCAATTAAAAAGGTGTATAAATTGGTGTTGCGATTGGTTGCTTACAGAGATCATTAGTTAAGAAATATGCAAGAAATGGGCGAAGATATGGGTACTCTTATTTCACTTAATTAAAGCTGATGGCTATTATGATGATGAAGAGGAAGAGACAGTACAATAGCCTAAAGGTAAAGGAGGGAAAGCATAAGCGCAACAGCGAAGAACTAATGATAATAATAGGTCATTTTGATTTTTTATATTATAACGATAATTACAATTTGAATTTTATTTATGAGGAGATAAAACCTCAAACAAGATCTGTATTCATAAATCTCGACAATTGGATAGTCATCCTCCTCAAAAAGAAGCAACCTTAATATTGATGATTTGATTTATTAGTTCAAAATGAGGAAATCGAATTATAAATTGGCCAAGCAATACTCTGAAATCATTAAAATATTCGATAACAAGCAATCACCAAAATAGCCATTTGACTATTAGAGCACTCAATTACAAACTAAAGTTAGATTGCGAACAGATGAATCTCAGGAATTATTTTAATTCCAAGAGACAAAATAAAGATAGTCACATCAAATAAATATTCATCAAATTATAAATGAGACATCTCCTATTAAAATTACTCCTAGACTAAATTATGAGAATTTCAAGACCTTTTAAGAAACTGAAAGAAAATCATGTGAATCAAATAATAATCATACACACCTAGCTAATTTTGGTCGTTTATCCAACTCCAATCAATGCGAAACAGACGAAGAAATCAAATAAATTTCATAGCAAAGTGTTTAAAAATTATCAAAATTCAGAACTTTTGAATAAGAGCAATTTTAAACTTGTTTTGATAACATTATATCTCAAGTCGAAAAATTGAACCTAAAATATTAAAAGCAAGGATTCCTGATGATTAAATTATTTTCTAAATGGACGCTTAAGGAAAAGGCTACAAAAATGTATTTTAGATTTCTTGAACACAAAATTTCATCATATTTTAATCTTTTTTAAATATATGAACCTTCAATAGAAGAAAATAATCATGATAATCAAAATACATATTAAAGAATCCAAGCAGACAATGTTTTGAGTCCAATTAATTTGAATATCCTCAAATTTTAAATTCCTCCCCTTAAACCTGTTACTTAATTTGGAGCAATGAATGTAAACTATATTATTAATTATAATAGTTTGAGGAATATTTAAAAAAGAAGAATCAGAATTTGGAATGAATTGTTTTAATATTGATTTACTTTAATTTATTATAGCTGTTTAGAGTAGAAGTTTATTCTCTCTTTATTAATATACTGAGAAATATAGGTTTCAAAAGAATTTCATTATTTTTTCTTCTAAAATTAACAAAAAAAATTTAAAATTGTTTACAAAAAATTAATGATCAAATGACCCAATTAGATCCGTCTTCGAAATACTTTTAAATCAGCTTATTGTGAAATCTTGGATATTCAAAATATTATTCATATTCGAAGATATTCTTTTTATTTGGATACAAACATTTAAATTGTCCCAGTCTCAGCTGCTCTTCTAATGATTGTATCATAACATCTAGATCCTCTTAATTAACTTTTTATCTAAAATTTCTGGTATTAATGGACTAAATATCATTAATATTCCTTTCATATAATTTCTTTTTTATCTGTATCCTAAAAGCTTTTTTGGTATGATATTCCAATCCTATCAAATGTAACATATCTGAGATCAATTAGGTTTTTATTTAAGCATCCAACTCAGAAGATGAGTTTAAGGAAGGACTTACATTAACTTCGAGTAACCATGGCTTTAATTTTTCATCTATCAAAATATCAAATCCAAATAACTCAAAATAATTATTTTTATGTTCCTATGCTAAGAGATATAAATAAAAATATAGTTACTTATTCTATTTTCAAGCAGAAGAGGCTCAGCTGCAATACAGGTCTTCAATACTACATCTTGTATTGATTTAAATAATAATTTATGATTAATTCCTTAGTCCATTAGCTATTGTTTATATTCCTTATGTGACCACTTAGAAGTTTTTAATTATTTTCCGATGTCTTAATTATTGGCTATGAAATTAGGAGATTATTTATTGACTGAAAAGTTAGTTAAATGTATGAATCTCTTCTTAATATCTGAACTTTTAAGTGAATATTCTTAAGTGGCAAATCTGACCAATCCATCTTTATACATATAAACTCGCAATGGATCAGTTGATGTAATTAAAACATAAACTCTAAGATCGTATTTAAAATTATTAATTAAGTGAGGATTGGAAATATAATCCATGACTAAATATCTTTTATCAGCAGTCAGTTTAGATTTCTTGTTGATTAATTTGATACCATTTCCTCTTGCAGATGCAACTGGTTTCTTAATCCATAAGGTTTTTTTTGGAGCACATTCTCTAATTCTTTCGAATCTCTCGAAATCATATTGCAATAAATAAGTATTGGGAATAAAAGAATATTCAGTTGGAAATCTTCTTTTAACTTTAGAGAGATGAATCCATAAGTTATCTTTTCTCCCTACACTCCAACAACCAGGAAAATGATTAGTTTTTTAATACCTCTTCATTTCATTTAAAGTTTCCTTGCTAGCCAATCCCCAATAAAGTAACCAATTATCGTCATCACTCCTTTCGAATCCAGCAGCTTCAAAAGAATTTAATACGCATTTGAAAGGGACCTATCCTTAGAGCTTATAAAATAATGGTTTTTTGATCTACTCTACTAAAAATTGTTGAGATCTTTATTGTTGAAGTAATGCTAAATTATCATATTAATGTACCTGGATATGGAAAATTAATAGTATAAATGTGCGGTCTATAAGGAGATTGCCAAACTAGTTGAAATTGTTTATTAGTAATCGTTGTTGATGGTTCCATTATGGAACTATCTATTTCTAAATTTCTCTCAGTTGATACTTTTTGAGTACAACTATCAGTTTATGATAATATTTCTTTTTGCATTTAGTTTCTTGTTTTTAAGGATCGGTTGCGTACTTTTAATTGTTTTTAAACGACTTTGACAATATTATTTTAAGATTATGATTAAGATGTAATTCTAGAATGAATTGTTAATGAGGATGCAGCTAGAGGAAGATAAACTGTTTAAGCTTTTCTGCTCTATATTTATACTCTTTTTTACATTTATTAATTAAAATAAAATCATTAATTTTGCAATGACGACTTATGCCAGGGTAAGTCTATATTATATAAACGCTTAGTAGAATTCGAAGAACCATAAAATACTGTATTTTAATTCTTACTTTCTTATTGTTCATTTCCGAATATTTCAATTTCCTCTTCCAAAATTTTAGGAATCTAAAATATTAAGATTAATTAACATTTGTTTGTGATAATCGTGGTTTCTAGTGTTCCTGACTACTAATTGCTGTAATAGGCCTAGACATTTTAGTTTGTGTTGGCATGACTATAGCAGTTGATGGCCTTAAAGATGTTTAAGATTAAACTGCTAATTTGCCACTTGTATTTTTTCTCATTGATGCCTTTGTACTGACTGCACTTGATGCTCTTTATAAATATTCAGTCATGAAAGCTGGATCTTACATCATTTTCTTATGCTAATAAACATCTTATTTGATATCTTCAATAGCGTCTGATATCTAAATTTTTTATGTTTATTTTTAGAATTAAGGATGCTCCTTTAATTATTTAATTGTTGGTATGCTCTTTCTAGATTCCTCATTTTGTAATTATTTATTGTGCTAATTGCTTTAAGATTATAGAAATTCTTTTGATCCAGCAAATTCTTCTCGTAATTATACTCTGAGCATCTTTCCATTCAATTTAGAATGATTTAGAATTTGCTAAGCATTTTTTAATTTCGACTTAATTTCCACATACAATTCAGGATCTCTTAAGAGTTTTTTAAATTCACCCATACCAGCATCCTTGTTTTTCAAGAATTATTGATGTTTTTACGTTCTTTTTTAAATATAGTATTCATTCCTATCTTTTAAGGATCTACCCTTAAAGACAGCCTTGTCCATATTGTATTGATAATTCATATAATGTTGTATTTTTGCATCTGGATTCTTGGCAGTTTTATATCCAGTTTAATCTACGACATAGAGATTGTCCTAAAGTAGTTTAATAATTAAACCATTTTGGGATCTCTTGTAAGATCCATCTTAGTTTTAGGAATCTTCTCATAATAAGCCCATCTGTCAACAGTATTGGCCATAAGGTAGAGAAACTCAAATTCTTAAATAAAACCCTTAATCTATAGGAAGTCTGCGCATCGTTTTATCCATTCTTCCAAAACGCTGGTGCTTATTGCTTTTCCTATTGCCTGAAATAAGGAATAAGTTATAAAAGTGTATACCCATAATAAATTGTTAATTTCAGTTGCATTACATGGTACTCCTTCACTCATTAACTCTTATTCTCGAAGATGGAATATAAGACAAGCATCTTTTATATCCTTCATTCTAGATAAAGAATAAGGGATTACGTAAGAAGTCCATCATGATAAAGTTAAATGGCTGCTTTGATGTTACGAACATTAAGATGTGTTAAGCGTCCATTTAGGAACTGAAATAAAGAATAAGTGAAATACCCTTGGAACTTCCTGTAGAAAGTAAAGGGATCTAAAAGTTAAGAAGATGGTTTAGATGTCAATTTTGATCTTTTCCACTATCTAAATTTAATGTTCTTGTTCAAGGATCTGAACTACCAAGTAAAAGATAGGCTACATCTACATATAATCTGATATCAGCATTCTTAGATCCTCATATTTAATTTGACCTCTCGCACTGAATTCACTTTGAATCCCGTATATTGTAAATTCTTCTAATTGTTAAGCTTCAGTCATTTATAAATAAATAATTTAATCAATAAAAATGGACTATGAATAGAATAATTATTAGGCATTCGATATTGAAATAATCGATACAGAGCAACAAAGAATAGAGTGTGCCAGATTAAGTTTCATCAGAAAGGTAAGATATTGCCTAATGAGGTGTTTTTGATAATGTTATTTCAGATTGGATTTACTTTCATCTCTACAATGATAGCATATTCTTAAATCCCAATAATTGAATACCTTTGCTGCAGACCATTCTTATTTTGGATATTTATGGTTGTATTGATCTTAGTAATATTTTTGCTAATGAGTTTTTAAAAGTAAGTTTATATGTAAATCAAGATTAGCCAAATAACATCCCTATAATTATATCTGTTATAGTTGTTTCACCCTCTCCATCTCATACATTTTTATTTACACTAGTCATCATTACCCTACATACTCAAATCACATCATTTCATTGATTACACTACAAATTGGCATCATCATTTCCCTCATCACCTACTCATATTTTACAACCTCGGAGATCAATCTAAGCAAAGGTTTAATCTGCATAGTCATCACCACTGCTCTGTTATTCATATTCTTATTCCTCTACTTCAAATTGTCCCTCATATTTTTATTTATATTGTCATTCCTCGTCATCTTGTATGGAATGCATATTATAATTGATACACTTCTTATTGTCAATGGAGAGGTAAGAATTGATAATTATATTAGAAACATGAATTAGATATAGATGATTACATAATCGCAGCCTTGATGACACAAGTTGACATTATTGGACTCATTTCAATACTTTATCAGAAATTGATTTCCAAAATTTCAAAGATATAAATCAACAGTAACTGATAATATAAACAATCATTAATTTCTAGTATACTATTGCTTCCACTCCTCACATTCTCTATTCTTCATCTCTATCTAGTATCTCAGAGTTCTATTCTCGCTCTCTAAAATTTCAACCTACGATTCCATCTATCTCTTTATCTATTCAATCTGAGACCTCTTGATTTCTTCCTTTACTTATTCCGATACTTCTTACTATTTGTGTATCTCAATCAATTTCTATTTCTGACATTCCAACTCCACCTACATTCTTTGTATCAATAACTAAACATTAAATATAATATTACATTATTCTCATTGTTCCTTAAAGCTAATTATCCCTTCTACTATCTGCATTCATCATACTCATTTGATCTCTATTCTAATAGTTCAGTCAATTGATTCACTTAATCATTTAGTTGTTCAATCTCTTAATTTTGCTCTTAAATATCATTCTCATATTGTAATTGCAAAGAATCATATTCATTTTATACTTATTTTAGTTAAGATGTTGTTGTTTAATTATGCTAATTCAAGTTTTCTAGTGAAATTTACAATTCTTGATTCAATTTCTAATTTTCTTGTAATTGTTTTTAAGTTTAATCCAATTGTTAATTCAATTTTTGAATCTCTTACAATAATTTATTTATTTATTATTAATACTCCATCTTAATTTCTGAAACTGATTTTCTATATTTCTGATCTAAATCCTAGGAACACAACTAATTCTGCTCTTATAAATTGCAATTCTATTCTACTTGTGATTATATCTCCTCTTGTAATCCTTAAATTAAATCTATTATAATATTTCATATAATTACTCTGCTATTCAAGTATTTATTGATTCAAAATGTTATTCTCATATTAAAGTTAACTAATCCTATGCACTAAACACTCCTTTTCATCTAGAAACTCCTTCTCTTATGATTTAACTTATTATTCATTTTATTATATGAGTTTATTAACTTCTCTTTTCTTTTCCTCTTAAAGATCCTAATACTTCACCTTTAGAGCTTCCAATTGCTGCATTTAATTCTTTTCTCCTACCTTCATCTCATTTACTATTTTATCCAATTATACAATCTCTTGTTTCTAAAACTCAATGGCCTGATTTCTTCTCACCAATTCATCTTATAATTTCTAAATTTGATCATCCATTAATTGTAATTGTTCTAAATGTGCTTATTGGATCTCTTATAAATTTTAATTATATTTCTAATCCTTTTGAAATAATTGCATAGAAGCATCCTTATCCATATTCAGTTTTTCGTGTTATAGGTACTTTAATTCAGATGAGAAATCATTCAATTATTGTTTCTATACATCTATTTGTTTATTCAAACGACTCAATTGCGTATCCTTTTCTCTCAATTTACTATTGAGCTCATCATTCTATTATATAGAATTTTTTAATTCCTTAGTCAACTAGTCCAAATGTTTCTCATATTCTAGCATTGTTTAAGTCTGATTAGACGAAATACACTAAAATAATTAGCATATTAGATAAGTACTCTTGCTTCTGCTTATTCATATCGACGTTTCCAATTGTTGATCTCGTGCTATTGTAATTCCACTAAATTCATTAATTTCTTAATCTCAAATTCTGGATTGATAAAGGTATTGCTTTGTTTCATATCCATATCAATGCTCTTCTCAAACTTACTTGTATAATGTGAGTTCCTCAGACTCTATTGTGACTTTTGTAATGTCGATCCTAAAATTAAATCAAATAAGAACCTTATTGTAATTCAGTGTAATGGGGACTTTTGGATTATGTATTTGGAGATATTGTATTTCTCGATTTTGGTGGTGATGAGGTCGGTACTGGTTTTAAAAATGAAGACATCTCTTTTTTCTTCTAACAGACAATTTATAATATTTAATAATCTCGTCATATCGATAAACACTTAATTCTTTAATCAATTCCCTTCATAATTTTATTCTTCCCAAATATGTCATCATTTAACATAATATTTTAACCCTCTTTTCGGCATTTATAAATATTCTAAAACTTATATTTATATACTATGTTTTGATAGAATAATAATGAAAAAATAAGGAAAAACTGTGAGTAGTTCAAATTTTATATTTTATCAATCTTCATAAATTACACTTTTCCAATGTGATAATGATTAATGGGTTTACCACTATTATATATATTTATGATAATTAATTTTTTTTATTAAACATTCAAAATTTATTACTTTTATATGTAATTTCTGCTTCTCTTTAAAGATAGAACTTAAGAAAAAAAAGAAGAATCCATTAAAAAAGGCTGAATTCTGAATTCGTATATCCTTCCCATGCTTACATCCATACATATAGACATACATACAAATGAGATATACATTTTAAATTATTTAATCCTATTTGCTAATTCTATTACGTTAATACATCAATTTAAATCCTAATTCTATTAAAAATTTTTGCAATATTTAATGTAACAATAAGTTCAACAGCCCTAAGATAAACTAACTGCGATATTCTAAGAATTACAATTCATTACAAATGAATCTTAAGGTTCATATAATTTAGGAAATATAGAGAAACAAAAGATACTCCTCTTTTTTGGATTTGAACATAAAGATGCAGATGCTTTATATGTTCATTTTGCAGATAAAACTGAAATTTTAAAAAACAAATATATTAAAATGGTTAAACTAAAGAAGGAGTCAAAAGTCTCTTATCTTATTAATACACCATACTCTTTAGGGAGTATAGTAGATAGATAACAATGCCATAAATAATGCATAACTAGAATAATTTTAAACAAGGTTCTAATTTAATTGAAAGATTGTGATTATCATATAATAGTTAATTTTGATAATCTTTAAGGAGATACTTAACAAGCATAACTAAATTAAATACTCGATTTTGGGTTGTTTAATTTTGGTAAAATAAGCCTTAAACAGGAAAAACAGGAATAGGTTTCCCTACTTTATAATTGCAAGAATGATAAAGAAACATCGTATTGCCTTTGTAAGGATATTAAGAATGGTGTCTAAGATCTCAAACATATATTTAAGTAGCAAACTTTGAGAAATATCTTTAAATAAGTTACATTTTAAAAATTAAAGATTGAAAAAGAAGAGGATTTCGGACCTATGACTGCATTTTTGATAAAGGTTATGGATGAATTAGTAGTTGAAATAACGACAATATTATAAAATTATTAGAATTAACTTTTATAATTGCAATAAATTCCCATTTTATAAGATGAATAAGATTTAAATTAGGGTATCTGCAAGCTTTTAAAACAACTTAATGATTATTTAAAAAAATCTACCAATTACAATTTAGAAACTGCATTGGAACTGTTTAAGGCAATAAACATTGTAAACCAAAATAATCTAAAAGAAATAAATTCTAATTTAGAAAACCTGAACTTTAAATTAATAGAGTAATTTTTAGCAGAAAAAGAAATTTCTAAAGAGAAACTTTAGTTACCAGAAGTAGTAGCAAGTGTAGGGGAAATAGATTTTATCTTTAAGATGTTGAAAAAATATATATAAAATTACTTTGTTTCGACAAATTTGCTTGAAATAAAAAATATAAGGCTTAATGTTAATTGCTGGGCATCTTATAGCGATGAAATGGTTGAAAGCATTATTTAAAATTTTAAACATATAACATAAAACATATAAGAAGGACCACGAGAAATGAGGGATTTTGGTGTATTTTTATTTGGGAAAAGCAGAGTAGGTAAAAGCACATTAATAAATTTAATAAAAAGCCCAGAAAGTTTAACTATAGAAAAGAGAATAAGTGAACTTTGTTATGTGATGAAAAATTAAGTTTAGACAGAATTTAAGATTGAACATGGCTGCATGAGTGAGACACAAAAGATTTCAAGTATGCAGATTGAGGATGTGTGGTATTATGATTGCCCAGGATTTGATGATAATATTTCCTAATAAATAAGAATTGCACATAGGATTAGTTTATATAATTATTTAAGCAAAACTAAAAAAGTTATAGGATTTTTTGTAATTGATTCTTCAAATAAAGATGCTTAAATTATTAAGGATACAATTGATCCAATTTATTTATTATTAAAAGATAAAAAGTAATTAATTAAAGAAAACGATAAATGGGCTTCTTTGGTTTTGGTTAAAGCAAAGTAGAATGTAAGATAAGATTATATTGAAAATTGGAATGAAGCTTACCATAATTTGTTGGAAGGTAAATACACATTTTATAGAGAGATGTATTAAAGTGATAATTAATGTATTGAATTTCCAAAACCTAAGAAAAATCTATAGTAGGAATAAATTTTATAACAAAATACTTATATACAACAAAAAATGTTAAAGAGAATTAATGAGAATAAATAAAATGTAGAGTTTTAGCTAAATTTTGAATTATAAATAGAATCAAAACTATTTCATTTGTATGAAATTGTTCTCAACAAGCTTCAAAAGAAAATTGAATAGATTGTTGGGCTTTTAGAAAATTAAATTAATAGTTATATTTTAGATTGTGAAGATGAACTAGAGAAAAAAAAATTACTTATTTAAAACTTTAGATCTTTTATTGGCAATGAAATTAATTAAGAGAATGTAAAAATGACTTTAAAAAAAATTCTGGAATGGTGTAAGATTAACGAATTATTTAAAATTAATTCTATTTTCTTATAAAGTACGATTGATGACGTATTATAATGTTTATAGGTCGATGTTTATTGCACAAAAATGAAAAAAATTTCCCCAATTAAAGTTGATTCATCAAAGCTCAGAAAAAATGCAGATAAAATTATAGATATTATCTAATTTATTGCAAAACTTGAAATTGGGTTCAAGGGAACATTCATAGCAGGTTCTATAATTGCGGGAGTGGCTTCTTTAGGGGCTGCAATATTTGCAGAAGGTGCAATAGCGATGGCTGCAGAAGTTATTATTACACAAATCGCTAGGAAAGTGGCAGTTAGGGCAGCTATTACTGGATTAGGCGGAGCAGGTGCTTCGGCGATTACATATATATTATTTTATTTCAGGTAATACATGTTAAAATAGAAATATTTGCCTTATTTGAAAGAAGCAGAATAAAGAACCAATATATGAATTAAATATAAATAATTTAAATCTATAAATTATTGAATAAAATTTCAATTTTAGATAAACATCTAATTTTGTATTTTTATTTCTACTTTTTAAATAACTTTTTTCTTGATATCACTTAATTAAAATTTCTTTAACTTAAATTATTAATACCTCCATAATCAATTGAATATAGTTTTTCTAATCTATCAAGTACAATTATACTTCTATAGAAACAATAAAATTATAGAGTATAATTAATTTATAATGGATTCCATATAATTTTTCATAATAATTAAGCCATATTAATATAATGTATTATATGAAATTACCAAATCATCTAAAAATAAAAATCTGAATATACTTCAATTCATTACATTAAATAATTTATTAATATTTTTCTTATTATTTATTAATGATAATTTTAATCTTTAATCGTAATGCTCGACAATTCAAAAATTAATAACAATATAATATTGTGTTGCTTTAAATTAACTTCATTAAAACTAATTTAATAAAGCTAGCTAAGATTGTTTGTATATGTATGATTATCAATGTTGATAATCTAAATTAATACTAATTTAAATAATCTAGTTTTTCTAAATTTTATTTTTCATTTTTCAGCCCCTTATCATAAATGCAGCTATTTATTATTATAAAACAAATATTGCATGTTTTTAATTTTTAGTTCAAATTTATAAAAAATGGAAATTTATTATAGTTTATATCTTCCTTTATAGCAACTCAAAATTAGATTCTTGAAAATTTGTCTTTATATAAAATAATACGTAAATATCGAATAATGCTATAAATACTTTCAATTAAGATACAGCTTTTTTATAAATCTAAAATGGATATAAGGGAAATACAACACAATATGCATTATTAATGAAATGAATAATAAAAATTGATTATTAGGTAACTCAGAAAAAATCTATCATCATAGATCAATACTATTAATGTTTGCTTTAAAAGTATACATAAATTTTCTATTGGATAATTTGTGTATTTCAAACAATTGGATAGCAATTTGTATCGTTCCATCTTAAATACTGAGAAATTTATCTAACTTAATGAAACGTGAATAAAATACTTATTTCAATTTTTAATTTATTAAGAAATCCTTACTGGATATTGTTCTTAGATTAAATTAACTCAATAAATCTTTGGAAAAATAATATTCAATTAATATTTACCATTTTTTTTTGACTCTTGTGTGTAATCTTGCTATTTTGTTTTCACTTAATAATTAGATTGGTAATAAAATACAATAAATTCCAAAATCTTTAATAATTATTTGATAAAAGATATTAATGTTATAGTATTCAGAAGCTGTTAAGGAATTTGAATGGTAATACTTGTAAATTATCTATGAAATATGCTAAACTCTATTTATTAATAAATGTTTATAATTTGTAAAAAAAATAAAAAATGGATTAATTTTAGACATGTGAAGGCAAGCTCTTGTTTATAACTTATTATTTATATAAATCTAATCGGATTGGAATAGAGTAAAAAAGTGAAATAAAAGGTGACATATATAATTAATTCACAGATATGCTTATAGCAAAAGATTTTAGAATATAACAAGTGATGTAAGAAATAAAGAATGAAACCAATGTACAGAAAATTGAAAGAATGCTAGAAAACATTAATGTACTATATATTAATAAACGATAGCCAGAGGAACATAGTCCCAGAGACATAGATGACAATTTGAGTCATACGTATAAGTAAAAAAGACCTAAGCTCTTTAAATTCTAAAAATCAAATTTCTCGAAATTCATAGAAGCAAAAGCAAATGAAGATACTGATACTTTCTCTTCAAACAAACAATTAGAGTTTAGACAGCGATTATATTCATTAGCAGCAGATTCTTGTTGATGATATTATATAAAAATATGAATAATTTTTTCAAGCAAGGAAGGCCAAGACAATATTTCTCATTGGCAGCATAAAATCTAAAATGAATAAACTGGCTGCTTGATATTAATCCCTCTTACTGAGTCTCGATGACTAAATATATGAATAATTAAATTACTGTAGATACAAGTGATGTGTCCCAGCCTAAGATCAAGAAAATTCCAGATAAAACTAAAACATTTTAAAGTTTTAAAATCCAATCTCTTAAAATTATGGCAACAAAGATTCCTCCAATCGAAGAGTACATGATCTTTTTTGAAATGACAAAATAAGTCTATGCTACTTCTCTATAAACATCTTAAACATCAAAAAATGATTGTAGTTTTTATTTGGTTAATTATAAAACTGATCTATTCTGGATAGCGTATTTATTATTTTCCTAAGATTAATATCATTTCATACTTGGAATAAATTTGAGTTAAGGTGTAATAAATATACTTGAGTATATAAAAGGAATAAAATATGTGGTATCCAACTAGAGCGACTTTAACTAATGCAATTTAGTAGTTCTTTGAAACAAATGAGAACAAAGGATCCATTAACCAATTTTTAAGTTGTAGATTTAAATTCAAGCTACCATTTCATAAATTTTTGATTGAAATAAAAGAATCCCACAATTCCTATTTTGTATATAAGTAATATTCTCAAATGGTAAAATATACTACTATCTAATGAAATAAATGATAATAATACAATCTGATGATTTGATTTCGTGTGTACAAACCTAGATGAATAGACTCAAGAATGGGTATTGCAAATAATGGAAAAGTTTCTATCTTTATTTCTAAAAATTAAATAGAAAAAAAGCTTACAAATAATTAGCAATTTCTAAAAACTGATTAAATAACTAACAATGCTGGGAAAATAAAGAAGGAACAGTAATATAAATTGGAATATACAGTGATATCCTAAACTACGGAATTCTTCCAAACTTCATATTGATTTTAGTCTTAATAATAGTATTATGAATTGTAGTAGTAATAACTTTATCTGCATTTTTCATATTTCGTACAATATTCATCAAAAGTGATCCCACTTCTCGGATAATGGGAGTATGAATAGAAGAAGTATCTCTTAGTAGGTAAAAAGGTTGAAACTAATATGACTGCCAACTAGGTTAACAATAATCGGTAAAAATATTTTGGTTCTTCAGGTTTAGTTTTTTGAATGTCATCGGGATTTTCAGGCGTCTTCGCTTATGATATCTCTTTTGCTCGTTCATTTGGAGTAATTTACTCTTATATATCTGACATAGATGTTTAAATATTTAATAAAATTTATAATATTATGTATAATATAGTTTAGGATTTGAATGACGTGGCAACTATTAATATGATATGCAAATGTAAGATATTAAAGGGGATATGAATATTAACTGATAGTAATTGGTATTAATAATAGAAATATTAAATAGCATTCTTCAATCATCACTTTAAGGAGCTTCTTAATTCGATTCATCCTTTGGCACTCTGATCACTAAAAGAGGAACCTAATGATCTTTGACTTGATCAAATTAATTGATGTTTCTTTAATTTGATTTCATTTGATTGATCCATCTAACTATGATTAATTAGGTACCTTAAATATTCCTTTTATACTATTGTGTATTCTTAATAAGCAATTTAGAGATACTTGAGATTTGAAGCTTTGAGTCCTGAGCTTTCAAACTCTAGTTCAGGGAATTTTCTAGTTAATATTTTCATATCTTGTTGTTTAGTGACATTTTTGGGGGAAAGGCATCTATTTGAATATTTTTTAGGTAACCTCCTTCTATTTTCTTCATTTTCTTATTCTTATTCAACTTCTTAAAGTATTTTATTAAGATCAATGAATGAAGAAAAACTCTAATAGAATTCCGATTAAATGGGAGTATTATCAGGTACTTATTCGTCTTCTACTTTTTGATTGCCATCATCAAGAGATTTCATAGAGTTGTTTGGTTTTTCTGCAAATCCAATGGCACTTTAAGCTTTGCTGACTTAAGATTGGAAACTGATTTCTGGTAGTTCACTTTTTCTGGATGAATTTTTAAGTGTAGTTGAATCTTATTCATTCTGCTTATCATCAAGTATTTGCTGTTCTTTCTTTTCTTTAGCTTTTTTTCTTATAAGTTTGGCCTTTAAACTTCTTTCTTAGATGACCTTCTGGACATATTGTTTGCCTCCATTATACAATTAAAATTGTTGGTAAATCTTCCTAATAATTTAAATGATGTATGAATATTTAAGGTAGATCATATCATTGATCAATTGATCTCTTTCCTTTTAGGAGTAATCTTTGAAGAATGCATATTGGAGTTCCTTGTTGATGTCTCTTATTTTTTCGAATCCTGATTGCAAAGATCTATGACGATGTTGTATTCTATAAATCAATAGGTGTATAAATGTGTTTCTGACTAAGGGACTCCAATGCATGAAAATTTTAAAAAATAAGTCTGTACTAAACAAGAAATCACATAATTCCTTTTTTGGTTCAGCTAGATTAATATAATTAATGAATGTTACTTGTAATGAGATGGAAATTATTATATAAGATTTATAAACTCTTACTAATAGAGACAGCATGATCTCCATTCAAGATTAGTTTGATTCCCTTGAAGAAAAAGGAATAGTCAAAATTAGTAGGTAAAACATGGTAATTTTGATTGACTATCTGTAACCAAACGTCCACGATATTTAGAGTATTGAACACTTGGATTGCATCGTACAATCTTGTTTGATTGAACAATATGTGAATGAATTTGCTAAGCAACATGGAATTGTTGATTATGGCACAAGATGCTTCAATGAATTTGTGATTCTTTAATTAAATGTTGGATAGTAACAATGAGACAATCTCATCATATCCTTGTATGTTTTGCCAATTGACATTGAATCCAAACTTAGATTATACAAAATTAACCCATTAAATTACAAAAGGATAATAGAAATGCACAGTTTATTAATCTGGCATTTCTAATTTCAATGATTCCAATTCTTTTTTTAATTATTACCCTTTTTCATTTTAGAATGCAAGATCATAAAATTTATGAATTGAGAGATTCTCAATCTCTGGAAACAGAGCTTGTTTAAATTGAGGTACTCTGAAGTAGGAGAGCACAGCAAATTTAACAAAAAAATCATGTTCTTTATTTGAACAAGAAGTGTCAATGACTCTTTATAAACAAAGAGGCATAACTTTAATCATTAAAGTAACAAATAATTAAGCATTATGAATACGTTCTATTTAAGTATCAATACTCAAATGATCTAAATCCATATCATCTCTATAAATGAGTTCACTGAGCACAGTAAAGCAAATTTCCTTAACCATTTCTGTTTATTATTTACTGCTCTACTCTAATAAGTATTTCCATAACTTAATTTACACTGATTAACTGTGTAACATATCATCAACACTCTGATATTTAATATTGTGATTTTCAGCCAAAGTCGATAGAATTTCATTTCTCATTTTCTCAGAGTCTTTGATCTTTTTATCCCTCATGGTCTATGATAGTGTTTCCACTTTTATTTATAGTCCAATCAGCCAATCCACTTCCTTATTAGAGTTATTTTTGGATTTCGCCTTCTTCAATAATAAAGTAGATTGATTCACAATTCCAGTTTCAGTTTTGACTCCACTGCATTGACTAACATATTGATTAGATTTGATGATAAATGTTCCTGCCCAATTTCCAATGTATGTGCCATCAGAAATCAATTGTTCATTTAACTACGCCTCTTAAATTAAGAGTGTGTCAGTTTGTGCAATTTGAGATGTATTATCGTAAAAGAATTTATTAAAACTGATGTAAGTACTACCAATTCGCTTATACTCTTCTAATTTAGTTTATTTGTTGGCATAAAGCACAAAAACAAAGGTAGTTATTTGAAAATCATCCGCAAAAATGTCAAATTCCATGGATGGAGAATCTTCTGTTCTGAATTCCCAAAGGATTTCGTTCTTAGCTTCTAGTGCTTTTTTAGTGGAGACATGTCTTTAGGAGCCTCCTTTGATGTGCTGATACTTATAGGGGACATCGTCATTTTATGAATAGGTAGGATTCATATATTTTGGAGAGATGGCTGATTGAGATTCATTTTCTTGAGACTTGATTTTCAATAGAAAACTGTAGGCTATATCACCCAATTGTTCTTCCAGGATACAGCGAATGTGCTTGGTGTTGATCTTAAAATGCAATCTTTGAGCCACTTTGATATCAAAGATAATTGAGGATTTGTTCTAAAATAGCAAAGAGTATTTACACTAAACAAAATATCATGGTGTTGTGGTCCGCTGGCAATTTCATAGATTGTATATTTGATTCTATAATGAACTTTGTCTGAATCGTCGAGGATTTGCTTGGGAGGATATTTGAATATTGTACTAGTGTAAAGAATTGAGTCTGCATACTTTGAGGATCGATGTGCAAATCAAAAGTAAAGGTTTAGGGCCACTATACTAAAGGAGTAAGAGTACATGTGGATTTTTGGTATATCTGATCATGGTGGTCTTATAGAGATGCTCATTCACTTTAACAATCACATATGCACTTTACTGCTGTATATTTTTAACCTTAATACCAGAAATTACCATCCTAAACATCAGATTCTGCTATCCGAACCTAATGTCGTTGAGATGCTACTTTCTTGTCTAATGAGAATAACATGCAGTTCCCATTATTAATTTATATTATATTTTGAATTACTCAATAATTCAATTTGGCATAGCCTAACACTATCTACTCCTCGTGCACTTCTTCGAATCTCTATCTGACCATCTCTTCGAGTTGATTCACCAATTAGATCTCGCTTCTTCTCGCTTGAGTACCGTAATTGTACTCAGTCTAAAAGGTGGAGCACAAGGCTTAGGCTTACTCCAACAATTATTGATTCCTTTATTATTTGGATGAGGCTGAATTCGATACTGCTGATTGAACTCCGATGCAAGCAGAAAACTTGTCTAATTTCACTTGTTGTCTTTCGTGTTATCCTTGTAATCTCGATAACACTTTGTTGACCTGCTCTTTTTGTAGATTGAACAAACCCACACTTTGGGCATTCGATTCTGAAAATTGATCATATGCATCTTAGATGGCAGATCTCAAATCTTTGAGTAAATGCTCTACCTATTGGAGGGCACTCAAATCAACTGATTCTCCTTGGTTTGCCAATTAAATGAATGCGTTAAAAATGGGTGCATAAAGAGGAGTTTTGTTAATGTCAAATGATGTTTATAACATTCTTTGACTCACTTTACTCAACTCAGAGAAACTTCTATATCCAAATGAAATTCCTTCCAAGATTGTCAAGGCTTCGTCTATGGCATGCAATGAATCTTCATATTGTCTACTTCTCCTCTTAAAATAGGCTGATTCTGATTCAGCTGTAGTAAGGATGGTGTTTAGATGTTACTAGAAGGTATTTTCTTATTATTGATTGACCTACTATTATTCGATTGTTCTTTATTTTGAGTATTGGCAAGTGCTTAATTAAGCATTAGAGTCTCTCAGAGTGCTTTTGGCGTTTTGAATTTCAGCATTTCTAAATTCATATTCAGCCTAACATTCTCTCAATTCCACATTAAAGATTTGGTCGTGATTGACTTATTCCTCATTGACAGAATCTCTAAACAAAGTGAGCACATTCAAAACAGCATCCAATGGAGAATGAGATTTAATCTTCATTTCCACCTCAGCCATCACAGCTGTGATTGATCTCTACTTAGTGTAATTGAGTCTGTGTTGATGATTAGTACCAGACACTATAACTAAGATAAGCAAGAGAGCAAAGATCTTCATTAAAAAAATTAGCCAAAAACGATATAATGCATTTCAATAAATAAATCAAATCACTTAGTTTTATCTACTCCTTTTCTATTCAAGCATTGAATCATCAAGTACCTAAATCCTCTGCTCACCCCACTCTTTGAGTAATCTACTACATTTGTATGATTAAAATTAATGGAATAAAGATGCTTTTCTTAATATTACTATTAAGATTTCGTAATTTGATTGAATTAATACGCCTTGTTAAATTTACTTTATACATACATATTATACTAATTTAAATATTTACCTCAAATATGTCAAATCTATAAGTATAACTAGTTAAGAAGCCTGATGCCAAATATCCAAGAGTCAATGATGTGTTCCAAGTTAAGACAGCATCTACACCAACAGCCAGTCAACTCAAAGATGGTGAAGTGTTGTTGGAAAATCTGTACTTCTCCATCGATGCAACAATGAGAGTATGGATTAGTGGGTAATGATGTCATTTTATATTATGTAAGTGCCAAGACTTATGTTGATCCAGTCCTCCCTGGCCATACTATGTTTGGACAAGCTGTATCAAGAGTTCTAGCTTCAAAGAGTGAAAAGTTCTAAAAGGGGGATTATGTGATTGGAATTGTCCATTGGACATTGTATCAAATCACTAGCGATGCCAAGTTGCATCTCGTTAAAAGAGGAGGTGACATTGATGATTTGACTGGATACTCCTTGTTGGGCCCACTCGGAATTAGTGGATTGACAGCTTATGTTGGATTTGAAGCCATTGGAAAACCAAAAGAAGGAGAAACTGTAGTTATCTCTGCTGCTGCTGGGGCTGTAGGAGAAATTGCAGTCCAATTGGCTAAAACCTATTACAAGTGCAAAGTCATTGGAATTGCTGGTGGCCCAGAAAAATGTGATTATGTCAAGAAACAATTGGGTGCACATGATTGCATCGATTACAAAAATGAAAATCTCAGTAAAAGACTCAGAGAATTAACACCCAATGGAATACATGTCTATTTTGATAATGTAGGCGGAGAAATGCTCGATGAAATATTGATGCACATCACAGATCACACCAGAATTATTCTGTGTGGAGCCATTGCCACATACAATTCCACTGGAGGTATATTCATTATCATTATCAATGTAGAACCATATAAGGTGAAGAATTACCCTAGATTAATTATAAAAAGAGCAGTCATGCAAGGATTCCTCTACTTTGATCATCCTGAATTATTCAAGCCAGGATAAGCTACCATAACATAAATGCTCAAACAAGGCTAAATGAAAGTAAGACATTTCATATATTGTTAGATAAGATATGATGTTCAAAATGGACTAGAATAAGCTCCAAATGGATTGGCTAAACTCTTATTAGGCTAAAACAACGGCAAAGTTGTTGTCAAAGCCAAGTCAGATCAACCAAAACTTTGATTAGTTGAGTATATATAACAAATGTTGGATTAATAATATTATTTTTATTTCTTAATATCAATTAAAATTAATATTGCGTATTAAAATTGATTAATATTGTAATTATTTTGTTATATTAATAATCAATATTAATTACAATAAATGTTTTGAAGAATTACGATGATTTTCATCGTATCTTTTATTTTCACATTATAACAGCGATTTAATAGTTAAGCACGAAACTGAAAAATACAATTACAATTCTCGGGAATGTGAATTATTATAATTCTATATGAAAATTCATTATAATAAATAATTATTAATATTAAATTAGATAATTCTCTTTGTTTTGTTAATTAAAGGATTTTGTATTTAATTAGATATTAAATCCAAGATTTTTAAGGTATAATCAAAGCAAACGCGATTTCTATTAAATGTATTACTAGTAGCATATAGTATTGAGTCTCTATATTGAAACTATTATTGCAATATCTTTTGGTTGAGATTATGACCAAAAAAATCCCAATCTTCAATCAAAAGATCTTAAGTATATTATCTAGCGTATTTAAGTAAACCAACATTCAAAACCAAAAAGGTGGTTACCTTACATGACATCATAAAAATATTATATATAAATAATTAAATAATTGCATTGATAAATTTACATATAAAAATCAGATAAGGTATACATAAAGTTGATAATGTTTTCATCAATTGAAATTCTCACAAAAAATGAAAGATAGAACTCTCGTCTAGGGACACAAAGAAAAAAATTCAAATTAACCGGACAGTCCATTTTAAATGGTGAACAACTTACAACTCATGATTATACTAAAAGACAAACTCTTGAAAGTAACAATATTAAATTATATTAAAGGTGATAAAGGAGATCACTAAAGTTTTCTCATGAAAATGGGTTATTCAGTATCTGATGATCCAAATTATTAAGAATATCAGAAGAAAAATAGAGTAAGCTCAATTTCAACAGATTTGTAAACCGGAAATAGACTAACAAGTCGCTAATCAAACAGTAACTCTGTTGCTACAAGAGTATAGAGTATAGAACATAACACCAATTACGAAAACCCGAACGGTCCAAGAACCAGTGTGTATAATCCAAGAACAATCAGAAAAACATTTTAATCTGACGATTCTGATGGTGGACTCGAGAACTTCAGCGACCATTCACATCATATCAGCGCTGATAAAACTCCAAAACCTATTACAAGCGCCAGTTTCCCAAAAGAAAAGTCATCCATTATCCCTACTTTAATTCAATTTAAATTTCAAAGGATTAGAAGATGTTTCCAAATGATTAAAGCCTTGTTGAGAATGAAAAATCTCTGCAAGTATAATATATTTTAAATAATTCTTAGCTAAAAGAAAACTTCTTGGTCGTTGAAGTAAGAGATTTTAAGAAGGAATCAGAAATCACTCAAATTTAATGAAAGTCTTACTGTGATCAAGATTAAGTAATGGACATAAATGGTATTCTCCAAAATGATTTCTTTTATACAATAAAAAAGATTAGACAAGTGCAAATTAAACTTCATTGTATTTTATATCGTTATCTTAATAGGACAATCCAGAGAGCATGACACAATTGGAGAAAGATTAGGCCATAATTGTTGTATCAAATATTTTCACTTTTGCTATGTCTAATCTAGTTATTATGTCATCATGCACTAATTTGATAAATGAATTATAAGTCTTAATGTACTAAGAACAATTCTATGAATACAGAAAACAATTTAGTAAATTTGTGACTCAAAGAGCTAATTATATCAGTTAGGATTATTAAGTATTAACAGAATAAGAAAAAAAAATCATTTTATCCGAATGTGTCATCATTAATAATCTGATCCCAAGTTTAGTAAAACTGACTGAAAGCTTGGATGTACTGAAATGTAATAAACCAAGCATAGAGTTTTTAATTAGATGTCTAATTTCCCTAATTCAGTATTTTTTTATATAGAACTTTTCTAATTTTCCTAAAATTGCAATGAAAAAATAAAAAATTAATTTCTTTTAATATCAATTAGGCAAGAATAACTCCTCAATGATAATTGTTTAAAATTCTCAAATCAAGTCAGATGACATGATTTTTGGCACTTACAATGAACAACAACTCAAAGATTTCATATCCAAAGAAAATTGGTCTGAGTCCAATAAAAGTAAAATGAACTAAGTAGCAAACAATTTAATCAGTATTTTCTGATTAAGTAAAGACTCAATATTTGTATATAATTTGATTATAACTTCAATTATCATTGTATTCTAAATAAATTATAAAATAATCTTCTTATAAATTCTTCATGAATATAGAAGAAATTGCGAGAATTGAAAATTAATTAATTGCAAACTTAGTCTAATTTATTAAAACTTGGAGGTTTCTTTTGTAATAACATTCTTATTAATAAGGTTAATGGGTAAAGTTTAATTCCAAATAATAATATGAATAATATTGCGAGAACTATGATCAATTTATTAGATAAATGTTAATTCTTCATTAAATAATTCCTAAATAAAAGATTTTCTTCTTTTCTAAATTTAATGAACAAAGAAACAACATTTTTTTTTCGATAATCATTTTGATTTAGTTTTTTTATATTCTAAAAATGATTATCAATATACTAACTCTCAAATAAGAAAGGATGATAACAAAACTTACTTTACATATTTATATAATGAGTTATCATTAGTGAATAGTTGTTTAAAAGTGATTTATTCAAAAATTCATTAAATATCTTTAATAAGCTATTTGTATTGCATAACTATTTAAATTATTATTTTTGATTATATTTATTTTAGGTGGTTTATTTTTTACTCTAAATGATTTATTAAATTGAGTAAATTAACCTTTAAGAACTAGAATAATCCTATAAAAGGATTAAGCTTTAATTCATATTTAAAATCTTATATAGATGAACATAAGTGGAATCTTCATTTTGTAAACTGTCGTTATTCACAGAAACTAATATTCAACAATTTTTAGAGTCTTTATAATTTATTTAAGATGAAGAGTGAATTTAAAATTTTTTAATTGAATTATTGCATTTGAGTAGATCAATAGGATCATTTAATATGCTTAACAATTTTCTATAATAATTCAAGTTTTGAGTCTGTGATTTTACATTAATTTCTATAACACTTAGTTGAAATTATTGGATATTTTAAGTGTAAAATAGAATTAGAATGCTGTTCATGGTATCATTATGCTTGTGACATATGAATGGATTAGGTTTGCATTTTGGATTCAAGCTAATTGATACAATATATTAATTCATATATTATATATATATCTAAAAGGGATTCTATTCAAAATTCTAAAATACATCAGTATTCTCATAATTTAAATTAAAATGTAAACAGAGAAACCCACGCCAAAAACAGAGGCTGATTATTAGGCTTAAGCAGCATAATTCTCAGATGCACAGTTATAAGAAGAAATTAATAAGCTAATGAAGAGAGCACATGAATTAAGGAATTAATGTTCAAGGGAAGTGAATCAAAAAAAGCACTATGAAGATTCATTAGAAAGTACAAAGAAGAGAGTGTAATCATTTGTTTATTATGTCAAGGGGTATTATGACAACTCTCCCATACTTGGTATCAAATGTGGTTGAGATCTTGGACATCGAGGCCGAAGATAAAGATTAACAAGATCAATCTGTGACTGATGGTTATGCTACAATTTCTGGGAAAGGTGTAGTAATCAAGACAACTACAAGACAAACAATCTTTTTACCAGTCACTGGTTTATTGAATGCATCATAATTAAAACCTGCAGAATTGATTGGAGTCAACAAGGATGGCTATATGTTATATGAAAAATTACCAACTGAATATGATGCTAGAGGTAATGAGACACTCTTATGATAATAGTCAAGACAATGGAAGTCGATGAGAAACCATAGGAAGACTATACAGATATTGGAGGATTGGATAAATAGATTGAGGAATTGAGAGAAGCTATTGTCTTACCAATTGTGCATAAGGAGAGATTTGAAAACATAGGAATTAGGTATTTATAATATCTATCAATTAAACTAGACCACCCAAAGGAGTGTTGATGCATGGACCACCAGGAACAGGTAAAACTATGATGGCTAGAGCCTGTGCTGCTTAAACCAAGGCTACATTCTTGAAATTGGCTGGACCTCAATTAGTGTAAATGTTTATTGGAGATGGTGCTAAAATGGTTAGAGATGCCTTCCAATTGGCTCAAGAAAAGGCCCCCGCCATCATATTTATTGATGAATTAGATGCCATTGGAACAAAAAGATATGACAGTGACAAGAATGGTGATAGAGAAGTCTAAAGAACTATGCTTGAGTTGTTGAATTAATTAGATGGATTTAGTCCTGATGATAGAATTAAAGTAATATTGAATACAATCTCATTAGGTTATTGCTGCAACCAATAGACCTGATATATTAGATCCAGCTTTGTTGAGATCAGGGAGATTGGATAGGAAGATTGAGTTCCCATTGCCAAATGAAGAGGCTAGAGCTTAAATTTTAAAGATTCATTCTAGAAAGATGTCTGTGGCCAAAGAAACTGTGAATTATGTGGAAATCGCTAGAAGTACTGATGAATTTAATGGAGCCCAATTGAAGGCTGTCTGGTATCATTTAAATTATATTGGATAGTGTTGAAGCTGGTATGATTGCATTGAATAGAGGAGGAACATTTTTGATTCATGAGGATTTTGTGGAGGGCATCGCTGTTGTACAAGCTAAAAAGAAAAGTAGTTTAAATTATTATGCTTGAATTGTTTTTCAAAATATCAATATAAATATCTTAAATTTGCAATTTTTGTACTTTGTTAACTCAAATTCCTTCTGTCTTATATGCCTGGTAAAGCAGCATTTTTATATATAATATTTAATAAATATATATTTAAAAATATGGAGAAGCAATAAATCAGCAAATCATTTACCTACATTCCTACTGAGGAGGAGAAACAGAAAGATCGGGAAAAATAATTGGATGTACATTAAAAATAACTCCTTCATCCCAAGCTTAAATGGACAGCTATATTGTTAGCATTACTTTCAGTTATTCTATACTCAATTGGGTTAGTATAATTTACCACATTTAAAGAGCATTCATCCAAATCCACTTCGAAGAAGACTCTACAGCCCTTTATTTGATTGCCTCCATCTGTCTATTGCCTCTAACCTACTGTTTATTCAAAGTGTGTAAAAAGAAACAAGATTTGTGACTAATCAATTTTACTTATTATTAATGATGTTCTTATATTCCAAACTACAAATATAATTTTATGAGCTTAATGTCACAAAATTTCCATTGATTTCAGAAAATTAGACTGAAAATCACGCAATTATAGCTAACATTAATATCACGAAGATATTAAATAATATTATTAAATTATATCATCAAATATATAAATTTAATTCCTCTGAAAGGAAACAATTTAAATCTAAAAAATATGATTAAACCCAACCTGCACAATCACATTTGAGATTAGCATTATTAAAAATTAAATAATCATAGTAGAATAATGCAATCCCTACTTATCTTTGTATAACTAATAAGTTAACACCTGAATAAAATATAAGCATTCTTAATGAGAACCTATTTATGAAGGTTAAATATAAAATATAAAGGAACAATTAAGCATTCATAAGTTTTTAAATGTTTTAAATTTAAAATTTTTTAGCCTCCATTTTTTAATGGTAATTGCATCAACCCTAGTTATCCAGTGTAATGATCATTGATGAATAACATATCATTGTGTTCTATTTAATATTAGTAGTGATTGTTAATGAAATCACAAAAAAGTCCTACTAGGTGGAATCGAACCATCATCCAAGGATTTACAGTCCTATGCACTTGCCATTGTGCTATAGCAGGATATTAAGATTAACAGGTACATTAATCAAAACTTTTTGTTTTGCTTTAATTTAAATAATAGTTTTAGTTCTTTCAAAGTTATTGGAGAATTTAACTCCAATTAAGAATAACTTAAGGGAATTAATAGATTATTTTGATAATCAATTTTTGTAATTAGTTTAATACATTTATAATCATATTTATTAAAAATTATGAATAGACGAATGTATGATTGTGGGTAATAATTAGCATTTAAAATCTTTTAGAATATGTTAGATGAGATTTGAAGACATCACAAGTTACTAGAATCACAAATAGAATGTAAATTTAGTTAATAATTCAAATTAGTTTTGTAATGGAACTAGTTTCAATGGTAATTTCAATGAGCAGTCGACGACAATGAATTTAGGGAAAAGTAAAGTAAATGTAATTTTAGGGTAGTAATAAGAAACAAATTAATCATCTACGTTGCTTTTAAATAATACAACAGAACAATTGGAATTGAATGAGCAAGAATATAAAATATTAAGGAGTCGAATTCTTGAAAGAGAAAACAATAGCAATATAAACATGAGTTAAATGATGAATAATTCATTGACGTAATTGAAATTCCACATTCAATAGATATGACAAAGATCAATTGAGTCAGTTATAAGAATCAATGAATTCGTCAGTAAGGGTTGCACTCTTTGGATAGGACTAAGAAAGAGAAATGATATTAAAGGAATTAAAGGATAGAACATGGAAAGAAAGAGAGTACCTCAAAGATCGAGATACAATAGACAGAGAAATAAAGAAGGCTAAGGATGCTTAGCGAATACAAGAATTGAAATAGTTAGGTTCAGACAGAGATATACTATTTGAGAGGTATGAAATATTAGTAGTATAAAAGATATAATAATTTTATAGCATAGTGTAATGAAATCTTAAATAGTAAAAGTGGGTTATACAAGAAGGATAATTTAGATAGAGTGATTTAGTTAAATAAGATAAAAGAGTCAATAGAGTAGGATCGAATGAGAATCATGAGTAGCGTATTCAGCGATTTGATGAATTAAACAGGGTATAGATCCAATGATGCTTCAAAGTACGCAGCACAATAGATATTATCTGATAATTCAGTTCAAGGTGCGGGTGCCAGTGAGATTGCATAGCATTGGTAATTCCCTGATGATTAGAAAGTTATCGAATACGACCCTTAACAAATCAAATATGATTAGGATATGATTGAGAAGAATCTGCAAGCAGCAACTCGATTATCTCAGGAGATTAAAATGCATATGGTCGGAATGGACCCTGCATTAAAACGATATGCTGAAGCAAATGGTTATGGGAGTTTGGAGAGTATTTTTGCAGAGAAGAGTGAAGATTACAGTTCAATGACACCAGAACAAAAGAAATTAATAAATCTGTTGGCTTAGGAGACTGATGCAAAAAGAGCATTGGAAAGATTGCCTTATGGATTGGATTATTAGATCATGTAGAGTAAAGTGGATAAAATAACTTAAATGAGATTGGAATTGGAAAGAACGGTCTAGGAATAAAAGTATTATAAGATCAGGGAGAATTATGAGTAAACAGTAAAGGATTCCGATCAAGAAAGGAAATAGAACATCAGAGATAGACTGTTGCATTAAATGGAATCATGGAGAGGAGAAAAGAAATACAATCCAACTGAGGGTTTGGTTATTCATTGGGATTGGTGCTTGAATGTACCTAAAAAATACGATAGATGTAGATTGACTTGGGGAATGTTCTTAAGGGGACAAACACTAAATAAGCCTTAGATTGTTGAGGATCATATGTGTATCAGTGATGGCTACAGAGTTAATTATTGCATGTTTAATGAGCATTAATATGTTTATGATGTGATACCAAATAAGGACATAATTGTTGTAATTGAGTTGCAATGTTATTATCAAGAGGGTGGCAGAAAGAGATTGGACATATATGGTTGGACAGTCTTGGAAGTATTTGACATTAATATGAATCTCATAAGGGGAAGATTTAAATTACCATTTTATCCAACAGGGACAAATCCAAGCTAGTTGGTTTCTTCTGATAAACCATTGAAGAGTGTTTCAAATACTCTGTTATTTTGCAGGATTTCATTCCCTTTTGATAATGAGTATTCGAAAATGGAACCATTGAATCCAAGTACAATGACCCAAGAATATTATATTACTGGAATTCATAGTAGAACAATAATCAAACATGATTATGATCATGTTCCATAATCAATTAGAAAGAGAGGGTATAATCCTTTAGCATTTGATGAGTTGTTCAATCAAAAGAGAGAAATCGAACCTGAAGAGGTTGAGGTTGTGGAAGTAAAGGAACCTGAATGGTAATTGATGGAACTGGGCGAAAACAGACGAGGACTATACATTAATATCCATGAATTGCTTAATTACTTTGTCAAAACTAAATCAAAAGTTAGATGTTTCTTAACTGATGTGAAAAGAGGAGTGTTGAAGGATGAAAAGGATATACCTTGTTCATTCGAAACAGATCCTTACGAAATGAATGAGTAACAATTAAAATCAGACTATTTCGGTGGACCTTTCGTATTCATTGAAGAAGAGTATCAGTTCTTTGTTGATCTTGTCACATATGCTCATAATAACAGAGCATGGGATGATTTATATTTAATATTCTAAGTTTTCGATTATCCTCCAGAAAAAGTAGAAAAGGAAGATGATAAGAAGGACAATCAATCTGTGGTTTCTGAGTAATCAGTTACGGATGTTAAGCCTGTTGGTAAAAGATGGTATGCATTCAAGTTGTTCGAGAATAACATACTTAAAATAGGCAGATTTTCAGAATTCATTTATGAACCACCTATTAAGAAACCTCCCTTTGATCCTTTCGAATGCAGAATCACAAATTCTTAAATAGATTTCAGTATCAACTTATTTGATTACAATATGGGCAATCTTAATGAACAAATGGAAAAATTTAAACAATTGAGACAATTGAAGAGAAAGTAAAGAGGACATGGCAAACCTAAAATAAAACCCAAGAAGGAAAAGAAGGAAAAATAAGTGGCATATGATTGGTAGAATTTGCCATTGAGTGACAGACCATTTATTGAAAATTTGAAATAGTAGTATTAAGATAGACCATTTGACAAAGGATTTGGAATAGATTTTTATATAGATCAAGCAAGATTCTTACCAGATAATGTGACTGTGTGTAAGATCATTTTATAATTCATGAATACTAATTTAGAGAAGTTGTATCCTCCAAAATCTGTTCTCCCTGACATCGGAGCATCCACCTATTCACCCATATTTAACTACAAAAATGAATTGAGAAGTCCACACTTTGATCCAACCACTATCGCATTCTTGACCATTCTGACTAAAGACAATACCTAAAAAGAAGTTAGAATAGTTGGATATTGCGCTATCAATTTGTTTTTATCCAAAGCCACCAAAATGCAGCCAACCAATCCCTTGGAAAGAGATGTCGTATTAATGAATGGTCTCTATCAATTACCAATCCATTGTCAACATCCAGCTATGATTAAACCCTTCAATATGAATAGAGTCCAAAAACTTGATAGATTGCCTTGCTCCACTCTACTTGTGCGTATTTTCCTAGCTCCTATGTCAGATGATGGATTCAAACCGTTATCTATTAATGACTTTAGTTAATAAGATTGGTAAGCCAAGAAAGTTTGGCAATTAATGCCTCCATATGGTACTGGTCTTTACAATACTTAATTTTGCCCAATCAGGGAAACCGAAAAGCTGTTATACAATATCAGAGTGCAAAGATAAGACCCTAAACTAAGGGAAATTATGGAAAGGTTGTTGTCAATGGAGAACATCTAATAGACTATGACTGCTGCTCAATTCTTGTCTTGGCTAGATGGGGCATTGGTAAGAGATGCCTACACTGATCTCATCGAATTGACTTACTTTGCCAAATATAAAGGATAAGTGGGATTCAAAGTAAGTTTGGATGGATTTCATAATGTGCCTGATACTGATCATCCATATGTGGCCATTTATTCGATTAATCCACCTGGAAGATTGTATCTATAATAACAGAATTAATAATAACAATAAAATGATATCAATTTAGCCAATGAAATTATCACTTGCACATCCTATAATTGGGAATCGGCATTGCAATCACCTTAATTCAATGAAGGGTATTTCAAATTTAAAGACATTCCATTTGATAAAAATACTCACTTGGTATTTGACATTAGAAGAGTCAAATTTTCATAGAGAGGCACAAAATCAATTGTGGAAAAGGTAGGATGGACAGTATTACCCATTTTCACATAAAATGGATTTGTCAAAAGTGGAATCTATTAGGTGCCAGTCCTTGCTGGAGAAATTACTTTTAAAATTATAGAAGAATTTCAAAGAGGAGAAATATGGGATTAAATAGACGAAATGACAAAATAAAAAAAGAATGCACTTAAATATTTAGACAACATGTCAATCATTGTAAGGTTATTGGATGGACATAGAGAAGGTCACTTCTAAACTCCATTTGACCATTCAAGAATGATATATTCTTATTTACCTAAAAATAGAATGTCTTCTTATGTATACAATGCAGGAGTAGATGCTAAATTGAAGACAGCTAAGAAATTGATATCAATTGCACCAAATAAATAATAATTAAATGAATACAATGAAAAGATTTCCAATGCGTTATATTAGGTAAATATATATATCGATTAAATTTAGTCTTTGGGTCTCAAACCTCAAGATGCAGTGGCTGCAAAATTAGTACAAATTGAAAATCCCAATAATTAGACAAATCAGGAAGATTAATAAATATTATGATCAAAATTAATACTTTATTATAAATATAAGTTATTTTTTGGTCAAATAGATAATTAATTAGTATCTAATTTTTATTATGGGCATATTTATAATATTAGAAAATGACATTGTACATTTTTTAATTTAAATACAAAACTGATCATATCAATTATTTGTTTTTACTATATTCTATTTCATGATTAGTTATTCTTTATCCTCTAATTGTAATTTGATCTTATTAAAATAATTATCAAGGAATCTTTATTGAGCTTATTCAACAGTTTTCTTTTGAGCAGTATAAAAGAATCTATCATTTTAAAGGATCCTTTATTTCTCATCCAATTCAAATGAATCTATTAAATTATTTTAGCAATAAGAGTATTATGATGGTTTGGTCTTATCCGATGCTTCACTGGGACTTTGAGCTTATTTCTTAGCACACTTTTCATTTTTCTTAAATTGATGTGATTATTTATTATCATCTCTATTAATCAAACATTTCTTTTGGGAATTTTCGATAGTTCTTACAAACTCAAGTTCTGTTTAAATCTGTTTATCAGCAATTAATTTCTTTTTTATTACTCTTTTTTATTCCATAATATCAAAAGTCTCAATTTTGCAATCTTCCACAAATTTGATAGGTTCTATAACTTCTATTTGTTATTTCTTTTATTACGAATATTTCAAGGACAATAACACATTTTTTGGAATTGAAATAAGTTTTTAAAGGAATTCCATTTTATATTATATAATAATTTAAAGTGAAAATTTTTGTATTCCTACTTTATTGTAATTATTATACAATACCAATAAGTAAAGAGTAATTAAATAATGAAAATAATTTATAAAAAACTACTTAGATTAATGCTATTATATCATTTATCAATATATTATGATTGCTATTGCTTCTATTAACTAGATTATCTAGTAATTTTAGTTTTCTAACTAATTTGTGATTTTGTATCACTGATATTCTTTTCAGACTTATTTATTTAGGAATCTGTTTCCTTGTAATTAGATCTCTTGATAATTTTATTCGGATTCTCTGTTATTATTCATGTATATTATTACCTTCTGGTTTTGGAATCGATGGTACCTTGATGCCAATCACTCCTTAAGGGTAATTTTGGAGGAACTTTTCAATGCCTCCACTCAAGAGATAAACATTCTCGAATCCTTTTTCAGCAAAGAGAGTAGCTGAAGGAATTCCGTTCTTTTCATCAAAATGGTATATTATGATATGTTTGTCTTTTTAGTTTTTCTAATTAAATAATTAAACATACGAATCTATGAATTTATTAAGTTAATTTGTCCTGTCTTAGGTTTGGAGCAGGAAAATTAACTGCTTCTTTAATGTGATAAAGTTCAAATTCATCAGCATCCCTTAAGTCCAAAAGAAGAAATTCTGATTGGTCTGTAATCCCCAATTATTCTGTGGCATAAGTAATTGCAGAGACTTGTGAGACTTCAGTAAATCTTGTCATTTAACTATGTTGACTCTAAGTATCGAATTATTGTAATTGCTCTTAAGCTTATTGTTGTTAATCTGCTAACTTATAAATAGTCTCTTGTTCTGTGTTTTCCTTCGATAACATATAAAGTGTACGCTGATAAAGTTAAACACAGTCGAGCACTTAATACGCTTAAATAATTCAGATCTTTTTTTAGCTATCTTGGCATTGCTTACTACCTCAATGTCTCTCACAGTTGGGCCTGTATTTAAGGTTTGTTTGACATGATCATATTATTTGTTTTTTGGTACTTTTTTATCAAGGGGCTTGGGAATTCAAATTCATAATTACATTTCCTTTTCCTTTAACATAACCTATTGGCAATTTGTCCATATTAATTAATTCAAATATTCTGTTAACTAATATATTAAATTTAATGAAAACATAATATTGATTTTTAAGAATAATTGCAATGATGATTAATATAAAAAGCAAAAAAATAGATTGAATAGATATCATTAATACTTTTTGAGTATTTAAATTAACAATAATTCTTTGATTGGTTTAACTAAAAAGTCTGCCATTCCAGAATTAATACACTTTTCATATTCTTATTAATCTGTATAACCACTGCAACCAATTATAATCTAATTTGGAAAGCTTTTTAATATAATTTTGGTAGTTTATTAACCATTCATTCCAGGCATTTCAATATCCATAAAAACAATTTTATAGCCTTGACAAGTGCTGCAACACTTTTTATTCTTTATTTTTGCAATGGATTCACTCCCAGACAAGGCTGAATCAACATCAAATTCACTTGCAAATAAGTGCTTTTTAGTTTTATACAATTCCTATAATATTCCTTTAAATGCAAAAGTATTAAAACAATCATCATCAACTATCAAATAATGAAGGCAAATTTATTAAGTAGATAAATCTTCTTTTGTGTTCGTAGGTATCTATTTAAAACTATTTATTTCATCAACTTCCTAAGGCTACAATGAAATTTCAGGTATCCTAAAACTAGAGACTTTCTTTTTGAAAAAGTCATCAATCAATAAATCAAAATAGAAATGGCAATAATGATTATTCTATTCGTTTTTTGAATCTATATTTAGTCCAGCAGATCCAATATTTTACGCAATCTGATTACTTATAACTAAACCCAATCCAACTCCTTATTGGTTGAGTTTTCTACTTTCTTCAGAATTAACTTTGGAGAATGCCTTAAATAATTTCAGTTGGTCTTCTTCCGAGATCCCAATTCCTTCGTCTCTTACTCCAATTCTCAAAGTCTTCGATTTTGCCATCTCAAGTATTATTTTTATTTTACCACTTTATGTAAATTTAAAAGCATTGCTCAGTAGATTAACAATTATTTACCTAATTCTATTTCTATCCTAAAATATCATTTATGGAAGGTTAGAACTGTAATTGATAGACAATTGAACCTCTCTCAACTTAGCTTTTAATTCAAACATTTTTTAGCATTCTTCAATTAAAGTAGATAAATTAAATGGTACTTTCTCCACTTTGAATTTACCATTTTTAATTTAAGCCAAATCAAGCAGATCATTGGATAAGTTTAAAATATAGTTTGAGTTATCTAAGGCTATTTGTAATTATTCATTTATGTATGGGTTGTTTTTAACTTGGGTTTATTTGAGTACACATTCTAGCATTTAGATAATGCAATTCAAAGGAGAACGATATTCATGACTGACAAATGAGAGCATTTTTGACTTTTGTTTATCATATTCTTTTAAGTATCTAATTTTTTGTCTATGAGTTACATCTCTACAGATAATGATGATATTTTAATTTTTACTTAAAGTCAATGTTAGTTCAAGTAATTAATTATTATCAGCATTAACATAGGTTTGTGATGCTTGTATTTATTGATTAGTAAAAACAGTTTATCTTTAATTTAACTATGTTTGAACAACAATACAATCTTAATTTTTTTATTTTAATAACATATCAATGATATATTTTATTTTGTATTTCTGACTCTTTTCTTAACCCTAAGACACATCTAAACCTAGATTTCTCTATTGTAAACAAGCTTAATCTTTGATTTCAGTCGTTTATTTGAAAAGATACAAAGAGGGTTATCTTTGAAGCTGTGATACAAATAATAAGTCATCGTTTGCTTCTCCGTTAACTAACTAAAAGGTATTCAAGCTATCAATAAACTGAAGCACTTCTTGTTCATTCTCTCTATTGAATAGTGTTTTTGTTGCCTAGTTTAAATATTTGATAATATATGGAAAATTGGGAGAATTCGAGTCTGGAATTAGTAAAATTACTCCTTCTTTTAATAATTCTAAACACTGAATAGTGGAATCGGAAATAACATTATCGGCCAAAGCTGATGTATCTCGTATCCCTGCAGAATTGGGGTTTTGATCTAAGTCAAATTATGAGACACCCCTCTTTGAATTTAACATCTCTTATTTGTTAGTGTTAGTAATTTCAGTTAAAATTGATGTAATTTGAGATTGTTTTTACTTCATCAATGAAGAGTTGAAGTATATTGATATCATTAAAGATATCAATAATTGTGGCTATTCTCCATCAAATTCAATCCTCATATATGAGTAAACTAGTAAAAATATTGAGATTATTGCTTATAATGCAAATAATTGAGATTGCAAACGCAACTTAAACTCTAAATACAGGTCTTTTATTAAGATTTGAGCAATTATGATTTATGAAAAGGGTATCCTACCAAAATTGTGTACATTCATTATTATTAAACATATCACATCTAATTGTATGCATATAATAGTTCCTTGTAACATTAACTTGTTAAAAACATTTTATAGCAATATTAATGCCAGACTAATTGAAGTTATAATTATTAATTGTATCAAATTGAGTAGACATGAGCTTTCCAATTAGTGATATATTGAGTATGAGAGAATCATGCATTGTAACAGGTTGACCATAAAGCATTTTTGATTTAACATAATTTAATATAAATACACTGTTTAAACTAAATTTCTATAATTATCTTAATTTTACAGCTAAACTTTATTGTCATCCTCATTTCTTTTATTTACCCTATCATGCTTATGTATGAAATGTACTTTATTTTAAGTCACTCATAAAATACATTTCGTACATATTATCTACCATTTATTTATAATATACCCTAACTATTTAATAATTAGTATGAATTATAGAATATAAAGTTATGATTCACAACTCAATATCTAGTTCCTTTCTTAAGACAGTTCAATAGCAATTTTTGGTACATTAGTTCTAAAACTCTCATTATGAACTTTTATTCTTATTAATATTTACAGTATGAAATTGTATTATCAACTATGGAAGAATTTCAGTTAATCAATTTATATATACAACAAAATTTACTAAAACGAAATTAAAAAGGGTAATAAAATGAATTCAAGTATTTATACCCATATTATGATAATAAAAACGTATCGATGAATAATTCTGGATTAGATTAGAATTCTTCCACATCAAAACTGTATGATCTTACTTATTAATTATGGTATATCTTAGTTTATCCATTCTCATATAAATCTATATTGAGAATTATGAAATATTATTAATGTAAATGATTATAAATCTCATCTATAATTTAGTAATCTTAATAGTTAGAAGAACAATGTTCTAAAATAATAAAAATAATAAGTTATGGCGATTATGTTAATTGAATCTGATATTTTGAATGGTAATGATAAGTCAGTGGAAGCTTCGATAAATTTAATCAAAATTAATTGTATCAGTGTTAACAATAAATAATATCAAACACTACTAATAATCATTATAATTGATATTAATTAACATTCCATATAGTTGAACTATGAAGAATTCATATAAATACCAGTCGTTTGAAGCAAAAATAAGAGTTTATTACCTTGAGAAAGAAATGAGGAAGTTTCTAATAAATAGTATATTTGATCATAATATAACCCAGAGTAGTAAAATTAAGGAAAAAGATCAACCGCAAACAAGATGTTAAGTACAAGATTTTATAAGGCTGTATTGATACTAAAATGAAATACAAGACAAGTATTTTATAGTAAATATATTATAATAAAATGAATTCATTTTTATGAATGGATTTTACGTTACTTTTTAATATATTTCATATTCATGTACTATATTCATAATTCATAATAATACTTCCGTAGAATACATGGGTGTTGTAAAATATTGTTAGTTTAAAGCAGATGATCTTGTATTAATTCAAAAAATAAAAAAATCGAAATGAGGGGTCATTAAAACTGATAAATCAAAGATTGATGTGTATATTAATAATGTCAACCCAAAATCTTTTGAGGGCATCTTTATTAATTAACTCATGAGGTAATACCTTAGTTATTGAACATAAGTGATACTTGTATCAATTTAAAAGAAATAAGATGCATAATATATACTATAAAATAAAAGAACATTCCAGGACTTTAAATCAACAACGATAATGTCACTTTATGCTAAGGCTATAAGAGGTCAATAATTGCATTAATTTGAAGGACTATATTTATTTTAAAATAGTTGTTTCTATTAAGTAAAATCAAAGAATAAATGTGAGAAGTATCATCAGATACCTCTTTCTGTGTTGACATTCTTGTGAAGTGGTTTACCATGTTTGATATTGAAGTGGATTGTGAATATATATTAAATAGATAATGAATAATACTCTATATATAAATTTATGATAGGAGACATCAATACTTGAGTAGAGAATTCTTAACTATAGCCTTGTTAGCCACATGACAACTTTTCTATTGGATTTTTGAATTATAAATGTAGCTAACAGAGTCTTTTCTCAAAAAGTTATTACTAAAGTCGTTATTATAATGAATACCCTAATATCCTAAACATCTACAAAAAGTTCTCTTAGTGAGTATATCTGGTAATGTGGGCTATATTCCTGAGCTTGTTCCTCAATCGGTTCATTAATTTCAGGAACTCTTAGGCTCTTGTTTCCCCCAAAATCTAATAAATTAGATTTCTTTGTCGACATGCAAAAGATACAATTGCCTTTGCATAATTTTTTTGGATATTGGTAGATTTAACCAAGTAATTAGGCTTTTGTGACTTTTTTAAGAGATTATTCTTTTTTATCTTCTTCTGAATATTTGTCTCTTTAATTTCTTCTTGGTTGCTCGTCAAATCAAGTTTGCTTTCGGTTTCCGAGTAAGTTTTGTACTATATAGCTTCTATAGAATGATTAGGTTCTATTGATGATTTATTTTCTGAAATTTAAGTCTAAGGTTAAGCATAGTACTGCTGCTAAGTTTGAACCTAGAATTATTATGGCATAATCAAATATTGGTATCCATAAGGATAAATAAGTTGATGGGGTACAAAATAAGCATTAAAATTTGTATTAAGCATATTATTATTAAATATTTTATAAAACTATGTAAGACTAAGTATTGTCGATAATAAATCGGTTTATTCACTTTAAATAAAGTATTAATATCAATTATTTATTAGAAAGAAATATTTACATATTAAAAGTTGAAAGATCAGAGATTTAAGATTATCTATTCTTTATTAGGCCAACAAATAATTTTTTATAAATAACTAAAATCAAAATAGATTTAGGTTTTTTGTATATTATAAACATTAGTTTGTCTGGAAATGTTAGTACTTCTAACAGTTTTCACTAATAGGTTCTACTATTGATAGATTCGTTCTTATTCTACTTAGGTTTTTTTAAAATTTAATATATATATAATTTGCAATAAAGAAAAAAAATTGATTACATAAATTACCGAATTTGATTTAATACATTTATGAATTATTAATTTATGATTTTAGAGATTGGCATTGAATTGATAGTAGTATAAATTAGTTAATCAATTGTATTATTAATATCTTAATAGTTATTATTCTTTCTCTTAGAGATTTCTAGACATTACTAATAGGAGATTTTATAGGTCTCTTATTTATGGATTTTCTTTTACATTCCTTTTGTAATTATCAAGTTCCCTATGTAATCTATCAATTTCTATATCCTTTAATTCTAAATATTCCATGGCTTCCTTTAACTCATCCTCTTTATTATTGGTTTATTGCATGTGTAATTTGATTTCATCAATTTGATTGAGAACTTCTACTAATTATTAATCCTTGGCTTATAATTCAGCAGCTAATTCTTTTAATTTTTTCTGTGTAAACGATAATTGCTATTTAAGTTATGAATTGTTGTAAGTCAGTTCTTGAATCTCAAGAGTTAAGGTTTCATAACACTTCGTAGGTCTTTTTTAAGATCCACTATTCTTTCTGTTTACCTTCTATAACTCTGTTTCATATGTTCTATTCATATTTTGGGACATCTGTAAATTGATATCTTTACTTTTCAATTGATCATTGAGACTAGATAATTCTCCTCTTTTTTATGTCAATTCTTTTTGGCACTTCTATATTTGCTTTTGATAATCTTTAACTTATTAATCTTTCTTTATTAATAATGTTTCAGCTTCTGTTGATGCTTAAGTCAAAATTTGTATTTTATTTTTTAGAGTAGCCAATTCTATCATTACATCTTATTTAAAGGATGATTCATCAAGCTTTTTAAGACCTTCAAACTTCTTCTCTAACTAGGAGTAGCGTTGTCTCTCTTGAAAATACATTTTTTCATATTGATCGTAATCAGTTTAGATACTTATAGATTTCATTTCTTTATTGTATTTTTGAGTCTCCTTCAATTCAAGTGCTAATTGTTTTAATTCATACTTATAGCGTTCAATAATCTAATAAAAACATAAAATTACTTTGATTTCTCCTTCTCTCAAATGATTAACTAATGTCATTATTTAATTAAGAATCGTGAGTATCTCTGAAGAGTTACAATCCTCTTCATTCTCTAATATTACAGGTAATTGATTCTCATCTGTTTCATCTGACAATTACTTGACCTCTTCCCAATATTCATTCTGATCTTATTTGAATTCTTCTAAACGTTAAAAGAGAATTTGCAATTATTATTCCATAAATTTATTTATGGCTCAAAATTTTCACGGCAATCTACCAAGAGAGTTCGAAGGATTCCTCCATGAAGTCAAATCTGTGGTTTAGGCCAGACAACAAGCCTTGAATGAGAACATTTAATAAGAACAGAGGAAGTGCATTGAAGGAAAGAAGGAATAAGATTTTTTGAAGTGTTAAACCCAATTATCAAAGAAGTTAGAGAAAAATGAAGCATTGTTTTGTATGACCACATGATTTATCAAAGAGTTCAAGATGATATATTGGAGAGAGACATCAGTCTAATGTTTCAAGGCATAAGAATAAAAAGGTGCAGGAACTGATCAATGCAAGGCTGATTCTAAGAAATTGTTGGAGACTATCTTTGATTCCTTTAAAATATGAATATATTTAAGCAAGTTTAATAAAATTTAGACTTATGGTTTTATTATTTTTATACAATATAAATTATAAAATTAAGGTAATAATTATCATTAATCATCATCATCAATTTTAAAATTGTTAACTGGATGAGGAGTTTCCTATCTAATACCATGAGATTCACTGTTGACTTCTCCCTAAAACTTCTCATATTTTTTAATTTATTCTTTAAATTAGATCAATTAAGATTGAGTTTTCTTTCTATAACATGCAAATACAAGGATACTCAAAATGAGAGCCCCTCCTAAAGCTACGCATATTATAATTAGAATATTTTATTAATATGACTAAATATCTTCAAGCACTTTAATATATACTTTTGTTTGGAATTGACAAACCAATAAATCTTTGCTTACAATATCATCCTTATATTCAGTTTTTTAATTGCATTCACTTAAAGTAGCTTCGACATCATAAACAAAAGTCTTCAATTATTAATATAACAATTACCTAGCCAATTAATGCTTCATCTTCTGTGTAACAGGTAATCTAACCTTCATAATTTTACCATTGATATAAGACGATTTAATTAGGATCAACACCGTACAAAATGTTCTTAGTTGAATTCTTGTACCAATTATGAACTGTATCATCCTAATGTTCAATATTCAATTCATGAAATCCCAATAGGACTGCATTTGATAACATAAACGGGTAATTATTAAAAATTCGCTAAGTATGTAATTAAATTCTTACAGTGAAGATATTCGGTAAGGAATGCCTAATGATGTTATGAGTATCTACTCCTCTCAATATTGCATATTTACCATTGATATACACTTCTTCTGCATTAATTTTAAGTTTGTGTTGACTCTCTAATAGCCATACTCCTTTATCAAGATTTATTTCGATATCAAGAAATATAACATGTTTCTAAGGACGAATCAATATACTTAGACTTTAATCATTATCCTAATCAAATGCAATGGCATAATCTATAGGAATAATTGATAAATTTGGATGCTTAGTAAAGACAGCATCTTTTGTGATTTGATAAATATGAATTCCATCGTTTTTTAACAAATATAATATCTCTCCCTTCTCTCCACCCAATGCAATATCAATTATATGTTATTTGTCCTCAATGGTCTGATTAAAGGTGATGGTCTTGTTAGTTGGGTCAATTTTATAAACTACCAAACCTTTTTTGGTAGCTACGTACAAGAACCCTAAACTACTTAGAACCTCATTGATTTCCATTAAAGTAAGGTTCTAAGCTACTACATTGTTTGCATCATCTAAAATTAGAACAGTTTTTGTGTAAAATAAAATAGTTAAATTAGTTTCAATACTGTAGATTCCTGATTAATAAATTTGAGTCTAAGACATGTGAGAGTTTAATCCGATAGTATTTTTGATGTCTAAAGATATAAAGTCAAATTCTATATAATAGTTTTACTCTGTAATAAATCCCATCGTTGTTTTTTTATTGATTGCGGCAATAATTTAATCTGAAAGAGTGGTGTACATCTCCTAATCTTATTTGATAATCTGCTTAGATATATTTGTTGTTATTGAGATATAATCGTGATTCACTCCACATAGAGTTGTTTTATTGTCTGAAGTTATTGAGCTTTTCAGTATAGATCCCTATGGATATTGAAATAACACTGCTTCCTCATTAATTTCCAAATCATAATGCTTTATTTCCTATGCTAATAATCTAAACAATTTCAAATACTTTGATTCAAGATAATGGCATAGTCACTCAGATTTTTAATATTGTCTCCAAGGACAGTCACTATTCCCAATAAGAGTATAATCATTTTATTTAATTATGAAAAAAAACACAATTAATCCAAGTAAATAGAATGAATGCATTTTCGATCTTCTACCTGAAGCATCTCCAACACTTTAGACTGAATTCAAGAAATAACAACCAATTAAATAAGAAACCTCAATTACCAATACTCAAGATTAAACAGATAAATATGGTTTCAAGTCACAAAAAGAATTGAAATAGAAAAATGATCCAAAAACTCTGAATGCCAGAATACAAAAATGGAGAATCATGATTGATCTCTTTGATAAACAAGAAAAACCAGATAAAAAATTACTTAAAAATAGAACTCGCAAAGTATTATACTGCTTATCAAAAGGGCATTCCTGATGGTTTCAGAAACTTAGCTTGGCCATATTTAGCTGGAGTACCACAAGCAAAAATAGATTCCATCATTTATTTGAAATGTGGAAAATATGAGGAATTCCTCAAAAGTCAAGAATTTAATTTTGAACATTAGATCAGATTGGATGTTCTACGTACATTTCCTGATAATGTTAATTTTCAAGTATTCATTGATATAACTAAAAGGATTAAACTGTTTTGTCTGAATCTCTTGTAAATGTTCTTAAAGCCTTATCTGTTGCTATTTCTGATATGGGTTATTGTCAAGGCTTAAACTTCCTAACTGCTGCTCTTATTATGGTCACAAATGATGAAAATGTAAAATATGATTCAATTATATTAGGCATTTTGGATTTTATTTCGTCTAATGACTAAATATCAACAAGCAGAAAAATATAAAAATCCAAGTTCACTTCTGAGGGAATTCTTTATCTTGGATTGCTTGATAAATCAATACTATCCAACAACAGCAAAAATCTTAAAGAAGAATAACATTGATTTGTTCTATTTTGCAACTGAATGGTAGAATATAGAATTATATTGTAAAGGTTTATCACTCTATTTGCATCTACTTTACCAATAGATCTATTCTATAGAGTCTTTGAAATATTTCTTCTCGAGGGGGAAAAAACTCTGTTTAGATGTGCCTTGGCTATAATTCATTTTAAAGAGTAGAAATTAATTTAATTATAAAACAATTTTGAAATAAGCTTGAGACACTTAAAATCTTTAGATGATTTCTTCACTATTGATAATGATCAATTTATATACGTCATGTTTAATAAATTCAAATTCTCTTGGTAGTTAATCTAATAATTAGAAGAGAAGTACAAAAAATAGAAAAAAAAATGATCATAAATATTTAATTTATTATTTATACTTAAATATATCCTAAATATAATAAATTACTCATTGTTTTTTAAAAATATTTAATTTGCCCCAAAACCCACCTTTCTTTGGCTCCTCCAATGTTGGATAGGTTAAGTATGAATGTGCCTATTTAATTTAAATAATTTAATTACAATATCCAATTATATTGGTTTAGGTGGAATCGGTTGCATCAATGAAATTAAATCAGCTGGCTTATAAGATAACACATTATCTAAAGTAATTTATTCAGGAGAGTCTAATAATTCAAACAAAGTCTTCTAATTTTATTTATCCTCCAATCCAATATTTTGAATTTCTTGTCCAATTGTTTTCACTTAATCTTATTAAAGTTTCAATCCGTTTAGTTTACTCTTATTTTATATTTATGTTGACAATGGAACAAGCAATTTCAATAAACCATGGGGTTCCAATTTATTCTCAATATATTTCCTATCAGCTATTCTTGATAAATCATCATGATATCTCAATAAACTGTAAGCTTCTCTATACTTTTCGTTGGTGAAGTAGAGACAGCCAACAAAGAAACAACGAAGTGCTTTACAGAAGAATTCTTTAGCATCTAGAATTTTGAATAATGTGATGTCCTTATTGAAACGTTCCTCATCCATAATTTATCTTAGAATTTAGAAGTAATTGTCACAATATTTAATGATTTCTTATGGAGTGGTTAATTTTAATTTTAGTGCCTTTTTAGTTTGTAAGTTCTAAAGATTATTAACTCCATCTTCCTTAATGAATTTTTCAGTGTATTATTTAATATGCATTTCATTTCTATCTAATGTTGCAGATTATCTTTAATAATTGATATAACCTAACACCTTTGAGTGTATTTCTTTTTCTTATTCAGATGTTGATTAATCCTTGTCTATCTTAACATATTTGGATGCTTCATCAAACAATGAGAATAAAGTAGTAAATGAATCTAAATCACCTATTAATTTGCTCTCTTGAATCTTAAGAATCAATTTAACTACCTTTTCATTTTTGATAGGTAACTTAGAATCTTAATATTCAATTTCGAAAGCACCTTATTATTGAGTCATCTTAGCTTATCTCTGCTCTTCAAGCATTTCTTCGAATTTTGCAATCATAATTGGATCACTTTGATCTTTTAACATTTTTGTTAATTCATCTGCAGATAGAGTAGCCAATTTCTTTGCTTTAGCATTACAATATCTGATTTATTGATTTAATTATTCTAATCTCTCTTAATATACTCCAGAACTAAATTAATCGCAGACTTTAATTATTTATTCATAAATAGTATAGCATTTAGCAAATGATTCCAATGCTTTTTCCCATTTTTCAGTTTCAAAGTGATACAATCCTTGTAAATACCAATTATATGCTTCTGATTCTAATGAGGTTCTCTTTTCAGTTCTTTACTCGCAAATTGTATTTAATTATTTAGAATATTGAATAGCTCTTTTAAATTTCTTAACCAAATAAACTTTCACTTATCTTTTATTGATTTTCTTATTGACTCCACTATTAATCAATTATTTCAATGTCATGGCATGTGCCCAATTCTTTTCTGCTTAATACAATAATACTTATAAAACACGTGGATCATTCTAATTTCAATATTTGGATTATACCTTGACCACATCTTAAATAACCTTCTTTTGAAATCTCTTTCCATGAGTAAATTGCATTTAGTGTCTGAGTTTGTTTATTTTATTATAGCAATATGTCCTGTATCTTTAATAATCTCCATGTTGTAGTCCATAATTTCTCTAGGTTTCTCTTATTCTTTAGAATACTAGTGAATAGATGTCAATAATACCAAACAAGGAACCTAAGTTTTATAATTGTTCTTATTATTCTTCCTCTTCCATTTATTACATTTTTAATTAATCAATAATATAATAAAATAAATAATATATAATTCAGTAATTGTCTTAATATACTTCTTCGAGTTCTCCGAAATTCTCATAAAAATTACTCATCTATTTAATGTTTGAAAAACTCTCCATATTTTTTTATAAATTCTCTAATCCTTTTGATAAAGTTTCATTTTATTGTACTAATTCCAACTATGACATCGATAAATATAATACATTCTTCATCCTTAACTTCTCGGCATGGATTTCTCCCTCATTATAAACTCTTTTAACCAATAGTCGAAGATCTTAAATCTAAATGTAAATGCTTTATATAAACCTCATTAACTAGTTCTTCTTGCTTAATTTCAAGCATATTCACTTTTTCTTACAATTTATAATTATCTTCCTTCAATTTACTATTCTCACTTTACAAAATTCTTTCCTTAGTTTAAGTACTGGAAATAAAATTAGTGAATGCCTATTATTGAAGTTATCTTAAGATCATCTAACAAATATGATTATTTTCTACTTCTTGTAAGTCTTATTAGTTGTCCTAAATAGGATAGCCTTCAAATTGTGAATCCATCATTTAAATATAATAAATAAATATTAAAAATAATACTCAGTTTAATTTCACTTTCCAAGGTTTAACAAAGAATTGTTAGACCCTTTAATATTGCAGAAATAATAAGATGACAATAATCAGAATAAAACAGATACTTCCATAGAAGCATCCTTTCACCCATGGTTCTGTGTTTAAGTATGAATGCTCTGCAAATAATATTACTTCTTTAACAGCCTATAACATAAGTTATTTGAAATACAATTGTAATTGCTTCGTCTATAAAACAATTATATTTTTGATATTCATGATATATTCTGTTCTGACCATCAATTCCTTTTAGACCATCCGCTTATGTGTAATAAATTATACCCAAAGCTATGTTACTCAGAGACAAAATAAAAGAAATCATCAATTAATATTCTATATGCTAGAATTTAGTAAAGTCTACNATGGCATGTGCCCAATTCTTTTCTGCTTAATACAATAATACTTATAAAACACGTGGATCATTCTAATTTCAATATTTGGATTATACCTTGACCACATCTTAAATAACCTTCTTTTGAAATCTCTTTCCATGAGTAAATTGCATTTAGTGTCTGAGTTTGTTTATTTTATTATAGCAATATGTCCTGTATCTTTAATAATCTCCATGTTGTAGTCCATAATTTCTCTAGGTTTCTCTTATTCTTTAGAATACTAGTGAATAGATGTCAATAATACCAAACAAGGAACCTAAGTTTTATAATTGTTCTTATTATTCTTCCTCTTCCATTTATTACATTTTTAATTAATCAATAATATAATAAAATAAATAATATATAATTCAGTAATTGTCTTAATATACTTCTTCGAGTTCTCCGAAATTCTCATAAAAATTACTCATCTATTTAATGTTTGAAAAACTCTCCATATTTTTTTATAAATTCTCTAATCCTTTTGATAAAGTTTCATTTTATTGTACTAATTCCAACTATGACATCGATAAATATAATACATTCTTCATCCTTAACTTCTCGGCATGGATTTCTCCCTCATTATAAACTCTTTTAACCAATAGTCGAAGATCTTAAATCTAAATGTAAATGCTTTATATAAACCTCATTAACTAGTTCTTCTTGCTTAATTTCAAGCATATTCACTTTTTCTTACAATTTATAATTATCTTCCTTCAATTTACTATTCTCACTTTACAAAATTCTTTCCTTAGTTTAAGTACTGGAAATAAAATTAGTGAATGCCTATTATTGAAGTTATCTTAAGATCATCTAACAAATATGATTATTTTCTACTTCTTGTAAGTCTTATTAGTTGTCCTAAATAGGATAGCCTTCAAATTGTGAATCCATCATTTAAATATAATAAATAAATATTAAAAATAATACTCAGTTTAATTTCACTTTCCAAGGTTTAACAAAGAATTGTTAGACCCTTTAATATTGCAGAAATAATAAGATGACAATAATCAGAATAAAACAGATACTTCCATAGAAGCATCCTTTCACCCATGGTTCTGTGTTTAAGTATGAATGCTCTGCAAATAATATTACTTCTTTAACAGCCTATAACATAAGTTATTTGAAATACAATTGTAATTGCTTCGTCTATAAAACAATTATATTTTTGATATTCATGATATATTCTGTTCTGACCATCAATTCCTTTTAGACCATCCGCTTATGTGTAATAAATTATACCCAAAGCTATGTTACTCAGAGACAAAATAAAAGAAATCATCAATTAATATTCTATATGCTAGAATTTAGTAAAGTCTACACTTATGAAAGTCACATCTTTGAGTAAATAAAACAACGAAGAAGTTATTAATAACACAGTTGTTAAAATTAAAGATATTTTGCAAACATAATGACTGTAAGCAATAATAGTCTCTCCTTTTAATCTCAATGTTTTAATACTATTTGGATCAACAAGAGTGCATTCTGGATTTGTTGAATTAATGGTTATTCTACTCATTATTTACAGTGAGTAAGTATCCATACTATCAATATAATCTAAAAAGTATGGTATGTTTTAGTAGTTAGTGAAATCATTATCATCATATACATTTAACTAATAATCTGAATCTATTATTTTTGAGTAATTGAATGCATTTCCATAATTGTCACATCCTTTCTCAGGAACAATGTTTAAAGGATAATATTTACCACTTTAAAACTTAGGTTAAACTTGGGAATTTAAACACATAGAGTTAGGATAAACACCTGGAACAATTTAAAAATTTATCAATGGTGTTGAACCGTTACGATACTTATTGAAATATTTTGACCCAATTTTTATTTACTTTTCAGTTTGTGATTCTGTTTCAATTAAATCTGTAATTGGACATTTAGGATTCGATGATGATATGCATATTCCATCTGCACATTTATAGTAATCATGTGGACAATCTTAATTCCCAACCCATTTCCATTTTTGCGCAAATTCAACACAATACATTTCTCCCTTCCAATATTAGAATTGTTGCCTTTTATAATACAGAACACTCTGACAATCGGATTTAAAATGAGTATAACAATAGGATCTATCCTTTAGTTCTCCATTTGAGCAAAGACAACCTATGTCATTATAATTGCTTACCTGAATTGATTCCTTGCCAAATACCTATAGTTGTAATTTCAAATCCATACGGGCAACTCTAATAGTGTCGATGGAGTCGATTGATTTCGATTGTGTTTTAAATATCGAGGATTGGTGATGAAGCTAAGTTTTCTTGGAGAGTTTTCAAGGTGGCAGAAGCACTGACTGGATCTTTTTGAGGTTGCTGTTGATTATGCATTTTAACCATAAGAATGAAGATGAATGTGCCATAGATTAAAGGCATAAGAAATATAGGAAGTGAGAAAGGACTGGATGTTTCATTCAGTATTTCTGATGGAACATCTTCATAAAAATTAAGTCATGATTTACTTTGATGACTATCAATAGAAGGGCTGTGACTTTGTTCCTGCCATTCACGTTTTTGGAGTTATAAAGATCCCTGAATTGACAATTTCATCTTTTAATAATTTGATATGTAAAAAACTTATTCATATATTTAGAAGTATATCGAATAATAAGAAGAATAATCAATTAAAAATAATTTTATTGTTTATAGTCATATGGTTAATAGGTATTATTTTGTTAGAAAACGTCTCAAAGCACGAATGATAGAGTAGAGTTAAGTTTGAATCATGTAAAAAACAAATGTTTAACGTTATCTATTTAATTAATAAATTAAATGTAGAAGTCACACTTTAAGAACCTCAAGGACTTACTTCAAAATAAGTATTCCTACTAGGAAGCCAAACCTAATTCTCGTACTTCTTCCATTGCTGAAGTCTTGTAGAATCTTAAGAAAAAATAGGATTCGACTCCAGTCTCCAGCATGAAGGAGGAAATCATCAATTTTACTAAAGCTATAGGTTTTGGGATATAGGCTCCTCCCTCTAAATCAAAATCTAAGGAGAAACAAGCATTACCAAAGAGCATAGACAAGTAATCATAAAATTTTTGATTTTAGAAAACCGATTTTAAATAATATAGCACCTTAATCAAAGGGTAATAGTCGAAACAATAGTTCTTAGAGTAGAAATACTTCGGCACATTCTATTGTAATTGAAAAGTAAGTGAAATAAATATGTTAGCACAAATCGATCAATTGCCAGAGATCCAAAAATACCAAAAGGATTTTAAACAGGGAGATTAAGAGAAAGATAAGAAATGAATTCAATAGTGGAATAATAAAAAATAAAAATACTCAATTAATCACAGGATCAATAAAAATAAACTCTCAACAACAGCAATGTAAGTAAATAAGGAACCATAGATCTAGTTAACTTATTAAAGCAATAGTAAAATCAAAAGTAATAATAAACAAATGAAACAATAAACGAAAGTAAAACTTTCGGGGAAGAATTCTGTGGATTAAATAAAGGACATTTCATTTATAATTATGTGATAGGAAAAGGAGGATTTGGAAAAGTATGGAAAGTAGAATTGAAGAAAAACCGATAAATGTTTGCTATGAAAGAAATGATGAAATCTAAAATCATAGCAAAGAGGAGTATCAACTCTGTGATGAATGAAAAAGAATTACTATCATAATTGAGACATCCATTCCTAGTCAACATGTGTTATGCCTTCTAAGATAGAGACAACCTCTATTTGATTATGGATTTGTTAACAGGAGGAGATCTTAGATTCCATATCGGTAAAATGAAGAGATTTAAGGAACATTAAACAAGTATTGATGTAATTAACTTAGAATTCTTCATTGCATGCATCGTAAGTGGACTAGAATATCTTCACAACAATAACATTATTCATAGAGATATTAAACCAGAAAATATAGTACTTGATAAACGAGTAATCATTAAATATTAATTAAGGGTTATGCTAGGATTACAGATCTAGGCATTGCAAGGAAAGTTAGACCAGATAATTCATAAGACACTAGTGGTACTCCTGGTTATATGGGTAAATACTAATTTATTAATCTTTTTAGCACCTGAAGTTATGTGTAGATAGAATCACGGAATTGCAGTTGATTATTTTGCTTTAGGAGTTATCGCATATGAATTTATGATCGGAAAAGTAATCTTTATTATTAATAAATCAATAGAGACCATATAATGGGAAGTCAAGAAAGGAGATTCGAGATTAGATACTTGCTAAATAGGCATCAATCAAAAAAGAAGATCTACCAAATGGCTGGTCTATCGAAGCTATGGATTTTGTAAATAAAGTATCACTTCATCTTTACTCTAGTTATTACAAAGAAAACCTTAAAATAGATTGGGATTCAATGGACCTTCCGAAGTCAAGAATCATCCATGGTTAAAAGGTGTACCTTGGGAAAAATTGTATCATAAGACAATTGAAGCTCCTTATGTTCCTATTGTATTTATTATAATAAAAATTAGAATGTCGAGGATATGTATAGATAACAAATATCCGATGATGGAGAGGAATCATAAGATGAATTGATTAAGGAGAACTAATTATTATTAAGGAAAAATAGTGTTTAAAGTATAATTAATAATAAATTTAGATCTATTTGCTGGGTATGGATATGATTGCAATTAAGATCCTACTTATAAAGGAACTAGGAGTACTGCTTCAACGCATAATACAAGTCAACAAAATGAGACAATCAAATTTTGAAACAATTAATTCATAATATATATGTAATAATACATTCATAATAACAAAACTAATAACAGACCTAAGAATGTAATAACAGCACAAATCAGCATACACCATAATTTACTTATTCCATTTAAAGATACTTTTTTATAGAAACACTTGATTAAATTATGCTCATCAATTTCTGATTCCCTTGATATTGTGATGTTAAGATTAGAATTTAATTTGGTCTTTTCATCAAAATAAAAAATTAGAAAGAAAAACTTTACAAACATAGCTTCTTAATTTTTCAATTTGAATACGAAAACCATAATGCTTATAATTCATCAACTCTTTACTAGTAATCTTGGAGTTGCGCCCTAACTCTCTATAATCTTATTCATACAATTAATCAAAAGAAGTTTTATTGTTCAATAATGAGGTATGAAGATCATTAATTTAATTAAATATTAAATCAATCACACCATTAGATTCTTTTTCCATTAATCCATTATCCCTTTCTCTTCCCTTACTAACAATTAATATACTCTCCGATGCCATGTTATTTACCAGTTTCCCATTATCCTGAATATTATCGAGAATCAGCTAACTAAATTAATAATAGGATTACGCCATGTTATTGTTCCAAACCCATGTTTCTTATCATTTTTGTATTCTCCTTCATATACCGTACCATTTGTCCATGTCATCTTGCCCTTTCCATTCATTTAATCGTTTAACCATTCCCCCTCATATTTTCTGCCGTCATGCCAAGTGTATGTACTACAATATATGGAGTTGCTAAATACCCTTATCCATTAAATTAGTTATTCTTAAACCAACCTTCATAAAGAGAACCATCAGGAAATTTATAAACGCCTTGACCATCTCGCTTTCCTAATTTAAATTAGCCTGTATAACTAGATTAATCAGAGAACAACTCAAAACCATATCCATTTTATAAATTCTCAAACCAATCTCCTTTGTACATGGCACCATCACCATGATAATACTCACCATATCCATGGTGTTGATCATCTGACCATTCTCCTATATAATAATCTCCATCAGCATAAATCATTCTACCCTTTCCATTGGCCAATCCTCTGGAGAATTATCCTTCATAAATTGATCCATTTTTCATGATCTAAACTCCTTTTTATTTAATAACTGAATTTACCTTTACTCCATTTTTGACCTTCTAACCACCCTCCTTTGTATAAACTTCCATTATTTAATTCATAAACTCCATAGAAATAAGCGTCTGTCTCTTCTACTTCATATGGCCCCAATCTATCTATTAGTTCCTGCATAAAAACCATCACTTACTTTGACTTTGAACGAGGATGTCTAGAACAATTAAGATGTCAAACTGGCCTCCTTAATATCTGGTCGATGAATTTCTAGCAGTAAGGAATCTTCGGTTTATCTGGTTTTCGTTTAGGATATATTCTTCTCTAAATCCCCTTGCATCATTGGTTCTTCTGTCATAGCTGCTACTTCTCTTATCGTCTCTATTTTGCTAGTAAAAGTGAGTGGAGGTGCTTCACTCAACACTGTTATTTATTCAGAACATACACATTGTCCCATTATTTAATTTATTTTATAAATAGATAACTATTAATTTTTCATTATTTTCTTATCAAATTGCCGTTTGTCTTAACTTCTTGTTCCATAAAATATAAAATTCTCATTTCCAAGTTCTAGTTCTTTTTAACTTATTGCTCAAATGCTTATTTTGTACCCTGTAATTCATCTAATTTAATTTAGTATTCCTTATCCTTTCTTTGAATAATTTAATCTGAAAATAAAATAAAAAAATACTTAGTTGATTCATTTTCCATTGCAACTCCTGTATCTCCAAAGAGTTATTATTATAATTATTCATATGCTCTAATTGTTTCTTATAATTGTCCATTTCCAATTAATTTTAACAAACTTATGACTCTAGTTATCTAAATGAATGGATAGATTACCTTGATTTTTATTCATAATGTAATAACATCTATTCATAGTCTTTAATTTTGTCATTCAAATTCTAAATTTAAGTTTCAAATAACACCTTTTCCGCATTTGATAACATATTATAACTATCTTCTTACATTTGTCTTTATTCTAAACGATCTCTCATCTCAGATATCTCCTGCCTTAATAACTAATACCTTGAGTTTGCTTACTATAATTCATTTTATTGAAATTGAACCTATTAAATATAAGAATTCTAATTAATAAATAGATTAATACTTCTTATTAATCTTTTTATATTGATAATATACTAATCTATTCCTTCAATTAAGATACAGTATTACTGAGAGAAGCAATAGTCTAATGATTATTATTTTTCTCTTATCTAGCTTATTTTAGATCATTCTCTAATTAGTTAATATATATGATATATTCTGTCTTTTGAGATTAGTCTTTTACTTGTTTCTCAAGACTTGATATTTTTTGATTGAGAAGGTCATTCTCTTATTAGAGTGAATCTTTCTAATTCAAGAGGCTTTCTGATTTTATTTCTAAGGAAGAAATGGTCTCCTTCAATTATTGAATTGATTAGTGATCTAATTGGGTATGCTGTAACTATTATCTTAGATTGTCATTGCTTATTTAAAGAGTCAATAATTTAATCTCTGCTTATTCTAATTTATAACTAAGTTCTCTTTAAGTATAATTGTTTTTTGTATTTGATGAATTAGGAAGAGTATTAAGGTGTTTATAATGGCTTAAGTTTGGATTCATGTTCTCTTTATTCAATCTATTTTATGAAGACAATAACAGATCTTAGTATTTTCTATCTGATTCAGATATTTATTATAATAGTTTTTTATTCTCTTCCTGTTAAATATTAATTTGATGATTTAATTTAGAATTGTCATTAACTAACACAGTAATCTTTTGTTGTAATTATTCCATTATTACTTTCAATTTATCATACTCTGAGTTGCTTTGTTATGAATTAAGTTGTTGTTTAAGTTGATTGTTATCATCAACCAATGAATTAGACAATTAGACAGATGATTTAACAACTTATATCACTTGGTCAAATTGACTCTAAACAGCCTTATCAAATGACTTCTTAAGATCTTCTAACTAGCAAATTGCGAATCTAAGTTGATCCTTTAAAATTTCATAATTATTGATCTTCATTCCTTTGGGTATTGTAGAACCTTTTTTATCAAAATTACTTTCTTGAGTATAATTCAAAGTTGTATTAAAACTAGTAGAATCTAATAATCTATTAGGTTGTGTTTTATTTGGCATTAAGGTAGCAGTTGAGCCAGATTTACCTCTAACTTAATAGAAAGAACTTCTCTAACTTTGATTAACTGGCAAATCTTTTATTGGTGATAATTGATCAATAATGCTCCTTTGATATGGATATTGTTAATTTACATTCTCATTTTCTAGCAACTCATGTAATTGGGATTATTGTGATGTCTCTAAAGAGGTGTAGCACTCGATTGGCGTACTTGATATGATGTAGCTGGTTTTTAAGTGAGTTACATGCTCATTTTGCTGTTATAAAATTTGAATTATTAAATTTATATTGTTTAATGAAAATGAAAACAAGATCAAGCTTGGTTGGCAAGTCTTTGGTTTCTTTCGTGGTTTTCATCTTCAACTTAGTTGAATCTAGCTTCAACCATCTCTTCTAATTCAGCAACCAATTAGAGTTCGTTTCTTCTGGCTTAGGTGGCATAGTTGTATTCGTTGGCGAAGGTTGAGCACAAAGCTTAGGCTTAATCCCAAAGTTATTGGTTTCTTTAGAGTTTTCCTGAGGCGGTTTATGCAATAGCTGATTGAGTTCCGATTTATTGGTTCAATGAATCAAGTTTATTTTAGAGTCTTTCGTTTTAGGCTTCAAGTCTAGCGATGGTTTATCCTAATCTGTCCTTTTAGTCATTGAAGGCAGCAACTGAAACAGCATTTGATTCAGTGAAGTCGTTGTAGGCTTCTTGGATGTTTCCTCTCAAGGTTTCCAAAAGTTAAGCAACTCTTTCAAGGGCTGATTCGTCGAGTTATCCTTCTTGGGCAGCCAATTAAGCGAAGGCATAGAAGACTGGGGCAAACTTGGCGGTTTCCTTGATGTTGAAGGCAGTTTAGAGCATGCTCTTTGAAACTCTGCTGATTTCAGCGAATGATCCTGATCCACTGTAGATGGCGGCTAAGATATCTGATGCTTCATCAATAGCATGGAGAGCGTCTTCATAATCTCTTCCTCTTCTCTTGAAGTATCCAGCTTCTGTTTCTGCAGCACTCAAAACACTGTTTAAGTGTTCTTAAGCTGAGAAGTATTATTATTAATTGACTTCTTATTAGTTGGTGGCTCTGATCTTTGAAGTTTAAGCAACATTCAAGGCAGCAGTTGAATCTCTGAGGACATTGCTGGCATCAGTGACTTCAGCTCTTCTGAAAGCATTTTCAGAATCACATTCTGTGACTTAGACGTTGTAAATTTCATCGTGGTTAACTTATTCTGTGTTAACAGCATCTCTGAAGTCTCTCAATACGTTCAAAATAGCATCGAGTGGTGATTTGTTCTTTAATTTGGCTTCAACTTCAGCCATGACTGCTGTCATTGATCTCTTCTTGGAGTAATCCAAGTTGAATTTTGGTGTAGCACTGGCAACGGCTAAAATAACCAATAAGCACAAGGCAAGTCTCATTTTAATAATAATATTTTTTTTGTTTTTCTCCAAAGCCTAAAACGTGCCTGACAAAAACGGATTTTTTAATAAAAACAACTAAATATATACAATTATCATTTTTATTCTCCTTTCAGACACTTGACCAACTCTCCTTAGTCCAAGCTCCTATCTCAAATTGTTACTCAATTCGAGATGGTTACACACTCTTATTTCTTGTTCTTTAATTCATAATAGGCAATTCACTGTTCGTACTTTGTTTACACATTATAGAACAATTTCTAATCTTCATAAATGTTATCTGATTTTTATTAGGTCTCAAATACTTAATCCCACATTTATTCCCACAATCAATTATCATTCTTTTCAATCTATAATCATAGCTTTAGTCTGTTTTTTTAACTATATCTTACCTTTTCAATTTATTCAATTATCTATTTTGACAGAAAAAGGAACTGATATCAAATTCATCAGAAAATAGATTAAGAATTGGATTTTGTTTAAACATTTAAATATGGTAAAATATTTATTAATCATATTATTTAATAATATTATATAACACTATAACAAATTCATTTAATAAACATTAATCCAAAAATTACAATTAAAATGCATATTATTACAATCCGATATCCTATTTTTGTTTTTAAAGACTATAATCCTTTAATTAATTCTTGGGATGCCTTTTCAGTTTTATTTTCTGCATAAACATAGTTCTCTTCTATTGTAAACATTTAATCAACTTATTAAGTTGCAACTTCTTGGATTTTCTCGTAGATGTTTTTGACTGTTTCCATACTCTTATGAACATTTTATAATCTCTGTTTTCTTTACGTAACATTATCTTAAAACAATTACACTTCCAATTAATGATTATCATGCAATAAACTTGTGTCTTCATCTACATTATTATATTCCATCTCCTAAAACCTCTTATTTTATTAAGAGTAATATTTCATTAATTTCATGATCTAATTCTCATCACCCTTTTTTATGCGTATTTATATTTCCTTTTTAATATCCTCTGACATCTCTTTGCATTTACTCATATATTCAGATCTATGATTTCCTTCCACTTCTTCATCAAGGAGATTTCGAAATTTTTCAATATCATTTTTTAATTTATCATCTTCATCCTAATTATCTTAATACATTTAATATATAAATCATAACAATTATTATCACTATCTTAAAATTATATACATACTATTAATACTTATATGATAATTATGAATATAATTATTTATATTAATAATTTTAGTACTGTTTCATCCAAGCCATGAAATTTCTATCTAATATAAAGCCTAAAAAATTGAGGCTTTTGGTTGATCCCTAATATGTATTCTCTAATTTATTAAAATCCTCAAACTATAATAATTGTTAATATTTGATGTTTCTTAAGCAATACAATTCTTTTCATTGTAAAACTTTGAACTTAGACTTTGAATTCATCTTTAATTCTTACATTTTTCTTGATGTGAGCAATATTTTCTTACCAAGACATTTTTTATTCTTAAACTTACTAATTAGTAGTTTAAGGCCCATTATCCTCAATATTTTGGTTTTTTTTTTCTCATTAATAGATTCCAATCTTCGACAACCTATTTGTTTTATTATAGACTCTTCCTATTTTGCATAACCTCCTATCTTATTATATTATTAAATGCCCCCATTCATCTTAAATTGCATTAAGCCAGTTTCCAAATTCTATCTAATAGATGTATTATTCTTCTTTATTCTAGTAAAGATTACAAATTTGTTTACATAAATTCTTCATGATATTCTCTATCTTAAGATGCTCACACACTCTGCAAAATGTTATCATCAATATTCAATCTTTAGAAGAAATACAATAAATAATAAATGAAATTAGTGATTATTTTTAATAAACAATATAATAATAAAATATATATGAAAATCCTAAATTTTATTCTTTAATTAGTTTTCTTTTAATTTTTTATTTAACTCCTAATATATAATAGAGGATAGTAAATGACAAATTGACTCGATACTTGTGTTATTAAATTTAATTAGTTTATGAAAAACTATATTGAAATACAAAAAATTATTCTACCGCTTCAAAATGGTAACAAAATTTTTTCATTGATAATGAGAAAGGCAGTGAGCATTAATAATATTAGACATATGCCAGTAATGGATTGATGTCTGACATTAAAATAATGAAAATAAGATAAATTATTCCATTTTAAGAAATAAAAAATAAAATTATTATGATAGAATCAACAACATCCTCTTTTTTTTGTAGTTGTTATAATTTACTTATTAAATTAATTTAAATTATTATGTTAATTACTGCTTATTGTTGAAAAATACTCTTTGTTAGACTATTTCACATGTGAATTCTCGATGATGTTGGCTATATATTTTTAGATTTGAGGTACGTTATTAAATTCATAATTTATCATAACTAAAAATAAGATCTCATTGACAGCACTAAAATAATTACATAAAGTGTACCTCAAATCTGCTATTGAGATAGTTTTATGGTTATATATGTATTTATATTTTCCTTCGTTTAGAAAGATTTTAACAAAAAATTATAACAATTAATCTATATTTTTTTATTTTTCTCTTAACTCTTGTTCATTCTGATTCTTTTAAGAACTCATTACAAATTCTGTGATTTATCTCATTTCACTCAGATGAAAGTCAAGATAACTATCAATCTAGGCCTTAAGTCTTAAATTTTCTTATGGGTAAAAGTCTAATAGCATATATTATTCACAAATATATTTTAAAATAGCGTGGCTTTCAAAAAGTGTAAAATTGCCTTATTTAATGCATGGAACAGTTTAATTTGGATTTACTTAAGTATAATATTCAGATTTGTTTTCAGATTTTAGTATGTCTATGACTTTTTCATTATACTCAATCTTAGCCATTAAAAATAAGGATCTTACGGCCCTTGATGGCGATGAAAGTGGATGAAAATATAAAGTGATTTGTTCTTATTTAATTTATTTAGTCAAAATTGATTAAATGAACTGATTTTTATATTTTTGTTTCTAAATTAAATTAAAATACTCCTTATGCGATTAATATAAATCTGTAATTTTAAACATTCTCCAAATGTATTACTCTAATATTGGAAACTTTTCAAAATCAAAATTACAAATAAATAATGAAGTCAAGTCACACACTGCTCTTCAAAATTAAAAAACTGATTACCTAATATCTGCAAGTGTAAAACTTGGTTAATCATTTATATAATTATATTGTCCGTTGTTTAAGAATGTCTTGATAAAAAAAAGCAAAACTTCTTCTACGTCTACTAATCTTGAAACTCTGTTTTCAGGGACTTTGTTTCCTATCAACAACGGTTACAAATAACATTCTTTAGAGTAATCTAAAAGTTTAGTAAATTCGTTCTGATGCCAATCTAAATATGAATCTACTAAAGCTTTTTGTTATAATGTCTATTATAAATAATACATTTTTTTACATTAGGATATAATTTGTAATCAGGTTTGTTAATACAAATGTACTTCAAAATCGCATGACTTTCAAATAAACTGAAAAACCCTTCAGTAATTGCAGGAACTGTTTGATTAGGATTGATATTAGTGAATGCCTGTTTAACATTTTCTCCCTTTAGAACATCAATAATTTTTTCATTGAAATCAGACTTAGTTAACAGCAAGACCGTCTTTACAGATAAGCATCTATGGGAATATGGATTAAAATAAAGTGTTATCGACATTGATTATTAAATTAAATATTATATAGTTATTAAAGAATGAACTTAAATAGTAAAAAAATATATAATTATTTATAATGAAATATTAATCATTGAGCAATGATATAAAGAGAGTTAAATAAATTGAAAAGAATAAGGAAGATTAATTGAATAAACTAATAACCAATATTGGCTAAGAAATCTAATAGAAGTAACCATTTTAATTACATAATTAGCATAGATGATCCATATAAATATTTAATCAAAAGAAATTATTCAATTGAAGACAGAACTATTAAAAAAAGAGACAATATTCAATAACGCAGACCTTAAGGAAGTATGTCTATAGCTGAAATTTGGACAAAGAAGATGAAAAAGTAATGTGATAAAATTTTGGAAGAGATGAAAAAAAAATAAAACAAATAAATGTAAATATTATTTTATAAGATAGACTGGATTTATCAAAACAATAATCAATAGATAATAGATAAATTGAAGAATCCATATAATGTAATCAATTATTCTAAATTTGTTAGCTCCATAAATTGCAAGTGTGATAATTGAATAATTGGGGCTTAAAGCTTTGATGGGTAAATCTAAACATAAAAATAAAAATAAATAAATTGCCCAGTCGCCACAACAAAAATAATTGTCTTAATCCTAAATAGTTACACAATCACCTGATCCTATCAGAAATCGGTTTGCTTCTAATTTTAATTTTGAACCAATCCAATATTCTCCTATTAAGCAATATCATCATAACAGTCAAAGTACCAGTAGTAGTACAAAAAATTTGTATAACGTAATAATATAAGTAATAGAATCAATAGCAACTTTAGAAAGTACAGTATTAATAATGAGATTAAAAGAGAAGTCAATAAATGCATAAATGAATGTGATTCATTAATTCAAAATTATAAGGATGTAGATAAGTATAAATACTGATAAGATATCTTATAGAAAGTTGAAACAGCCATAGAAAAGCCGTTTAGATATTTTTGTTGAAAAGCAGAGAAAAGAAACATTGGAAGAACTAATATTTATTGAAAGAAATAAACCCAAAAAGATATATTGATCTATATTTTCATATTTAATTTTCCATTGATATTATTAATCATTTTTGAATAAAAATGGATAATCGATTTATTAATATAATTTACGATGTTTTATTCATTAGCAAAAATGATTCTATTTCTCAGCTTTATAATATTATCGAATAAACATTAAATTTAGATAAAAGTATCAAAAAAAAGCTTTTAATGAAAAAGAATTACAACAATTGGTATATTGTTAAATTTGATAGAAATCCTAGATAATTAAAACTAGATAGTTAATTTTTTCAAATTATGAATAAATGAGAAGATAATAATAATTATACTATATCCTATAAAGAAATTTTTTGTTAAAAAGTAAAATCCTATCACTTTTCAATTGATGTAGCTTAATAATATGGCAATAATTAAAATACACTAAAGTTATTATGATATTTTTAGGATAATCTCTCTTCTTCATAATAAAATATCTTAATCAAAGGCAAAGCATAAATATTCTTAATTAGATTCTTTTCTTAGTTTAATTACAATATATATTATATTATATTATATTATGACACAATCAATAGGATTGATGTTGCTAATTGTAAGTTTGGCATTAGGATAAGATTTTACTGCTCTTGATGATTATGTGGAGTTATAAATAGAGTAGAAACGATTTCCAGGAGCTGTCATTGGAATACAAGATGGAAATTATCAATATACTTTTAAATATGGAAGAACTGAATATCCAGGTGATCCAGAAGACCAAGCTCTGTTGAAAACATCAATTTTTGATTTAGCAAGTGTAAGTAAAGTTGTTGGATGCACTACAGCAGCAATGTTGCTTTGGGAATAAGGTTATTGATTAATTAAGCAATAGGCAGATTAAATATCGAAGAGTCAGTTTAATATTATGTTCAAGAGTTTCCTCATCCCACAGTTCGAATAAGACATCTATTATTACATAATTCAGGTTTGCCAGCTGATGCCCCCTTAGGAAATAGAATATGGACCAAGGAAGAGGTTTTGGATTGGCTATATACAAAAAGTACTTTGTTATCAACACCTGGCCAAAAATACCTCTATAGTGATTTGAGTATGGTGACATTACAACAAGTAATCGAAAGAATTACAGAAACAACTTTAGATGTCTATTTGGATGAGAATATTTTCAAGCCTCTTGGTATGCAATCAACTATGTTCAATCCTTCTGCTGATCTAAAGTATTAAGAACGATTAAATTAGATATCGTATACCTCCAACTTAAAGAGATGAAGTAGTCAGAAAAAGATTAATATGGGGAGAAGTACATGATCCAACAGCATATTATTTAGAAGGTGTATCCGGTAATGCAGGGTTATTTTCTACTGTTTATGATCTTATAAAATTTATGTAGATGATGTTAGGAAAGAACTCATTATTTAAATATGAGACATTACTATATTGGACCAAAGTCGAAGAAGGTTTACCTTATGCGAATAGCAGAGCATTAGGTTGGGACACTGTTCCAATTTAGACTTACCCACCTTGCGGTAGTAAATTCTCAAAAAATTCATTTGGACACACTGGGTACACTGGAACTTCTGTTTGGGCTGATAGAGATAATGATCTCATCGTTGTTATCCTGACTAATAGAGTCTATCCAGATGATAAAACAAGTGTTGTATAATTCAGATATGAGACTACCAATATAATAGTTGATATTTTAAGAAATTAGCATGAATTAACATAATGATATTACATTAATAAAAATAATATTTATGTTTGATCTTTATATTAATAACAAAAAATGAATAATTCCTCAATTGACATATTCAAAACTCCATTTCGAAAGTTTTAACAAGACCTTTATTTGATAGATTAATGTAAAGCATGATCAAAACACCTACCAAGCCTATCCCTTCTAAAACTGTTTAATCATTTAACATCGCTTATCCTACTGCAGCCAATGCCATTTAATTTAATCCACTACCAGGCCCTGGTACTTACAATCCATCCAAGCCTAAACGAAACAACAAAATTAAGTATCAATTAAGCTATCCTCAGCTTTTCTGCCTCTCAAAGGCAACCTCTAATTTCCAAGCAAAATTCTAAATTGGGCCCAGGCAGTTTTGAACCAAAAAAAATATCAGCAACTTCTGTTAAAATTGGAACATCGAAAAGACCACCATTGGCAATTCCTACTTCAGCTCCTTTACCTGGAAAATATGAATACTAATCAAAAATAATTGAATCTTAAGGTATTGTTTTCAAAGGAAGCTCCTACGATCCAATTATTAAAGAAATTCATTCAAGGCCTGGCCCAGGAATCTATAATCCAGAAAAAAAAAGTTCATCACCTCAATATCTCTTCCCTAAAAGTTAAAGACATGACTTTACAAAACAAAAACGAGGGATTCCTGGACCAATTTATGAGATAGAAGTAAAACCTCAAACTCCATAATATTCTTTTGGAAAATGCAAAAGATGAACTATATCAGCTTTATTTACAAACCAAAAATTTAATTTATACTCTTCTAATAAATGAATATCTCAAATTTTATCATGAAATCAATTTTTAAGTGCACCCTCTGATATTTAAATAAGTCTCTGCGCTTGCCTTTGGGCAATTTCTAATATAGTTGAAAACTATTGAATCACAATAATATAATTGAGTAACAGGATCTTTATATTTTGCCTAAAACATAGATTTATCATTACTTCAAATCCAGTTACATCGCAATATCTCTTAGCTGGTTTCAGGGACGGAGGTGCCTCAATTGAAAGATCTAATACATAATTATTTTTACAATTAAATGCTGAATTATTTATTTAGACCTAGGCTTTGATATTATTGAATTTTCTTGATTATGACTAACGTCTTGATTTCAACTCTTTTTTTCTAGCTTGCCATTAAGAATTCTTAAATTAATATGACATTTATCAACTATTTTTATTATATTAAATTATAATTTATATAATATATAGAGAAATTTAAATTATCATAATTTTAGAATAGATTCATTAATAACTGAACATAGATAGTCCTTTAATTATAAAACAAGAAATTTTTCAATATGTCCTCATATTCTCATTAATTTATTGATATAAATCATTTATGAATCAAACTTTTAAGTTTACAATTAATGCAGTTTGATCCTTATTTGCAAGGGATACTAAATAATGACTTTACATAATATTCCATTCTTCCCACTCATCCATTAACTCTAATTTTTCAATTCTTTTTCTTTCTTCAGGATCAGTGGCAATTTGATACAATGTTTTCATATCATAAATTTCAACGTAATTAAACCATTGATTTAATCTTTCCTTATGTGCTTGTAAAGAGGGGAATGCATCAATTCCAACTAATGGACATCCTCTATACTTTGAAATAAATAGAAATTTTTACTTCAAAATTTCGCACCATCATTTTACCAAATTGATCACTTGGATTAAACATTTCATAATTCAAGAATGTTAGATGTGGAAACCATTTAGTTAATCCATCCAATAATCTATTCGTGGCATCACTTTTAATGTATGTTAATACACATTCTGCATACACCAAGGTTGGAATGGTAAAATCAATAGATTATAATGATTAATGTAATTACTCTGTGTTACACAAATCTTCTCCAAATAATAAATAATTCTTATTTTCTTATTTGGCTGATAATTTATTTTATGATATAATATATTCTCCCAATAATGTTTTCAATTTATTAGATTCTTTCAGCTTTTTTATTTTTCTATCAACTACAACAGGTAAATCCACTTCAACAAATGTGAATTCTTTATTCTGGTATGTTTGCCACATAATGTAGGGAAGAGTGTCATAACCAGATCCAAGTGATATTACATTGCACTTTTATTATTTGCTTATATAAGTAGAAACTATTCTATGGAAAATATTAAATCTGCACCAGTAACCTCTGTGTATTAGAACATCTTTTTTAGATGTGCCCTTTACGAATTCCTCAGAAAATTCATCTTGGAAGTATTTGTGCTTAATTGCAGAACTATGATATTGAGTTTTGGTACATTTTTGCCATAGTTGCTTCTGCATTAGTGTCTTCAACGTGTATTTATATTGGATTGTGTTATTGCATATTCTTTTAGAAAAAATATTTATTATTAAAATTAATTGTAAAATGAAGTCAAATGTCAACTTCAATGTAATCACAATTCTTGATCCAGGTTCCATCCTTTGGCTTACCTTCAGCATCGAATTAAGAAGCAGAAATTGTTTATAAAAATCTAGAATGTGTCACGCAAACTACATTTTAGTTTCTATAAAACGACAATTCTAATTTTGCTTATTAAATCCTATTCATAGTGTCCATAAAGGTCTCAACAACAGAATCAGGTGGATACTAAAATAAGTAATCTAAAATATGTTTAGGTCCTCTTGAATCTAAAAATTATTAGGATAATACTTAAATCATCGCATTATTATTATAATAAATATTGCTTCATTTATTATTTTTATTCTTGATTCCAAAGATATTCCATAGTCCACATATTAGGATATTATTATAAAAATTCAGTATTCAACGTCCTGCTGAAATCAAATTGAGGATATTCATTCATCGTTGTTGTCAAATTACCTCCAACATCGCAAGAAGATGATAACATTTCTCTTAAAAATGGAACAACGATAAATTTAGGCTTATTGGGATGATCTCTAAATAAGTAGTGTGCTGTCTATATCGCTCTTCTTAATGGAGACACAAGAACGATATCTACCTTAAATGAAGACATTTTTGTCGCCGATTCTAAACATTATTGAATACCATATTATGTTAATCCACAATCTATAAGACTCTCATCTTGTTTGATTTTTAGTGATTCCTCTTTGAAATTTGTGACTTCCTTTGATGAATTTACAGCCAACCTAGCAGCAAGGTTATATTCAGATTCTGCATGTCTGATTAGGATAAATTTAGATTTATTCATTCAAAATGAATATTTATCTTAAATATTTTTAGCAAATAAAGAAATAAACAATGCTCATCAATATACTTATCAAATCTAACTTTTATGTTTTCAAATTTTCATTTTAAAATATCAACTGTTGTATTTATTTGAATTTATTACTTTTATTTATCTAATAAAATTCACATCAATTTCATACAATAATTATTTTTTATTGTTCAGAAATAAATGTATGAAGGAAACAAGTGTAACTTATTCTATTTGATTAAGATGAAAATTTATAGTAAAATTATGGATGATATTTTAAATACATTAAAACCAAGTAATATATAAGTAAGTATTTTATTAATTTAAGTTTTTATTTATTTCTTTCAAAAAAAATTATTACCTTGTCCTCTTTTTACTTTGATGAATTAATAGCGCGGAGTTTCAACACTCAAATAATTTCTATCACAAAGATTTAGAAAGCATGTTTAATTTAAGTAATTATCTCAGAAATTTGATAAAATTATATAAAAAAATCGACAAGATGCAAAATTGAAAAATAATTTATAAATCTTTCGCAAATAAAATATAAATCATATAGAAATAATGCAATTTTTCATTCTACTTCCACTAAAACTTAATTCTTTGATTAAAGATATTTAATAATAAAAATCTCTTTATAAATTAGATTTCCAAGCACTAAAATGCAAAATCCAATTAATTCTATCAAATTAGCCAGATAAGAAGTGTTTTCCCATACCCGAGATGTAGTAGTGGTGACTACAAGTCCAATAGCCCAAATAAAAATTGTTCTCAGTGTGTCTACAACACTCCTAGTTAAGGATGAAGCGTGCTTAGTGACATTAACACCAAATATGTTATACAATGTAATGCTAAATATACCCAAGATTACAGATAATGTTAACCATAGATCGCTTCCTAATTAATAAAAAAATAAATCAGAGCTTTCAAAATAGCCTTTATCGTTTCTATATACACATCCATCTCTAAAATTGCAAGGAATAAAATTTAAAATTGGTATTATTATACCCAAAGTTAATATACCCCACATTCCTTCCATACCAACAACATAGAATACATGATAGTTGTATGACAAAAATAGCTTTTCTTCATAAATATACGAAGTAGCTTAAGTAAATAACGATAGAATTATTAACAAAATAGATATTAATTTGATTTCCCAGCTGAAATCACTTTTTGATTATTCTCTATATATAAAATTGGATAATCCAACAATGAATATACCTATAATAGCCCACAGAATTCCAATTGATTGCTGTAATGATAATTTTTTCTTAAGCACAAATTTAGAAAATGCTGCTGTTACAATCATAAGCTATTGTTTGTAATATTATTACTCCTCCTCTCATCATTTGAAAAATAGATGATGGAATAAAATTCAAAGCCACATTCTACAAAGAAGCTGTAATAACATCAAACAAAGCTGGAATTGCCAATCTTCTAAACCCTCCAATCTATTTATTTGGATCAACTTCAACTTTCATATTAAATACGAAATAAAAAACTAAGCAAATTGCTTCACCTATAAACATGCATAACCCCTAAGATTATATTTGTAAATTACTTGCATATAAGGGTGCATAAATGATACCCCATCAATTACAGTAGTGTTTTAATACTTATAGACTAAAGTGTTAAGTGTACCTATTATAACCATTCCAACCAATAATATATTGATAAAATGCTTGCTTTTCTCTGAATTTTTCACCATTTCTAATTCGAATAATTTATTAATTAAAAGTAAATATTACCAAGTTCTATATTCATTAAAATAAATTCTGTGAGTATAAAAATAGGTTGAGATACTTATTTATTTAAATTGAATAATTTCTTGTCATAGGAAATTGTATGATCAATTTTTATATAGAGTTTTATTTATGCTTTAAACAAAAAATTTCGATGATAGTTGGTGGTATTTTTGGAATACATTCGTAACTCAATNTACTTCCACTAAAACTTAATTCTTTGATTAAAGATATTTAATAATAAAAATCTCTTTATAAATTAGATTTCCAAGCACTAAAATGCAAAATCCAATTAATTCTATCAAATTAGCCAGATAAGAAGTGTTTTCCCATACCCGAGATGTAGTAGTGGTGACTACAAGTCCAATAGCCCAAATAAAAATTGTTCTCAGTGTGTCTACAACACTCCTAGTTAAGGATGAAGCGTGCTTAGTGACATTAACACCAAATATGTTATACAATGTAATGCTAAATATACCCAAGATTACAGATAATGTTAACCATAGATCGCTTCCTAATTAATAAAAAAATAAATCAGAGCTTTCAAAATAGCCTTTATCGTTTCTATATACACATCCATCTCTAAAATTGCAAGGAATAAAATTTAAAATTGGTATTATTATACCCAAAGTTAATATACCCCACATTCCTTCCATACCAACAACATAGAATACATGATAGTTGTATGACAAAAATAGCTTTTCTTCATAAATATACGAAGTAGCTTAAGTAAATAACGATAGAATTATTAACAAAATAGATATTAATTTGATTTCCCAGCTGAAATCACTTTTTGATTATTCTCTATATATAAAATTGGATAATCCAACAATGAATATACCTATAATAGCCCACAGAATTCCAATTGATTGCTGTAATGATAATTTTTTCTTAAGCACAAATTTAGAAAATGCTGCTGTTACAATCATAAGCTATTGTTTGTAATATTATTACTCCTCCTCTCATCATTTGAAAAATAGATGATGGAATAAAATTCAAAGCCACATTCTACAAAGAAGCTGTAATAACATCAAACAAAGCTGGAATTGCCAATCTTCTAAACCCTCCAATCTATTTATTTGGATCAACTTCAACTTTCATATTAAATACGAAATAAAAAACTAAGCAAATTGCTTCACCTATAAACATGCATAACCCCTAAGATTATATTTGTAAATTACTTGCATATAAGGGTGCATAAATGATACCCCATCAATTACAGTAGTGTTTTAATACTTATAGACTAAAGTGTTAAGTGTACCTATTATAACCATTCCAACCAATAATATATTGATAAAATGCTTGCTTTTCTCTGAATTTTTCACCATTTCTAATTCGAATAATTTATTAATTAAAAGTAAATATTACCAAGTTCTATATTCATTAAAATAAATTCTGTGAGTATAAAAATAGGTTGAGATACTTATTTATTTAAATTGAATAATTTCTTGTCATAGGAAATTGTATGATCAATTTTTATATAGAGTTTTATTTATGCTTTAAACAAAAAATTTCGATGATAGTTGGTGGTATTTTTGGAATACATTCGTAACTCAATTTTTTCTACTAAATAACTCTTTTCAATCTTTAATATTAATAAATTAATATATTCTACAATATTAAAATAAATTATGAGAGATTATATCAATAATGAATTAAACTTATTTAATAAATCGATTAATTGAAAAATCAAAGGGAATTTTGAGAATGTTTAGTCTACAATATACAGAATGAGTCTAATTTTTTAGATATAATAATCTACGATGAATCATATTTGATCTTTTTTGTTAATTAAAAAATAAAAATATAATTTTGATAAAACTTCCTATTCTGAATTCTCGTTTTAAGTTCAGAAACTAACAATAAGATAATCATTTTTGTATAATCGAAGCGTAAACCTTTGTGCTAATTTGCAAAATTAAATCGACAAACTATTCTTAAAATCTGTATGAAATATTCTATGCAGTTTTAAGATTTACTGATAAAGAGATACAAGGTAGATTTGCAAGTATCTTTAATTATTAATTAATCTTTTTGAACAAAAAATTCTAATCAGAAAAATAAATATGAAATAATTAGTCTTTTTATTAATAAGTTTCATTTTTGCCTAAGATGATTTAGTATATGTGCAAGCAGTTTGGAGGCATGGAGCCAGAAATTATTATCATTGTAATTGGAATTGCATCAAAGATTAGCCTAGAGGAGATGAAGCCATCTTAACCCCAACTGGCATGAGATAATAATATATATTAGGGAAGTGGATTCGATAGAGATACATTATTGAATATCAATTTTTATCAAGTAAGTTTAATGAAAATGAAATCTATATTGAAAGTTCCGATGAAAATAGGTAAGGGAAATGAATATTTTAGAACTTTGACAAGTGCATATTGCAATTTATAAGGTATGTATCCAGAGGGTCCTTCAATACCTCATTTTAAGAAAGAAAATGAATCATTGTTGTTACCACCAAATTAGGGTGCATAGATTCCTAGAGATATTGGTGATGATGCATTACCCCACAAGATTTAACTAATCCCGATTCATACACAATAAAAGGCACTTCACTATCCCATTGTTATACAATGCCCAAAAATGAATGCAGATAATAAAAATACTTAACTTTACAAAGAAGTTAATATTGCAACTGCACAACTATATCATGATTTTAATACAGAATTAAATTTACAGGGAGATGAAAAAGTTAATGATATCATAGAGTTATCGCATTGGAGAGATACCTTTATCTGTAATAGATACAATGGAGATCCATTACCTCCAAATCTAAAACCAAAGACTCTTTAATAACTAGATGATTTAGCCAACTTAGCATAATCTCTAGAAAAGTTCTAAACCCCAAAGTAGAAATAATATATGTTTATTAGTTAAGTAAAAATCTAATCAACTCCTTATTTTTAAAGGTTAATTGAAAATTTTGACTCTGCTTTAGCTGAGGGTTAAAATGTAAAATATTTTGGATCATCTGCCCATGATACTACACTTGGATGCTTATTATCGGCCCTAAATTTAACCAGTGCTCAATGTTAAGCCGATATTTATTTAAATCAGACTGTCAAATACAATAACTGTATGACTAAAGTATTTTTAGGACTATTTAAATAGTATATCGATTTTGCTGCAAATTTGATATTTGAACTCTACAATAACATAAATACTGGGCCGTTTGTTAAAGTTCTTTATAACGGAGAGTATGTTCCAATATGTTCAGACTTTGCAAAGACTTGTGAATACACAAGGTTTCGTTCTATAATCTCTGCTCAATTAGTAAATTACTCTAAAGAATGCATAGAATCGAATTAGGAAATTAATTTTGTATCCATCATTCATTTATTTCATTAGACATATTATCAAACTCCAAAATGGGCTTACCTTGGATTCGGTATAGTAATTTTACTACTTATTTTGGTCTTTAGAGCAATACTAAAATTAAGACAAACATTGGTTTAAAGAGAAAAGGAATGAATATTATAATAATCAAATTAATATAAGATTATACAGATTTTCCATTAATGGTGATAAAGTTGAAACAAAATATATCGTAGATAATTAAATTTTATAATTTGAATGATTATCTATTAATATAATATAGGATTTCATTCTTTTTTTTAGAATACTGTCTCAAAAATTCTTCTAGTCAATATTGTTTTTACTCTCTTCGATTCTATACATAATTTCCTTAAATCCAAGATAATCTCCTTTATAGTTTTTACTCACTTCACTTTGAAAATTAATCTAAAATAATTAACACAACAATTAATATCCTTTGTCATGAAATGAGCTCATCTAAAAGGAAAGAAATTTCTCCATCTAGAAAATTAGGAATAATGTTGCGTAACATATTGCAATATTGTTAGAAATTTATAAAATAGAAAAAAAAATAAAAGGGAAATCTAAAAAAAACAAAATACTTTTAAAAAGTAAATTATATGTCAATGATCAAAATACTAGAACAAAAATAGCATTATTTGCTTACGTAAGTCTACTCTTGAATCTAACAATATTTATATTTCTTTCATAAATTAAATAAAATTAAAAGATTGTTTCTTTGTATTATTTTTATCAATTGTTTCAATATTGTTCATTTTTGATAGATCTTCCGAATGAACAATGATATTTTCGTTAAAGTATTGTATATTTAAAATATACTAATAAGAATTTAATTTTTTAAACAGAGGCAATTTCTATTAGTATTTAAAATAGAATGTATTGCACCTATCATCCCTAAAATCAAATATAATAAATCTGTTTAGCACCTCATATTTGTTAAAGGAAACTTTGTGGAGACTGCCAATATGAACATAATGTGGATTAAAAATTAACAGTCCCAATCTCAAAATTTAGATAATTAGTGACTGAGAAATTCAAATAGTGTAATTTTGGTGGGAAACATGATTTAAAAGATATGAAAGATAGCTTAAAATAAAGACAATTCAAGTCTGAGATTGAATTTAAGAAAATATTGGAATAAATTAGATTATCTTATGAGATATTAGAAAAGTAAGAAGAATCGTACATGGATCTCATAAATGAAAATGAGAACTTTGCAGAATCATCTACAACTAGTTTACAATTTCTAGTCTAAATATTAAATGGCAGCATTTTGGATGAATGGAAAGATAAAAAACAAAGCTATTTATCTAAAATACAAGAAGCTTTGGATTAATTTGATGCCTAAATGTAGGCTTATTGTGAAAAACTTAAAGGAGAAATCAAAGTGATTTAGTAGATAGTTTAGTAACTATTTAATTATTTTATTATAGAATAGAAAAAGATGAGATATTTAAATGGAAAGAAGCTGTTTAAGAATGCAAATGTCGCCAATGGGATTATTATGGTCAGAAGTTTATTAACACAAAATTTCTAATTAAGTTTACTAAAGAAAAAGAAATCCAATATATCAGAGACGGTTCCATCATTAAAATGTAAATACTTTTGATAATAAATCTTAATAGCCAAAGAGTCAAAAATATTTCTATGTAACCTGAAGTCCTACAAAATTTAGAGTAAATTTAATACCTAAGGTGGTTTGGAAATTATGATTAAAATCATTAAAAAGTTGGTAAATGGATAGCTACTTGGAGAGGAGAAGGTTTAAAAGATGTTGGTGGATAGTACTCTAATGATGGGAAAAAAAAAGGTTTATGGAAAGAACTATTAGCTGATTTTTGGAGGTATATTAAATTATAATAAATTAATAGCAAAACAAATGCATATGAATTTGGAGAATATATTGATGGTTAAAGAAGATAAACCTGGAAATATATTTACAAAGATCAAGAACTGTATAAAGAGATAAAATTATTATAGCTGCGGGGGAGAATATAATGATCATGGATAGAAAAATGGAATTTGGAAAGAGTTTTGGGAAGGATTTTGGGAGAAATCGTTCGTGATAAATAAGGGAGAGTATAAAAATGGAAAGAAAATTGGTAAATGGGAAATATTATATAAGCCGGAAGATGATAATTAATATAAAAAAATGTAAGAGATATATATAAAGTTTTAATTAGTGGAGGTGGCTAATATGATTTAGAAGGTTCTGAGATTAAGATTGGAGAGTGGAATGAACTCAGAGAGGGATTTTGGGATAAATCCTAAGTAACCTATTGTGGGGAATACGAGAATGGTAAGAAAATTGGTAAATGGGAAACTTTTTACAAGTAGTAAAATATGTAAAAATCAATATTATATCTTTCGTTAGAGGTGGTGGTGAATATGATAAAGGAAATGAAATTTAGATTGGGTAGTGGATAGAATTAAGCGAAGGATTTTGGGATAAATCTTAGGTCACTTATTGTGGGAGTTACTAAAATGGTAAAAAGGTCGGTAGGTGGCTCACTAAGTATTAAAATAAAGAAATGTAAATAGTTTGATAATTATTTAGTGGTGGTGGATCATATCAAGAAGGAGGATCTGGAATTAAGGTTGGATAGTGGACTGAAATAAGACCAGGCTTTTGGGAAAGATCATAAGTAACTGATCATGGTGAATATAAAGTTGGCAATAAGATTGGTTAATGGGATACTCTTTATGAAAATAAAAAAATGTATTACATTACTTATATGTAGTGCTGGTGGAAAATATGATGAAAAAGAAAATGAATATAAGATTGGATAATGGGTTGATCTGAGTGATGGATTTTTTGAAGATTAATAAGTAACCTATAGTGGAGAATATAAAAACAATAAAAAGGTTGGTGCATGGTAGACTTTTTTTCAAAATAAGAAAATGTAAACAAACTTAAATGAATTTAGCGGTGGCGGATAATATGATCTACAAGGAGAGGGATTTAAAGTTGGACAATGGATTGATTTGAATGATGCATTTTAGTATTACTCATAAGTAACATATAACGGGGAATATTAAAATGGAAAAAAAATTGGTAGATGGGATATCAATTATTAAGGAACAAAAATGTAAGCATAAGAAAAAATATTTTAGTGGAGGAGGATCCTATGATGAAAAAGGGGATGGAACATAAATAGGGTAGTGGATTGAATTAGACGATGGGTTTTGGGAGAAATCATAAATAACCTATGTGGGATAGTATAAAAATGGTAAAAAAATTAGTAAATGGGAAATTTTACATAAGGGATCTAAAATGTAAATATGATTTGAAAATATTTTATTTTAGTGGTGGTGGATATTACGATGGAGATAATGGACTTAAGTTAGGCAAATGGATTGAGTTGAGGGATGGGTTTTATTATATGAGTTAAATCGCTTATATCGGTGAATATGAATCTGGCAAAAAATTTGGTACTTGGGTGGAAATGGATTTAACTAGGAATTAGAAATTAAACGAATGCAAATATTATCGTTGAAAAATAATTAGAGTTATAAAAAATATAGATAAACATAAAATAAAAATATTTCATTTAATAAAGTTATGAGAAAGTAGGATGAATACAATCTTTCCATGGTTGAATAAATTCTATTGAAGCATATCTAAAATTGTTAGAATAAATAAAATTGATTATTTAGAATTACATTAGATTATTTTTCATTTTCCTCTATTCTTCTGAGAAAATAATTGAATTATGATTGTTTGATTTTGAATGACAATTCAAAAGATAAAAGTTAAACTATATGCTTTAATAAATCGATGATGAATTATAAAAAAAGCTATCTCCAAAAACATTTTGTTTTTTAATATGGAGAAAAAATAATTTCATAAATATTGATTAGAATAGGAATAAGAATCAATTTGAATAGACTGCGATGCAAAATAGAGATTAAATATTAAAGTAGAAATACTATCTCTCAAATAATTTATTTAGAAAAAGAATAATATTACTCCTCCTTTTGTGAATAGAATAGTTTTACTTTTCTTTATGATTATGATAGATTTTCGTTTTTATCATTTTCTAAGCAAGTGTGTATATTAATTTAGTGGATAAAAATGAAACCATTAAATCTTTTTTAAGATAAATATGATTCTGTTTAAAGTCTGTCAAATGTTCTTGAGGATTTAATGTTATAACAGCAGAATTTAATCTGGAAAGTTCCCAGAATGTCATCTGTAGCCGGGAAAATACAGTAATTTTGATTTTCTCTTATGGATATTGTTAATTAATTTGGTCAAATTAGATAATTTATGCTATTGATCAAATGTACCTTTCTACCTTAAATAAGTTAAATAGTTTAAAAATGTTTTCCTAGAAGTGTCTCTTGCGGATTATCAGACTTCTCTTCTAGATATCTCTCAAAATCTTTAATAAAGAAAAGAGTTTAGGATCTGATAATTGTTTGAAAGTGACTGCTACTTCATTTTTTGATAATTATTGATTTCTAATTATATTGAATAAATGATTAGATAGAAAATAAACCTGGTTTTTGGTAAAAAATATTAGGTGATCAATTTAAGTTGTAAAAAGATTAAAATAAATAATCATAATCTACTTTTATGGTAATGGATTAAAATGGCTGTTAATTATTTATCACTGTCTTATGTTAGTAAGGATTAGAGTATACGTTTTTCCTTTATAACTAGGGTAATGAAGTTGAATTGTTATTAATAGAAAATAAAGGAGATAAAATTATCTTGCATAACAAAAATTTCTCTTTGTAATGTAATTTAAAGTAAATAAGTAACAGTCAACGAAACTAGATTTTCGATTTAAGTAAATTAATTATTGGAAATGTGAAATTCATTTTTTGAAAGACATATTTAATATTTCAGAAGAAATAATAGAATTTAAATAATAGCAAAGAACCAAGCTATTTTAATTTCTTCAAGATATCTTTTTCTAAAAAGCTATATTAGACAAAAAATAATTTAGAAGTGCTTAATTAAATATAAACAACAGGTTCATATAAATTCATATCAAAGATGGATTTATAAAAATTATACCAAAACAGAAATAAGTTAACAGTTATAAAATCCAAACTTTGCTCTCATAGATTCAGTTAAGAGGTGATGGATGCTATGGGAAACAAAGACCCATTTGATATATTTATGGATCTCAATACCTTGATAGGAATTAAGCCTCCAACCCATAGAGATTTACAAATATCACTTCAGAGTCTCTCTGACTTGGTTCAGATGATGGAAGTCCTGTCTTGCCTATTTAAATTGAAGGGTTTGGTTGTAGGATGCAGCCCTAACAAAAGGATCCCCTCTAGGATAATGAGTGGAGCCTTCTGGAACTTTTTTATAGTGGACCTGATACAGGTGGGTTCTGGATGACCTGACGTTCTTTGTGTTACCTAAAACATTGGGTCTGTGTTGGAGAACAATTAATAGGGTCACCTTTGGACTTACCATTACCTTTCTTCATCCCCTAATTATTCCCAAGATTGCGTTGAGGCACTTGTGCGTTACTGTACTTGGGTTTTATCTGCCAATTTTCTAACTTCGGCTTGGACTCTGGCCTATATCTAAAGGCATCACTTTATCTCTTTTTCTTATTTGTGTACTGATTTATCCTATATATTTATGTGATTATCAAATTTAATAAAAATATTCTATTTGCTGTTAATTCTGAGATTAGAAACTAATTTTTCTTTTTGAATAATATAGAATTGCATTTTTATAGTTTATTTCTAACTGACCTATTTGTGGTTTTTAAAAGAAACATATTCAATCCATTTCATAATTCGTCTTCCAAATCAAGGTTTTAAAAGCCAATATTTATTGATATCAAGTGATTTTGACAAATTTTTCACTTCTCAAATGTTCTAGATTACTACTTAAAATTAGCCATCTCGATTTTAATATTCCAAGCATATAAAATAGAGATAAATTTTAAACTTTCACTTATGAAAATATTATTTAATAAAGGCTAGTATTTTTTTTAATCAAATAGAATATTTAGAATTTTTTTTAATCTCAATCTATTTTACATAATAATTAACTGCCCATTTTTGATTTTCCTATTTTTATATCCCTATCTAAGCTACCTAAAGTAGATCAGGCTTTAAACTGTTCTGTCTTGTAATTGCAAGCGCTAATTTTATATTTATTGATATAACATCATGCTTTAAATTTTCCATTTATTATTATTAATAACAAAATGAAAGAAATTGGCTTAATATTTTTTTGATTTTAGAAGAGATAATTGAGAAAAATAAATTCAGGCCTACCACTATTAACTTAGATCAATTTTACAAAACATACTTACTGTATCTCTTACAGCAAACTCAGGTTGCTATTCTACCTTCATAGTAGAAATAATTTTCCAGAATTTCTTGGAATTTAGTAAAAGAACATTTAATTTCTTGAGAAAATATTATTCCCTATTCTAATTTTTTTGAAGATTGGAAGCATAAAATATGTGAAAGATGCATTTTATGTGATAATGCAAGTTAGCTTGATATTATACTTATAATTAATATACATAAATATTTCAGATAAGCTTTTATAATAGGATTCATTAATACAGCAATGATTCATCTGGTTTGTCTCGAAACAATTACTAAATTAAGCTAAGGATGAAATTGATATGAAGTAGGTCAAACTTAATAAATAATATCATTCCAAGGAAAACCTCATTTTATGTTGAGTCATGAAAATGCTTCGTAACTCTATCTTTCTAAATTGTTTAGAATTTACCTATCTTAAAGGGTAGAGCCTAACACAATTCATTCTATCTAAAATTTTCATCCAGTTAAGAAAAGGTAAATATCTCTTTCTAATACCGATGTTGGTGTTCTTGATATTGATTCTTATCCTCCTCTTAAAAATTATTTAACTAAAGAGTTTATACTAATTTCAATCCCTTAGCTATGATAAAGAGAGGAGTATCTTAGATTAGTATCTTTAAATATTGTTAATTTAAGATATAAAATAATGAAATGGGTTTATTCTCAATAAGACAGCATCGAATGGCTGAGAGGCAATAGAGGAAATCCAAACCGAAGAGATGTTCTGATAACTAGAGTAAGAATGATACCACTTAGTAAAACAATGGAGAATTTTAAGGTGGATTGGATTAATCTTTAGCGCTAATTCAAATAGTCTAAAGAGATTGATTTCCTGAATGAGTAAGGGATCATCATACTTCACCTGATGTCTCGAGCAATCTTTAACTTGTAACAAATTATGTAATTTCACAAACTTCTTTTTAACCCTTAGACTAAATATAACATGATGAGGCATTTATAGCCAATATAAAAGGGGCAAGTAAAGTGAAAATAAAGCAATAGAGAGAGGAAAGAATAGCAGTCCTCAATTTCAAAAGGAAAGGTGAATTGAGTTCGATCAATCTACCTTTAGAGAATAGAAGAAGTGAAAGTGCTTAAAGAAAATAGCAGGCTACTAGTGGAAAATACTATGTCAGGAATAAGAATCGAGGTATTTTAGATATTTTACCATAATGAATCTAACTGGAATGGTTATTAAAGAATGTGAGGATAAAAATCATGTATGTATAATTTTTTAGGTTCCTTCTTCTTATCAGCCTCTATAGGTTCTTGGGACAATATTATTATATTTTTAATAAATTTATGTTATCATTCCTATTCTCAATTTTAATTGGCTCCATAGATCATTAACTATAATCATAATATCTTACAATTAGAAATTTTAACAACTACTTCATTCAGAAATTAATTTCAAAATATGATTTGTAGATATACAATATTGTGAATAGTAATTTCTTGTATCAAAATATAATCTAAAAAATTACAATAAAGCCAAAAGATCTTGAAGAATGAGTTGCCTTTATTATACTCATTAAGTAGCGAAATAATCAAAAGATTAAGTTATTTCAATTGGAATCTTGTGTTTTTTCTGATTGATTCAATTTATAGAGGCTTGAGTAAATTTTAATAACCTAAACTTACTTGAAATTAAAAATTCTCTTGGGGCGCATCCCCCACCACAATATTACTATCAAAGGCATTTAAACTAGCCAGAATTAATGCTACAAGTGTATCTTTTTTAAACATCTTTGAGATGTTAACCTTGAACTTGTTGATAGCATTATTGGCTCTTCTAAAGCTTGTATTACTTTTCCAATCTATTTCTGAGACTCTACGTTTGATTATCGATTCAAACTATTTAGAAATCATTGTAACGCATAGCTATTTAGATATAGATTTTGAGATAGTATGCCTTTTTTTGAGGCTATTCATTGAACATATAATTGTAAATTAAAAAAAACTCAAATTTTAATACAAGGAGTAGCTGGATCATGTATATTTTATGTATTTGCAGATGAACTCTATGTTTACCTACAATAACACCATTTTATAATGCATTATATGAATCTCAACCATTAAAACATTACCCGCTGATTATAATATTGGAGGCTCCTGTTCATCAGTATCTCATAATATATGAGTTATACCTGTTATGATACTGTCTTACTGTTATTAATATTTTATTTACATATATTAGTCTAACAAAATGGTTCCTAATACATTCGATTTGCAGCCTAATGAGAGTTAGCATGTGTTTCTTTTAATACAATTCTAAATAAATTGCCATTTCTTTATGTAAAAATTGTAAGAATTGTACTTGTATATCAGATTCTTATTAAAATAAAAATGGATGTGTTTTAAGAATATACTAAATCTCATAACAACATTGGCTGCATGAATGTAGAGGATTTCGCTTATAATCATATGGGTATTTGAAATGCTCTGCTCAGGTGGAAGAATAGAACACTTGACTTACAATATATAGATTTTCCATCGGTAAAACTGGAACGACTCAAGTTAACTAATGCATACTTTTACTAGCAAACCTAGTTATGATTGTTGCCCTTTTAATGATATTCTAAGGGCTATACATTAATTGTTCCCTATTTTTAAGAAAGTATTCTGATAAGCGTGCAAACTGCTGGCAGCGCTTGATTGCTCCATCATGCGCCATTTGCAAATCGAGATGGGTACTCTGCAAATTGGATTTCGGAGCTAGACTACAAAGGATTTTATGATATCAAGTGTTCATGCATTTGAAATAGTGTATTGGAATTTACGCGTAAATTATATCATGAAGTTATTGCATAGTGGATTTCACAATTCATAATAACTGAATCTTAAACTTTATAAATTTTTTATCTGCATCAGCCATTCATTAAATATTTCTGGATATCCTAACCTCCCCCCCCCAAAATGTTGATCACTTCATTAGAGTCTTTAGCACCTTCTCTGAATGTAGTCATAATGTTGCTGATTCTATCTTACCGCAATGTCACACACATATTAAGCTTGCTGTAAGTTGTGTTACTGGTTGCAATTCTAGGCAAATCTATCTAGATGCTTGTTCCGCTTGATATAATAATGAGAAGTTAAGGTTTTAAATTTATCGTCAAAGCATGTCTGATTTTCAACTTATGCATCTTGTGTCGAATTCTAGCTACAATCAAAAATAAAGGCAACTAATCATATATTATTTTTCAAAATGATGTTTATTATCCCCTCAAGCTTATGATATGCCCCACTTCTTAAAACTATTTGGAGCACTTCAATAATAAGTTGCCTTTATGCTTGTATCATTGCTCAATTTTTGATTACTTTGTTTTTGATAACTCATTTGAGTCCTGTTAACTGGATTATTAGGAATATACATTTATATGAGTACTTAATGTGTCATAGAACACCAATATTAAATTTTAATGTTTCTTATAAGTGTATATATATATATATATATTAAGACTTTACACATGTGTCGTCAAGATGGTTACTCTAATTAATCAGGGTGAATGGGAAGTTTGGCTTGAAAACTCAAAATGCCGAAGGAGTAAGGTTATTTTTTCTGAATTAATAGCCATAGCTTTTAGAAGAAGTAATCTAACCTAATAATAGGAGATATTATCATCAGAAGATGCTTTTATATTGGACAATCTTCCATTAAACCAAATGATGTTTGGCTGCATATTGCAGCAATCTCGTTTTCCTCAGTCCAGTGATCCAGTTAATAACTAATTCAATAGTCTGGAGCCTGATATAAAGGAAGTTTGAGATAGAGCATCCTACCAGCCTTACTTATCTCTTTGTATTTCTATCCTACTAATCAAGTACTTCATGTGCTAACTGTAAATATATATATACATTGGTATTTTATGAACAAAATGCATATTTAAATTTTTAAGGTGTACATTTCGAATGCATTCCTCTAAATGAATGTGTATATATATATTATGCGCTAATTCATACCAGGTTGGTATCTGAATGATGCAAAAAGCTCTACTATAATTGTACTTCTGGATAAAAATAATCCATTTTATTTGGATGATTGGAAAGCTTGCTATTTATTTATTGATTAGTAGAGATTGCAATCTTGTGATTCAATCTCATTCTTTGTAGATAATCTCGAGACAAACAAATTAAACTTATAGAATGACTTGATAAATAAGTTGACTCTGTTAACCTGCCCTAAATGATAACACATTAAATATAACCTGTCAATATTTTAGGTCATAATTGATGTATTTAATGCAAAACTCTATATTTCAATTATGAATATATACTGCTGTATCTGGCATAGCTTTAAATCCTTTTTGATATTATAATGACGCCTCGCTAAATTATATTTTATGGACAACTTCTAAAGGCATTAAACAAGACTTGTAGAGAAGAATTACTTTATCTTAACAACAGCAGCAATCGACAGGTAGTATTAATCTAAACATTCAGTCTGTTTAAGCATTTGACCTAACTTAACCGATACTTTATTGATTGGGTTTCCATGAGAGTACTCGAATCCGGCGAATTCAGAGTCCTCATCAACTTTAATACATGTCGTAATTGTATTGCTGATTCTGCTTTAATAACATACTATATTTTTGATAATACCTTCAATCGTATAACTTATTGGGAAGTACGTAAATATATAAATTAATGGTAAAAAAATTAAATGCTCTAAAGCCTACTTTTAAATTATGCTACATGAATCGAGAAAATGCTTCTTTTGTTTAATGTTACCTTTAATGTTGAGTAAACTTAAAGATTTGTATTATTTTTTTTCATCGTTTGATTTTAAATTCCACTTGTAAGGAGTTTTACTGCATTTTCTCTATGTTTAAAACCTGTTTCTCTTATTATTGCCATTGTATTTTCTTATAAGAGATTTATTTGACTATTAGATTTCATTGTAGTAGCTAGATGGTGCTCACTTAAATCATCTAAAGATGAATACAAGGCAAAATGTAATGAAATTATTCCGAGGCTACTTTGATGTTCCTACTGATATTGATAATAACATTTAGATCTACTAGAGCATTATATTCAAAGTATTATTTAATATAGTCTAATAGGTATACTTATTTCTCTTGCATTGAAGGTTTATATTTATCATCTTCCTGATAAATCTGTTGCTCATATTGCAATACCTTAAATAGCTTCGAATATTCGATAAGAGGATAGCGATATCAAATAAGCCATATTGATATGTGCAAATTGTATCAAAACATATAACATAAACTCAGCATCAAACCGTTTTTTTATTATTCTTAATAAGATATCATTCTAGTTTAGATAAATGTGATGTAATTCCATTTTTAAGTTGTAAACATCTCCAAATTTCTGCTGGTTGTTTGACAATTAGCTCTATTATAGTCTTCTTCATCATGTCCTTCTTGTTTGGCTACAGCTGCTGAATATTTACATTTATTAGCTTTTCCATTTATTGAAGCTTATCGAAAATCTAACAAAATTATTATAATTAATATTTAACTGGATTCATCATTAAATGCTTGGAGTTCATCCTCCTAATCAAGATTTCGATTTCTCCACCAAATATCTCATTTTCCAAATTTTTAACCTCATTTATAGTCTCCACTTTAAGTAATTTACTAATTATCTTAAAACTCTTCACTAATGTCAATCCATTTCCCAACTTTAATCGAATCTCCTTCTATTTAATCTTCATAAAATCCTCCACCACTTGGATTGTTTTTTTAACTATTTATTTATTAATGTAATAATACATCTATAAAAAGATTCACCATCGTTACTCTTGTCAAAAATATCCCATCTACTAATTTATTTTACCATTTTTATATTCTCCATTATAAGTTACCTAACATTAACTAATAATTTAATAATTAATCAAAAAATTCTTCCAAAAATAATCGCTCAAATCAATCTATTGACCTTCCTTTTTTATTTTTCATTTACCATTTATTTTTATTCATGTTGCAAATTTTACACTCATATTCTTCTTAATTTGTATCTTCTAGGATATTTAGCATTTTAGTGGCTCAATATTGATTATATTTAAATAACATGATATACCTATCTATCTTATCTATTTCCTTTATCACACTCTAATTATTTGAACAAGTAATTCCCATTTCTATTAATTTATTTATGAATAAAAATAATTTTTTATTCCTCCAGAAAATCAATAACTTATGAAGAAAGTGATTTGATAATAGTATTTTTGATGTCAAATTTAGTGTTATAGATAAAAGCTCTGTTTACAATTAACAATAATTTATAGAATTTATAATATACACCTATAACCGGATGATCTGAGAATTTTAATTTTGTGTAAGTATGATTCCTCCTAAAAAGATAAATATTTTAATAAAACTTGCTACTATAATATTTTTAATTTATATTATTTCTCATTTAAATAAATCATTATTATTTGCATTATATTCAAAATAGTCTTAAAAACCTTATATTTAATTTTAAAATAAAGATAGAAAAATGAGAAATAAAGTAAATTTAAAGTTATTAACAAAAGTGAAAATTATAAATATTAAAGAATTTGCCCGATATTAATACTAAGCAAAACATATCATTTACAATATAATTAGTAGTTTTAAATTTTCAATCTATTCAGTAGCCAACTATGTAAATGAATAAAATTGTAATCTAAAAAGATGATGAATTAATTAATAATTTAAAAGATTAAGAAGAAAATTGAAATTGAGAAACTTTTGCTCAAACGATACTAATTCTAAGATGGGTTTTTGAATAATCAGTAATTCTAATCTATTTATTCAAGTTAAATGAAAAAGTTTTGAAAAATTTGATTAGAATTGAAAAGCAGCTATTTATACTGTCTTACCTAAGTTTTCCTATGCTACAGATTCATTATTGATGTAAACCCAAAAAAAAAAGGAAATATTATGCTTTTTTTGTGTTCATTTTTTCAAGATTCAATTTTAGGAGAGTATATCTTCAAAATTTAACTTCAGCCATAATTATTAGGAAAAAACATTTATTAACACATGAATAATCAATCATTTATATTCTTGTTTCGTCTATCTTGTGCATTATAATATGGCAAATTTAATAATCATCCTCTCATCACATGTAAAATACCACAAGAAGAAAGAAGTAAGAAATGATTTGATTTAAAACTTCAAAAAGATTACCATATTCTATAATTGTGAAGTTAGAGTTGACATTCCATTCTTGAAATTTTTAAAATACTTGTAGAATAATTACTGAAACTTTTGTTGTTCTTGAGTTCTTAGCAATTCTAGCAGCAGATTTTACTATAATTTCCTTCATATGGAATGTCTTAATCTTTTAAAATTCATTTGCAACATTACTTTGATACCTAGTCATAATGGTACAATAATCATGGTTCTTTTACAATATTTAACTTGCCTTAACATAAGGTTCTAACTCAATTTTATAAGTTATAGAATTAAGGTAATTTGTATATAAATCAACCTATATTAATTTGATCTTTGTTAAATAGTTTAAAGATTTTATTTTCCCAAATTTTAGTCCAAGGTACTAGAAGTGTAATTTCTAAACTTTCAATACTTTCAATACATAAATTAATATTAAATAGCAAATCATTATTTTAGTAAATTTGAAAGTTAAAATTTATCCATCTTAAATTTATGATAGTTTATAAATTTCAAGGGTATTTCTGAACAATGTTTTGTTATATGGAAGTAATTATTTAACATGCAAAACATATGTTAATTTAAGATAATACTAAGATTTTTTTCATATTTCTAAATAAATAAAACATACAACAATTAGAAGAAATACATAAATAATATTACAATACAAAATAATTCATATATTTAATAATTCATATGTTGAATAAGCTTTACTATTGTAATCCCAATACACCAAATATTATCCATTATAAGTGATATTTCCATAAATACTGAATGTATCACAATTCAATTAATCATCAATTTTATACATACCATCATCATTCTCTCTAATTATATATATATATGTCTTATGTCTTACCACTATTAAATTCCTCTCCTTAATATATATAATTGAAAATCGATATTCATCAAAATTTTGATTATTTTTATTTAATTGGATAGTCTTTTCTTAATTTTCTTAATAGACACCTTGTTTTAATTCAAATACAAAGAGTTTATCAGTTTGTTTTTCACCAGTTATCCAAATAAATTAATTGTCTTTAATAAACTTAACTTTTAGTCCATAATCTGAAATTGAATATTTAACAAAATATTTGAATTCAAACTCTTCCTTACCTTTTCTTTCCCAAATAATTATTTAATTCTAACCTTCTGCACATGATACTAATTAATCTTCTTATTAATTTAAACTCAAAGAAATAACTTAATTATGATGTTTATCCAATGAATATATAAATACTAGTTTATTTTTATTTAAATCAACCTTCCAAACTTTGATTGATTTATCCAAACTCCCAGAAAATAGCAAATCCTCATTTGAATCCAATATCATACATTTTATAATATCTGTATGCTATTAATAAGGTTCTGAACAAATCCACTCATTTTAGTTCAATTATTGCCAACACCTTATTGTTTTGACTGAAGAAATAAAGGAATTTTATTTTTTGCTATAAACTAAACATTAGACCCAACTAGTATGTTCTTATAATGTTTTTACTAATTTGATTTTTCCATTAAGAAAACTCCATATTTTAATATTAGATTCTTCAGTTGATACCATAATTGACCCAGAAGAATCAAAAACTATTGCATTACATTATCCGTTTTATTTAACTGATTAATCAATTAATTTTAATTTGATTTCAGATTATGATTGTAATTATTATTTATCAGAACTCTAAAAAAAGAATTCTAAATGTGACAATAGTTCTTTACATTTTTTATAATCTTCGAATGTATTAAATATTTCTAATTTAGGATATAATTTAGAAGTCCAACAGTAATTTGTTTGTTAAATTTCACGGATTAATAATTAAAAGTTATCCTCAGCTTTATTTTATTTCAATACCATAATTTCTAATTCCTCATAAAAGCTATAATGAGATTATTATAATCCTTTCTATTATAAATTCTATATCCATTCATTTATTAAAGTAATCTATTAGTCAAACAATTAGATTGCAAGTGACTTCATTTGATCGACAATGCTGTGCAATTATTCAATTAATTTAATTTAGTTGACTATTACATCTTCTACTTATTCTAACTTTTTTATTTAGCCTTCTTCAATTAATGAAATAATTTTCTTGAATCCAATTACTTTACCATCTAAATCTGTATTCTCTAAACATTCTGTGCATAGGAGTCTTTAATGCTTTGATAATTATGGATCAAGTGCAATCGTAACGACAGGTAACCTATGTTCTTAACAACAAGATAAATCTTTCTCGTTTTCAATCATTTTTGGTTTAAACATTTAATTTAAATAATATATTTTTTATTGATTGAGTTTCAAAAGAATGTAAACCTAAAGATGACAGTAAATGTAGTTCATTCTCATAAAAGTTTGTAAAAGAATTTATTTAACAGCCACTTGGTTCAACCTAAAAATTAATTCTGATTACTGCTTATTGCTAATTGTAAAATGTGAATAATTTCTATAACATAAGTGCTTATTTAATTTTGAAATTATTTATCAAACCAAAAAACAACAAAGATATCATTTATTTACCTTAGAGCAAATGTTATCGGCTAAGATCTTAATCTTTTAGTTGCTAAAAGGGCATTTGAATATCAATTCTTCTAACTCTATGAGAATCAGGCATATCCCTGGATATGCAGACCTCAATCTTTTGAAATATGGATGGATGAATTGTAGAGATTATCAACGCTATTTCAAAATTAACTATATAAAGTAATATCTTGGAGAGGACCTCCCAGACAATAAGATTAAAAAGATTGATAAGATCTTGCAATATTTGGAGGACACAGCTAAATTTTGCAAGAATATCCAGAAGTGCTTTACAGATCACAATGAAACTGATCTCCAAAAGTATAATTTTCTTATTTTGTGATACACACCCTCTGAATAGACATAAGTGGATCAATAAATATTCACATTAATTGATTATTATTATTTAGTCGACTTAACCTTTAAAAGGAATGTTTTTTTAGAATCCTTAATTAAACTAGATACATATGTTTAAATCAAGTGATAATATTTTATTAAAGCAACCTAATTGAGAAATCTCTTCCACTTCAAAGTACAGTTTATTAGCTAATTCAAGTGTTCTTTGTATAGAAAATCCTTTAATAAACTAATAAGACTTTATTTTACTTACTCTTCATTAATTGATTAATAATTTCTTAAATAAGGAAATGCTTGTTCTCTCCCCATTAGACCATTAGATCCTCGACTCCGCTGCAATTTTCATTTGAACATTGGGTATTACATGAAATTAAACGATTTGATCTTTTTTTCTATCATCAAGATATTTATTAATCTTCAAGTTTTGAATCTTTATACAAATTAAAAACCCTTTTAACAAGATTAAATTCAATGGTAGGCCTTAAGAATGCATAACATGATTCGACTTTTAATTCTAAACATCATTATGGAGTTATGGAATTTCATGTTATCCTACATCCTAATACTAGCATTTTCAAAGACTGTGACATTTTTCAAAGCATATTATCTTAAACCTGAGTTCCATTAAAGTTGATTAGAGAGATGATTTTTGCTCATATAACTCATTTTATGTTAATTTTTCTAATAACTGAATTTGAAAGCCAAAATGAATTTGTATTGATTTACTGAAGAAATGTTAAATGATTAATTCACACTTCAACCAGAGATTAGCATGAAATATTAAAGAAAGATTATTTTTCAAAATAGAATATTACTTCAAATTA